GCGATTAGTAAGTTTTTGATTGAGATCATGAACCGATGGGTGTTAGACCACCGTTGGAAACCTGAAAGCATTGGACGGCCGTTTAGTCCTAATGTGGGACTCCTTAGCAGTGAACATTCGTGAATTGGTTGGTGTTAGACACTAACATCATTGGATGCTGGCTCAGTGGTCCAGTAGGTTAAGCATTCGAATGCGAGACTGAAGGCTCTGGGTTCAAATCACTTTCTTAGGAATCGTGGATGCGCACTGCTAAGGAGTCCCACAATAGGACGAAACGGACGTTCAATGCTTCCAGGTTTCCAACGGTGGTCTAACATCAATCGGTTCATGATCTTAATAAAAAAAACTTGTTTTTTCTCGAAAGGAAATCATTTCCATTCAGTCTGTTTCTCTGTTGTTGTTTTTTCCTTGACTGTGATTAATAGAAAGTAGTTTATGGTTCAGAAAAACTATATTTGCATAGATGGTATTGAACATAGACCAACCACTATTGAATTATTAGTGATAACATCGGTGTTGGGTGGGGTACCAGGTAGCTATTTAATCTTAATGTCATAACTTTAGGTCTTACAATCAGAGCATAACTAGTTCAAATATAGTTGGATTGAAAAAGTTCTAACCATTGACAATGAATATTCTTCATTCTTAACTGTAAATGAATAGAAGTTGGAAATATGAAGCAACTCAATGACTTATCAGGAGAATTGAAACGCTTTTGGTTTTCATTATTGTCAATGTAATAGAGTGAGCAGTTGTGAGAAATCTTATACTAACACACAACACATATTCTAATGATTCTACAACTAATAATAATCCATAATGATTATCAATTACAAATTAAATTAATCGTCATGTAACTCTTACACACAAATGACAAATTGAAGAAAAGGAAAAGAACTCTTAACATTTGACTACTACTTTTTGAAGACTATTCAATGAAGACTGTAGATAGAATTGCTGAAACCAGTAAGTAGGTAATTACTAAGATTTTGTTTATAAATATATATATATATATATATATATATATATAATATATATATATAGTTTTATGAAATAAGGTCTCTCGTATACTTGGGATAATGTTCCAGTAGAAGTAAAGTTTCAATGAAAAGAACTAAGAATTCATACTTATAAAGATAATGAATGAATCGACAGGAAATTTAGATTTTTCTGTAATACAAGGGAAACCTGATATTTCTAATGTTGAACTATCTACCAATACTCTTATGAAGAGTGATCTGTTATAGAGATATCACTGTATAATAGAATCTATATATGAACTATTTGAAATTAGTTAAATAGCTTTGTTTGATTTTCAATCATTAACTATTCATGAACACGAATATAAAACTTGAACATCACATGGTGGAGCATGAAAAATCTCATATTATTTCATCAAAACTTTTCCATTGTTGCTGTCTTGCCTACAACTTACGTACTTACGCCTATTACTTCCAATGCATCATAAGATGGCAATCAGTATTCTTCAACCCACTCTGTCCTGGGTGTTCCTTTCTAGTTCTATCCTAATGTTGTTTCATTCTTCTCATGTCTGTCTATCTCCATTTAGAAGTGAGGGCTAGCTTTGAAACACCAGTTGGATGCTTTCCTTGATATGTGTCATATCCACTTCCAGCGCTTCTTCCTAATTTCTTCATACTTGACTACATAATTCATTTTATTATTCTTGTCAATATAATGCATGAATGACTTAGTTAAGGTATTGAATTTATACAGTGTAAAACGTGTGAAAACTATACAAAATATGATCAAGTATTTTATTAAAGTTTATATCTTTCTTATTGTTATTTAATAACAAGAACTAAACTGATCAGTTTCTATGTGAATCCCTATACTAAAATACTTTTAGATTGTGAGTTAGTTGCAAATTTTAATAAAGTTGGATTTATAACTTACTTACTTACTTTTGTCTGTTACTCCCAATTGAGCATAGGCCAACGGATCCGGAGTCCCCCCGTGGGGCTACTGCCAGTCCAAAGCCCAGATAAAGGAGGAGGGTTGGGCATGGGGTTAACGACCCCATCCCCTAGAAAACTAACTCGATAAAACAACGATCGCACAGGACTTATCACAAAAATAGAAATATCAAGATAATCTATTCACGATATATAGATGTTAACAATGAGTGAACATTTCAGGTTCTCGGTTGTAAAAATGGGAAAAAAACAGAAACTTTATAATAACTTCATACGTTTTATACACGTTAGAGGTTATGTTAATCCACTTAATGGAAAACGATATGGCATTTGAAGAGGAAACTATTGAGTTTAGTATTACTATGTATATTGGGATAAAAGCATATCCAGCTGACGAATCTTAAATAGGATGGAATATATGTACTAGATTCCACTGATGAATACAATTTATATATTGTGAGTGATTTGTGTTGTGCATTTTCTAGTTTTTGACATTCAGAAGCGTATTGATTACTGTTGGTATATGTGCATTTAGGTTAACAGTACTATCAAAGATCTAATTCCTGTTTCATTTATCGCTTATTGACTGTACTTAAACAGATATCAGTGTTTGTTTTTTGAGTGTAAAACTGATCTTTTAGTTTTTAGTAGATACTACACATATTGGTGATGATCTTAGTGATCAAGTATTTCTGCTTATAAATCCTTGATATTCTTCAAATTGATCCTTTAAAAAGAGACGATTGGTGTGATGTTTCAGAATATTTATTGTTTCTAAGGATGATATTTCATGAATGGCATTATTCGAACTGAATATTCTAATTATAAAGCTACTGTAGTGAATGAGAACACAATTGGAAACAACCGAATGTATTTGAACATGAAATTACAGAGCATCTAAGGGAAATCTGAGAACCATACAGTAAATACTTCAATAACAAAATGTCAATCAATTGTCTTAATGTTGAATGTTCCTTCTTTCAGTCAATCGGTTCGGAAAAAATTGTTCCTTCGTTTCCACACTAATCATTTTTTGTTCTCGTTTTTTTTCCTGTCTTATTAACCTTCTGCCTCGAAACGTTTCACTTTCGTTTGATGATACATACTACTTATATCTGTCGATATTAGTAGCACACACTACCCGAGAACAATAACTTGGGACTGTTGAGTTGGAAATGATATAATCAACTTTTCTGAATTCAGCATATGCATAATACATTTTGCTTACCTCCAGAGTTCAAATCTTCTCGAACATTTGTAATTTTGTATATTTTATACCGATCTTACATTCCAATCAATTATGCAGTATTGAATAAAGCAAGTATTATCATTTACAGTATAAGACTGTGGAGATGGTTGAATTTCATTGAAATCATAAACCAGTCAGTGTTAGAATACTATTAAAAACCTTGAAACACTGAATGGCCATTTCGTCCTAATACGGGTTTCCTCAACAATGCACATCCATGATATCGTATATGGGACTTCAACTCCGAACGTTTGATCTTACACGCAAACGGTCAACCTGTAGACCACTGATTTATTATTGAACGATGTTAATGTCTAATTTCAACCTATCATCATTATTCCTTTATTGTTTTCTTTCGATTTTCACATAATCATAGATTGTTCCAAATGACTTACCATACATTATAAGCAAAGATGGATAGTGGAATCCAGGACAAGAGTTTCGTCTTATTTTTGAGACTCATCAACTAGATGTACCTGTATATGATTTTCAGTCTATGACACCAACTCAATATCATCCACTTCAAACGCTATCACGTTATCCATTTACTTACTGATTAAACCCTTAATAGCCATTTGCTTATATAATGGGATGAAGTTTAAATTCACTTGATATTGTTTACTTGAATCATACACTGTTTATTTGACCCTTTTCAACCATAGATAATTCAAGTTCCGACTATTTATGATTATAGCTGTTAATGGAACATAGATTAGATTAAAACATGCTCCATGCACGTTTACGTTGGTACGCGTTGATTAGACTAATTCTTATCGAATCAGCGCTAGTCGATATTTGGACAAGAATCTAGAATTCTCTCATATAAATATACTAACGTTTATTTTTCCTTATTTTCCCTCTTACTTCCAACTACTCCTATGTTATTTGGAATATAATTCCATTCGTGTTCAATCATGTTCTGATTTGGGGACTTGTCGAATGAATTGATATTTAAAACTAACTAAGCAATAGAAATAACTAGGTTGTAATAAAAGAGAATTATAAAAATTGCAATGATTGAGATCATGAGTCAATTGAAGTTAGACAACCATGGAAAACCTGAAAGCACTGGACTGCCATTTCATCTTATTGTGGGACTTCTTAGCAGTGCGCATCCATAACCTTGCCTCGTGAGATTCGATGCCACGGTCTCCAGTCTCGTGCACAAACGCTTAACCACTAGATCATTGAGGTAGTCGGTATCCAACGATGTTAATGTTTAACTTCAATCAATCCACGACATTGAACAATACACTGACTCATAATATCAACCATTGAAATTACTATAATATCCATAAAACCCTCCTGATAAGAACTATAACAGAAAACAGTCAAAAGTGTACTTGTATATCGAATAGTAATAATCCTAATAGGGAAAGCGAAAAAAACCCAGTACATATTCATATAATAATGATAATAATAATAATATTGATTATAGAAATGATGATATTACTTAAATAAACAAATAAATAAGTAATTATTTATAGGGTGGTATTACATTCATTCAAACAAATTTATAAATAAAGAAAGAAAAAAAGAAAAACAAACAAGAAGAACAATAACAACAACTTTAAGTAAAATGACAATAATATTTGTTTTGTTTAGGTTAATTAATTGATTATCGATTTCTAATATGATAAGGTGTAGATCTATCATTGATTGATTGATTGGTTGATCGATCGATTGATTGACTGGTTGATCGATCGATTGATTGATTGATTGATTGGTGGATGGGTGGATGGATGTATGGATACAATAATTGATTAATTTTCTCTTTTACATTCAATAGTAACAATTGAATCAATGAAATTTTATTAACCAGCAAATGCACGACGAATAATTCTTCGAACAAACTTTAATAGAGAGAAAAAAAACAACAAGAAAGAAAGAAACAAATTATATAATGAATAAAAATGTCATTTTAAGTAAAGATGGATAGTGACTAGCAAGTGGAATCTAGGATATGTCAATTAGATGTATCGATATCTTAGAGTTGATTTTCACTCTGGAATACGAAGTCAATACTGTTTGTGTCAAATACCATCACGTTATCTACTTTGATAATGAGTCCTGATAGTCACTTGTTTTTTCAATGGGGTAAAGTTTAAATTCCCTTAGTATTGTTTCCTTGAATCGTTTAACTATTCATCTTTGTTTAGAATGCTTGTGAATCATGACAATATCTAGGCAATATGCATAGTATACATATATACCAATTAGAGACTGATCAATCGCAGTTCTAATCATCATTGGGAAGATTCAAATAACTAATGCACAATCAATTGGCTATTAGGGTTCAGTAGCTAAGTGGATAAAGCAATGGTAGCTTGACACAAACGGTATTGCATTTGTGTCCCAGAGTGAACATCAACTCTGAGTTGTAGGTACATTTAGTTGACGAGTGCCCTGCCGCCGAAAAATGAAACGTACGTCCCAGATTCAACTACTATCCACTATCATCTTTGAATAATCGTATTTCTATTTTTATTGAATACTAACCATTTCTTAGAGACACATTGACATATTGACGTTAAAAGCACTAGTAACAATAACATCGTTAAGATCAAATTGATTTGGAAGTATTTCAGAAAAGAACTGAGACAATATTTATGAATGATATTAGTTACTATGGATCAACTTCAACAAGTAGAATATTGAAAGAACTGGTGAGAGAAAAAGACAAAGGAAAAAGAGAAAAAAAGAAAAGTTTGAAGTTTGTATGATAAGTATAATTATTAACGAGAAGATATTAGAAACCGTATTTAAGGAGAGAAAATTCTTATTAAATAAACACAATAAGTAAGTGAACAAGTATTCATCTATGATTCCACCAGAGGAGTAATATCATGAATTGATTGAAGTTACACAGATGTACCAATGAATGTCGGCTCAGTGGTCAAGAGTTGAAGTGGTTATGAGCATAGATCAACTTTCTGTGAGCATAGTAGGTTGTTGATACCTATTGCCAATGTCTAGCACTTTAACCGGCTTAGTGAACATGGACAGTTCATCTAAGGCAGTTGGAACACCTTGGTACATATTGGCTTCAGGATCCTAAGGGAGCAAATAACTTATGAACTTATTGTTGATTATCAGCTACCATGGGACTGCATCTCTTTATAACGCTCCACTGCTTTGTGGATTAGACACCTCCGACTGAAAGGCTCGGGGAGCAGTCCCATAAGAAAGTCACTTACTTGGGTTTGGGCACTCGGACAGTATCTCAGCCCTCACATATATCGAATAAAGTGTTGCGTACATATATTTTGTTCACCCTTCCTTGTACTAATTATGATATTTCAGTTCCATCATACTTTTTTTCTTTTAAAAGGTTCATTCATGACAAATACAAACTATAATTCAAACAAACAAACAAAAAGAACTTACACGAAGTTTTCCACGTGAAAGATCTTCAGTTACTGTTACTGTAATTGAACTATTAGCTGTTCCATAAGGATTTGTAGCTATACATGTGTACTTTCCTGAATGTTCTGGGATTAATTGACCTCTTGCAATTCTATATACAAAGAAGAAACTCAAATGATTGAGAGAATAATCAAGGAAAAATCAACTTTTAACTAGATTCTTGTAGAAATGTTGAAGAAAAAACAACCTAGTGGTTGTAATTTCATAGTTGTTTTCTATCAAATGTGAACTTCATTCATGAAACCGAATGTCCTGTAGTTCGATTCCTACATGAGAAATTGTGAATGTACACTATTGAGAAATCCCATACTGAAACGAAATGACCGCTTAGTGCTTTCAGGTGATCTAGCTTAGATCGATTCACGGTTTCAACTGTGATAATACAAACATCTTATAGAGCCATAGACATTCAATATACAACATAGTAGATTCCTTTTTTAGACTAGTCATATAAAAATTAATAAGCCATTCTCACAGGAATTCCTGATAAAAATTACAATGTCATCACGACATTATTATTCTGTTGTTTACTAACTAAAATATTTACAATTGATTGATCAATGGATGGTGATCCATTTCATGTATGTCCGATCCTTCTTAGTGCATATCAAGTCCTATTGATCAAGCCGCAATGTGGCCACTAGTCTATGTGACTCGATATTGTGTGCACTATGTTGAGATAAAATGGTAGTTCAAGGTAGTCAATAGGAAACCCTGTTGGTTTGCATTACAATTTTACATAAAAGTGGGAGCTAGAGTCGGCCCCATCATTACGAACCCATAATACTACACTAGAGCTTCAAATTATTTACCACACTATCAATCGATTGCAATAATATACATATAAATACCAGTAATAGATGAAGATATTCTAGTCACCTGTTTTTCTAAACAATAACTTACGCAAATATATAAATTCTTCCATAAGCATATGTATTTCCGATTAATTTTGGTAATCTACGTTCAGGAGGAGGTTTACCAGAAGGTTCAAATGTCCATTCTACTTTTGATTCAGGTGAAGATGATTCATCAGTGCATTGTAATGACATTTCATCATTAGTTGTATAAGTGATTGATCCACTGCTATAAATTGCTGGAGCAGCTGTTTGAAGGGAAAAAAATTTTGAGAAAATATAATCATACGTATGAGCTGTTTATAAGGGGGGGGTAACTGTCAGGGTTAAATCGCTGACGTCAGTCAGACAATTCCTAAAACCGAAGGTTATTGGGAGCTTCTTTCATTTTGAGCATACCTGTATAAACTGGAATTCTTTCTGAAATCATCTTCAGTGTAAATATTTATTTATGCTAGTAAGCACATACATCATTTACAAAGCATTAAAATGAAGACCTTCAGGATTAATCGTTCAATTCATGAATCCATTAAAGCTAGACCACCATGGAAAACCTGGAAGCACTTGACAGCCGTTTTCTCCTAGTGTGAGACTCCTCAACAGTGCACATCCACGATCCCTTTGAAGCTAGGTATTAACACAGTTGGAGGCCGGTCGGCACAGTGGTCTAGAAGTTAAGTGCTCGCACATGTGACTGATAGGTCCTGGGTTCGAATACCGCGGGCGGGGTCGTGAATTTGCACTGCTAAGGAGTCCCTTACTAATAGGAAATGGCCATCCAATGCATCCAGGCTTTACATGGTTGTCTAGCTTTAATTGACACATGAATTCAACCAACAAATTACTAAAATCTCCACAAAACCCGCTTCTGACAGTAACTTTCATGTTTGGTAGCAAATCCTTAAAATTTAAACCATATATCTCAGTTTACGTCCATAGCTTCAGTTAGTCCTTAATATTGTTATACTACTGTATATATACCTACTAGTATTACTCGTCTCACTGAAAACATGAATGAATCTCATTATTTATGTAACATAAACTTCAGTTGAATTCAATTTGGTATTTAGCTAAGCACCAGTATAATTTAGTTGAATTGATGAAATTCGATCAGAGCATTTATGTGGTCATTGTACACTACAACGAACAATGAAGTTGTTTCTTATTTTACCAACTATTGATTTATTATCTGTAATGACAGCTGATATACATCTCAGGATAGAGCAATTCAGAAAACTCATTGAACTATTGAGTTTTTAGTTCAAAGAACATTTCCGACCTTGATTTACATTATGTTTAGGCTAAAACTGTTGTATCAGAAAGGGTTTTGTGGAGATTGTAATGATTTCAATAGTTGAGATCATGGGTCAATTGAAGCTAGATCACTATGGAAAACCTGAAAACACTGAATCACCATTTCGTCCTATTATGGGACTCCTTAGCAATGCGCATCCATGACCCCGCCTCGTGAGATTCGAACCCAGGACTTATCAGTCTCGCACGCGAGCGCTTAACTATTAGACCACTGAGACGGCATCCACCACCTGTTGTAAACAAACGCTCATGTAGGGAAGACCAAATTATCTTTTTTAAATGCACATTCACATATCGGTTTAGCAAAATGTGAAGATCATTTGCATATTTTTGAATTGTCTCTTACAAGCTTCATTGTTCCCTTATTTTTTTTGTTGTCTTGATTGCTTTCAGTTTCCTTCTCTCTTCTCTTTATTTCAATTTTCCAACCTTCTACTCGTAAACATTGATGTTACATACTACTCATATCTATCAACATATGTGGCATACCGGTATCAGTTTTCAATGGTGTTCAACTGAAGTGGACTGCTCTTATTAGTTCTTATATTCATATTAATTGAACTTTTTTTTAAAACTCAAGTTTGATTTGGATCCAGGAGCGTAGACATAATTACAAAATGTGCTGTCAAGTTAGATCTAGGATCAAAGAAATAAAAACTTCAAACAGTATTAAATATAAGATTGTTCTTTTGTCATGGACTGAATTCAGTTGATAAATTGTTTTTTTTTTAAAAATTGTCGATTTATCCGAAGGGGGTTTTGTGGAGATTTCAGTAATGTTATCGTTGAATTTATGAGTTTATTAAAGTTAGACCATTATAGAAAACTTGGAAGCATTGGACAGTGTAATGCTCTAGAAGTTAAGCATTCGCGTGTAAGACCGATAGGTACTCAGTTCAAATCCCACGGGCAGGATGTACATTGTTGAAGAGTCCTATACTAAGACGAAACGACCGTCCAGTGCTTCAAAGTTCAACCATAAAATTAACCATTTCTTATTGATTTTAAACAATTAACAAAATAAAGGTCAACTATTTAAATCATTGTACAGGGTTGGATGGAGAATGCTGGTGAGCGGCTTATGATCCTTCACGAGGAGTAACAAGCGTAAGTAATCAGGTAAGTAATTCAAATCATTGTAAACTCATTGAAATGAAATAAACTTTATCAACAATACATACCTTGACGTTTAATGATCACATCTTGATATTGAATAAGTTTAAAGTTATATTCTTTTAATTGTAAACTAACTTGACATCTAAATCGACCTTCATCTATATACCTAGTTGAATTAGCAAAATAGAATAATCTATCACCAGTTAATACAATTTCTTTTAATGAACTACAATCATCATTTTGACACTATAGAAAGAAGAAAACAAAAAAAAGGATAAGAAAATAAGAAGAAGAGATGTAAATTGATCAATATTTATTGTTAGATTATTGAATATAAGGAATTGTATTTGGCATAAGTTTAGTCATTCAGCGTTCGTTAAAAAGATGTATCCGGGATCTAGAAATGAACTAGAGATTATTGTGGGATTTGAACATGTGTGACGTAATGTTATGATCAGTTATATTACTACTGAGTTAATTGCTCTGTAAGTGACCTTCTATATGAATAAGATCATTGAACTAATTAATTCATACTTAATTACATACTCCTGTTACTCCTCGTGAAGGAACATAGGCCGCTGACCAGCATTCGCCATTCAACCATGTTCTGGGCAATCCTTTCCAGCTTCTTCCAGTTGCTATTCATCCTTTCTATATCTGCCTCTATTTCCCGACGTAGTGTGTTCTTCGATCTTCCTCTTTTCCGCTTCTCTCACGATTCCAAGTTAGGGCTTGCCTTGTGATGCCGTTTGATGATTTGCGTAATATATATCCTATCAACTTCCAACGTCTTTTCCTAATTTCCTCTTCAGCTGGAGATTTGTTTGTTCTATCCCACAGTAGACTATTACTGATGTTATCCGGCCAATGGATTTTGAGTATCTTGAGTAGACAACTATTTATAAATACGCTTACCCTCTTGATGATGGTTGTAGTAGTTATCCAAGTTTCGGCTCCGTACAGTAGAACTGTCTTGACGTACGTTTCCATCTGTGTCTGTTGTTATCGCTCGCGCTCCTGGCTTTCTGCGGAATATACTTCCCCATTCGGACTTCGATTTCTCTCTCTCTCTCTCACTAGTTAGCGGGGCTGGGAAGTAATAGAGTAGCTAGTTTATTAGTTTTTGGTCACAAGTCTTCGTTCCATTTGCAGATTGAGTGAAATCGTAACCGCTTCAAACCTAGCAGATAGTTACTGGGTTCGAGTCCCAATATGAAATTTAGCACTGAGATATACGTGTATACACTTTTTAAAATGAAAACAAGATACTATTCAAAAGTGCATGATCATTATGTGAGTACAGACAATGTCAAGATAAATGATTAAGGACTATATCAGCCAACATATTCTGATCTAAATGTATATATAACATTTTATATAATATTTACTTTAAACCATGTCGCTACAGCTTCTCCTGAAGTTACTTCCGGTTTACAACCAAGTTCATAATCTTGTGTTGAATCATATGAATCTTTAGGCATATCAACTGGTTCTAATATTGATTCATCTGGTTTTACACGATCAATACGTATTGATTTAATCATTGGTTTATCTATTAAATAAGGAAAACAAAATAGGAGAAATTTTGTTAGAGTAACATTCAATATAGATATTAGATGGTCAATGTATAGGAAACCAACCTGAACGGGACAATACTTAAATTACCATAGTTTCTGTTCATTGCAATACAAGTGAGGCTTGGTTAAGTGACTCTTTAAGAGGACTCAAAGAATTTATACTTCTTATACAGTGGAAAAAGATGAAGAGTTACTGACTGACAGATATATAGTAAATGGTTATCCACTCAAGTTTATTAATAGTTGCAAAAGTCAGTTAATGCCAAGACCTCTTATTTATTCAGTTCGAAAGAAAAAGAGTTTATATCTATCTACCATATAGTGACGCATCTAACAGTATAGTCTTAAGGCAGAGATTGAAAGCAGCCATCGAGAATACGTATTTTGCTGCTCAGTTGGTTATGATTGAAAAGTCTAAGCCCATGACTCCGAATAGACCCAGGTAATGCACTAATGGATTACGTCACATCCTATTGTATTTACCAATTTACATGTTTGTGTGGACACACATACACTAGGGAGGAGTAATCGAACAATGCAATCAAGGGATCATTGAACATGTACCTAAATGGCTTCAAAACCAATGAGTGTCAAATGGTCCGATCAATGTGGGAGGTAGAAAACCAAGTTCATCGATAGCAAAACATTTAATTGAAATGGGGTACAAAATTAACATTCATACAGCTTTTAGAACGTTGTATAGAAAGTGTCAAGGACGAATTCTTAAGTTTATTGAAGCCTTAGCTATTCGTAAATTTAAACCCCCCTTATGTGTACAAAAACGATTTGTCGTAATCTTGAATGTACCTTGGTAATCCTTAAGTCATTCTATGGCCTAGGATAACCCGACAATTTCTTATTCTTTCTCTTCCCCCTTTGTTACTTTGTTACTTGAACTTTCATTTAATTGACCTTTATTAATTTTCATATAAAAATGCCTTGACAACTATATATGTGTGACCATATTGTTTGAAATGTATAGCGCAAATACATCACATTTTTCAGATCAACTTTGTCTTCTCATTGTTCTATCGAAATATGGATAGTATTCAAAGTTTATGGTTAATGAACTTATTAAGATTTATTATTATTAATGGCTTGATTCATTATTCTATATTTGGTACAATATAGAATTCTCAGAACAAGTTTCTTATTTGTTGATTGTTCCTAACGTTCAATATTGAGTGATCACCAGTTAGATATTAATAGTTCACAAATCTACATCTGAATAATGTTCATTCATTTCAATTTATATTGCGCCAACAACCATAATGTCTGTGATTGGACTTTTTTGTAACTTGTACAGTGGAAGGTTGTAAAACGTTTCAGAAACACACCTTAATACATTATGAAATCGATTAAGACATAATGAGTTAATATCATATGGGTTTTGTGGAGATTGTAGTAATTTCAATGGTTAAGATCATGAGTCAGTTGAAGCTAGACCACCATGGAAACCAGTAGGTCCTGGGTTCGAATTGCACAGGGGGCGAGGTCGTGAATGCGCACTGCTGAGGAGTCCCACAACAGGACGAAACGGCCGTCCAGTGCTTCCAGGTTTTCCATGATGTTCTAGCTTCAATTGACACATAATGAATTGTTAAAACAAATAAACAAAACTGAAAACAGATAACCTGGTGTTATACGGCGTGGTTGGATTTTATATAAACCACGTGTCTAAAATACATGATTCATATAATGAAAGCTGAGATTGTGTTCTGGACTCAAACGACTAACGCAAAGGCAATAAGAATTAATAAGGACTTGAAGTTGACTGTAGGCTATTTTTATTAGTTAACGTATTATTGGTTAGGCACAGAGCCATAGTCGTATAAGTTGGTGCTTTGAATAACGGTTTTATCACATGATAATTGACAAGGGAAAAAGTCATAAGACTTTTGATGAAAAAAAAGGTAAGCTTTTGTTGAATGTTACGTGACTTATGAATTTGACAAACTTTATATATAGGTGTTTTCCACGTTAGATTCAGATTACATCCACTATTTTTTTGTTGAAAAAAGCACACTCTTATCCGAGAATAGTTGTGTTTGTATGTTCATCAACAGTTTTATGAACAATGTCTCACATTTTTAATAGTATCTGTGCTTATATTCCTTAATAGATCGATAGAATGGATCTGTTATAATCTGTGGCCTTGTGCCCCCTATGAACATATATATTACTTAATGTTACCGCCAATTAGAGAATAGTGATTTATCGTCCAGACCAATGACGTGTAAACCTCTACGAGCAACCTACAGTACTTATCGGTCTTACTTCCTGCCTAGCCTTGCCTGCCTGTTCAGTTCAGAACATCAATCTCAGCCTCCGCCATATGAATCATGTATTTCAAATATACTGAGTTTATATACAAACCAAACAGATCACATCGTACCATAAAATAGAAAATAACATTTGTACAAGTATTAGCCAAATGTGGCTGTGAATGTGGAATACTCTTATTAATAGACTAGGCATAACTGAAGAACGGTAAATCGTACAATAATCGTTTATGGTTCAAACTAAAGCTTATAATAAGAGGAGTGTAGATATACATCATTTAGTTACTGAATAGTTATACAATAAGAATACACGTATAATATTTGTCCATAATTAGTTCCCGAAAGTTAACATTCATAATACTCGTCCGGATATAACAATCAATGAGACAACGCTCCGGGAGCTATATACATATACTTTGATTCATTGACTATTTTGATGATAAGTAGTATGAAAGAATAGAAAAACAAATAAACGTTTCATGTAATTGTGCTTTGACTCTATATCATTTCAAGTATTTAATGAAACAAACAATCTAAGTAATGTATCTTATTAATATACTGCGTCACAAGGCAAGTCCTCCCATGTAATCCTCAAGGCCAAAGGAGATAAGGAACACTAAAGAATACATTACGCCAAGAAATAGAGACAAACAGATATGGGAAGAATGAACAACAATAGGATAGAACTGGAAACGAAGGCATAAGTAAGTAAGTAATCTTCTTAATATACCCATCATCAAGTCTAATCTCAACAGATTTCTATTGAGTTGAGAGTAAAATGACATAAGTCATTATTTAACCTTATCCTCACTAAATTCACCAGTTTATTATAATCTTCTCATTCACAGATTTTTATATCGCTTTTAGATCAGTTCATGATCTGAATCAAAAAACTTAACTATCTCCACAACCCCTATACTGATAATTACCATGTACTCACTAGTGACTAGCTTCGTGAAAAAATTCTCGGAGTTCTGGTGAGAAGCCATGACCAGTGGAGCTAATCCGTGTCGGGTAGAAACAGGTGTCTAGAATGGAATATGGTCGCGCAACTTCGTGGATTGGTTGACGTTAGACATTAACACCATTGGATGCCGGCTCAATGGTCCAGTGGGTTAAGCGTTCGCGCATGAGTGTGGGATCGTGGATGCGCACTGCTGAGGAGTCCAACGATAGGACGAAACGGCCGTTCAGTGCTTCCAGGTTTCCAACGGTGGTCTAATATCAGCTGGTTCATGATCTCAATCAAAAAACTTAACAATCTCCACAATCCTTATACTGATTTTTATATATTTGATTATTGAAATTGATCATTACAATTAACTTACTTCTCACATTGATAATAAATGGATGTGATGATGTATTATAAGTATCATTATATGATGCAATACATCGTACTTCATAAATTGATTCATCTGATATAGTTGTACTTGGTAAACGTAACTTATTTAATTGTAATTGATTAGATCTCCAACCAGAAATATCTTCAGCACCTTGTCTTGGATCAGAATCTCTTATCCATATACCATTTTCATTACCTAAATTCATTTCCCATTGATAATTTGATGGTTCTACACGTTCACCAGTAATAAGATCTATAAATTAAAATGAAAATACATAAGTTTGTAATTTACAATGTTTAAACTAAATGAAAACAGTCAATAGTTTATAAACTAACAAAAACAACCTAGAAGAGTGTTATGCTCTTGTAGTGACCTACTTTTATCAAGAGAACGCGATTTGTTTTAATGGAAACAATTATTAGTGTACTTCCTTGTTTAACTGTATCAAAACACATACATTCTTCCGTTGATTGTGACCTTGCACGAAATCGGTTACGCTCAGTAACCATACTTGTACTCCTTTTGCACGATCTTGATATTGCTTCGATACCACGAGATCGTCAACAAATACATCTCGACTATAGCCATCAACTGCCTTCTGATATTTGGCCTACTGGGGATCTTATCGGTTAACTGGCACGTAGTTTTCTTGTAGTAGTGATCATAGTCGACCACAACTCGACGCCACACTACACTAATAATTTTTAGATGTTGTCGAAGATTTATAGTTCAGGTGGAGTTTTTTTTCTCTAAGACAGATTGGTTTGGTTAGTGATGAGACTTTCATTATAGTTAGACGTTTTTACTAATGATGATGTTGTACAGAAGAACAATGAAAGCTACACAACTAAACCATTCAACTCAGAGAATAAAACTCCACCGGAATAAAACGAAAATAAGAAACCAATTACAACATATAATGTTTGAAACATTTATGGAATTAAACTTTATTTTTGGTCAATTAGTCTTCATTAGTCTTCGAATATTGAACGGAAACTTGGAGAACTATGGAAGCCGTCATCCAGAAGATACAAGTGTTTATTAACAGTTGTCTACAAAAAATGCTTCGGATCCGTTGGCCAAACACTATCGGCAACAACCTACTGTAGGAGAGAACAAACTAGATCACAGTGGAGGACGATATCAGGAAGAGACGTTGGAAGTGGATAGGACACACATTGAGGAATGCACCCAACTGCGTCATAATGCAAGTCCTCACATGGAATCCTTAATGCCAAAGGAAAAGAGGAAGACCAGACAACACATTAAGCCGAGAAAAGGAAACAGACAAATATGAAAAGAATGAACAAGAATTGGATGGAACTAGAAAGGAAGACCCAGGACAGAGTGTGTTGTAGAATGCTGGTCGGCGGCCTATGCTCGATTGCGGGTAGCAGGCTAAAGTAAGTTAGTAATTGTTTAAATAACAATAATTACGTAATCGATAATTTGACAATAAATATAATACTTACCATCAACATAACATGTTAATGTTTTAGAGGTACCAGTAAATACATACAATTTACTACGTGATTCTTCATCGAATACTCTTACATTGAACATTTCACGAATTTCTGAAAATATTAAAAAGAAGACAAATTATGATGATTGTTGCAAACTGAATAATAAAAGCACCAGTAACACTGGCTACAACATTTGCAGACGTTACTGAAACTTCAGCTGAGTATTGCAGGGATATATGTGCAATGAAAATGACAAGTTTACACGAGTCGTTTTGAGGAGTTAGTAGAATCGTCGAAATAGACGAAACAGTATTCCGGCAGTGAGAATATAACGGATAACGTAGTATTAAGGAAGACTGGGTAAGTAGCACGTCCATAAATATACCTCACAGGTCCTTGAAGTTTTCACCAGATAAACCCAAAAGGGACACTTTTAAAGGGTCCGAAACCGAAAAGCAATGACAGTAATACCAATTATATGGGAATACTCGCATACGGATGGTCGGAGAACCTACTATGCCTGCACAGACTTGGATATGTGCATCATGTCGTTATCCACGAGCACCTTCTTTTGTGGACCCTACAACAGGAGTGCACTCTAACAATATTGAAGCTATGTGGTCGAAGCCATAGGAGTTCTTACGACCTTATCGTGGCACGAGAGGTCGACTATTATAGAGCCATATGGATGAGTTCCTCTACTGTATGCACTACGATTTCAGAACCTCTGAATCTCTTTCAAACCTTGATATGTTTTTGAACTATGTAAAAGAAGTATATCCACTTTAATCCTTTGGTTTTTTATAATATATTTTTACTTCATACTAACTGTCTTCTGATTAGCTAATATTTTCAAGATCGCTTAAATTCATTCGAATGTCATCCATAAATTAGAGTATCGCCAGTTCAACTAATCCACGAAATTGTGTAACATGTCAATCATTGTCTTCTGTGAATTACTATCTCATAACAGATCCGGTTGAACTCCATAGGTCACTGTTTTATATATTTAAAGTTGATCAGATAAGGAGCTATTGGTTAACGAAGGATACTGGACATTATGATTAGTAAACCCTTCAGAACTACCAGCTGTAGTTTCATAATCAATTGAATACATCATATCATATAAGTTAACTCTGGATATCACTGATGTCAGATTCAGTGGCTGGTACTTTTAACTACAGTTGATTTAACACGACAGATCTTTAATGTTAAATTAGACTTTCATTACTAAATATTCAAACACATTTTGTTATCATTACAGCCATACATACAATCATTGAAATACATCTACACTGTGAACTAAAGAAATGGCTACTACATCCAAGGACAGCAGCAGACGCGAAAATTACCCAACCCGGCACAGGAAAGTAGTGACGAATAAAATACAGATACGGGACTTAATTGAAGCTCCGTAATTCGAATGAGTACGATATAAATCATTTAACGAGGACCAATCGGAAGGCAAGTCTGGTGCCAGCAGCTCGGAAACTCTAGTCCCAAAAGCATGAACTAAACAATTATCCACAGTCGAAAAGAGATCTCATGTGATTATTTAAAACAAATGTTGAAATCACTATTGATATTTGTGGAAATTTAACAGTTGAATTCGCGGTTCAATCTCATCTAGACCACCATTAAAAACCTGAAACACTACACGATCATTTCTTCCTAGTATGGAACTATTCAACAGTGCGTAGTCATGATCCTGCATGTGGGAATAGAACCCAAGGACTTCAGTCTCACGTACCGTCATCCAATAGTGTTAATGTTTTGAAATTGTGGACGTACACTACTGAGGAGTCCCATATTAGAACGAAATGGTCATCCACTGTTTTCAAGTTTTCATTGGTTTCTATCAACTCATGAATCCAACTATTCGTGGATTGGTTGAAGTTAGACATTAACATCGTTGGATGCCAGCCGGCTCAGTGGTCTAGTGGTTAAGTGCTCGCGCGCGAAGCCAGTAGGTCATGGGTTCGAGCCCCGCGTGGTGCGGGATCGTGGATGCGCACTGCTGAGGTGTCCCATACTAGGACGAAACGGCCGTCCAGTGCTTTCATGTTTTCAATGGTGGTCTAGCTTCAACTGACTCATGATTTCAATCTGTGATATTAAAAAAAGTTTAAAAGTCATATTAGTTTCAAGCACAAGATACTACTAATTCATTTGATCAATACCATTTGTTACTACTTTGAATTCTGTTGTTTAGGGCACCGAAAAATTGTAAAAACAATGATTCACTGATATTAACAAAAGTGTTTACATTATGTTTATTAATTTAAATGTTGTTCATGTCTGTTTGTTGGTTTTTTTTTTTATTTTTACGAAAAATATTTCTTAATCTTCATCTCCCCCCTCCGGTTTTTAATCACTAAGATAGTTTTCTGGACATATTTAATGTTAGTGAAAGGAAGAACACAACTACCATGAAATTGTATACAAAAATTAGAGGAAAATTACAGTTTTAAATGTGAGCAGAATAAATAAGAAAATAATAACAGATGTTTTCATTGAACACCAAATGTTACTGTAGTTTCAATAATCCATTTGTTTATATCATAAATATGAAGGGTATTGGAAGGGTGGCCTGTTTCAATATCTAAGCTAACCACTCTTACTTAACATCTAGATATTTTCACAATTGATTGATCACTGTGTGGCGATCAATGTCATGCGTGTCTACTCCTTATTAGAGCAGATCGAATGCTATCGATCATGTTGCAATGTGGCTACCAGTCTAGGTGACTCGACACTGCGTGCACTATTGTGAAATTAGATGGTGGTTGGTCACCATACAGTGATCAATCAATTGTGATTACATCTCAGTCCTACAGGAGGTTGATCGCGGCCCGGATACCTCAATGGTAACGTCTCTAATTGTGAAGCTGGGTGACACGGGGTCGAATCTGTCAGGTAGCACCAGTTCCCTCAAGATTACAGGTATACCTTGCTGACGAGTGCTAAGTAGCACGTAACCCGGGTCAGGGTTTCCTGTGAACTACCTCCAACCATCATCTAATCTAGATATTTTAGCAAGTTATATGTTTTCTATTTGTTTATTAATTGATTCTATAATCTATTTAGGTGTGTTGATAAATTGTTTACAACCTTTCGCTGAACAAGTTACAAGAAGAAAAAAACTACAATCAGAGACATTGTTGTGATTGACATAATATACTTTAAGAAGAATGAATATTATTCTGATATGGATCCCTTAACTGGTAATATGATATGGGTTACTTATATCCACATAAGTAGTATATAACGATGGTCAGGCCTAGAATGTATTTCAGTAGATCGATAAAAAAAAGAACGGAAACGGAACGCAATTTGTATGAAAATGCATAAACATCTATCATGAGTACTACTACAATTAACAGAGGTACAAATTAGGATCTAAGGATCTAATCAAAACTGATCAAATAAAGTTCGGAATGTTAATATTAGGAAAATATGAATTAACATGAATAATTTCACATCCATTGTGTAAATTTAAACTCAGTAACTTGATAAATAGCACATTTCTGTTTGGAGTGATAGGAGGTGTGAAGGTATTAGGTTCGAGTAACCCACAATAAACATCAACTGATTCATCCTAAGTAAGGAGAAGGGAGAGTCAAAGATTTCACTACTAACTAAATACATACCCCCAAATGCCCTGATATGGCCGAGAGTGCGGAGAGTCCGCTCTACCTCTCAAATGCTCTCACATGGCCACGCATATATAGCCTCTGACAGGGAAGTCCTACTCACTGCCTTCTCGCACCACGGGTGTTGTTTACGAAATTGAGGGGACGAAAAGCGAATTTCCGGAGCTTTAACCGGGTTGGTGGACATGAAGAGTCCACCTACAGAAGTTGGAAAACCCTCATTCCAAACCAATAGTGCACATGGGCTCCAGTATCCTAGAGGAACAAATGGTGTATGAACCAATCGTTGGTCACTGGCTACCATGAGACTGAATCTCTTTACGTTGCTCCACTGCCTTGTGGACTAGACCATTAGTTCAAAGTATCGGGAGTGTGGCACCTCAAGGAAACACCTGCTTCGGTTTGAGTACCCAGGCAGTACTACAGCCCTCGCATAAATCAAATGAGATTTGTGTAGCGCATCTGTATTTGGTGCCTCCTTCTACCAATATCTATGGGTTCAAATAAATTAAATTAAATTAATATCTATAAATCAATGTATGTTCAAAATAGATAGTTCACAACAACAACAACAATAACAACAAAAAACGCTCACTCTGTATGAAAATAGTTATTTTATCCACTGGTTCATCATCATTCATAAAAGCTTGACATTGAAATTCAGCATTATCATCTCTAAATGTATATGTATCAGAAGATATTGCTATTTTATAATCTGTCTGTGGTAGAATCGACAATGTTTCCATACGTGGTGGACTTATTGGTAATAATTGTGATGGAATAGGTACATCACCGGGAATTTCCGGTTGACGATAATACCATATAAGTTTAGGGAATTGATCATTAGTTTCTGGTGGATTATCAGTGAAAACAGCTTGACAACTTAACTAGAAAATTCAATGATGATAAAAATAGATAATGTAGGATGGTTACGAACTTTTGTTGAGATTTAAATGAGTGAACAGCTAACATTTCAACAACAATAACAAAATCAAGGTTATTGACTTCTTAATAGATCTTATCTTTTTTCCGAGAGTCTGGCTTTAATATCTTCAAGGAAAAAGAAAAGAAAATTCCCCAACCGTTGCTGCTACATTGATGATGACTTAACCGAACTATAATGGGTGAAACATATGTTCTTTTAGGTTCTATCATGTCAGACAGGTAGGTTGAAGAGCAGTAAGACTAAAAGCAGTAAACTCAGGGTCCATGGGTGGAATCATACTACTTACTGTACAGAGATGTGATCGGAGCGAGATGTTTCCTGCAGACAACTAACATGACAGCGATGCTGCTTTTTGACACTGAAGGGTGGGGTTAAAAAATGTCGACCCTTAAAATGTACGTCTCACCCTAACCCACGGATTTCTGTCTCCGGCAGTAGGATCTGAACAAATACAAATCTAACATAAAAAATGTTGTGTGTGACCGTTCTCAATTAATTGTTCCTTGGGCACTGTGGTCACGTTCTCAGGTCACTAAAACCATCAATAACCTGATTTCGTTTCCAGATATCTCTAGAAGAATCCTTTCATGATGTAGGCAACCGGGAAGTGATAAGCGCCTTCATAACTGTAACAGCACTCAAGGTCATCAGATTTCTAACTACTTTGTACTTGGTATTTATGTTACAAAATGTTTGTCAGCAACAAAACTGATATGTTTAAACTTGAAACAACTGTCTTAACAACTAAAGACTAACCAATCAAACTCTATAGAATAATTCTGAATAAACGATTCCCCTAATACTCAAGCATTAAGCTATTGACTAATTTCAATTCAAGTGGATTAATGCTCAAATATGTTGATTTGACTAGTCTCATAAAGAGAGTTCTTTCGAAAAAAACAAACTGTCAAGCATTACCCTACGTGACGTTTCAAAAGATTATAGAAGTTAATTCAAAGCTTAATCTTAGAGTATCAGATCAATTTCGGTAATTGTACTGAATAGAAAATTGATTACAAATACGAATTGTATAACTGAAGTAAATGAAATCGTTGAAAAGAAAGTTCTCTTCACTGAATTGTCTTTCTTCCTTCTTCATCATCTTCTTCAATGACACAAGGGGTCTCTATTGTTATCGATTATTTTTAATAATCTTATTAAATGACATGCAACGCTGTTCTATTTCATCATAGACTAATCTATTGACAATAAACCTAAGTAAATAATAATAATAATTCAGAAGAAGATTCTCATTTATTGAAGTACTTTTCAATGTAATAGTTAAGTTTATGAATAAATTAAAACTAGACAACCATAGAAAACCGATTGTAAAACTTCTTAGCAATGTACATTCACGATGTTACTTTAAAAGATTCAAACCCAAAATTTATCGATCTCGCACTTAAACGCTTAACCATATCCAACAATATTAATATCTAACTTCAATTAATCCACTAAATTTAACGACATATTCATCATTATCTTCATGATCTTAACTATTGAAATCATTATAATATCTACATAAACCTTTTTTTAACATTTCTTCATTTTGATTGAGATCATGAACCGATTGATGTTAGACCACCATTGAAAACCTGGAAGCACTGGACGGCCATTTCATCCTATTGTAGGACTCCTTAACAGTGTTCATCCATGATCTCGCTCGTGAAATTCGAAACCAGGGCCTTCATTCCCGCTTAAACGCTTAAACTCTAGACCAACGAGTCAGCAGGCAACCAATGGTGTTAATGTCTAACCTCATCCAATCCACGAAATTGCGCGACCTTCTTCCATTTTACTGAGGTAGACACCCGATACACATTAGCTCCACTGGTCATGGCTTCTCAGCAGAACTCTGAGAATTTTCTCATGAAGCTAATTTCAATCTTGTTTTCAATATTATCACCATAGTCAATTATCAATAATTCATACCTTTATTAATTATTAATTAATAAAGAGATTCATTAACTCATCACTACGACAACAGAGTAAACTTTCTCTTCTATGAGAGACTACAAAAATGTTACTTAAAAATTCTATTTTCTAAATAATAAAATCATTCCTTTTTTAGAAATGACGTAACTCATTGTTGCGGTTTTTTATTGTTGTTTTTTCTTAAAATATACAGTACGTACTACTAATCAATATGGATAACCATAGCAAAACTACTAGTATAAATAAGTAGTATGAAATAGATGGAGAGAAAAATTCTCGACATGATCATAGTTTATTACATTTTCTACACAATTTATAATTTTTAATAGGTGAGATCATAAGTTAATTGAAACTGGAACATTATAGAAAATCTGGAGGTGTAGTAGGCAAAACATGGGTCAGGACAATCAAATGTATTTGACATGAAATTACAGAGTTACTCGGTAAAGTAGAAAAACCATATAATAAATCGTTAATTTGCAAAATTTTATTCCATCATATCAAACCGGACTATTGCTGTTGCAATCATCAGTCCATTGTCTCACATTTCATTGTTCATGAGTTTTCTTACAAATTGCATTGTGTTCCCGTTCTTCTTTTCTTGATCTTCCCTCATCTTCTGCTGCCAGACATTACGTTTTTAACTCGCGTCATATACTACTTACATCAATATAAGTAGCACGCACAACAGAGGTACTGGATGGCCATTTCGTTCAATCATGAGACTTCTCAGCAGTGCGCATTCACTGATGACAATGGTGGATATGTTGCTCAACTTCGTGGATTAGTTAAAGTTAAACATTAACACCATTAGATGCCGGCCGGTTCAGTGGTCTAGTGGGTAGACGCTCGCGCGTCAGACTGATAGGTCCTGAGTTCGAATCTCGTGAGGCGGGACCGTTGATGCGTACTGCTGAGGTGCCTACGATTTGGAAAACCCTGATTCTAAATCAATGGTGCACACAGGCTTCAGGGTTCCGGCTACCATGATACTGCATCTCCTAAAGTTGCTCCACCGCTTTGTGGATTAGAAACCTCCGGTCGAAAGGCTCGGCGAGTAGTCCCCCAAAAAAATCACCTGTTTCAGTCTGGGCACCCCAACAGTATCTCAACCCTCACACCTATTGGATGAATTATGGCGTATATCTATTTTGTGCCACGTTGTACTACTCTTTATGTACTTAAATAAAAAAATAAATGTTTTACATTATATATATATATATATATATATATATATATATATATATATATATATATATATATATATATATATATATATGGCTGAAATAACAATCTGATAAAAATTATTTGTACCCTTATTTGACAGAATCAATATTTATCAGTATGGAGTTGTGGAGATTATTAAGTTTTTAATTGAGATCATGAACCGATTGATTTTAGATGTCAATCCGTCTCGGGTACAGACAGATATATACTTCAGTCACGCGATTTCGCGGATTGGTTGAGGTTAGACATTAACAACGTTGGATGACGGTCGGCTCAGTGGTCTAGAGTTGAAGCGTTTAAGCGAGAACGAGGGCCCCGGTTTCGAACCCCATGAGCGGGACTGTGGGTGCGCACTGTTGAGGAGTCCCACAATAGGATGAAGCGGCCGCCCAGCACTTACAGGTTTTTAATGATGGTGTAACATCAATCAATTCATGTTTAACTACTTTAGAAAAACTTTTGATAACTCTCTTCCCCTCCGAGTTTGCACTACAACTTTTAATCTTAAAAGGCAACTAAATATTTAGACTACTAACAGGTTAAAGATACAAGATAATAATATCAATCAATAACATACGTCTAGTGCTCTTTGAACACGTGCCAGAATTGTATACTTTGATTTATCCATAGGATAAATGGTATTTGTTGAAGAATCAATCTTCAAATGGAAATTACGATCTATGAATGAAACAAAAAAAAAAATGAATTGCCAGATATTAAGAGGATTCTTATATTTGTGAATTAGAACAATATTGTTCTCAATTGAATTATTATCAAGCTTTACTCTACTATACAGTAATATTTATATGCATATTATGAAATTACTATACCAATCATGACAGCTTATCAGTCAATGATAACAGTGGAATAGATTACGTAATACGTACAATGTACAGATTGATAGTGTGATGACAAATGTACTAGTGATGATAAGAAGAATAAAGGCCCCCAAATGCCCTGATACGGCCGAGAGTGGAGAGTCCGCTCTCCCTCTTCAAATCCTCTCACATGGCCACGCGTATATAACCTCTGACAAGGAAGTCCTACTCACTGCCTTCTCATAACAAGGGTGTTGTTTACGAAATTGAGGGGACGAAAAGCGAATTTCCGGCGCTTTAACCGGGTTGATGGACATGGAGAGTCCATCTAGGGGAGTTGGAAAACCCTCATTTCAAACCAATAGTGCACATGGTCTCTAGTATCCTAAAGGAACAATTGGCGTATGAACCAATCGTCGGCCACTGGCTACCATGAGACTCCATCTCATTACGTTCCTCCACTGCCTTGTAGATCAGACCTTCTGGTCGAAGGCTCCAGGTGTGGCCCCCTAAGGAAACCACCTTCTTCGGTTTGGGCACCCGGGCTGTATCACAGCCCTCACACAAATCAAATAAGATTTTTGTGATGCATATCTATTTGATGCCTCCTTGTACCAATATATCTATGTTAAAATAAATAAAATAAAACATAATACGAAATGCGTCAATGGGTTGGAAAATACAGACATTGAAACAACATCTATAGAAAGATTATAAGACTACGTAATAAGAAGTGTTCAGGCAGTTGGACTTGAAGCGTATATTTGAGAAAAGAAAGTATAGAAGGGGATAAAGAAAAATAAACGTAGAAAGAGTATAGAAAATAATAATTAATAAAATCATTTAAGGCCAAGGGAAAGATAAGGGTGTTACAAATTTCGATTGTTGGTTTGTTGGATTGTTGACTCGAATTCCTGTGTCTTCTGCTATGTGTACGAGACGAGATCGAAAACCATAAGGAAATCTATTAGGAATACGATAAATAACTTTAAATGACTTAGTTCTCTCTACTACATGACCAGTATTGATCAAATGTGATAGAACCGATCTGCATATTGACTTGATAGTTCCTTTTCTTAACCACTAAGGGAAGTGTTCACTAACTCATTGGCTCAATTATCCCTTAGTGAGTCCAATATAACTTTCTCCTCAGGAGCAGCTGAAATCATAGATACACATTGATATGGCAGTATCATGTAACTTATCTTTTGATTAAATAATTTCGTATAACCATAAAAATATTACTGTATATTAGAGAATCGAATCGAAAACCTCATTATGTTCTGTCATATAATGATAAGATGAAACTCATGGAGCTCTATTGATAGGCTGTTACCAGTGAATTCTTATCAAGTGTGACAGAGTTACTCACCGAAGACAATGGATAAAAGTTTACGCAATATCATAAACTGATTAAAGTTAGATATTAACACCATTGAATATCGGCTCAATGTTCACGCTAGAAACTGAGAATTCATCTATTCTTCGTTAAGATATAATAGTGAAACAAATATAATCCAATTAGATCAAACACTTCACAACATTATCAATGTAGAAACTACATTAAGAAAACTGATTTTTCCGAATTTTATTCTGTAAACTAATCTAATAATATTTGCACATTACGAACTACCAACAGACTGAACTACTGAAGCTTATAGTAATTTTATTACAACCTCAATTTGAGCTTAATTCTAACATTTATGTATGTACGATATGTTCAGGTTAACAAATCAACTCGGATACGAGAACACATCCCAGTTTGGGTCTATAAGGGTGAATGGAAAGTAGTTAGGAGTTCTATACGTGAACATCTAATCGACTGCAATCATTTTACAGATCCACTGTTTGATCCGTTCAAATCTACCCAGATTTCTTTGCACCCAACTCATATAAATAGACGAAGCTCTTACTATCCATGAGTTCAAAGCAGAACTATGCGTACAAAAGAAGTATGTTCTATCTTTATCGTTACTTTGACATTAATTATTATTATTATTATTACTGCATTTCCGTTTACTTATGTCTTATATTCGCTTTATTCTATTCATAAATCATCATCATATCACCTTATGTAATTTTTACGCCTCTATGACCTTTAATGACCTTTAATTATTGTAATTTCAACAGTTGACATTGAAGCTAGATCACCATGGAAAACCTGGAAGCACTGGATGGCCGTTTCATCCTATTGTGGGACACCTCAGCAGTACACATCCACGATCCCTCACAAAAAAGATTCGAACTCAGGACCTATCAATCTCGCTCGTGAGTGCTTAACCTTTAGACCACTGAGTCGGCTGGCATCCAACGACGTTAATGTCTAACTTCAACTCATCCACAAAATTGAGTGACTCATCCACCATTATCATCAATAAGTTACTATCTCACAAAAAGAGATCCTTTCATTGAACTTCATATTTTTAAATCAAAATCAATAATCATTTTAAATGTCATACCTTGTATTGATTCGGTTACTTGTTCTTCTTCTTCTTCTTTTTCACCTTCTTTAACAGATATAGTTGTTTCTTCAATAGATTCTGTCACAATAGTTACAGCTGATTCTTCACTTTGATCAGTTGTGATCTTTTTGGTAAATTTAAAATATGATGATCCATATTCTTGAATCGGTGGTAATCATCTCTTAATTCAATATCCACTGGAATTGGTACACTCATAATAATAATACAACGACCACGTATATGATCTTGTATAATAGATGGATGTAAATGTTTAATAGAAAGTATACGTCCATTTTGTATTTCAACATGTTGACCAATTCGACTAGGATTAATTGGATTATTATAAAGATCAATAAATTGCCATGTATAACTGGAACTTTTTAAATCTACTTCTAAATCAAAATTATCTATAAAAAAAAAAGAAGAAGAAGAATTTGAAAGTTACAACATTTCATAGAACGAATTCAGATAAGGTTACTTACTCACAATTGATTAATCACTGGATGGTGATCAATGTCATATGTGTCAAGTCCTTATTAGTATAGATCCGAATGTTGTCGGGATCGAATGAGTCAGGGAGCACCAGTTCCTTCAAGATTACAGGTACACCTTGCTGACGAGTGCCAAGTAGCACGAAACCCAGGTCCAGAGGTTCCTGTTGACTACCTCCAACCCACCATCTAAGGATACTTGCTCTTAACCTTTCTTATTCTTGTATTTGACTAGATTATGTAAGTGTTCACAATTCAAGGGAAGCATGGAATACAATGAATAGTAGTGAATGCAATAAGACGATTTAAACTTTCCACATAATCTAGTCCGGCGAAACTCTAATTTATGGACGAGCCAATCAGTGGCGTTTTAAGGATTTCAAGGTTACAGCACCAACTTCAATGCTTAATGCTAACGTACGATCGGTTCACAGGGAATTTTGTACAAAACGTCATAATTGAGCAGCTATAACAAATAAAACTGCCAGACTATACTTTGTGAACGAATCAATAGGGTATAAGATAATGGATCTCGGATTTGGGTACGAAAGTCTTTCATCCATTTGTCTAAATAAATTTCTGGCATTATAGCTAATGTCAGTTTGTGATGAAAACCCCACATATAATTCCTAACTAAGGCAAATTACGACAATTATTGCGAACTGGATAATAAAAGCATCAGTAACACTGACTGCAGCCAGGTACTACAATATTTATGGATGACTGGAGAGCGTACAGTCTCCTACATAGGCTTGATTATGTGCATCATGTCATTATCCACAAGTAGCATTTTGTGCACTCAACACCGAAGTGCACATAAACAATACTGCAGCTATGTGTTCGAGATTAGAAGAGTTTTTGAGATCTTATCATGACTCCAAAGTTTGACTATTCTGTAGTCATAAGGATGATTTCCTCTACTGCATGCATTAGGTTTTTAGAACGTCAGAACCTCTTTCTAACCTTGATAAGTTTTTGAACCACGTCTAAGAAGTATAACTATTTTATTTTCTTGGTTTTGTATGATATATTTTTACTCTGTACCGACTGCGTGCTGATTGGCTAAGATTTCCCAAGGTCACTTGAGATTCATTCAAAGAGCATCCATAAATTAGAGTCTTGCCCCTAGTTCTTCTATCCTATACACATTAACAAGTGCATATGGAGACAATTAATGAATTGGTAACGTTTGTATTAGTAGGCCTTAATAAAACACAACGGAAAAAGAAAGATTCTCAAATATAACAAAGTGAGCATCAAATAAATCATATTTGATGGAGAAACTCTGGAAGAGGTTGAATCTTTCACATGCCTGACTGAATAGTATCATCGATGAATGTGAAGGATTTGTTTAAAGTGTAAAGACAAGGACTGGTGAAATATGAGCAACATTCATAAAGTTGAAGAACACACGGAACTTAAAACAACTTTCTGTCAACCAACACCAAAGTCAGAACATTCAATATGGACGTCAACACTGTTGGTTCTACTGTACGGAAATGAAAGTTGGAGAAGTATTAAAACTATCATCAAGAGAATACAAGTATTTATAAACAATTATCTAAAAAGATATTGAATGTCCGTTGACCGGACACAATCGGTATTAACCTACTATGGATAAGGATAAACCAGCTTCCATCTGAGGAGGAAATTAGGAAAAGACGATAGAAGTGCATAGGACATACATTGTGAAAACCATTAAACTGCAGCATGAGAGAAGCACTAACTTAATATCGTGAAGTGAAAAATAAAAGAGGAAGGCCAAACAACACACTGTACCGAGAATCGGAATCAGACATGAAAAGGATGAATAACAACTGGAAAGAACTGGAAAGGCTTGGCCAGGACAAAGTTGGTTGGAAAAATTTTGTGAGCCATCTTCTATGAGGGGTAACAGGCATAAGCGATTCCCTTAAACGATTCTATTTTTTTATTTTTTAGTTACAAAAGGAATTGTGAAATAGATAAAATTGACTGTTCATCAACGAGAAAAGGGAAAATAATGATTCATTCAATCTCGATAATGCTTATCATTATCGAAAAGACAAGGTCTATGTTTCACCAAAAGCCCAAACAGCATGAAAACGATTGTGTCACATCCCATTGTGTCTATCAATTTACATGTATGTGTGGAAACACGTACATACGGAGGAGCAATCGTGATTTGTAATTAAGGGTGGGTGAACATATACCAAAATGGTTGCAGAATCAGATGAATCCCAATGGTGAAATAAGATCAAATGATAAGCAGACATCATCATCCATTGAGAAACATTTGATTGAGACGAGTCATAAGGTTGATATCAAATCAGCATTTGTTGTGTTGTACAAAAGCCTTCAAGGACGTATACTAAGGTTTATTGAAGCCTTGGCTATACGAAAATTGAAACCCCCTTTATGTGTTCAAAAACAATTTGCCTTAACACATTCTTATGTTGATTAATTGATCACATAACCTATTCAGGTGAGTTTATGAAGAACCTACGACCTTTCTCTATAAAAGTTACAAAATCGTACAATTAGAGACGTTGTTGTGGCTAGCACAATATACATTGAAATGAATGTACATTATTCAGATGTGAATTCATGAACTAGTATCCTCATACTAACGATCAATCAATATTTATCGTCATGTTCAATCAAGAAATGAGAGAAAAGAAGCTTGTTGAAGTACTTTGTGTTGAGAATTCTGTATTGTACCAAAAATACAGTAATGAATAAAACCAGAAATAATAATAATAAGAAGAAGTACGCTAAGAATCGAATCAGAATTGATGATTTTCAACTAAGAAACAACTACAATTCAGTGGAAATACAGTATATACAATAAATAATAATAAAATAATTTACATACCTAGTACTAAACACGTTAATTTCAAATCTTCTCCAGGTATTCCAGCTGCATTGCCATTATCATCAAGCCCATCAATTTGTACCTTGATTGATCTACCACTTACTGAAATTGTAATTAAGTAGATAAAAAATATATACTAAAAAACGTGAATGGTAATAGTTTCATGTTTAAATCAAAATAATGAATAATTAATGTTCCTTCTCATTACATATTCAGTTGATATGTATATCATTACAACAATGAACTTGAATTATCTGAATTCACTATTTACTTATGCTTAGATCATCATCTTTCAATTTGTTAGAACTATTCGCATTTACACGAATATTCGTCAAGATTAGAACGACTCAGTCAATCAGTCAGTCAGTAACAAAGTAGAACTTCGTATGTACGTACATCAGTTATTAGAACGACTAGTTTGGCAGTAATTGAGCGCCGAGTATAGAGAAGTCATTATATGTGAAAATTATATTTGAAATATTCTCAGCGATTGAAATTTAACTAATTTCAACGTTTCGTCCGGCTAACTTGTCTGGACTTCTTCAGGGTAATAATCAAAAGTTAGTTAAATTTCAATCGCTGAGAATATTTCAAATATAATTTTCACATATAATGTATTTACATTTATTTCAGTGATTACAGTCATAATTCGATGATTGACAACTAATCTACATTGAATCTTTCAAAGTAATACGTCAGTAGTTAAAGTCTTTAATTTTCAAGCATTTAACACATTTGAACACATAAATATTGGTACAAAGGGGCACAGAATACATATGCACCACACAAGTCATTTGATTTATGCGTGGATGGTGAAACTACTCAAGTGCTCAGATTGAACCGGATGATTTTCATAGGGAGCCTTCAACCTATAGGTCTGATCTACAAGGCAGTAGAGCAACATTAGAAGATGCAGTCTCATGGTAGCCTGTGACTAACAATAGGTTCATACACCATTTGTCCCTTCAGGATACTGGAGTCCATGTGCACCATTGGTTTTGAATCAGAATTTTCCAACTTGCCTAGATGGATCCTATATATCCATCAACCAGGTTAAAGCGCCGGATATTTGCTTTTCAGTAATGTCGCGAGAAGATAGTGGGTAGGAACTCCCTGTCAATATCGATATACGCGTAGCCATGTAACGGCATTTCGAGTTATAGAACGAACACTGTGCATTCTTGGCCGTACCAAGGTATTTGAGGGCTTTTAAACATTGGATCACAGATTTGTACTTCATTCTATCCATTTAAATTATGACAAACCAATAGTATAACTCACTTCCCCCCTCTCTCTCTCTCACACACACACCCACATTTATAAGAAGCGTAACTTAAAACTTAGTAACATAATCAACATTTGATTAGTTGTCTATCTATCTGTTGTATCTTAAAAAGGATATGATAAGTCAATTATTACTGTTCAATCTATATTTAAAGGATAAATTACTTAAAGTCATCTGTATTTTAGTTAAACAGAAAAAAGATCCGATTAAATAAGCGTTCATGCGCGAGACTGAAGGCCCTGGGTTCGAATCCCATTTGTGAGGGATTGTGGATGTACACTGCTGGAGAATCGCACAATAAGACATAACGGCCATCCAGTGCTTCCAGGTTTTCAATAATGATCTAACATCAATCGGTTCATGATCTCAATCAATAACTTAATAAAATTTTCTATATTAGTTAACTTACTATCATAAACCGGTACAGGATGTTTTGACCAAATTGGTATTTCATTTTCATTAGCTGATATAATAACAATAGGATAATAATCTGTTCGATATCTTTTCAATGGATAATTAGATTCCTTTTGTTTATTATCTAATTCATTTGGTTCTTGTTCATTCACGTTATTATTCAATTCATCAATAGATTTCACAATAACATTAAATCGTATTTTCAATGGTTTCGTTGTATAATGTGGATTCATTATGATTAAACTACCATTTTTACTATTGAATAATATTGATTCACCTAATTCACCAATATGAGCTGGTAAACCACTAATATATGCTAAATCATATGAATAACGAATTAATTGTGGATTTGTTGTATCATCTAATGATGAATCAGTTGTAGCTACTAGAAATTACAAATAGAAGAAACAAAATAAAACAATACAGTTATGAATATAATCATGAATGAATGAAAGTTATCACTGCTACAGTACACTTGGAATTCTGAAGGGAAACAGAAAAGAGGAACGCCGAAGAACATATTACGTCGGGAAATGGAAGCAGATATGAAAGGGATGAATAGCAACTGGAATTGTCTGCCAAGGACAGTTTTGGATAGAGAGTCTATGCTTTTCCACGAGGATTAACAGGCGTAAATAAGTAAGTAAGTTGATTCACCATTCACCGTTATTGATAACACATCCCATGAGTTAGTTGCCGCATGGAATGCAAAGGACAACAACTGCTGATTGCTTTGGTATACCATAGTCTAAACTGTCAGGTGAATGAGGTCTTGCTAGATGGTTTCAACACTTGGTCATCAAGTGGTCGATGCCTAACCTTAAAAGACTTTGATGCATCTACGGTAAACTAGAAAAATCTGAGAACTGGATTGTTAGAAAGTTTCTTTGAAAATAAATTACTTAATGTCGTTGTTACATGTGACCAAGTGTAATATTTGGAAGAAGTGACCTGGACTCCGAATCATTTCTACTAGACCTCATTTTCACTAATTAGGAGGATTACGTTACAAACCACTAATATATCCAACCCTTAGGTAAAAGCGGTTTTAATCTTTCATATCTATTTAGTTGTCAATAACGAGCATGTGTCAGCCGAAGATAGACCACACGTCTGAAAAGAAAATATACAAGAAATAAAACACTCAGTATCCTTGGTAGATTTGAAAATAGAACCAGAAATCCCCATTGAAACAGCTTGAGAAGTATTCACACATTTTATATAAGAGTCACCACACTGCACATCTTATACACTACACCAAGGGGTTTGTGAAATTCTCCACCATGGTTCAGTAAAGACGTTCGCACCCTTCTCCGTAACAATAAAACAATAATGTGGAAAAGATTTACGTTACTGGATAATAACGAGACAAAATTTAAATATATAGAGAAGCCCGAAATATTTGTGTCTCCACACTCCGCAAATCCAGAAGGTTATACAAAGAAAAACCTGTTAAGGAGTCTATAGAAAATCCTAAACGATTTTACCCATACATAAAGCAAAAGACTAAGAGAAGAAGAAATATTCCAGCATCATGGTAAGACAGTAGTACTTCATCACTAATGGTGGATGATTATGATAAACCTCAGGTATTCTCAAACTACATTGGCAGTGTAAGTATAATAGAGATGTTCTCAACTTCAGTTCATACAAAAGCCGTTGATCAACAATAGGTTCATACACCATTTGTTCCTTCAGGATACTGGAGCCCATTTGCACCATTGATTTGAAAATCAAGGTTTCCAAACTTCCCTAGATGCATTCTCCATGTTTATCAAACTATATAGATATGTTTAATAAACAAATATTAACTAACTGTCATGATAACGAATTATAGATATAGGACAATAAAAGAAGGAAAGAAAGAAAGAAACTTACATTTTGCAATAGCACGAATCTCATCAGTTTTATCATCATTTATAGTTAAACTAATTTGTTGTTTATCATTATCCATAGGTATAATGTCAATTATCACTTTATCATCTGATACTACAAATCATAAGGAAAAACAACTAGGGTTAGGAAATGAAGAAGAAACCAATTGATTTGTTTATATTTATAAAAGATGAGAATGATTAGATGAAGGGTACATGCGAAACCCTGTGAACAATCATTTCCATAAAAGGATCTCTTTCCTACAACTTCAACTTATCCCATCTAACCTTACGTCCCCCACCCCCGAAAATCTAAATACAGTTTAATAAAATAAACAGTGATAATGACTATCTTGTCATTCAAACAACAGTTACTTTATTCATTGAAAGTGTGTATGTGTATCTGTGTGTGTACGTGCGAGGTATGTGCTTGTGTGTGTGTGTGCAGGAGGGGGGGGGCAATTATTTACTTCATTTAAAACTGTTAATCATTCATTATTGTATTATTGAAATCAATTAGTTTTCTTGTGAACCATTTATCTTGGAAAGATAATAATCTTTATACATTAAGTCAAGACCAAAGATCCTGGATCGAATCCGTCACAGAGTATCAGTTCCTTCAGAATTATAAACACATTTACTGATAAGTGTCAAATAACATGAAACCTGAGTTCAAGATTTCCGGTTGACTACCTCCAACTATTATCTTACTATTCAATTCTATTTGAAAGATCTATTTGATTTCGACTTTGTATTAGTTAGTTCAGATTAACAAAATGTATGTGGAATCCGAAACCCTTCAGTATAAAACATGTAAACTATGTATTGAAATCAAACAATAAGTTACATAATCATAAACAATCTATCTTAGAAATATTTTTGTTCAAAGTTATCAATAATCTTGTCTAATACCATACAAGATTCCATTTCATTGTTTTATATTCAAACAGAGAAAAAAATAAGACTCTTCCATAGTTGAGATCATGAGTCAGTTGAACCTAGATCACCATGGAAAACCTGTAATTAATGAATGGCCGATTCATTCTATTGTGGGACTCCTCAACAGTGTTCAACAATGCAAGATTCGTACACAGAACCTATCAGTCTCGCTTAACCTCTAGACCACAGTCAGTCAGTAACAATGTGGAACTTCGTACGTACGTACATCAGTTCGAGTTACCACATCACATTAGCACAGAGATGCAGTTGTCGATTCAAATCCCAGTGGTACAGGTAGTAAAAGTATAAGCAGTACTCGTAAACATTAGTGTTTGAAGATGTTATTCAAGGAGTATAATCCAGTGAAATAAATTTGGAAAGAGAAAAAAGAAAGGGACATGAAGAATTCAGAAGATTAGAATTTGAGAGAACGGAGAGAGTGGATGCACCTACACCATTGCAAATGATTTTGAGTCATATTATTCAAGGTCTCTAACCATCGGTTGCTGTCATCTCGTGGTCCTCAACCAGATAGTCTACACCTACCAACATGGTTCAGTCCACTTGTCAGTGACTTCTAGACCACTGGAGCCGGCTATTATCTGATAATGTGAATGTTTAACTTTTGTTTACAAAATATAATAAAAAACGTTTACCATCAACTGGAAGTATTTCTTCTGGTTGTAGACTAGGAATTGTATTCAATGGTTGTATATTTGTAAAAAATAGATCAGATGAATATGTCTGTGGTGATTGTTCAGTGAAGTTATCTTCTTTAGGCCATATTGTTATAAGACATCGACCTTTTTTAGGTGTATTATATTTAATATTTGTAATCTTCATTTTATTTCCTTCAGTTGTTATTATATCACCAATTTCACTGATATCAGCTAATTCACCATCGATTTGACGCCAATCCCATCCATAAGTCACTTTACTGTTAATGTATGGTTGACCAGTATTATGATCTAAAATAAATGAAGAACAACTAATTGATCTACATTTCTACATAAGAAACAAGATTATAACTAGTTGAATGTTAATCTGTCTACCGTAACATTCAAAGTCAAACTCCACGTGGAGTCCCTCAGTGGGCTACTGCCGGCCCCAAGCCCGGATAAAGAAACAGGGTTGGGCATGAAGTTGGTGACTCAATACCGTAGAACACTAACTCGCTAAAACAACGCTTACCAGAAAAAAATTATTCAACCATTCAAAGCTTATTTATGAAATACAATCGGTATATATAACTAAAAATTTACGCTTTCATCATCTAACTGAAAGGATTTTTTAATGCTTCATTGAGATCATTGATCGAATTCATTAGTATCAATGATCTTTGGATAGCTGTTTCGTAATATTATAAGAATCCAGTAGTATATGCATGTATAATCCTTACCAGGGATAATGGAAACTGTATACAAATTCTGACTATGCCAGCACATAGATCAACCTTGAACTAGAACCAGAATTCAGTAGAATGAATGTAGTTTATTTGGAACGGAATATACAAATTAAATACTTTGATACTAAAAAAAAGCATTTATGCTGGTTCAGTTCAATTCTAACTCATTTTAGATCCAAATCTCTAGGACAATTTCATTCGAATTGTGCGAATAACGTATCACTGAGTTGTGAATAAACATATATACGTGCTATACTGTTGAAATTAACAAACAAAATGGTACTTTTATTGTTATATCCTAGTAAACATTAAACTACGGGTAACTTCTGAGAACTATTAAGGGGCTAATATTAGTTTGTGAATATCTATATTCCTCTTATTTTAAGCTTCATTCTGACCTATAGATTATTATGATACGATTTACTGTTCTTAAGTTATACCCAGTTTATTAATTACTGTCTCATCAATCACAGACACTTTTATGGTTTAATCTTGTACAAATGTTATCGGCTGGTATATAAACCAAATATGTTTGAACTAAATGACGATTGGGCACTGAAAGCAGATGTAGCGGCAACTGCAAGGATACTCCACATTCTCTTCAACAAGATTTGGGATGAGGAACAAGTACCAACAGACTTGAAAGAAGGACTTCTTGTCAAAATACCAAATAAAGACGATCTCAGCAACTGTGATAACTACAGAAGCATCACTTTTCTCTCAATACCGGGAAAAGTCTTCAACAGGGTATCGTTAAACAGAATGAAGGACTCCGTAGACTCTTAAATTCGAGACCAACAGGCAGGATTCCGTAAGGATAGATCGTGTACAGACCAAATCGCAACACTACGGATCATTGTAGAACAAACAATTGAATGGAATTCATCACTCTACATCAACTTCATTGACTACGAAAAAGTATTTGATAGCGTGGACAGAACAACACTATGGAAGCTTCTTCAACACTACGGCATGCCTCAGAAGATAGTCAATATCATACGGAATTCCTATGATGGATTAAACTGAAAAATCGTGCATGGAGGTAAATACCGGTTTCAGGCAAGGTTGCTTACTCTCACCATTTCTCTTTCTCCTGGTGATCGACTGGATCATGAAGACGTCAATACCTGAAGGGAAACGCGGGATACAGTGGACATCTAGGATGCAGCTGGACGATCTCTACTTTGCAGATGATCTGGCCCTCCTATCACACACGCAACAACAAATGCAGGAGAAAACAACCAGTGTAGCAGCAGCCTCAGCTGCAGTAGGTCTCAATATACACAAAGTAAAAACTAAGATTCTCCGATACAACATGACATGCACCAATCCAGTCACACTTGACGGAGAAGATTTGAAAGATGTAAAAACCTTTACAGCATCATTGATGAACATGGTGGATCTGATGCAGATGTGAAAGCACGGATTGGCAAAGCAAGAGCAGCATATTTAAAACTGAAGAACATCTGGAACTCAAAGCAACTGTCAACCAACACCAAGGTCAGGATTTTCAATACAAATGTCAAGACAGTTCTACTGTATGGGACAGAAACCTGGAGAACTACAGAAGCCATCATCCAGAACATACAAGTATTTATTAACAGTTGTCTACGTAAAATACTTCGGATCCGTTGGCCGGATACTATTAGCAACAACCTACTGTGGGAAAGAACAAACCAGATCACAGTGGAAGAAAAAATTAGGAAGAAGCGCTGGAAGTGGATAGGACACACATTGAGGAATGCGTCACTGAACTGCGTCACAAGACAAGCCCCCACACGGAACTATGAAGGCCAAAGGAGAAGAGGAAGACCAAAGAACACATTACGCCGGGAAACGGAGATGGACATGGGAAAAATGAACAAGAATTGGATGGAATTAGAAAAGAAGGCCCAGGACAGAGTGGGTTGGAGAATGGTGGTCGGGGGCCTATGTTCCATTAGAAGTAACAGGCGTAAGTAACTAAGTAAATGATGATTGGCATATTGGGAAGTCGTTATTAATGTTCTTGACTCAACTGGTAGAGCGAGAAGGACAAAAAACCGATAAGGATGCTAAGCTGATCATACCGGTTGAACGTCATTGATTTGGCACAATATTAAGATTGTATAAGCCGTATTTCGATTGGCGAATATAACACACGTGTAATAAGTAGCCGGCCTTAAAGTTACAACATCTTTCGTCCATACAAAAATATAAAACTAACAATATAAATATATTCTGTAAACGATTTTATAACTTACCAATTGCATGACACATTAATTCTGCATCATTACCCTCTGTTGCAGTAAATAATCCATCATCAGATATTCCTTGAACTTGAACATAAACACCTTATAAGAAGGGTGCGCGGCGGAAGGGTGAGCAAAGGGGGGGGTCGGAGTATAGAAATACAACGTAAGTAAACATAATAAATATTACTGATGAGTTAATAAGTAATTAACTACTTCACAATGATGATTTAACCGGTAAACTTTACAAATTTCATTATACACAATCTAAATGTAAATTGATATGGAGATCACCAACCTACTGATAATTATCTTGAGATGGTGAAGAAGATTTGTAGTTCAGGTAAATAATTTTAATGAAGTTTTATTCTTTGAACTGAATGATTTGATTGTGGAGTTGTCATCATTCTTTTGAACGATATCATCATTACGAACTTCATGTAGAAGTAAAGTGATGATATCGTTCAGAAGAACGATGAAAACTCTACGATTAAACTATCTAGCTTAGAGTACAAAACTTCATCAAGATTCTTATATTTGACAATAAAGATTAGAATCGCTAATAGTTTCATAGATTTCTTGAAAACTTATAGATATGTGGTGCGTGCTACTTATATTGATGTAAGTAGTATATGACGCGAGTGAAAAACGCAATGTCTGGCAGCAGAAGATGGGAGAAGATCAAGAAAGGAACAGCGGGAACACAATACAATTTGTAAGAGAACGCATGAACAATGAACAATGCCTAGATGATTAGTGTTGGTTAATATGAAGAAGGAAATCAGGAAAAGTTCGTGCCAATTATCTAAAAGAGGTTTTAATGGTGGAGAAGATTTGTAGCTCAGGTGAATGATTTTGGTGGAGTTTTGTTCTCTGAGCTGGATGGTTTGGTCGTGGAGCTTTCATCATCCTTCTGAACGACATCATCCACAGCACAAACTTCAAATAGAAGTGAAGTGTTTGAATTTCTCCATATGTGTTTCAAAGCTTGTTCTGTGCACCTCGATGTTGATTGGTTCTTATTGACCTTAAATTTAAGGTCAGAGCATTAATGAAATAGTATTTTTTGAAAGAATGAATTAGGATATATCTGTTATGTTCGTTACTTGACTAACGCAGAATACGGTATACAACTACAACAGTCGAACGTATAGAACCCCACAGTGGCAAAATTAGAAGACAGAAGAAAACTGACGAAGTGTTTTTGTTGGATAAGAATCAAAGATTGATAAATATGGATAATTTACATAAATCAAAGTATTCTATATTGTAAATTAATTCTATTGAATTCTATTTCAGTGTCTGTATCTTTTATGCGTTAATAAGGTTGTAGCGGTAAATAAATCCCCAAAATAAATAGCTCTAAGTTTTCGACATTGGATGCTGACCATATGTTTTAGTGGACTCATCTAGCTGAAGGCACTCGGTCATGCATCCGCACCAGATTACGTGTGGTAACGCTGTGCTCAACATCTACCGCAATCGCTAGCCAGATTAGATCAGAGAATTCCGATATTTTGGTTATCGCCAAATACACTCTTCCGATCTCCTCGACTCTGTCTTTTGATTTCTCTGGGTGGGAACGAAATACATTAGAAGGTGTTACTGTAGAAGCGTTGCCAAACACTGAATACCTGTGTCATCATCAAGGTTACCACTGAACGGTCGGGTTGTGTATATGAAGTTACGTTATTTGATGCAACCATAATTATGACATATGGAAATGTATATCCTCTGGACCAGCTGATCAAGTAAACCCAAGTTTATGAAAAAGTATTTCCAAAAAAATGTATTCACAAAGTATTTTGACAAACGCATTCTCTGATCACAGAATAACTTTTAAGATGATCATTACAGTCCTAGTCAGTAATTATCAACATAGTAACTAGCATGAATGTTAACCGGCTCAAATTTTCATTCCACATATCATTATAGCTAGAAAATATCAAAAGGGGCGAGACTCTAATTTATGGACGACCTTTCAACGAATCCTAAGTGACCTTGAGAAATATTAGCTAATCAGAAAACACTCAGTATAGAGTAAAAATATATGATACAAAACCAAGGAAATAAAGTGGATACAGTTCTTAGACGTGGTTCAAAAACTTGTCAAGGTTAGAAAGAGGTTCAAAGGTTCTAAAATCATAATGCATGCAGTAGATGAAATTATTCATATGGATACAGAATAGTTGGCCTCTAGAGCTATGATAAAGTCTCAAAAACTCTTCCAACCTCGAAAACATAGTTTCAATACTGTTTCTGTGCCCTCCAGTTGTTGAGTACACAGAATGCCACTTGTGGATAACAACACGATGTACATAACTATAGTGACTCACGTGCAATTTAGTTTATTCTCATTTAACTCAGTTAAGCCCTTTTGCTAACTCATTTAGCGGACAAAGTCATCCTCATTATAACAGCTTATTGTACCCTTATTATTTTGTGCTTGTATGAAATACGTATGCTTGAATATTACTTACGGCCTACGCATTTATTCACTCTGCTAGTCTTACTACTAACTGCTTATTTGATTCGATTACTCATTCATTTCAATAAGTATATATATGTCCATGTTATTCATATTCAACACACGCACTTTCGTCTCGCTCTTGCTCTTGCTCTCGCTCGCTTGATTGTATTCGCTCACTCGCTCGATCGCTTGCTTGCCTTTCGGCACAACTCTTCTATGCTTGCTTAACGCATCTGTACTTTTGGATATATGTGCGTGGTCTCGTAATAAACGTAATCAACGCTTCGTATTCGCCTTCTGATTAATATACCATTGGATGTTATATAGAATGGTTATCAAGACGAGCTGTATACGAAGTTTAAGGATTATATATTGTAGTACCTGGCTGAAGCCAGTGTTACTGGTGCTTTTATTATCCAGTTCGCAATAATTGTCGTAATTTGCCTTGGTTAGGAATTATGTATGCGGTTTTCATCACGAACTGACATTACCTATAATGCTAGAAATTTATTTAGACAAATGGATGAAAGACTTTCGCACCAAAATCCGAGATCTATTATCTTTTAACTGATTGATTCGTCCACAAAGTATAGTCTGGCAGTTTTATTTGTTATAGACGCTCAATTATGACGTTTTGTACAAAATTCCCTATGAACCGATCGTACGTTAGCATTAAGCATTGAAGTTGGTGCCGTAACCTTGAAATCTCTAAAACGCTTCTGATTGACTCGTCTATAAATTAGAGTCTCATCCATTTCTCTTAAACAAACTTCTTTCATTATAAATGAATAACATAGAATTTATGATTCACACTAAATTCAATTTATACTTACCATCTTTTCTTATTAATGGGGTATCTGTAGTCATATCACTAATTTCTTCAGATATTACACCTATATTAAATGGTTCTGATTGATAATGTTTTATACGATTATCATCTTGAATATCACCAACACAATAACCCCATACATTCCAACGGTAATCTTGTTCACCAGGTATTTCAATCTCTTTTAATGTTAAATTATTCCCACTGATTTGTGCATTATTAGACCATGGAATTAAATAGGTATGTTTTTCCGGATCAATAAATTGCCAACCAATTAAAATTTGATCCTCTTTTAATATTTCTTGAGTTTTTGTATCTAAATAAAAGAAAAGAAAAGAAAAATAATAGTAGAAGGCTAATTATAGAAATTAAACGGTATTTACAATTGATTGATCACTGTATGGTGATCAGTGTCATGTGTGTCAAGTTCTGAATAGTGCAATATTGAATTTGATCGACCATTGTGGCAATGTGGCTACCACTACAGGTGATTCGACATAAGCATGTGCACTATGTTGAGATAAGATGGTGGTTGGAGGTAGTCAACAAGAAACCCTGGAAATAAGTTTTGTGCTACTTGACACTCGTCAGCAAAGTGTACCTGTAATCTTGAGGGAACTGGTGCTGCCTGACGGATTCGATTCTATATCACCTAGCTTCACTGTCAGAGACGTTACCAGTGAACTATAAGGGTGACGATTGACCTGTTGTAGCACTGAAATGTAATCGCAATTGATTAATCACTGCATGGTGATCAATGTCATGTATGTCAGGTCATTTCCTAATGCAGATCCAATCTTATCGAAATTAAACAGTTAATGATAAACCCAATACTAAAAATACAATTGCTTGGATGTATATAGCTCTATCAATCAAACGAAAAAAATAAATTAAAGCCTTGAGATGGTGAAGATTTGTAGCTGAGGTGGATGGTTTTGATGAAGTTTTGTTCTCTGAGCTGCATATTTTCGTCGTGGAGCTTTCATCGTCTTTCTGAACGATATCATCAGCACAAACTTCAAATAGAAGTGAAGTGTTCGAATTTCTCCATATGTGTTTCACAGCTGGTTCTGTACACCTCGACGTTGATTGGTTTCTCATAAAGCCTTGATACACAATTTTACTGAAAACTAAATCAATACTTTTATTGAACATGTGGTTTTACATGGATTGATAGAAGTGTGTACTGATATCTTAACTTAGAGATTTAGTACCATACCGAGTTAATATTACACTGATATCTGAAAAACTAATTTTATTCACGTCCAAGAATAAATTTCTGTGGGCGAGGACAAATCAATTTCCATCTGAATAGGAAATTAGGAAAAGACGTTGGTAGTGAATAGAACATACATTGCGGAAATCATCAAAGTGCATCACGAAGCAAGCTCTAACTTGGAATCTTGAAGGGAAGCAGAATAGTGGAAGACGCAGGAACACACTACGTCAGAAAATAGACTCAGATATAAAAAGGATGAATAAGAATTGGAAAGAGCTGGAAAGGATTGCTCAGAACATGTTATTCGTTGACGGTCTTTGCTTCTCCATGATGGGTAACAGACGTAAGTATGTATGTTGTTATTTGAAACTGTACAAAAATTAATTTTGCAGAAAAACTATTAACCAGAACCAAGGTATTTTCGTATTCAGAACCGATTTAATGGCTCACATATTTTACATATATGGAATAATATGTACATTATAAAGATCAAATGTCGATATTCAAATCACCAGGTTTGTTATCCGCATGAAATTGAGCGCTAATGAGAAATTAATCAGTGTAAATATCTTAGTCGTAAGGGAATTTGGTTGCTTCTGAATACCTGACTGATAGCGTATCAGATTGTATCACTTGATGACATGGGTTCGATTCCTATATAAAGCACCATCTTTCTCCTGATTAACTCCCAACCCACTTGGTGGAAACTTTCATGCTTAATATATCCAATCAACTATCATCAAAACATAGTGAACTGCATGTCAAATCACTTATACTAGTAGCCATATTGTGATTTAATTGATAGAAATTGATCAACACTACAAACTAGACTAACATGATACTGGTTACTATTCACTGATCAATCAATGCACATTAATTAATCTTTATATCTATGGTTAATACTTCTCATGATCTAATATTTCTATACTAAAAATTAAAAGGAAATACATTTTGTTTTCGATGGAGTTTTGTTTTCTGAGCTGGATGGTTTGTTCGTGGAGCTTTCGTCGTTCTTTGTTTTGGTTATATCCCCTAAAGAAGTAAACAATGACATATTTAAGATCAACAAGAACTAATCAACATCGAGGTATACACATGACAAGCTGTGAACCACATGTAGAGAAATTCGAACATTTCACATCTACCTAAAGTTTGTGCTGCGGAAAAAAAACAATAAAAGCTCCACGACCAAACCATTCAGCTTAGAGAACAAAACTCTATCACAATCATTCAACTGAGCTACAAATCTCCAACATCATATTTCACAAATACTTACTTCGTGCTTCACATGTTAATTCAATATTTGAACCTTCTTGAACAATTTTATTCCCATCAGCATCTAATCCTTTTACAATTAATTCAATATTCTTATCATCAGCTGTTCACATTCAAACAAAGAAAAAGAAAAGTAACAAGAAATATCATCGAAGTAATTATTTAGAAAATTTCTTATTACTACTTATATCAGATAAATGAGTAGTTATCTAATCAAAAGAAATAAATTAGAGGAGATAATTAGTGAGTGAAATTTGTTCTCGTATATGAGATCCACTTATAAAGACACTGAATACACTGTTATCATATTGAATACTGATCTACTTAATAAATATGTTGAAATTCAAAAGGTTATTCTTGTATTCTATGATCCGATTCAATTATGGCATACACTTCTTACGGTTGACTAGATGTACCATATCATACGACTTATATATATACTACAATCTGTTATCGGTTGTACACTAAAGTAAATGCCTAATTTAAACATGATTAACGTTGATTAGATGACCTATTCAGTATACAATGAACCAGAAAACCATGTACCTTATTTATATTCAATAATATTGATGTTTGATTAAATTTCCTTGAAGAAAGCTTGGACCAGATTGTCAGGTGAAATGTTGGATTCACTTCAAATCCTTTCACAACATTCTTCCTCTTCAATATCTAGCATCAACTCGGTACCCAAATACTTTGAAACTATTTAGATGAAAGTTCTTATATATAAATAAAACTCCTTTGAATAATAAGATAAAGATTATCAGAACTATGTGATGCTAGACATTAAGCGAAGTACATGTTTAACGATCTGATCACACATATACTTGTTAATGACATTTATCCATAAGAGAATTTAAAGTTCAACTAGATAAACTGAAAGAAGGGAACAAAACATGTGATGTTGAAATTAAGATGATATATAATCAGGAGGATCAACGGAACAGAAATAACCTAGTTAGGCGTAAAAGGTCTCATACAGAAGACAAAAGAGAGAAAGCGGATGGCTGTCAAGGTAGAAAAGTATGAAAAACGAGGAGAAGAAGAAGAAGAAGAAGAAGAAGAAGAAGAAGAAGAAGGAGAGTGATGAAACATTAAAACCATGATAGAAGAAGAGGTTGTACCAAAGATAGTCATAATTATAAAGATTTTCACATTATGTACTTTATTCTTTATCCTTATCTCAGACTCCCCTCTAAGTTGTTTAGTTTTCTCAAGTATATATGTGAACAGAATGGTTGAAATGTTTTGTGCAAATATTTGTCACACATAGTTCTGAGAACCTTCGTCTTCATACCTCATTATCCAAATTTATCAAACAAATTGAAGGTATGATGGTATGTGCGTCCAGATTAACAATGTGTAGCATTGATAAAATAAAAAATCATCAAGGTTCAGTCTGATAATTAAAAAAACAGTAAAACTTTTGATTGAGATCATGAACCGATGGTTTAGACATTAACACCGTTGGATGTCGACCGGCTCAGTGGTCTAAAGGTTAAGCGTTCATGCACGAGACCAAAGGCCCTGGGTTTGAATCCCGCAAACGGAATCATGGATGCGAAATGCTAAGGAGTCCCATAATAGGACGAAACGGAATTCCAGTGGATTCAGGTTTTCAATAATGATCTCACATCAATCAGTTCATGTTCTCAATCAAAAACTTAATAATCTCCACAACCCCATACTGATAAATAATAAAACGTCATAACAGAACAAATATTGGAAAAGTTGAAACTCTCGGTGCTATTTTCCAGATTATTATCATTATTTATATTGTTACTATATAATCATTGAATAACTATATGGTTAAATCACTATATTTCCCTTATGCTAAACTTCATTAAACATATTAGAAACTTTCAATGGTTAAGATCATGAGTCAGTTGAAGCTAGACCACCATGGAAAACCTGAACACACTGGATGGCCGTTTCGTCCTATTGTGGGATTCCTTAGAAGTGCGCATCCACGACCTTGCCCCTGCGAGACTGTTGCTATTCCTTAATTATTCCTAATTGGTTATCTACTATTTACTCCTCTTCTATCACTAATAGAATGATTGTACTTCACAATGTGATATCTTATTTGACGAACCATATAGTTAAACCTTTTCAGTATATAACTATGTGTGAATTTGTAGTCGTGATCAAATTGGGTAAACAAAAAAACAAAACTAAATTCATTCTTCTTCTCCCATCATCGTTTTCTAATTGGTTACTAGACTAAAACAGAATTTGACAGCCAATAAACATGAAGGCTTTACTGGTCTTTGTTCATAAAGTCAATTAATTGGACTTTATCATATTGGTTACTAGTTCAATTGTCAATTAAGTGATATCGATTAAGAATTGCGAGAAAGAAATTAGGAAGAAGCGCTGGAAGTGGATAGGACACACATTGAGGAAAGCACCCAACTGTCACAAGGCAAGCCCTCACATAGAATCCTCAAGACCAAAGGAAAAGAGGAAGACCAAAGAACACATTACGCCGGGAAATGGAGATAGACATGAGAAAAATGAACAAGAATTGGATGGAATTATAAAAGAAGGCAGATGACAGAGTGGGTTGGAGAATGGTGGTCGGCGGCCCATGCTCCATTAGGAGTAACAGGCGTAAGTAGTAAATAAGTAAGATTAGGAATTTCCAAACTTTAAAATGTTCGTATTTCTTTTCGTCAAGATACAATACAGAAAGACAAATGATGTTGATTAGTTCAGTGACAAATGTTTGACTCGAACACAGTTTCAATGTTTCAAGGGATTAAGTTTATAGATTTTATTAAGAATAACTTTATTGTATGTTCAGATTGACGTCAATGATGTAATATAGAGAAATGAATTATGAAACTTTATTGGGGGATAAGCAAAAATGGATAGTGGCTAGCAGCGGAGTCCGGCATATGCACCAATTCGTCTGATTTGGGACTCGTCGTCAGCTGGATGTACTTGCATTTCAGAGTTGATGTTCACTCTGGGACTCGAACCCTGTACCATTCGCTTCAAACGCCATCGCGTTATCCACTTAGCTACTGATTCCTGATAGCCAGTTGCTTATGCAATAGGGTGAAATTGTGGTATATTACAATTCATGAAATAAAAGTCAGTAAACAAACTATAAAAGAGTAGATTCAGCCAAATCAAACATACGACTTGTCAAATCACTTCATACGTAAGTGAATGGGTAAAGAAACATATACGAGCAAACATACATAAAAATCTATCATATATAAGAAAGAATAATTACTGAAATAACCGAGAGAGACAAACCCAACTGAAGAATAGTTGAATAATTAGAACTATGCTGTATGCTACTTATGTCGACATAAGTAGTATAATATGACAATCAAGAATAGAATGTTTAGCAGCAGAAGTTTGACAAGATTGAGGAAGAAAGAACAGGAACAGAAGGTAATTGATATGGAAATGTAGAAACAATGAAATCTGAGATAATTGATTAACATTTTGCAAATGAAGTATCAGAGTATGGTTTTTCTATTCTCGTAAGTAACTCTGTAATTTTGTGTTAAATATATAATCAGTTGTCCTCACCTATGTTCACCTTCACTGTTGATTTTAACACATAGATATTAGTACAAGGAGGCACCAAAAAACATATGCACCACACAAATCTCATTCGACATGTGTGAGGGCTGTGATACTGAGCGGGTGACCAAACCGAAGCAGGTGGATTTCTTAGGGAACCACTCCCCGAGCCTTTGACCTGAAGGTCTAATCCACAAAGCAGTGGAGCATCGTAAGAAGATGCAGTCCCATGGAAGCCGGTGACCAACGAATGGTTCATACGCCATTTGGTAATTCAGGGTACTACAGCCCATGTGAACCATTGGTTTGGGATCCGGTTAGGGCGCCGGACATTCGCTTTTCGTCCTCTCATTTTCGCAGACAACACCCCCACTACGAGAGGGCAGTGAGTAGGACTTTCCTGGCAGAGGCTATATACGCATGGCCATGTGAGAGCGTTTGGAGAGAGAGAGCGGACTCTCCCCACTCTCGTCCGTACCAGGGCATTTGTGGGCCCTTCATTGCAGAATGAGTACATACTTAATGAGATATTTCTTATAAAATTATTCAAGTCAGCTATGTAATACACTCATCAATTGAAGTCGTATCACGCTGTATTATAGTTTAGTTAGGACTAGTAATTGTTATCTTGACTTTTAATCAGATATTCTGATATAATGGAGGACTTAAAGATTTCTGTCTCTGCGACTGTACTACTCTAGTACAACAGTGTGATCATGAAACTAATCTGGGTGACCAAGTTTATAATACTGTTGAAATGGTTGTTCAAACGGCACATAACACAGAGGTTGGATCATGTTATATCAAATACACGGTTCTCGACCCAGAATAGAGATCCGGATTAACACTAGATAATACTTCATTCAATAAAATTACAAACAGTCATATTCAATGTCTTGCGTGTATAAATCACTGAAAGCTAAGGAAATCACATATTTAATTGTCAGTAGGCTAAATGCTTGTTTGTCCATCCTCAATGACTAATCACACTTACTTACATGACCAAACATCACATACTGATGAGGTTTTAATGAAAATAAAACTGATGCCAGAGTTTACCGTTCGTGAGTTTTGCAGTCAGAAGAAATTAATTTCAGCTAACAGTTATTTTCTGAAATAAAATGTGAGATTCTTAACATCTTATAGTACTGTAACTCCGCCTGGAGCCATTCCGAGTCTACTGCCGGTCCCGAGCTCGGGTAAAGGAGTAGTGTTTGGCATGAGGTTAGCGACCACATCTCGCAAAGAAATAACCTATAGTACTGTATTATTCACTCAATCCCTCTGTTATAGTGATTCTTTTCACTATTTTCATCAACAAAATTTACCAACATTACGCAATATTGTTTACAATAAATCATAATTCCTTACCATATCTCTATTGATTTATAAATCAGCTCATATTAAAATAACTTGGTGAGACTATAATCTTTCGACGACCTTTGAGCAACGTTGAAATGACCTTGAGAGTGTCTACCTACTTATTAGGGTTAAATGAGGGTTATAAACCAGTGTGTGAGGAATTAGAATTATGATTTACAATTGATGATGGGTTTCATCATGAATTGGCATCAGCAATAATGCTAAAACTCTATTTAATCAAATGTGTAGGTGAATTTCGCGCCAAAATCCAAGATCTGTTATCTTTCACCTGATTGGTCCGTTCATTCTAGTCTCGTTGATATTCTCATGTCACTGGTTATGACAGAAAAAAAAAACTCACTATGATCACTTTCAACCAAGTTGTGTAATATGTAAAATGATGTAAACATAAATGATTTACTTACACCAATATGATTTTGGTAATGGTGAATATGTTTCTATGGTAGCTTCTTTTTGTAATTGAATATGAAAATATGGTGAAGTGAATACTTGTTGACCTATTTGTACAACACATCGACTCCATACACCATTTGGAGCATCAACAGGTAATCGTATAGTTTGTAATTCCATTGTACTAACACCAACTTCTTCAGCTGTTTTAGGATCTTTTAATGGTTGTTTTATAATTATAGAACCACTAGCTTGTTCAGTATATGGTATTAGTTGACCACCAATAGTTGAACGTAATTCCCAAGTGAAAAGTGGTGGTATTTGATCGGTAGAAGTAAGTCGTCTTAAACGAACTGCATCTATAAGACAGAAAGATGTATTGTATTGTATGTAAATAAGGCATAATTATTCCTTTAAGGATTATCAGAATGACGTTGGATAGATCTTACAGTGCAAAAGTATATGTATAATACATCTCTTTATTAGGGTATTATGTAAGATCAGTTAGTTATGTGAACTGGTGAACTGGTAATTTTTCTTTTACTAAATTAAATATATTCAAGTATTAGGATTGATGCAGATCTGATGAAGATGTGAAGGTAAGGATTAGCAAAGTAAGGACAGCATTCCTAAAGTTGAAGAGAATATATACTTCACAAATGACCTGTCCATCCTATCTAATACACATGAACAAATTCAGGTCAAGACAAACAGTGTAACAGCAGCCTCTGTATCAGTAGAACTCAACATACACAAGGGAAAAAGAAGGATCCTCAAATATAACTCAGAGAGAACCAACAAAATTATACTTGATGGAGAAACTCTGGAAGAGGTGGAAACCTTTGCGTACCTGACTGGATAACATCATCGATGAACGTGAAGGATGTGATGCAAACGTAAAGGAAAGGATTGACATAATAAGGGAAGAATCCTCTACAGTTCAAGAGCAAATACAACTCAAAACAACTGTCTGTCAACCAACATCAAAGTAAGAATCTTCAATACGAACGTCAACACAGTTGGTTCTACTGTACGGAGGTGATACTTGGAGAAGTACTAAAATCATCAACAAGAGAGTACAAGTAGTTATAAAAAAATTGTTTACACAAGATACTCAATATCTGTTGACCGGATACTACCAGGAACAGCCTACTGTGGGAGAGAAGAAACTAGCTTCTAGCTGAAGAGGAAATGATTAAAAGACGATAGAAGTACACATACTATGGAAATCATCAGATCGCATCACAAGCCAAATGGTAACTTGGAATCGTGAAGGGGAACGGAAAAGTGGAAGGCCAAAGAACACACTGCGTCTTTGAATTGGAAGGAGATATGAAAAGAATTAATAGGAAGTGGAAAGAAGTGGGAAGGATTGTTCAGGACAGAGTTGGATGAATAATCGTGGTGAGTGGCTTATGCTCTTGTATTAGGAGTAACAGGCGTAAGTAAGTAAGTAATTTGTGATTGATCATGTGGATAGATTATTCTGGATCCTTTGTTACAAGAAAATCTTAACCTTTTATGATGATGATCATGTAGGCCTGAACCAGGAATTCTGAATCTACTAACATAACTCAAACCAACATGTGATAATTTCATAGACTGTCGCTACTTGCAGTCTACTCCTACTCCGGTCAACATTGGACCTCGAGTCAAGTAGTGGCAAGGCTTACTTAGCACATGTAACAATCATCTCACTTGATGAAGATCGACAGCCCATCAACCGATTTGGCATTTTCATTTACCACCCATGCTCAACCCTTGACAACTCAGTCGTCTCAAAAGACCCAGGCAATGTACAAATAAATTAATTTATGTGATTATTCATCTCTTACTCATACTTCTTATCACTTCGTGTAACTGACGGCAAATTCACGCATAGACAAACAATAATACTCTATCATAACATGGAACTAATCCATTTTGCTGAGAAGCCCCATACTGGGACGAAACAGTCTTCCAGTGTTTCTGTTATTTGCATTGACATAGTAAACAGTTTATTCAACTGCATATTTCTAAGCAAGAAGATACGCGTATCATTTTATTGTGATAATGCATGTTTAATTATAATCACTGATTACATTATACAACTTACCGAGAGCTAAACAATTAAGTTTTAGATTACCACCTGGTGGTACAATGACACTTCCATCTGGTCGTAATTCATAAACTTTTACAATCACAGCATCTTTAGGATCTGAAATAAAGAGAATAATAAACAGAATAGAATTACATATAATACTATGAAATTCTATCATCAACTAACAGGTCCAGTGGTAAAATTTGAACACTTCACTTCTACCTGAAGTTTGTGCTGCTGGTGATGATGTCATTCAGAAGAACGATGAAAGCTTCATGACTAAACCATCTAGCTCAGAGAACAAAACTATATCAAAATCAGTTTGTGACTGAAAACATCAAATTGCTAGTGATGCTCACCAATGAGTATGATATCATGTACAACAGTCCTTCTACATGTAAAAGGGATTGATAATTTCGTTCGGAAAAACAAAACAATAAAAACTTTACAATTACCGTAATTAACTACAAGAAATGATTCCTGGCATTCTAGTGAAAATCTATGACCAGTACAGTTCATACATATCGATAATGAGGGAACCACCTGCCAATGGAGTTGTTACTTGATGATCGTATAAACTTATGAAATAACTTAAGTTCGAAATGTGAAAGGGTTCATCACAACCCTAAGTTAAGTTATGGAGGTACAACGTCATAGAACCCCATTATTAGAATGAAATGGCCATTAAGTGCTTCCTTGTTTTCAGTGATTATCTATTTAAAGTCAGTTTGTAATGTATACTACAAAATCCAACAGTCTCCTGATCTCCCCCTATGAAATTATTCACTATTTAACCACTATTGAAGAAGTAAAGAAATCATCCTATAGAATATTAGTACTAAATACTCTAACTACAACATTCAGTGATGTACAGTCAGATCCCATTGATTAACGTCGAATTCTATTAAATCTAAAAATATACCTTGCTGAACCAGAACGAAAATTAAATTTAATGTTTTCTGATATCTATTTATTTGTTTCATTTGGTCGTCGTTTTTTTAGCTAGATTGTTTTCTACCGGGATGAGGTTGCCGACTACGCCATGCCTAACCCTGATAATTTACTGTGGCTTGGGACCGGCAGTAACTCTGGAAGAGCTACAGGCAACTGAAAAGAACTGGAAATGATTGACCAGGACAAGGTTGGATGGAGAGTGCTAGTGGACGGCCTATGCTCCTCCACGGAGGGATAACAGGCGTAAGTAAGCAAATAGGTTATCTATTCATACTTAATTGGTATTAAGTGAAAATTACGTCTAACATCTGTATGAATAACTAGCTATCGAACTTTATGATACACATATATGCACATAGATATCAATGTAATCTATCAGACAATTGTAAAACCCATGAAAATAGTCGAGAATCAAGTGAGAACAGTCATTGGACAATGTCAACACAACCATTTTAAATCAAGGTCAATTGAATAAGATTATTAGTAATATGTGGAGAAATTTCAATAGATTGATGAGGCCGGGTCGTGGATTCACATCGTGGAGGAGTCACACAATAGGACGAAACGACCGTCCAGTGCTTCCAGGTTTTCCATTGTGATCTAGCTTCAGCTGACTCATGATCTCAACTATTGAAATCACTATCCGTCAGTCAGCTACAACGTTGGACCAGACATATATATGCATCGGTTCAAGTTGCCATACCTCAATACCACAACAAGATGAACACCGATTCATAAAAGTAGTTAATTTAGAGGTGGTAATATATAAAAGAAAGATTGCATATGAGGATATACTACAGGAAGAAAGAATTAGTTCGTAGAAAGATATACACCGATTTTAATCTCATAGTTTAAGAGAAGACAGAGAGTGTACACACCTACGCCATTGTGATCGATGCTGAGCTATGTCACCTAGAGTCTCCAACCACTGGTTACCATAGTCACACGGACCCCAATCAAGTAGTCTACATCTACCAACATGGCTCAGACTAGAAGTTAATGACTTCAAAAACTGATGTCACATTTCGGTTTGGCCAACCCTAACTTTCTTCCATTCATTTTCAACACTAGTCAGCAATCCGTTGAAATTACTATCATATCCACAGAAACCCCTTCTCATTTTGATGATATTGTCAAGAAGGAAAATGATTGAGTTACATCCTGTTGGGGACGATAGATCCCCAAAACTCATATTTTGTAATTTTATCTTACCGATTAAATGTTCAAATATTTGAATGGCAGTCAATTGACGAACTTCTCGATTAAATATGTAGTGTCAGTTATTATTTTAAGCCCATATACCCTATTCCAGTTTTCGGACAAACCAATCTATTCATTCTACTTGAGTCATATGTTGACCTTGTTAGTTATTCGCTTACCAGTCTTCATTGTTTTTATGTGAGCGTATATGTGTGTACACTTCTTATCCCATGTCTCATCATACGTCTTTAGTTTATTTTGTCTGCCTATAAATATTGAGTAACGCGTGGCTAGAAATGGAGTTGGCTACCAGCCATCTCCACTCTGTATCGGTTTTCTTCCTGTTATTCCATTCACCTTATATACAAAGTATACGTATTCAAAATCCCATTCTCGTTATTTCACTTATTTGATTTCGTTATTGGCTAACATAATTAAAGTCGACGAGGATATACTAGAATCGGCGATAGCAAACATCCATATGATCTAAATAGGAGTCAGAGCCATGGGCCACTAAAAATATTTGAATGGCTGTCATTGATAAACTTATTGATTAGGGTTTAAAGACATTTTACCATGACAATATCGATTATAAATATTTGTATAAATACGCTTGACTTGTGTGCCTGATTGACCTTACCTAACCTGACCTGGTATCTGCTGGTTGCTTGTAGAATACACTTCTACGTCTTACCAAGACTTCTTGATCGAGTTAGCTGAGTCGGGGACAACGGACCAGAATAGTCTATCGAGTCTCTGAATCCTTGATCCTTCGTTCCGTTCCGAATAAGCCGAATCAGTAGAACGATTCAAGCTTAACAAACCTAACACATATACACTATTCAGTTTAAAAGGAAAGAACAACTTCATCGTCATTCTTTCTTTTAGAGATAATAAATCTTATCTACCAAATGGAAATCATCTAAAACTGACATACCTTTCCCTGGTATCCATTGTCTATATGGTGTTTTCTCATCTTCTATATTTGAATCTATTATTTGAATATCTGGTTGTTTTGCATTGACATGTATAACAAATACATCAGAATTTAATATCACTGTATGATTTTCATATTTTTCTGGACTAATTAATTGATCTTCATTTAAATAAAGTGAACAATAACCACGTAAACCGCCAGATTTGATTGTGTTGACTTTAATTGATTTAAATTTAATTCTTCATTATTAATAATGATTGTTTTAGCTAAATTATTAAATGGTATCGGTTGTCCATCTGGTCCAGTAGCTATTGTCCAACCAATATTGAATTGTTCATCTTTTATTGGAATTCCATTAGATGAATCTGTAGGATACAATGAAATGTTATGTAATAGGATTAGTCAAACTTATGGTTCAAATAGGGTAATATAGTGATCAGTAAGAAGTTTAATGATTGTAAGCTGAATGAGACAATAGTTTTGAATTAACGAGGTATTTCATATTAAGTCTGGATTGATGTATAACACTCTTTCATAAGATTGTGTCAAGCATTTGTTCAACAAATCATGAACTCTTCATGGATTAAATTATTGTACAGCTTTAGAATGTTGGATACATTTATTTAACAATCTAATATCAATGTATTTTACAACACACCATTAAAGATATACCGAATAGCCTAGTATAAGTTTCCTTAGCAGTGCGCATCCATGGTCTCGTCTCTGGGATTCGAACCTGGACCTTCCATCTCGAGCGGAAACGCTTAACCTCTAGACCACTGTGTTGTACACCGTCTATCATTGTCTTCAATGAATTACTATTTCAAAACAGACCGGTTGAACTTTGCTGGTTACTGCTTTTCACTAGAACTCCAGGAAATACATCTTGAAGCCAGACACTAGTGAGCATATGATGGTTAGTATCAGAAAAAAGGATTTTGTGCTTCCAGTGCTTCCAGGTTTTTCATGATGGTCTAGCTTTAATTGACTCATGAATTCGACTAATAAATTACCCTTTCTCATATATACTGAAGATTCATGAATACGATTATACAACTTTCATGTAGATTGTAGAAATTATAAATTAACTTCTGTTAATTGTTAATGATAAATGATAAGAACTTACCGACAACTTGACATTGAAGTTTTACATCTTCACCTTCTTTAGCTGTCATTGTTCCATCAGCATTAAGTCCAACAACTTCAGGATGTAATTGACTTGGTTCTGTAAAGTATAATAATATTCAGGAGTAAAAGAAAAAGCTTAGATCCTTCAGTGAATTCTATCTACATCGACAGAGTAATTTTTTTTAACGAAGATTACATCATCAACATCATCAGTATTACATCATCAACACTAGACGACTACTTATCAAGAATTCTATTTGGACAACTTTATTGAGATGACTATTCAGTATAAGGCGCTTCACAGATATAATTGAAGCGGTCATAATACTTCTGATATAATCATTAGTACTAAATGATTAATCATTTAAACCTAAAAATCGATCGGAATATCAGAGAGCCTATTTACCATATCTCTATTCTAACAATAAAAATGGATTTATACAACATTATCTCAGAGAGAAGAGTTAAATAGTATGATCTTGAAACAAAGATTAAAAGTAGTAATCAAGTAAACACTAATCTCCACAAAATAATGTTGGGTCCATATATTTTCATGTTACAGTTAGCGTGACTCTATATTTCCTGCATTGAGTAGAGAGTTTACTAGACAATGGTTAGATGGTGAGGATCAACGCCACTTGATATGAGGTCATAATGTTTAATTCTTCTGAAACATTGTCATCGAATTTCTTAGATAGATAGACGATCACCAGAATAATCAGCATCTCTCAAAATTTTATTAGGTTCTTGATCATTGTTTGATTCATCAGACAAATTCGTTCAAAAGCATGTGAATCATTAAGATGACTCATATCTGATAAAACAACTAGAGAACCCCAATAAGTACATTCATGAGAAACTTTTGTCGTAGAATGATGAGCTCCATTTAATGCAACTGTCTTCATTATGTTGCTTGATTGATTTTCTGTTTCTTCGTGGGCGGCTACCATAATAATTTCATGAACATAGTCTTTCTGTGAGCTGGACAATCTGGTGTTTGTACATGGAGTTTGAACCCATGAGAGGGCATGTCTCTGAAATGAATATTTCTGGATCACTGAGCGGATCATGAATGACTGCTACTCCTTTGTTTACATTTTCCAACTCTGTATACAAATTAAGAATTAATCCATCAACTTCTGTTACATCTCCAACCGTGTGCATAAATTGTCTCTTTTTGAAACGTTGTTGTTGTCGCTCAAATAGCAACTGTAATTGATCAGAAGAGATAGCCATTTTCTAAATTAGCACGGTAATGAAAAATACTGTATGACTAATTAACAATCATTATCATTCAACGACACCAGCGAGAAACCTGTATGCTGGTTGCTTAAAATAATTACACTGAATTTTGTCCAACTACAAGTTGACCTTGATTTGTTAATTTGAACATTAAAGGTTCAGAATTTTCTTTTTCACCCCGTCGCCAGTTGTTATAACTTGTGAATTGAATGCTACTTTTTATATCTAGTCGTCGCTGATTGTTATGTCGAAAATGCTTATCACTTATACTCGGAACAAGGGACCTCATAAATTCCCATAACAGGGAAGTAAGAACACAAAGACTGGTATAAGCTAAGATTATTAACCGCAAAACACAACGACGACGACAACCCTAGTTGAAAATACACTGATTTATATATTGATTCGTACACCCATTTTGTTTAATAATTAAGATGAAGTCACATATATAACAAACCACATAATGGTCATAGTTCATGTTTATTGAACACAAGAATATCGTATATTATACAGAATAAAATATCATATGGGGAAACAAAAACGAATGATCATTACATTGAATGAGAACGAAAGTAATGTTGAGCCAAAGGTCATAATGAATAAATCAATCAAAAATTGACTGTTCTTTCCATCCTATGGAGACTATGAAGTAAAATGAACGATACTAGGTTCAAAGTTTCATTGTGAACATTGATTCTAGGATACGGGTATATTCAGTTGAAGTAGGACAAAATGTGAACCTTGAATTTCCCTGTTAGCTAAATTTTATCCTTCACCTATGTAAATTAATAAAACTTGCCACTAATGAGAGAGTGGAGAAGATTTGAAGCTCAGGTGGATGATTTTGATGGAGTTTTGTTCTCTAAGTTGGATGGTTTGGTGGTGGAGCTTTCATCGTTCTTCTGAACGACATTATCAACACAAACTCCAGATAGAAGTGAAGCGTACGAATTTCTCCATATGCGTTTCACAGCTTGTTCTGTACACTTCGACACAAATATAGGAACAAAAATCAAAACAATGAGAGACACAAGCAAAACAAAGAAGAAAACAATGACAAATTTAAGGTCAATAAGAACCAATCAACGTCAAGGTGTACAGAACAAGCTGTGAAACGCATATTGAGAAATTCAAAAACTTCACTTCTATCTGAAGTTTGAACTGTCGTTGTTCAGGAGGACGATGAAAGCTCCACAACCAAACCATCCAGCTCAGAGAACAAAACTAATAAGAGAGGAATATATGTAATTCCAAATATTTAAGATAATCAAACAAGTGAAATCTTGAATATCAGATTGTTTTAAAATTATTTAATAGAAATATCAAATTACCAAAACAAGTTTGTCTTGAAACAAAGGTCTATCTTATCAGACTTAAAGGTCTGATCCATAAGGCAGTGAAGCACCGTCAAAACATACAGTCCTATGGTAGCCGGTGACTAACAATACGTTCATACGCCATTAGTTCCCTCAAAATCCTAGAGCCCATCTGCACCATTAGTTTGGGATTAGGGTTTTCCAACACCCCTAGGTGAATTTACCATGTCCACCGGCCTAGTTAAAGCGCCAGACATTCGCTTTTCGTCCTCTCAATTTCGTAAACAGCAATAATGTCACAAGAAGGCAGTGAATAGAACTTCACTGACAGTGTCTGTATATTCGTAGCTATGTGAGAGCATTTCGAAAGAGAAAACGGACTCTCCCCACCTGCGGTCGTACCAGGTTATTCGAAGAATAACAAGCATTAACTTGTATATACCTAATTAATAAGTCGGACAATTGTAATACCCGACTAAAATACAAGTAATATCAATAGGAAAACACTCTATTATTTCCTTTATAACAAAATTACTTATAAAGTAATCAAGTTTTGTAGGAATAAATTGACAGTTAATTAAGTATAAACATACTTTTCTTTCACATAATTCAATCCATTTAAGACAATTATGATAAGTAAAAGATCAAATGGCAATGATAAATAATACAACAAATATTTAAGCTTTGTTTACATCATAAAATACCATTAATTAACGATTGGGAACCAGGGTGTATCAGTAAGCTATTTCATATAATGACCTATGACATAATGATTAATGAAATTGTCAAGCTAATGTAAATAATAGGCGAACTGGATACTTACACACCATTTCAACATCAAAAGTCAGTTATAGTTAATAAACAATGGATATTGTCAAGGGGATATTCATTATGCACCTGTTCAATTCAACCTACTTATCCTTGCCAGAAGGATAGATATATGCATATTTGTTGTTTGTGTACACTTTATTCGACTTGGTGATTATAGGGTTTTTCGTCTATTCTCAATCTTCTCACTTCTATAACTGGTTTGTAAGCCCTACAGATGATAATTTAGTTCTTTCTCTCTCTGTATCACGTATGTGCTCTTTCAGTGATCAGATGTATGGTTGCATGATTAAAGTACAATGGTTGTTTTCTGTCTCTGTTTCAAATTTATACTATTCAAGTCTCAGGTGTTGTCCGCATATAAATAGTGCATTAACATACATTTTTAATATGAAGAATATTTCACTACCTTTCAGAACAAGACAAATGGAAAGTATCAAGCTGATGAATAAAAACAATTTCAGTTTAATAAGTAAAGATGGATAATGGCAGGCAGTAGAATCCAGAACAAGCGCCACTTCGTCCTATTTGGGACTCATCGTTAGCTGGATGTACCTGCATCTCAGAGTTGATATTCACTCTGGGACTCGAACCTAGTATCGTTCGCTCCAGACTCCATCGTGTTATTCACTTAACTATTGAGTCCTGATGGCCACTTGTTTGTGCAATGGGCTGACGTTTAAATCCATTTAGGATTGTTTGACTTGAATCTTCTTATTGATGTTTAAGACTGTAATTGATCAGTCTCTTATTGGCTATGTGTATCCTGTGCGAATCATCTCGACATTGCTTTAATTCACAAGCATTGTAACCAGAGACGGATTCGAGTCTCAGAGTGAACATCAACTCTGAGATGCAGCTGCATCCAGCTGACGGGTCCCGAATAGAACGAAACGCGCTTCCTGGACTACACCGCTAGCCACTATCTATCTTTGCTTAAAAAATCTTGTAACTTAAGGCTATATCAAGGCAATCCGCACTGTATGCACATATATCTATAAGAGATTGATCAATTGCAGTCATAAACATCATTGGGAAGATTCAATTAAACAATACAAAGTAAATTTAATTTCACTGTAAGTTTATCAATTATGTATTTCCACTTGTAACCATGGATACAATTTATCAGAATTGATTGTAATTAGATAGGTACAACCTAGTTCATTTCTCTTTTTAGAGTAACATATATAATCCATGTTGTTTAATCTATTTAAACATCTAGATGAGTTATCTAATCACTCAGATTAATGTCCATACTCAGTAGAATGTGATCAGAACTAAGGTTTAATAGTGTGGTTTGTGTTACTGATGTCAACCGATATAAGTGGTATGCATTATCAATCGAAAGTGAAATGCCTGGAGGCAAAAGGTTAAGAAGATCAATGAAAAGAGAATGATTGGTATGGAAACGATGGAACAAACAAATCTGAGACGATTGATTGACATTTTGCAAATGAAGCATTTATTGTCTAGTTCTCAGATTTAACTAAGATGTTCTCTAAGTTTGTGTTCAAATACATTTGATTGTCACCACTTGTGTTCTCATTCACTACAATAATAACTTACCAAAATTTATTACAATTAGTATAACTTACAATGAACCTAAATGAAAGTATATGTTTCGATAATGATATTAGAAGACGAAGATTAACAGAACTATGTGATATATTAGCGCAATACATTTCGAACAATCTGGTCACACATATACTTGTTAAGAGCATTTATATATAAAAAATAAAAGGTCAACTAGACAGGAAACGGGGTAAGAGGAGATAAGGATAATGATAAGAGTAATAATAATAATAATGTGAACACAAAGCGAAACCTAATCACCCTGGATAATAAGTCAATATTACCAGGGTAGGTTTAAGGTAAGAACAAACTGTTTTTGAACACATAAAGGGGTTTGAATTTTCGTATGGCTAAGGCTTCAATAAACCTTAGTATACGCCCTTTTACACTTTTATACAGCACTACAAAAGCTGAATTTAGATCAATCTTGTGACCTGTTTCACTTATATGTTTAGCAATAGAGGATGATGGATGTTTATCCTCAGCTCTCTTATTGGGTCACTTGATTGTATTTGTTTCTGAAGCCATTTGGGTACATGTTCACTCACCCTAATGTTGAGATCACGATTACTCCTCCCTATGTATGTGTGACCACACACACATTTAAATTGGTAAACACAATGTAATGATATCAAGAATATTAAACGTTATATTGAATCAACTGACCATAACGCTTTCTTTCAATGTCAGGTTTCTTGTCAATATCTTCAAATTGTTTAATAGTTTCAAATGTATAAACTGGTGATGCATAAGTTTGATCTTGACGTATCTTATTTTCTACTTGTTCAGTTCCTTTAGCCAAACATCTTAATCGTATACCTTCACCACTGGATCGATAACCTTTTAATTGAAGTTTTTGTCCATTTTCCGATAGATTAGCACCAATTAATAATTGATTAGCAAGACGATTTGTATGTATTGGTTGATTATCATAAGTACGTAATTCCCATGCATAATTCATACCTTTTATTGGCTCACCAGTTGATGATTCTGAAATAATAAAGTAATTATATGTATTATGAAAACAATAAAATACCAGTTTTAAGTGTTAAGTCACAAACTGACCGCAAGCAATTAACCATTGGTGATCAGGAGCTACTAGACAATAGTTTTTTCCTAGTTTGGGAATTCTAAACAGCGCATATACATGGCTACACAAAGGACGGAACCCAGGAAATTCAAACGTCTTCACTTTCAAACCACTGAGTCGGAATCTAGTGGTTTACATATCTAACTTCAGTAGATATTGCAAGACCCTTTACCAACTGACATTCTTGACATTCATCTTACGTCTGACATCCTTAAAGGAGAACGAAAATACTTCGTACAGAAATCATTCATCATCTTCTAAGTGAGGATAGTACGTTTCAACTGATGATGACATTGAACAAGGATTATCTCACACTTATTTGCATATATACTACTGAATATGTTTTATCTTAGATGAAGAATTTCGCATATTCTAGTTATGAGTTCTAACTGGTGAAACTCAATCATAAACAAGACATGAAACTAGGATTATCGTCGAGAGTGTGCAATGCTTGTGCTACTATAATTGTTGAGTGAATAATGTTGGAAGGATCAATTAATTCAACAACTTATTCGTATTTTGGTCGTTGTAAAGTTTGAAATTCCTCAATTCCAAAGTCTTATAGGATAGTGACCAAAGAATACACTGCGTCGGCATTTGAAAGCAGATATGAAAAGGATGAATAGCAACTAGAAACAACTAGAAACAATTGCCACAGATAGAGTTCAATAAACAATACTGATGGGCGGCCTATGAGGAATAAAAGGCGTAAATAAGTAAGTAATTTGCAATAATAATAAACTGAATATGTTGTATGATTGTTTCGTACAATGAATTAACCCGAAATAAACGTTTATTATTTCTAATCCAGGACAGTAACTGTCTAATGTCTAACGTTCATTATCACTTAATGACTGTCGTTAGTTTATACCTTCATATCATTTTTCTTCATTTCAGTTTAATACGAACCCCCCCCCAAAACAACACAAAATTCCAAAATACAAAATCAATGTTTATGAATCATAAACCCTACCCCGACTGTTATATCCGAGCGAAGATTACATAACGAGTAATGTCTGAGACTTACTAATGGACTAATATTATTTATATATTCTTATAGTATAACTATTCAGTAACCGGTTTCTGTATATCTATATTCTCCTTGTTATAAGCTTTATTTTGATCTATATATTATTATTGTACGATTTATTGTTCTTAAGCTATGTTCAGTTTATTGACTACTGTCTCCCACGTTCACAGTCACTTTTTGGCTTTATTGTGTACAAATGTTATTTCCTATTTTATGGTGTGTTGCGGTCTGTTTGATTGATATATAAACCTAGTATGTGTGAAATAAATTATTCGATCCGATTCGCATACTGGAAGCTGGTATTGTTGTTCTGGACTCAAGTGGACGGACTAGGCGAGCATAGGACCAATAAGGACGCTAGGCTACTCATACCATTCGAACGTATTTTGATTGGTGGATAAATCACGTGATAAAAAGCCGGACATAAATCATAACACTGACCCTAACCTATTTCACAACAACAACAAAAAGTCATTTATCTTTTTATTCTCTTACCAAGTGCATAACAATCTAATTCGATATTTTCACCAGGTTTCACAGTGATTGTATCATTTGGATTTGTACCATAAACTTTGACAAGAACATTTGGATCTGTAAAAAGAAACATTGACATTTTAATTTATAATATTAGACAAGTTTTTATTCAATATACTTTATGAATGACCTTGAGGCATCATTCTAAATGCACCAATCAGAGTGTTTGTTTATTTTCGATGTTGTTTTTCTTTAAAATATGTGTTTGACAATTAAAAATGGAATATGTATAGTAGTTGTTTTCTAAAGTTAGGTTGATATAACTATACTAGAAAATAACTTCACCTAGAACCTCGTTGTGGCTACTGCCGGTCCCAAGGCTGAATGAAAGGAGGAGGGTTGGGTATGGAACTAGCGACCCCATCCCGTAGATAACTAACTCGCTAAAAAGACGCCAACCAGAGAAAATTATTCAAACCATTTAAACTCTGCCCTGTGAGTCAGAAGGTCTTCAGTTAGAAGAGTTATGACGCTTCATAGTGAAAGCCGAGTTCCTTCGGAAGCTACGAGGCTGATGCTCCTTCTGACAACCAGAGCAACCATTTATTTAGGTACACGGAATGTACGTACAATGTGGGAGACCGGGAGAGTCTTCCAAATTGCTGCAGAAAAATAGGTAAGTTTTGAAATCATAGTTAAAAATGATTGCATAGGAATGAATAAAAAAAGAATCTATTACTTGACAATTCTGTAAACACTGAATTCATGATTTGTTAGTGAATATATGAAGGAATGTATTTTCAACTAGGGCGGTCATCGTGTTTTTTCTGGTTAACAAATCTTTCCTTACACCAATCTTCCGTATTTGTACTTCGTATCATGGGAATTGCAGTGGTTCCTTGTTTCAAGAATAAGTAATAAGTGACTAAGACATAATAAATGGTGATGGGAATGGGATTTTGTAAAAAACTGAGCCGTAATTAAAAGTCGTTGGAGTCAATTTACAAGTTTCTGTTGTCAGCGGAACTGTCTCGTTCCAGTTATAACTCAGTTTTTAAGTCAAGTTACTCTCAAATCCAGTTCTTCTATTCTCGATTCTTTGTAACGATCAACTATATACTTAGTAGTGTAGGAATGTATTTAGAAGATGAAGATTATCAGAACTATGTGAAATATTATAGTGTGTTAGTATTATGTCAAGCCCATATGGGTATTCTTTTCCAGACAGATATTTTGACCTTATCCAACATTCACTTTCTCACCTTGACTGTTTTTATATGAACGTATGTATGTGCATTGCTTACTCTATTCATTACATAACTAACACATTTTTTTATCCAGTCACATTTTACCAAAACGAGCTGATCCACTCACCATCTCCGTTTTGTTTCGCTCTCCCGCTACCTAATCTAAATGTCTGTCTAAATAAATGAATGAGTGAAATAAATTCATTCAATCAAACGTGTATTTGGCATCTTATTACCGCTATCAAACAAACGGAGTTAGCTTAGTTAATATACAGAGTTAAGTGGAAGATTTATGTTTATAACATATTCATACATTCATCCAAATTGATGTCAGATTACTGGGCTACAATAAAGTAGCCTAATATAGTTTGAACAGTCCGGTCATACACATACATGTTAATGACATTTATAGATAAAAATAGAAGATCAACTAGACAAATCGAATGTATGAAGAAACAAATCTAATAACGAAGAAAATGTGGAGAACAATATGAAGCTCAACATAATAAATCAATATTATTAGAGTAGGTTGAGAACAAACTGTTTCTTGAATACATTATGAGATGAGTTTGAATTGGGAAATTCCCGATAGCCATAATAATAGTATACACAATTTTGGTCGAAATACCAAAAAATGCCAATCTCAGCAACTGTGATAACTACAGGAGCATCACCCTTCTGTCAATACCAGAAAAAGTCTTCAACAAGGTATTGGTAAACAGAATGAAGGACTCCGTAAACTGTAGGTTTGATTTGATAATTTCGAATAAATTGAGCATTGGGTTGATTGTTATAAATAAAAGTAATATATTTGTAATATCCCAATGAGTAGAAAATTAGATTTTCTGACGTTTCGTGACTTAGTGTAAGTCACTTTTTTCAGAGTAAATAAATAAGCAAATTAAAATTAATCCAAGTTCAAATAGTACAATTTATTCTCTGAAGAAGTGACTTACACTAAGTCGCGAAACGTCAGAAAATCTAATTTTCTACTCATTGGGACATTACAAATATATTATTTTTATTTATAGACCCCGTAGACGCCCAACGTCGAGACCAACAAACAGGATTCCGTAAGGATAGATCGTGTACAGACCAAGTCGCACACTATGGATCATTGTGGAACAATCAATTGAATGGAAGTCATCACTGTACATCAACTTCATTGACTACGAAAAGGTATTTGATAGCGTTGACAGAACAACACTATGGAAGCTTCTTCGACTCTACAACATGCTTCAGAAGATAGTCAATATCATACGGAATTCTTATGATGGATTATACTGCAGAATCGTGCATGGAGGCAGTAGACAAACTCGTTCGAAGTAAAGATCTGTGTCAGTCAAGTTTGCTTACTCTCACCCTTTCTCTTTCTCCTGGTGATCGACTGGATCATGAAGAAGTCAACATCTGAGAGGAATCATGGGACACAGTGGACATCTAGGATGCAGTTGGACGATCTAGACTTCGCAGATGATCTGGCCCTCCTATCGCAATCGAAACAACAAATGCAGGAGAAGACGACCAGTGTAGCAACAGTCTCAGCAGCTGTAGGTCTCAATATACACAATGGGAAAACCAAGATACTCCAATACAACACAGCATGCACCAATCCAGTCACAATTGACGGAGAAGATTTGGAAGATGTAAAAACCTTTACATATCTGGTCAGCATCATTGATGAACAGGGTGGATCTGATGCAGATGTGAGGGCGCGGATCGGCAAAGCAAGAGCAGCATATTTACAACTGAGGAACATCTGAAACTCAAAGTAACTGTCAACTAACACCAAGGTCAGGATTTTCAATACAAATGTCAAGACAGTTCTACTGTATGGGGCGGAAACCTGGAGAACTACGAAAGCCACCACATAGAAAATACAGGTGTTTATTAACAGTTGTCTACACAAAATACTTCGGGTCCGTTGACCAGACCCTAGCAGTAAAAACCAACTGTGGGAGAGAACAGACCAGATCCCAATGGAGGAAGAAATTAGGAAGAAGCGCTGGAAGTAGATAGAACACACATTGAGGAATGCATCCAACTGTGCCACAAGGCAAGCCTTCACATGGAATCCTCAAGGCCAAAGGAGAAGAGGATGACCAAAGAACACATTACGCCAGGAAATGGTAATAGATATGAGAGAAATGAACAAGAATTGGATAGAACTAGAAAAGAAGGCCCAGGACAGGGTGTGTTGGAGAATGCTGGTCGGCGGCCTATGCTCTATTGGGAGTAACAGGCGCAAGTAAGTAAGTAAGTTATCATAGAAATTTTAGATAGCCGATCAGATTAGTACTTATATAGATATATATAATATCTTACCATATGTTATACCCTGAATAGTTGTAATCTGTTTCTTTGGATCAAATCCTTCAAGTTCTACTTCACCTTTATGTCTAATATCTGACCAAAAATATTTCGATGTATAACGTTTAATTGGTTCTTTTAATTCTTTATCATAATCTTTTTGTATTAATGTGACAACACAACGTCCTCTATGCCATTTACCATAATTCAGTCCATTTAATGTCAATTTAATACCTCCAATTTCATTAGATAATTGTTCTTGTATAATTTCATCAGCTAAATAACCCCCATATGTATCATCTCTATCTGGTGCAGCTTCATCAAATTGAAAATGATAAATTGCTTCAGTCGAAGTAATTGGAGTATTATCTGTAATATCTATAGTTGTAAAAAGAAATCAAAATATTCGGTGAATACAAATGATAAATGGATTTCTATTCGTTTATTCACATTGTCAAATTACTTCAAGTAAATTACCAGGAAGGGGGGGTTTCTGGAGATTTCTAGTAATTTTATACTTGAATGGTTAAGTGCTCAGGCGCGAAGCCAGTAGGTCCTGGGTTCGAATCCCGCGGGGTGCGGGATCGTGGATGCGCACTGCTGAGGAGTCCCATACTATTACGAAACGGCCGTCCAGTACTTCCAGGTTTCCAACGGTGGTCTAACATCAATTAATTCATGATCTCAACCAAAAACTTAATCAATTAAAGTTAGACTACTTGAAAGTACTGGGAGTCCGTTTCGTCCTAGTATGAAACTCCTCAGCAGTGCACATCTACAATCTCTCTCGTGGGATTCAATTAATAAGTAGATAAAATATTAAAGATCAAATACTCTTTCATTACGAAACGTACGCTGTTCATTTGCTACATTTTGGACATTATTCACCGATCGCACAAAGAAAAGAATGGCTATATAGAGATGGAAATATGTTTCTATTAGTATCAGAAGGGGTTTTGTGGAGATTGTAGTAATTTAAACAGTTGAGATCATGAGTCAATTGAAGCTAGACCACCATGGAAAACCTGTAAGCACTGGACGGCTGTTTCGTCCTATTGTGAGACTCCTCAGCAGTGCACATCCACGACCCCAGCTGACGGGATTCGAACCCAGGACATATCGGTCTCGCACCAGGCACTTACATAATTTTTCAATTGTCTAGAATAATTAACAAATTACTTCTACTTTTGATGAAGTTTTGTTCTCTGAACTGGATGGTTTGGTCGTGGAGTTTTCATCGTTCTTCTGAGTGACATCATCATCAGCACAAACTTCAGATAGAAGAAGAAGAAGACTTCTATCTGAAGTTTGTGCAAACCATTCATCTCAGAGAATGATCATCCACCTGAGCTACTAAAAATCTTCACCATCTCATTACTTCTAATGTACATGTGTTAGTATTTAGTCGGTGTATAATATCTACATATAAATATGAGTCTTTGATATTCATTACTTTTGTCATCTTACTTAGTAATCTTATAATGTGTTTCATTAGATGATGAATGTATAAGAAATGAGCCTATTAACTTACTAACAGCTCGACATTCCAAGTTTACATTGTCGCCTTCTTCTGCTGATAAAACACCATTCGAAGGAATTCCTGTAACCTCAACGTGTATATGATTGTCGGCTGAAAATTGAAAAAAATAATAATATGTATTCAATAGAAACAAAACTAAATTTAAATCATCACCTTTGACATTTAGAATGAATTTTTCTCACTGGTACTATAAGACAATCAGCATTAAGAAGGTATAAGTATTTAGAAATAGTTGTTTACGCAAGATACTTAACATCCATTGGACGGATACCATCAGCAACAACCTACTGTAGAAGAGGACAAACCAGCATCCATCTGAAGAGTAAGTTAGTGGAAGACTTTGGAAGTGGATGGGGCATACATTACGCAAATCATCAAACTGTGTCATGAGGCAAGCCCCAACTTGGAATCCTGAAGGGAAACGGAAAAGTGGAAGGCCAAAGAACACATTACGTCGGAAAATAAAAGCAGATATGAAAAAGATGAATAACAACTGAAAAGGATTGCCTAGGTCAGGGTTGGATGAAGAATTCTGGTGAGCGGCCTATGCTTCTTCATGAGGAGTAACAGCGTAAGTAAATAAGTACTTTAAGAAGGTAAAGACATTGTAGTTAGGTGGAGTTATGTTATCTAGGCTAGATGATTCAGTCGTGGAGCATTCATTGTCGTTCTATTATACATCATCACAGCAGACCACTACTTGATATTATTCAGAAGAACAATGAACAATGCTTTACAATCCATCTAAATTATTCACCTGAACTACAAATTTTCTCCATCATATCAAAACATTATAATACTAGTAATACTTATTTTACAAACTGAAACTTAATGAAAGTGTTTTGTTGTTCACGCAAAAAATTATGAGGGTGTTAGTCTCTCAGAGCTCAATGGTTTAATCATGAGACTTTAACTGACTTTCTAAGTAATGTAATTAGAATATACACCGAGAAGTAAGCTACCGGAATTACTTCATAAATCACCAACAGCTTGTTATACAACAAGCAGCTTCATATATTCATATATAATAAGGGATTTTATGGAAATTGTAGTAACTTCAATATTTTAGGTAATGAGTCAATTGAAGCTAGACCACCATGAAAAACCTGGAGCACTGGACGTCAAACTCGTCCTATGGTGGGACTACTCAGCAGTGCAAATCCACGACCACGCCTCACGGGATTTGAATCCAGGACCTATCACTCTCAAGCGCAAACGCGTGCTGATGTTGTCCTTCAGAAGAACGATGAAAACTCAACGACAAAACCAACCAACTCAGAGAACAAAACTCTATCAAAGGTTGTTACCTCTCAATCCTCCAAGATGATTAATAAGCAGAAAAACCTCAGTCCTACAAAATTTGTTAAAGTCGTTGCTATCAGACGTCAAAAACGGGGCTTGTGTTCAAAAGGAGATGATTATTAATCTTTCATTGCCTTACTTACTTACTTACTTACTTACGCCTGTTACTCCTCGTGAAGGAACATAGGCCGCTCGCCAGTATTCTCCATCCAACCCTGTCAAGCAATCCTTTCCAGCTGATTCCAGTTGTTATTCGTCTTTTTCATATCTGCTTGTATTATCCGACGTAATGTGTTTTTTTGGCATTCCTCTTTTCCGCTTCGCTTCAAGATTTCCAAGTTAGGGCTTGTCTCGTGATACAGTTTGATGATTTGCGTAATGTATGTCCTATCCATTTCCATCGTCTTTTCCTAATTTCTTCTCCATATGGAAGCTGATTTGTTCTCTCCCACAAAAGACTGTTGCTGATGGTATCCGTCCAATAGATGTTGAATATCTTGCGAAGGCAGCTATTTATAAATTCTTATACCTTCTTGTTGGTGGTTGTTGTAGTTCTCCAAGTTCCAGCTTCATACAGTAGAGCTGCTTGACGTTGGTCTTGAAGATTCTCACTTTGATATTGGTTGAAAGTTGTTTTGAATTCCATATATTCTTCAATTGTAGGAATGCGACCCTTGTTTTGCCAATCCTTGCCTTTACGTCTGCATCGGAGCCTCCTTGTTCATCGATGATGCTTCCCAGGTATGTGAAGGATTCTACATCTTCCAGAGTTTCGCTATCAAGAATGACTGGATTGCTGTTCTCCGCTTTCATTGCCTTAGTGACAAATACTATTTTGTTGCATCTTAAACTTCTTTTTAACTCTTCCACATTAGTTATCTTATTTTATTAACTGAGCTCAACTCATTTTGTTTCTATCGGCGTTTATTCATTATGTAACCACCAGTATTCTGTCTCTTCGAACTTTTATTACAATCAATGTTTGAGAATGTACTTGTACATCATGTATATTGAAGATGCCACAGGTATTCGGAGTTTGACAACGCTTTAACCAGTAACACCTTCTACTATGAATCGTACCCACTAAGTGAAATCAAAAGACAGAAGCGAGGAGCTTCGAATATATATTTGATAAACTATCAATATATTGAGGATCTTCTGATCTAATCTGCCTAGCGATTGCAAGGGTTGTTGATCACGGCTTTCCCATACGTGATCTGGTGCGGATGCATGACCGAGCGCCTTCAGCTAGGTGAGTCCATTAAAACTAATGTGATCAGCACCCAATGTCGAAAACTTGCGGAAATATTCATTTTGGGGATTTATTTACCGCTTCAATATATTTACAATATTCAGTCTGGTCAATTTATTCGCACACTTGCTGTACTATACTAATGTATCTTCTATATAACTTCCAACTGAACCCTTTCATGTAAGTCATTTAAACCCAATATGTAGTTATGATTATAAATATCACAGGTTATAAGCAGCTGATGAGAACCAGACGAAATAAGACGAATCCATGCTATTCTACTAGAATCTTTGGTTCTTGCTCTTTTCAAAGTAATAAAAGGAAGTATATATTTGAAAGTGTATCCATTGAATTAATTCATCGTCTTCCCATTCGAATTCCATAGTTATTATTAACATTATAATAAGTTAGTGAGATTACAATTTATGGGCAACATTTTGGACAACGATAAAATGATCATCAGAATGTCTATCTACTTATTAAAGTTATAGATTAGTGTAACTAATTATAATCGATAGTTTATTTATTCATTTATTTTAACACATAGATACTGGTACAAGGAGGTACCAAATACATATGCACCACACAGATCTCATTTGATATGTGTGTGGGCTGTGATACTGCCCGGGTGACCAAACAGAACCGGGTGGTCTTCTTAGGGGGCGACAACTGGAGCCTTCAGCCTGAAGGTCTGATCAACAAGGCAGTGGAGCATCGTAAGGAGATGCAGTCACATGGTAGCCGGTGACCAACGATTGTTTCATACACTATTTGTTCCTTCAGGATACTGGAACCTATGGGCACCATTGAATTGCAATCATGGTTTTCCAACTCCCCTAGGTAGACTTTCCATGTTCATTAACCCGGTTAAACCGCCGGACATTCGCTTTCTGTCCTCTCAATTTCGTAAACAGCACTCCCGCCACGAGAAGGCAATGAGTAGGACTTCCCTATCAGTGGTTGTATGCACGTGATCATGTAAGAGCATTTCGAGAGAGAGAGAGAGAGAGAACGGACTCTCCCCACTCTCGGCCGTACTAGGGCATTTAAGGTATTCATCATGAATTGATATTAGTGAAAATATCAAAATGATATCTAATGAAATCAAGAATAAATGAATTTTGCGCCAAAATTAAAAAAAACTCTATTTTAGCTCTGATTGGTTTATTCATCAATGATAATCTTGCCTATTAAATGGAATGTTTTATTTTATCCCCTACAAGAAATATGTCAGAATATCATTGTAGTCTACTTACAGAATACATTTATACAGTTTTGTTTTTGTTATGATAAATGGATATTCAGCAGATACACACACACACACACAGAAGCACACACACACACCCGAGGGAGTTGGATATTGATTTTAGTTGACAGGTGATCTTTATTCTTATAAGCCCAAATGAAAGATTATCTTCTTTCATAAAGAAGAAAAAAAATATATTTCTTGAAATGTACTACATTCTAAAATATGAAAAGAAAGAATAGAACTTTGAAAGTTAGATTTTGATTTTATTGATTTTTCAACAGTCTATGAAATCACCATTTGTCTTGTTTATTTAATACTTTCTAATTAGATTTAGTTTTGCTTACTTACTTACACTTGTTACTCTTCGTGAAGGAGTATAGGACGCTCACCAGAATTCTTCATCCAACCCTGACTTAGGCAATCCTTTCCAGCTGTTTCCAGTTGTTATTCATCCTTTTCATATGTGCTTCCATTTCCCGACGTAATGTGTTCTTTAGCCTTCCTCTTAGTTTTACATTCTACTATTTTGTATTAAAATACTGGGGGGAAAATACCTTATTCTATTAGGCATTTTCGTTGTCTTTTAACAGGTACTCAATTTTAAGGAATTTATCGTTAATAGTTTGTTGTATGATCATTAGTTATGGAATCTGATACCATTCACTTAAAATGTTATCGCGTTATTCACTTAGGATGAAACACGAGTCCTGGATTCTACTGTTATCCACCATTCATCTTTGCTTATAAAGCATGTGATATAAGGCAATAATCAAGGCTATCCACATAGGATACACATATGCCAATAAGAGACTGATCAATCGCATTCCTAAACATTAGTGGGAAGATTCAAACAAACAATACCAAGTGAATTTAAACTTCACCCTATTAGACAAACGAGTAGCTATCAGGACTCAATAGCTAAGTAGATAACTCGATAGCGTTTGAATTGAACGCTACTAGGTTTAAGTCTTAGAGTTCACATCAACTCTGAGATTTAGATACATCCAGTTGACGAGTCCCAAATTGGACGAATTAGCACACATGCTGGATTCAATTGCTAACCACTGTCCATCATTGCTTACAAAAAGCTTGTGAATTAAGGCAATATCTAGGCCATATTCACATGATGCACATATGCCAATAAGAAGAGACTGATCAATCACAATCCTAAACAACAATGACAAGGTAGAAGCAAACAGTACCAAATGAATACAAAATGGATTATCTCTTATCTTATAAAGACTAATCATAACTAATAAATCTAAATGATGATTATCTTTGATGAACATTTCAAGAAGTTGATCTACTTAACAATTAATTAAAACTAACTTACGTCCAGTTTTTCCATCAATCGATGGTTGACGAACATTGATATGGAAATAATCTGAATAATATATATGTTTATTTTCAGGACTATAAGCTGAACAACGTCCAAATAAATGTTTACTCCATTGTAAATGATCGGTTGGACGAAGATGTATAAAACTAATGACATTGATTGAACGTAATACAATTTGAGCTATTGTATCAGTCATTATAGATTGATCATTACGATCACGAATTTCCCAAGCATATATAGCATCTGATAATGGTACATTAGTTTGTGTATCTAAAACGGTTAAACAATAATTATAAAAAAAGAAATTTAAGTATTTATTTGTGCTAGATTTGAAGCTAATCACTTATTCAGCGAACAAGAAACAAGACTTGGTGACCAAAGATCAGTAAGATAGCTATTGACGCATCCCAGCCCCACTAACTAAAGGGACAAGTCCAAGCTTGGAATATTCTGCAAAACAGCCAGAAACGATCGGTAACAGGAAACACAATTCAAAACGTATATATACAGTACAAAACCGTCCTTCAGGAGAATTACCAAACAACGGGCCAATAGCATTTAAGTTATTTGCCAGTAGGAAATACGACATGAAGGTGACAAGAGCGCCTTTGGCGCGAGAACAAAGGAAATTCAAATTTTCTAAATAAAATTACAAAATTAGGTCCTTTCTCAAGCGAATACTGAGGATCTAACGTCCCCAACAATTTGTTACTAAGGTTTATTCAGATGAACTTCTAAACTATTTAGCTAAAAGTTCTGATTTGTGAAGTTAATTAATAGAACACGATTGATATAGGATATTGTGATAAGATTATTAAATATTATGGCAAGGCTATCATTTTTGGACGAGTCAATCAGAAGCGTTTTAGGGCTTTCAAGTTCACGATGCTAATTTCAGTACTTGACAATCACTTACGATCGGTTGATAGGAGATTTTAGAGATGTGATAACAAATGGGACTAGTAAGAAATTCACTTATTTGTGACTACGGTAATCATCAAGTGACTGTTGTACCGTGTGCAGACTACTATGATAAGACTGTCTTTTGATATTATTTATGTTGGAGGAAGAAGTCTGCTAGAACAGGAACTTTGTTCGCTTGATCCTGATTGAAACTACCTTTTTGCACTTTCAATCAAATCGTATTGAGTAATTCACTAAAGACAATGATGGATGTGTCTTTGAATTTCGTGGATTAATTGATGTTAGACATGACAGCCGGCTCAGTGGTTTAGAAGTTATGCGCTCGTGTATGAGACCAATAGGTCCTGGGTTCGAATCCATTTGGTGTGTGATTGTGGGTGCTTATTGCTGATGAGTCCCACAATGGAACGAAAATTCCGTCCATTGATTTCAAGTTTTCTATGGTGATTTAGCTTCAATTGACTATTAAATAATTTCAATGGTTAAGATTATGAGTCAGTTGAAGCTAGACTACCATGGAAAACCTGGAAGCACTGGACGGCCGTTTCGTCCCACTGTGAGACTCCTCAACAGTGAACGTCCACGACCTCGCCCCCTGCGAGTTCAACCAGGTCAGTTGTAAGATAGTAACTCACTGAAGACAATGGTGGATATGTCGCTCAATTTCATGGATTGGTTGAAGTTAGACATTAACACCGTTGGCTGCCAACCGGCTCAGTGGTCTAGTGGTTAAGTGCTCGCGCGCGAAATCAGTAGATCCTGGGTTGGAATCTCGCCGGGGGCGAGGTCATGGATGCGCACTGTTGAGGAGTCCCACAATAGGACGAAACTTTCATCCAGTGATTCCAAGTTTTCTATGGTGATCTAGCTTCAATTGACTATTCAGTAATTGTTGATTTCAATTAAACATGAATAAATCATCTAAAGTTCAATAATAAGTCATTCTAATGTTAATTGTACTAATTTAATAGAACAATCGAATTGAATGATTCACTTACCAATTGCATAACATTGAAGATTCACTTTATCACCAGACTCTGCTGTCAATTGTCCTGATGTTGTTAAACCAACAACGCCAACACGAACTTTATTACTATTCACTGAATATGTATATATAAATGAATAAAATATTTAATGAATAGAGGATTTAGTCATAAAGAATTACATAGTTACATGTCATCACAGATTATGTAACTGTTACATAATAGTTCTAAGTATAACATACATTAAGAAGAAATAAAGGTGAGACTCTAATACATGGACGAGCCAGTCAGTGGCGTTTTAGAGATTTCAAAGTTACGGCGCCAACTTCACTGCTTAATGTTAACGTACAATCGATTCATAGGGAATTTTGTACAATACGTGATAATTGAGCGTCTATAACAAATAAAACGGCGAGACCATACTTTGTGGACGAATCAATCAGGTAAAAGATAATAGATGTTGGATTTTAATGCAAAAGCCTTTAATCCATTTGGCTAAATACATTCCTGACATTATGTTTGATGTCAGTTCGTGATAAAATCCTGGAATCTAATCCCTAACCTTAACCATTAACTGTAAATCATGATTCTAATCACCTCCATTAGTTTATAACGTTCATTTGGTCCTGGTTATTAAGTGAACACTCTCAAGTTTAGTCTAACGTCTGTCAGTTATTATATTAAGCCCATATATCTTATTCTAGCTTTCGGATATCCCATTCTATTCATTCTACTCGAGCCATACTTTGACCTTGTTGTTTATTCGCTTATCAATCTAGACTGTTTTTATATGAGCGAATATGTATGTGCCTTTCTTATCCCATTAACCACATGTCTGTAGCTTTATTTTGTCTGACTATAAATATTGAGTAACGCTTGACTAAAATGGAGTTGGCTTCCCAGCCATCTTCCCTGTGTGTCATTTTGCTCTGCTCTGTTTCATTCGCTTTATATACAAAATATATGTATTCACAAATCAATTCTCGTTATTCGACTTATTTAATTCGGTCATTGACTGACGCGATTTAAGTCGACGATGATATACGAGAATAGGCGATAAAAAACATTCGTACGGTGTAAATAGGAGTCAGATCCACGGGCCACTAAACGTCAATCAATGGTCATTCATAAATTATAATCTTACTATTTTTGTTTTAAAATGCTTATCATTAAATCAATCGACTGAATAAATACACTTTAAAAAAAACTCAGCTTTCTAATCAATAAACCTACAATCTGATCCACCAATAGGTCCTGTATAAGTACCATCTTCTGTAATAGCAATACCAAACATTTTTGAATGATATAGAAGTTGTTCAGTTTTCTCTTTTTCTATTCCATCTAACATGATCAATGTTTTGGTGATATTAGCAATCACAAAACAATGTCCTTTCAAATTGCCTTGTTCTGATAATTGACTAACACGTAAACTATTTAAACGTAATACACCATCACTGCTAGATAGACTAACATCATCAGCTAAATGACTTAATGATATAAGATTTCCATTGGAATCCATCAATTCCCAATTATAGGAAATTATTGCAGAGTTGACACCTTCTTTAACTAAAGAAGACAGTGAAAAAAAATGAGACAAAATTGATAATCAATATCAGATAGATGTTACGATCGTTGGACATAATCAACAAGAAACACATTAACTTAGAACTCGACTGGTTAACAGTTATGAGGACTGCATATATATGTGATCTCAAGATTAATGTGTTAGGTCCCGAGAAACATGATGAATGGTAACTTCGGGATCCATTTATGGACCAATACTAAACGTATATTTCTATTGTACAATTATTAAGTAACTAAACTATTCATATTCATATTCCTTTTATTATAAACTTCATTTTGACCTATGAACCATTATTATAAGCTTTACCATTCTTGAGTTCTACCCTCTCTATTAATTACTACCTCCCTCATTCACAACCACATTTGGCTAATTCGTGTACAAATGTTGTTTCGTATTTTATTGGTACGTTATGGTCTGTTTGATTGGTATACAAACCCAGTATATTTGAAATAGAATGATTCATATCACAGAGGTTGAGATTGGTGTTCTCAACTTAACTGGATGGGCTAGGCGAAAAGCAGGACCAATCAGGACTCTAGGCTGCTCGTACGTGTTTTATGTATCCTTGGTCCGATCGATAATTCACTGTCCTCTAATCGGCGGTCACACGTTATAACAGAATGTTAATAATATAGGTTAGATAGATAGAAGTCTTTATTGTCTTAGAATACATGTTGCACATATTCTTGTCTTAATGTGAAGATCTTTAGGACATGTGCCCATCTAGTTGGTAGATACAAGCCATCTAAATTTTACACTGCATTTCTAAACTATGAAAACAATACATCATTTACACATCTTCCTCAAATTGTCTCTTACAGATTTCATTGTTTTTTTTCATTCCTATCACTACTCGAACTGCTCCCGTCTTTCTTACTCTTCTTCTTATGTTTCTCACTTTCATTAGGAATCATACTTCCGATTTTTGATACATACTACTTATATCTGTCCATATAAGTAGCACACATCACTTGTATAATTATTAGGAAAATGATACTAATTCTTGAGATTAGTAATTTGGAGGATTATTTTTACTTTCAATATTAGTATCTACCTAACTTTTTAAGTAGAATATCAATTTCATCAAACTGTAGCAATTTTTGCAATTAGAGACCAAGCGATCTCCAACCACTAATTAGACGACTTTAGGTTGAGGAAATTGTAGGAATCTTGAAATTTCATTTCCGATTGCCGTCATGAACCGACTGATGTTAAACCATCATTAAAAACCTTCAGGCATTGGAAGGCCATGTCATACTGTTGTGGGACCCCTGAGAAGCGCGCAACCACGATCCACTCGCGGCATTCGAACCCAGGGCGAGCGATTGCTAAACTTTTAGACTACTAGAGTCGGCATCCAATGGTATTAATGTCTAACCTTAAATTCTGCAACCATCATTCATTTTAGTGAGGTAGATACCTGTCTCTACTCGACACAGATTAGTCCCACTGGTCACGGTATCTCACTAGAACTCCGGAAATTCCCTCACGAACCTAGTCACTAGTGTGCACATGGTAACTATCAGTATGGGGTTGTGAAGATTATTAAGTTTTTGATTTTGTTTTCATCATTACAGGTTAATGGCGATAGTAAATGACGAACGATTAAAATGAGGAAATACATCAACAAATTCAATGAGATAAATGTGCACCAAAAGAATCTAGTCTATTCTCTTCAACGAAGACTCAGTCATTCATGCATTATATTAAAAGTAAACAAATAAAGGGGAATGAGATGTTTGTTAAGTTCACTAATCAACTGATTCCTTTATAATTGAATGAATACTAATTCGTACATTATACCATATACATTGAAAGTGTGAATTAAATCCTACCTTCAGCATTACAACTAAGTGTTTTTTCATCATTAGCCGCTCCAATCAAATTCCCGTCATCATTTAAACCGTTCACCGTGACAAGAATACGATCATCTGTATCTATATAGAAACAAAATGATTAATCAGAATTATAGAAAATAAACAAGACAGTATAGTAGATGGCAGCTATAATAACAAGTCTTGAATTTTGGCCAAATAGCATTCTTGGCATTCTAGATGATGTCAATTCGTGATGGAAACCCTAAATCTAATTTCTAACCTTAATCATCAATTGTGAATCATAATTCTTATTCTTCAAACTGCTTTAGAACCTTCATTTAGCCCTAGGCAGTAGGCAGACACTATCAAAGTCACTTTTGCATTGCTCATAGATTGTTCATAAGTTATAGTCTCATCACAATATCCAGTCTAAGTACAAATCTAATTGTTCCTTTCGATTCATACACACAATAAAGTGTATGCTAGTCACTTATTGATGAAATGAATACGATAAATGAGAATATACTGCATAACATTTAACCTATCTAGAAAGAAGACGCTTCAATATAATAGGACTACCAGTAGGGCTTTTGATTTCTATGGCTTGGAGAATGATGACCAATTATATACCAGAATTGGTAATACAATCGTCATATCAGTACTGTTATTATATTATTATTATTATTATTATTATTATTATTATTATTATTATTATTATCGTATACGTCTCATAGTCGGTTTATTTATCTAAACCCGACGTCATCAATACTGTACTGGAGATATTCGACTTGTGTTAATGTAGATTACGGTCAGACAAGTTGATTTATTTTCCTTCATTCACATTTTGACCATGTCAACTATTCGTTTATTCACCTCGACTGTTTTCATATGAATGTGTGTGTGTGTGAGTGTATGTAGCGTGAAGTCGAGTCGCGATTGACTATGAAAACCACTACAAGAAGACTACGTGCCAGTTAACCGATAAAATCCCCCGTAAGCCAAATATCAGAAGGCAGTTGATGACTGTAGTCGAGATGTATTTATTGGCGATCTCGTGGTATCGAAAGGATAACGAGATCGTGCTAACAGGAGTACAAGCGTGGTTACCGAGCGTAACCGAACCAGTGCAAGGTCACAATCAATGGAGTAGTAGTAATATGACTGTCTTTAGAACAGTTAAACAAACGAGCACAGTAAAACAACCACTGATACAACTGGTTATAATAATGATTGTTTCCATTAAATCAATCGCGTTCTCTTGGTAAAAGTAGGTCACTACAAGTACATCACTTACTTATTCATTAAGTCTGACTGGAATTATTAAATCATGGTTGACCAAATGAAGTTGGCTTACTTGCCTTCTCCGCTTTGACAGTATGTATACTTCATTGAATGATGGATATAGAAGTTCCATTTAGGGAACTTAAAAAATTATGGACACTAGTGATCCTAAGGGAATGTATTCATTTTATTAGATAGATCAAACCAAAGTATTTGGTGTAAGGTCTTAACCTTCAACCCAGTTGTTCAAAGTAAGACATTTCAATCATTAATTCACTACTGTTTCCTAACAGAAACAAGAGTAAATATATAGATTGATTGAATTCTTATTACACTATCCTCTTAAATCTAATCTAATAAACTGATAACAGGCTTAAGATTGAATGATTCAAAATATTTGACGAATCATCATAGGAGTCTATCAGACCTAAATTGTCTTAATTCATAATCTTTAATAGCGATGTAAATACATGATCCTGCGGACTTCTACAGTTTAGGCAAAGAAACCTTCTATGATTTATTGTTCGATACCAGTCTGTGATAGAATGTAGTATCAAATTGAATGAATCTGTTAAATCATGAGTTTAAGTTTAACAGTAGAGATTATCGACAAATACTTACCATCAGCTTCTTTAATGCCTTTCCGTTTGATACTTTCTTCATATTCCTTCAGTTTTTCTACATCATCTAATGTTGGTGGTTTGCGTTCAGGTTCTATGATATCTTTCTCCAAATGAATTAAGAAATCTGGTGAACTATCCCATTTATTTGATCCTTCATAAGAAACTTTACATCGTCCTTTAACAGTACCAGATAATGAATCTAGATTAGTGATTGTTAACTGATTTTGTATAAATTGAAAATCTCCTTTTGGATGATGTACTCCAGGCTCTTGGAAATCCCATAGATAGATGACATTTTCAGCTGGTTTTCTTGTTGTCATATCTGTTTATGAAAAAGTGACTTTCAAAAAAAGCTGGAATGAAATTTATATTGAACATGAATATGTGGGTACTGGGATACTGCCCAGATACCCAAACCGAAGTAGATGTTTCTTTAAGGTTCCGCACTCCCGATCCTTTAAACTAATGATCTAATCCACAAAGCAGTGGAGCAACATTAAGAGATGCAATCACATGGTAGCCGGTGACCACCGATTGGTTCATACACCATTTGTTCTTCTTAGGATCCTGGAGCCCATTTGCACGATTGATTCGGAATCAGAGTTTTCTAACTCCCATAGGTGGACTCTCCGTATCCACCAACTCAGTTAAAACCCCAGACATTCAATTTTCGTCCTCTCAATGTTGTAAACAACACCCTGGTTGTGAGAAGGCAGTGAGTAGGACTTTCCTGACAGTGGTTAGAGCATTTCGAGAGAGTGTGAACCCTCCTCACTCTCGGCCGTGCCAGGGCATTTGGGGGCACTTTTTCACTGAAACCGTGTACCTAAATTTCGTGCTAATTGACACTTGTCAGCAAGGTGTACCGTTACGGATTCGAACCTGTGTCACTCAGTTTCACAATTACAGATGTTACCACTGAGCTAACCGGGTGGCTTATTTTCCTTTAAAGTATGGACAATGTTGGTTTATTGTATTCTATAAAAACACTGATTGTAACCAATCAGAAACAACATCGGCATATATTGAAAGCTGAAAAAAACAAAGCTTATGTATTGTTACTTGTAAGTGGTTTAATCATATAGTTGTTAAATGTAAGGACCTAATTTTTTTTATCAATCTTTGTTTACATCTTGTACAGATTGTCTTCTTTAAGCTAGGATCCATATATCTGCGGACTGCTTGAATATTTGGACTACTTGTTCCTACGATCTGGATATTTCACCAAGATATCGGTTTTCTGTCTGTTGGTTTTAATACATCATTATATCTATGAATCACATAACCTAATCAGGTGCGTTTATGAAAAGTTTACGACAAGTTATAAAAGAGCCCACTTAGAGACAATGTGGTTGCTGGCAGTATATATAAAGAAGAATGTACATTATTCCGATGTTGATTCTTGAACTGCTAGCATCTAACTTAAAATCATTCAATATTTATTGCAAGGATCGATTAAGAAATAAGTAAAGGAAACTTATTGAAATACTTCTAGTTTCTGGGTTCGAGGTTGGGTGTGAACATCAACATTGGGATTCAAGAACACATAGCCGATAAGTCCCAATTACTAAGAAACGTGAGTCCTAGATCCCATAGTTATCACAATTGAACATTATATATATCTTACATTGAGCGAATACCGATCGACTCCAATCAATTATATTTCATTTTCCTGTTCTAGTCACTGATCAATAAGAATAATATTAAAAGTAGCTTGAAAATAATATACTACTTAAATGAACTGACAATAGGACGCTAAAGCCCTGTCAGGTTGACCTGAACTGGAAATGTGAGAATAGACATTATATCTATACAACCTAATTTAGTAAGCCAGGTGGGTGAGACTATAGTCTGTGAACGAACCAACAAGGTATAAAATAACAGGTCTTGGATTTTGGCGCGAAATTCACTCATCTATTTGGCTAAATAGAGTTTTGGGAGTATAGCTTATGTCAGTTCATGATGATGTTTACCCCAAATCTAATTCCTAATCCTAACCACTAAATGTAATTCAAAATGCTGATTCCTCATACGGGTTTATAACCCTTATTTTGTCCTGGTTATTAAGTGGTCACTCTCAAGGTCACCCTCCTGAGTGCCCAAAGGTCATTATAGTCTCACCAATAAAATTATCATAACATAAATAACATACCAATAGCAGAACATTCCAGTGAGACGTTATCTCCTTGTTTAATTTGAAGTTGACCATCTTTGTCTAAACCATGTACAGTAATAAGATATCTAGGAGTGATCACTAAAACATACAGAAAAGAACAAACAGATTGAAGTTAACTCTGGATATTATCAACTTTCGTTTTATTGAAAATGTAATTTATCAGAGGGTGGGGGAGATTTGGCTCTGATATTCACACACTAAGACCTATTCAGTTCATCTACAACTTAGGACCAGGCACATATATCCACCAATCCATGTTGCCATACTGAGATCTGCTGCTGAACAGCTTAGTCGAAATATGCTAAAAGCTTGTATTTGAAAAGAGATACTATTGGAGATACTCGTTATCTAAATGGGATTGAAGTTCTTAAAATCACCAACGGAAAAGTGTTTCTCTTACGTTCTCTACTTTATTACGGCAGAATACGATAGGCAATTAACGGGACTTGAACGTGTAGAACCTTACAATTGCAGTCTTATATTTAAAAATGAATTGCGTTTTAGATTATGAAAGCATTCATTGTAACTAGTGGAACTAATCCGTGTCGGACAGAGACAGGTATCTACCTCAGTAAAACGAAAGATGGTTGCACAATTTCACAGATTGGTTGAAGTTAGACATTAAAACCATTGGATGTCAGCCGACTCAGTGGTCTAGATGTTAAGTGTTCGCGTGCGAAACTTGAGACCCTGGGTTCGAACCACATGAGCGGGACCGTGGATGTGTACTGCTGAGACATCCCACAATATGATGAAATGGTCGTCCAGTGCTTCCAGGTTTTCAATGATGGTACAACATCAATCGGTTCATGATCTCAATCAAAAACTTAATAGTCTCTACAATCCCATACTGATCATTTCATGACCGACTGTCAGTTAAACATTCTTACCAACATCAATTCAAGCAATCCATTACCCCATTCCATCATTATATTGTTAAACTAACCTTTACAAATCATAGTTACATTCGATGAAATAACATTTTATAGCAGATAATTTAACAAATCTATTGTATATTTCTGAAAAAAAATAGTGTTCATATCTTAAATGAGAAAGAATCATCTATGATAATAATCAATGAATCACCTGGAATAACTTCTGATACTTCTTCATCAGTTTCAGTAACTAATCGATAATATGGTGATGTATAAATTGATGTACCATTTGATAAACGACATCTTAAATAAGCTCCATCTTTTTGAGTTAAATCATCATTTAATAAAATCGATAAATAACCATCAGGTGATTCTTCTAATTTAGAAACTAATGGACCAAGTGAACCACGAAAAGGTGATGTTGTTGATGAGGATGATGTTTCATATTGAGTATAATAATAATCCCATCCATAATTTAAATCATCTACTCGGTCACCAGTTCGAGCGTCTATGAAATTCATATTGAAAAGATAAATAAAAAATAAAATGGGCAACTTTAATTGATAATATGGAAAACTTTCAACAATTTCTAAATGTATAACTTTAACCTTGTTGTTTATCATTATGTAGTGGGTTATTTATACCCACATAAGTAGTATATAACGGTATGTGCTTTGTACTTTAGAAGTGCAAAGTACTTCTACAAGACTGGCAGGACTCTAATCCTGTACTCACTCTGGATGGTGAACAGATAGAAATAGTCGAGAAGTTCGTGTATCTAGGTAGCTGCATAGGTGCTGGTGGTGGGGTGAGTGATGAGATCAATACACGTATAGTGAAAGCCAGAGAGGCTTATGCCAATATGGGCCATCTTTGGCTCCTTCGTGATGTCAGTCTGGCTGTAAAGGGTCGGATCTACAACGCAACGGCGGGAGCAGCTTTGCTCTATGCTGATGAAACCTGGCCTCTCCGAGTTAAGGATGTTTGACGACTCTCTCCGTATGATCATCGTTGTCTCCGAAGGAGTGCTGATATCCAGTGGCAACACCATATTAGTTCTGCAGAGGTTCGGCATCGTGTGTTCGGGTGCAGAGACGATGATTCAATTGGTGTCACCATCTCGAAACATCGACTTCGGTGGCTTGGATATGTTCGACGAATGCCGTTCCAGAGAATTCCACATCGTGTATTATTTGCCGACACTGGGACTGGTTAGAAAAAGCAGAGAGGTGGTCAGTGTATAACATGGTGTTGTGGTTTGAAAGAAAGCTAAAAAGGGCTGGATTCTGTTAGTCCTTCACGACTCCCTGGCTGGGGTCCTAGAGATGATGCAACACAGTGGCTAGAGACGTTATCAGATATGGCTCAGAATAGAAGTCAGTGGCGGTCCTGCTGTAACCTTCTACTCTCTTCATAAAAATTGGTTGTATCTTCCTTAACTGAAAGATTTCTTCTTGTCTTACCTTTCCGTTTCCCCCATTATTACTATTATTATTATTATTACACCACCGTACACTAAATCTATTCGTTATTGTTCTTTTTTTCTTTCTCTTCGAATTCTCATTGTTTTGTGTGGCGGATATATATTTGGTGCCCTCTTGTACCAATATTTATGTGTTCAAATAATAATAATAACATAATAGTATATAACGGTGGTCAGGCATAGAATGTATTTTAGTAGAAGATTGATAAGGAAAGAACAGAAACGGAACGTAATTGATATGAAAATGCATGAACAATGAAATCTGAGACAATGGACTGATGGTTAACAACAGGAACAGTCAAATTTGAGATGATGGATTGATTGATTGGCGATTTCGTCATGTGATATTTGACAAGCCATTAGAACCGTTAAATAAAATATCTTCTAGCCCATAATGCTTGATATTGTCAAGGATGGGAAAAGTCTAATGTATAGCCTAATTCTATTATCAACTTTACTCCCAAATACTTGGTTTCAGGTGTCTACTTTGTACTCATTTTTTAAATTATATTGTGACAATTTTTACACTTCAATATCCTTAACAGTTATCAACTAACTCCGCCTAGAGCCCGTCTGAGAGTACTGCCGGTTCCAAGCCCGGATAAAGAAGGAAGGTTGGATATAAGGTCAGCAATCCAATCCTGTAGAAAACGAAATCGCTAAAAAAAATAAACGCTAACCAGAAAAAAATAATTCATACGTTATCAACTTATGTAATTATCAACCGACTTGTTCAATCATTGATTACAAGTTCCACAATCATTCATTACTGTACTCTAGTCGACTTTCAAGAATCTTTTAAATAGGAAATATGTAATGAACCTGGAAATTATTTACATTAACTAGTTACTAACATCATTTATAATAAAACAAGGAAACATTCATGAGCTATTTAGATATCAACATGGTGTTCCTCCTTAGGGAGGTACAGTTGACCTTGACAAATATTGAAATCAATATTCGTCTGGCTAGAATTTCTGTGTTCATTATCAATAATCGATTTTCTCTTTCAGTAGAACCATTATACAAAACAATGTAATTATGTTACCATTGGATAATTACACTATATGAAGACCATATTTTTTATACTGTCTTCTAATGGATGAGAGTAATATATAACAGTTGTAATCATTAGCAAACTTGATTATGAATTAAGATAAGCTTACATAACATAAACGTCAACATACAATGTCATCATAACACTACTTACCAATACCAATACAACGAATTGTTTCAGATTCACCAGATTTCAATAAAATTTTACGATCCGTTGGTGAAATATCCACTAAACGTACCAGTATACGACCATCACCTTTGTTAAAAAAAAGAGTAATTTCAAATGTAAATTTCACGGTTTTAAGAGTCATGACAGATATTATTAAACGTAAGTTTATGGTTCTTCTATCGCACAAGCAACAACAACAATCAAGAGAAGACGACCAGTGTAGCAACAGTCTCAGCAGCTGTAGGTCTCAACATACACAATAGGAAAAGCAAGATACTTCAATACAACACAGCATGCAGCAATCCAATCACAATTGACGGAGAAGATTTGGAAGATGTAAAAACCTTTACATATCTGGTCAGCATCATTGATTAACACGGTGGATCCGATGCAGATGTGAGGGCGCGGATCGGCAAAGCAAGAGCAGCATATTTGCAACTAAAGAACATTTGGAAATCAAAACAACTATCAAACAACACCAAGGTCAGAATTTCCAATACAGAAATTAAGACAGTTCTACTGTATGGGGTGGAAACTTGGAGAACTACGAAAGTCATCATCCAGGAGATACAAGTGTTTATTAACAGTTGTCTACGTAAAATACGTCGGATCCGTTGACCAGACAACCTACTGTAAGTGCAAACAAACCAGATCCTAGTGGAAGAAGAAATCAGGACGAAGTACTGGAAGTGGATAGAAAATACATTATACAAATCATCAAACTGCATCACGAGGCAAGCCCTAATATGGAATCTTCTAGAAAAGCGGAAAATAGTTAGGTCAGAAAACACATTACGTCGAGAAACAGAAGCAGATATGAAAAGGATGAATAACAACTGGAAAGGACCACCCAGGACAGGGTTGGATGGAGAATGCTGGTGAGCGGCTTACTCTCCCTCACAAGGAGTTACAGATTTAAGTAAGTAAGTACCCTAAGATTTTACTTAGATTGTACATATTTACTAGTGAATATAAGTTATTTTCGTCATAGATGTTGTCAAACACGTTTGTTAAGCAGTCAGTCTCACTTTAATTACTTAACTAATAGCAAACGTTGTTGACTTTTTAAAAGAATAGTTCATCTTTTAGGTATCTTGAAGTTTCAGCTTGATAATAAATCAGTTGAAAAGAGGTCTCCTCACTGAATTCCTTGCTTTTAACATTCAAGTTATTTGACAATTAGTTGACATTTGCATAGATAATCATCATCATAAAGAAGGAAACAGTAGATAAGTAGAATATGGGTTCAGCTAAGACAATCAAGGTCGGCGTTATTAATGGTCATCAGTTGAAAAAAAATGACTAAATCAATAAATCTTACCTTCAACATCCACCTCTTTAGGTAAAGTGGATACTTTAATTTTAAAGTAATCAGATCGATAAATTTGATTACCCCGATAAACTATACATCTTCCATGAATATCATCAGCAAATGAATTAAGTGATTTCATTGAATAGAATTGAAGTTTATTAGATTCTTGCATAACTTGATCAGCTAATATACCCAAATTAATAATTGCTCCATTTGAACGTCGTATATCCCATCCGATAATTACGTCTTGAACTGTTTCATCAGTGTTCGAATCTGGAAAATATAAGGAAATAAAGAAATACACTATTCTGGTTGATGGTGAAGACGTTTTCTGGGTGGAATGTCCTTCAACAATAGAATCCAGGATACATCATCTATCCTATTCAAGACACGTTAAATGAATATACCTGCATACAAGCAAATCTTCACAAATAATGGACTTTGAGTATGAAATATTGCTCGTATATCCTGGGACCATCGAGTAAGTAATGCAGTTGTTAGGAAACGGGTACTAGGTAAGGATGGCAAATCAATTGATGACGTAGTGAAACTTCATCAGTTGAGATAGCTTGGACACGTGTTACGTATGCCCAACGACCGACTGCCTCGATGTTTTGTTGTATAAGAGTAGATTGGAAGAAAGCTAGGTGCGGCCAGACCAAAACATGGCACGAGTCCATGAAGTCACTGACAAGTGGTCTGAGTCATGTCGGTAGGTGTAGACTACCTGGTTGGGGACCGCGAGGTGATGATAGCAACCGATGGTTAGAGATCATGAATGACATGGCTCAAAACCGTTTGCAATGGCGCAGGTGCATACATTCTTTGTGTTCTCCCAAATTTTGATCTCCTTATTCCTCCATGTCTCTTTTTTTTCTCCTCTCAAATTTATTTCACTGTATTATACTCTTTAAGTAACATCTCCAAACACTAATCTTCCCGATTACTGCTTATACTCTTATTACCTCTACTACTACGGGATTTGAATCAAGCACTGCATCTCTGTGCTTATGTGATGTGGCAACTCGAACTGTTGTATGTACGTACGAAGTTCTACGTTGTTACTGACTGACTGACTGAGTATGAATAAGGTACTAGTAGATAACCTAATAATGGAACTATTCATAAAACTACTAACTGGGACTATATGACAAGTAAGAAATGAATACCCTACTTGATATGTTTAAGGTTGAATGAGAACTTTTTATCTACTCACATTAGTCGTAAATACAACAGATATGACTGTAATACAGTAATACATTAAATATTCTATGTTAGGTAATGAGAGGAAATCTTCAAGAGACTATGGACTTAGATTTTGTTAGTACTCATGAAGTGATGCTTCTTATATTATTCAAAGACTAGATAAATATTAAGGCGATTATTAATCAACGTAAAGAAAGACAGTTGTAGCTTGACTAAGATCTTCATGATGACTTAAATATGATGGTTAACAATTAGGGAGTGAGATTTCAGCTGTGTGTGATTAATCTTAACTCCAAATCAAAATTATTTATCATGATCTGAAGCAAAAGCTTTCAACTTTGGAAGTAGGAGATTGAACTTAGAAAAAAAAACATAAACAGATTGAAACAAAAATTATCGAACTTTTCGTTTGTACGGTAGAACATGTTTGGTAGCATTGAGCAACAATACTACGATGTTTGAAATGCATTTCTTCCTTTCTAAATGCAAGTTATTGCTTCAGGACTGGTCTGCGTCAACACTTGAACTAGGGATAAGGAGTGAAGTAGTCGAATGCATAGATAACTTCACATATCTTTGAAGGCTGACCAGATCTAATGGATTGGTGTTTGAAGAAATCTCAGCACGGATTCGAAAAGCTCGCTTGGCTTTTGCTAACTTACGTCATCTATGGCGAAGGCGAAATATCCATCTATCATTTAACGGACGAGTATACTGCGCTGCAATTCATTATGTTCTACTTTACGGCTGCGAAACATGGTCATTAAGGGTAGAGGATACTCGTAAGCTACTAGTACTTGAACACAGTTGCTGGAATCATCAGCTTAGTAATAGTCAGGTTAGACGTAGGGTATTAAAAAATGATGGTAAATCACTTGATGAGGATGTAAGTCTTCATCGACTGGATGGTTTGGCCGTGTTACATATGTCTGAACACCCATTACCACGACGTGGAATGCTGACTAGTGTTGGGGATGGTTTGAAGGAAGTTAAGGGCGGAACAAAACTGCTAAATTCTTTTTATTGAAGAAAAAGTCAATATTACGAACTTTGGTATGCAAACAACAAGGTTGTTGTCTAAAATTTATATAAACATCCCTTTATATGTAAAAAGATTGGTGTAAATACATTGTATGTAGAAATGAGAAAGATAAATTAAGACAATATTTATAACATTCCCTATGACGATAAAAACGAACTCACCAACAGCTGTACACATAATACTCGCATTTTCACCAAGCTGAGTTGTAAATGTTCCATCTGGTTTTAAACCATCAATTTTCACTTTGATCAAGCTTCCTTTGACTGAAGAATAGCGAAAAATAATAAACATGAACAAAATCATCTTTATTCACAGGATTAGAAAGTGAAGCTTATTTAAGCTCTGAAATAACTTAATCTCTTAAGAAGGCATCTACCTCAGTGCAATGGAAGATAGTCACGCAATTGAATGGATTGGTTGATGTTAGACACTAACACCATTGGATGCCGGCTAAGTGGTCCAGTAGGTTAAGCGTTTGCGCGCAAGACTGGAGGCGCTGGGTTTAAATCCCGCGATCAAGATCGTGGATGCGCACTGCCGAGGAATCCCACAATAGGACGAAACGGCTATCCAATGTTTCCAGGTTTCCAACGGCGGTCTAACATCAATCGGTTCATGATCTCAATCAAAAACCTAATCTCTTGAGTTAAAAATAGACCAATCATTTGAAATTTTCTTCAGTAATTTGCTTTACTACACATCAATAAATTGGTTGCCTCGACCACACACACATAAGTCACAGTGAGGTAAATCTACTAAATTAACTTTATGATCTGTAATGTCTAACACTATGTAAAGCTCACAAGGATTATGCTACCTTTATGGCAGACCGGTTTATTTATTGTTCATGAGTTACATTATCAACTATTTCTTTATTAACCTTACTGTATTTATATGAGTGTTGTGTTTGTATTGTTCACCCTATTCATCAAATGTCTTCAACCTATTTTTGTCTGGTTAGAAATATTGAGTCACGGTTGATCAAATGAAGTCGGCTTATTTGCCATCTTCGTTTTGGTTCTCATTACCAACCACTACACAATGTCTGTTTGAATAAATGACTGCCTGACTTAAATTTATGCAACTCAACGCGTATTTGGCTTCTTATCATCGCTGTTGCACACAAGGGTTTAGCATGGATGTAAAATGGAAGATTTACATTCATGAAACATTCATTCATTGGAGTCAAATCAATAGGGCACCAATACTAACCACCGTTCATCTCTGCTATAAACATTTGTATTGTTATTATCTGAATTTCAGTTTCACAACTTGGCAAATTACTTTAGAAACCTATATCTTATAGTTTCGTTAGACATTAACACCGTTGGATGAAAGCCGGATCAGTGGTCTAGTAGGTTAAGCTCCTGATGCGAGACTGACAGGTCCTGGGTTCGAATCCCGCGAAGCGTGGTCGTAGATGCGCACTGCTGAAGAGTCCCATAATAGGACGGAACGGCCGTCCAGTGCTTCCAGGTTTTCCATGGTGGTCTAGCTTAAAATTGATTCATGATCTCAACTGTTGAAATTACTACAATCTCCACAAGAACCCCTTCTGATACTACGTTTTATAATCCTCAATGTTTTAAAAATAATATTTAGTTATGTTTACTTGATATCAAATGTTTTGTTTGTAAATGTATCCGTTTTTAGTTTTTTGATATTCATTTATTGAAGGATTAAAGTTGATAACTTGAATTTCGTGAATAATTATTACTTAAAAATCTGTTAACTGTAAACTTGAAAGATTATTTAACAACACTAATAAGTTGCATATTACCTTTTCAACCAAACCACTACTTGTATAACAAATGAAGGATAAGATAATGCTAATGGGTTCTTTGACGTATATATTATCGACTTCACTACTCCTGTGGAGCTAGATATTACTTACTTACCGACTTACGCATGTCACTCCTCGTGAAGTAACATAGGCCGCTCACCAGCATTCTCCTTCCAACCCTGTCCCAAGCAATCCTTTCCAGCTCATTGCAGTTCCTATTCATCCTTTTCATATCTGTTTATATTTTCCGACGTAATGTGTTGTTTGGACTTCCTCTTTTCCGTTTCCCTTCAGGACTTCAAGTTAAAGCTTGCCACGTGATGCAGTTTGATGATTTGCATAATGTATGTCCTATCCATTTCTATCGTCTTTTCCAAATTTCCTCTTCAGATGGAAGCAGGTTTGCTCTCTCTCACAGAAGGCTGTTGGTGATGGCATCCGGCCAGTGGATGTTGAGTATCTTACGTAGACAGCTATTTATAAATACTTGTACCTTCTTGATGATGGTTGTATTAGTTCTCCAAGTTTCAGTTTAATACAGTAGAACTGTGTTGACGTTGGTATTGAAGATTGTGACTTTGATATTGGTTGACAGATGGTTGTTTTGAGTTCCATATGTTCTTCAATTGTAGGAATGTGGTCCTTGCTTTGCCAATCCTCGCCTTTACGTCTGCATGTGAACCTCCTTTTTCATCGATGATACTTCCCAGGTATGTGAAGGATTCTACATGTTCCAGAGTTTCGCCATCAAGAGTGATTGGATTGCTGTTCACCGTTTTGAATTTGAGGACCTTGGTTTTCCCCTTGTGTATGTTGAGGCCTACTGATGCAGCTAGTTATATTTATAGCCTATAATCGGATGACTTCATTCTTACGTGCTCATGAATATGGTTGTGAAAGGAAGTCAATAAACATATATCATCGGAGCCATCGTTTTTCACTTGGTTACTAGCGCATACCATATGAGAAGCGTTTTCATTTTTTTAAATATTTTTTTATTATCGAATTCTGAATAATCTAAGCAGATAAGCAATATTAGGTCCTTCCTACATAGAGGAACCAATCGAGATCAATACTAGAATCAATAAAGGTATATTTAACTTGGGCTTACAATTGAAGTTACCTCAACCAAATCCCCTTTGTATGTTGTTCTTTGTCTTATCTCAATTCACATAATAACACTGATAAGATTTATAGTGTTTCAATCATTAAAGGTAACTATGGTAAATATATTAACTTACTATCAACTTCTTCACCAGTTCTTGTCGATGTACCATCACTTCGTCTTACATCCATTCCAAAATAATCTGATGTATATAATTTTGGTGAAGAAGGCTTTTCATCTGGTATACTTGGTCGTTTACTAACAACAGCGGTACATCTAATTTTAAATGGTAAATTACCACGATTTGGTGCAACTAAATCTCTTAAACGTAAATTTCCTGATGAATCCATTGATACACTATTAGCAAATAGACTAGAATCTACTGAACGACCAGTTACATCAGAAAATTCCCATCCATACATCACATCATATTCTGCTCGTAAACCTTCTGTTGATAATCGTTGTTTAGTGGTACGATCTAAATTAGAATATAATTATCATATAATAAGTGAACAGATTGAGACAGAATGAAATTTGGACTCATCTCAACTAAGAATACAATGTAATGAGAATCGATTACGTGTGAACTCCGAACCAATCACATGATGAGTTTACTGACAATTAATCAAGGTCCTTTTTAGAGAAAATGAAAGACAATAGGATTGAACCAAATCAATGATACTGCAGTCTCTTGGCTTTACCACGGTAACCATTGTTATCGTAGCCTTACATATATCAATATTATTATGACCTGAATAACATAGCGATACCATGTAGTCCACATCTGTAGTTGTTGATTACTATGGCATGTAAAATGTATGGTATGATGTTAACACATTGAAATGTTATTTCCTGGGAAATACAAGTCCTATTGAGAGCTTAATTTTCTCTCTTCGATGACCATTTTGATATCCTAGTTTGAGGGTTCGTAACTGCTGAATAATAGTGTGAGCTGTTCCAATAGTATCAAGTTAGTGGACATAGCACTATTACTAGCATCACGTGAATTCATGTCAAGTTTCATTTGATTATATAACGCACTTGTACTCACATCTTATTCCAAGGTCAAGGTTAGAAATTATGAGCGAGACGCGATATAAGAAGAAACTGACTACATTTTGATATGCTTGAATGCTATTACGAGCTCACCTTAGTCGGCAAACGGAACGATGGTCAGAGATACAGTGACACGATAGGCTATTCTAATCCGTTGTCCCCGACCCTGCTAACTAGATCGATCAAGAAGTCTTGATGAGGCGTAGAGAATGTATTCTACAAGCACCCAGAAAATATGAGGTCATAAATCAAGCTTATTTATGCAACGATAGAAACGCCTTTCGGAGAGCCATCAAATGGTGTACTAAAAAAATCTGTCAACCAATGACAGTCGGGGATTTCCGAGTGGGAAATGTAAGCTATTGGTCTACTATGCTTCTCTTGGCGCAAAAACATAAAATTCAAATCTTCAGAATGAAAATTACAAAATTAGAACCTTTTCCAAGTGAGTTCTGGGTATCCAACATCCTCAACACATTTCTAATCAGTGCTTCAACCTGTGTGTTCTTTTTTCAGTCAGAAGAATAAATGTATGTAAACCAATGATTATATAACTATCGGTCGCCCAATCAAAGTTTCTTAGTCATGACTCAATCTTATATTTATCATAGCTGATTTCTTTAAACGTGTAAGAAGTGTGTTTATCTGAATTGGATAAGGTAAAATGTGATAGAAAGCAGTTTTTACTACTTACTTCTAGCTTCACATACAACGCTGGCGCTTTCTTTTTCATTGCCAACTAAATAACCTTCATTATCCAATCCATCGACAGCTATTTCAATATTATCTAAATAAAGATTAAAAGAATACGATTTTAATGATGATCAATCTCAGAAAAGATCGGAAATAACAAAAATTCAGTAGATTCCAAAAATATATAGATGTTTTAGTCTAAGACTATCAATCTTATTAAACTCTACCTGGAACCCTTATGGGACTACCACAGGTCTCAAGCCCGGATAAAGAAGGAGGATTAAGCATTGGGTTAGTGACCCTAACTCGTAGAAAACTAACTTGCTAAAACGACACTAACCAGAAAGAGTATTTAGTCGATACATTTTACACACTTCATAGCTTGGCATGTTCACTTGACATACAAATAGGGAGGGGGTAATAACTTATTTACTCATAGTGTGTAGCAATGCTATTCAAAACCTCTATGGGATTCCCTAAAAAAATCAGTCTCTTCAGTTTCGCTAACAAAAGTTTTGTTGAGTTTGTATACCTAAATGGTTTACTTGAACTCAGTTCATTAGTAATTATCCAAACAGTAAATCAGTAGTTGGAATATAAAAACGATCATACCAGTATTATGTTTTTATTAACAGAGAACATTAACAATTGTCCTAACTTTGTGTTAATGTTAACAGTTTTTACAACTCTTATTGAAATATCAGAAGGAATTTTCACGAAGCAGGATCGTGGATACGCACTGCTGAGGAGTCCCACAGTAGAACGAAACGGACGTCTATTGCTTCAAGGTATTCTATATTGGTCTAGCTTCAATTGATTCATGATCTCATTGAAATATTTGTTTCACCTCAAAAGGTGTTTGATTCAGTTTACCACCCTCTATGAAGAACTTTAAACACCTCATGATGTGGAAAAGCTTTTTTTCAATCTTTCATAGATATATAGTTAACACAATTAGAGTGATAATTGTATAGACCATATATACATTTGTCTTTAATATTAAGCTCATAGTCCTTTGAACAAAACATGTTTTAATAAAACTTTGGTTTGTTAATATTTCAAACATTCTTATTGATTTACTCACCTGATTCTCTTCCTGGAATCGGAATTAACTGTGGATCAATAGTTGTTGGTTTTCTTGCAACATCTATTGAAAAGAAATCTGAACCATAGACCAATTCATCACTAACTGATAATGAAGGATCAATTTGTTGTGCTGGTACATGAACAATACAACGTCCTTTAACATTTCGTCCTTTAGTACCAGGTGGTGGACGTATACCACGTAATCCTAAACGATCACCATTTGTTTCTAAGCTTACTGCTATATTACTAGTTGAAACTGGATCTTCATCAGTGTAACGCCATTCCCATCCATAACGTATACCATGTGTTGGATATAATGGTGAACTAGTATCTACTACAATTGCTTGACATCTTAATGTTGCATCATCTCCAACACGTGTAACACTAATTTGATTTTGTTCATTTAATCCACTAATTTCAACTCGAACTCGTTTATCTGAATATGATGGACTAATTGGTATATGAGCTTGAAAAATTCAAAGAATAATGAAGAAGATCAGAAACAAATATGGATGAATTTTTGAAGTGTTGAGAAATCGAAGATCAATTTTAATTATAATAATAAGTCGTCTTGGAGGAGCATAGGTCGCTCATCAAGACCCTCTGTCGAATCATTTTCACTCCACAGGAATCAAAATACAATTAGATATAATTTAGTACTTTTCATTATTCTAGATAATTGATTTTGATCTCAGTAGTCTAATGGTAACTAAAAAAAAGTGATGGGTTCAAACGGTGGTTCATCTATTTTGATTTGGGATCCGTATAGTATTTGTATCCCTTATACAAAGAGTATAAGTCAAAGCCAACTGGAGAGAACCTTTAATTAGTAAACGGGTTATAGACACATATTATTATTGTATAAATTATCTTCGTTTTGTTTAAATGCCATTGTCTCTAATCAGAACATTAAACTATAGCCTAGACACTTCTCATCTAATACGTACTAATGATCCACTTAAAGATGAAGAGAAACTGCAAGAAGTTCCACTATTTAACGATTATTGGTAAATCTAGTCTTCCATCATACTCTATTCTACGACACACACCACATGATAATCTGTCTTGTAAAAGGAACATTCGAGCCCTGAATGGAAAAGGAAAAGAGGAAGATCAAAGAACACACTGAGTCAGGAATTGAAAGCAGATATGAAAAGAATGAATAGGCACTGGTAACAACTGGAATGGATCACTCAGGACAGAGCTCGATAGAGAATCCTTGTTGGCAACTTATGCTCTTCCTTTAAGGTAGTAAGCGTAAGTAAGTAAATAAGCAAAAGAAACATTTAAAACTAGAAAAATAATACCTATAATTGAACTCACTGTAAATCTTAGAGAATACCAAGAAGGTATCTCTAATAATTTACTAGATATCTTTGTCTAAAATAGCTTTACAATACATTCTGATAATCTTCATCTTCTTATTACACTATCGACATTAATATACAGAAACTTATAAGAACAAAGAGAACTGTCACAATGGATTTATAACTTTTTCATAATCAGGTTATCAATGGTTAACTTATTTCTTGAATAAAAAACTCCTTATTTAAATTCACTTGGTATTGTTTGTTTGAGTCTTCTTATTGATGTTTAGGACTGCAATTGATCAGTCTCTTATTGACATATGTGTATACTATGTATATTGCCTTAATTCACAAGCATGTTGCTATCAGGATTCAGTGGTTTGAAACAAACGATACTGGGTTCGAGTCCCAAAGTGAACATCAAATATAAGATGCAGGTACAGCCAGATAATAATTGAAAACTAGGACGAAACACGTGTCCTGGATTTCATTGCTAACCACTATTTATATTTGCTTATAACTCCTTATTTAGTTATGATTATTCATGAACACAATCATCATCATTGTATGTACGATGCTCCCATTTAGGATGAATATTAAATTACATTTAAGAGAGAGTATATTATTAAACCAACTCCGTATAGAGCCCTTCTAAAGCTATTGACAGTCCCAAGCCCGGATAAAGGAAGAGGTTTAGACATGAGGTTAGCGACCCTAACAAAACGCTAACCAGAAAAAGATTATTCAAACCATTTAAACTCCGCCCTGAGAGTTAGAAGGTTTTCATTTAGAAGAATTATGATGTCTTATAGTAGAAACCAAATTCCTTCGGAAGCCACGAGAATGATAAAATGCTAATACAATGTGGAAGATCGGTGAGACTCTATTTTATGGACGAGCCAATCGGAATCGTTTTAGAGATTTCAAGGTTACGGAGCCAACTTCAGTGCTTAATGATAACGTACGATCGGTTCACAGGGAATTTTGTACAAAACGTATTAATTCAGCGGCTATAACAAATAAAACAGCGAGACTATACTTTGTGGACGAATCAATCAGTTAAAAGATAATAGATCTCGGGTTTTAATACGAAAGCCTTTCGTCCATTTGGCTAAATATATTTCTGACATTATAGCTGATGGCAGTTCGTGATGGAAACCCCACATATAATTCTTAACTAAGGCAAATTACGGCAATTATTACGAACTGGATAATAAAAGCATCAGTAACACTGGTTGCAGCCAGGTACTACAATATATACGGATGTTTGGAGAGCGTACAGACGCCTACATAGGCTTGGTTATTGTGCATCGTGTCGATATCCACAAGTAGGATTTTATGCACTCAACAACCGGAGTGCACACAAACAATATTGAAACTATGCGGTTGAGGCTGAAAGAGTTTTCTGAGACTTTATCATGACTCCAAATGCCGACTATTCTGTAGCCGTATGGATGATTTTCTCTACTGCATGCATTATAATTTTAGAACCTCTGAACTTCTTTCTGACCTTGACAAACTTTTGAACCAAGTTAGAGAAGTGTATCCATTTTATTTCCATGTCGCTGTATAATATATTTTTACTCTATACTGACTGCTTTCTGTTTGGCTAATATTTCTCTAGTTCGCTTAAGATTCGTTGAAAGGTCGTCCATGTATTAGAGTCTCACTGGAAGATCCAGAAAGTCATCCAAATTGCTGCGGAAATAAGAAGTTGCATATTTATAAAAACCATAATGATCAATTTAGAAAATGTATTCAATGAAATATTCATTACTTACGTGATACACTATCTCCAATGACATGATATTTAAAATATGGTGAACTTAATGTGACTTTTTGATCTAATGTTATCATACAACGACCACGTGAATTTGGATTTTCATATAAATTTGTTAATTGTAATTCATTATCAGCATTTAATTGAACAATCGAAGCTAATTTACCAATTGGTACTATTTCTTCATAATCATTCATAAAATTCCATCCAGTTGAAACATTTGGAATTGGTTCTTTAGTACTAGCATCTTGAAAACAAAAAAAAACAATTGTTTCAATGTAGGGCATGTGAGTGGTTGGATGGATCCAACATGAGTATCAGAAGGGGTTATGTGGATATTGTAGTAATGTCAATAGTTGAGATCATGAGTTAATCGAAGCTAGACCACCATGGAAATCCTGAAAGTACTGGATGGCTAACTCGTTGTATTGTGGGACTCCTCAGAAGTGCACATTCACAACCACGCTTCACGGGATTCGAATCCAGGACCCATCACTCTCACGCACGAACGCTTAACCTCTAGACCACTGAATCGGCTGTCATCCACCGGTGTTAATGTCTAACTTCAACTAATCCACGAAATTCAGCGACACATCCACCATTGTCTTCAGTCAGGTACTATCTCACAACTGACCTGGTTGAACTCCATTGGTCACTAATTCTCACTAGAACTCCAGGATATATCTCTTGAAGCCAGTCACTAGTGAGCATATGTTGATTACTATCAGAAGGGGTTTTGTGAAGATTGTAGTAATTTCAACAGTTGAGATCATAAGTCAATTTTAAGCTAGATCACCATGGAAAACCTGGGAGCACTGGACAGCCAACTCGTCCTATTGTTGGACTTCTCAGCAGTGCAAATCCACGACCACGCCTCGCTGGATTCGAACGCAGAACCTATCAGTCTAACATTGACCGATTAATGATTTCAATGAAATTTTTAATTCATATTATTAGAGATCTAAATTATTGATCGTTACAAGTGATTCTTTTGATTCTATTTGAAGAATAAAGTGACTTAAAGCGATGTATTCTGTTCCATAATAGAATTCAATAAATTTCTTTTATCATCTATTGCATAATGAATATAACACGACTATAATTTATGGATGAACCAATCAGATATGAGATAATAGATCTTGGAATTTAGCGCAAAATTTATTCATTCACTTGGTTAAATAGCATTTTGTCATTTTAGCCAATGTTAATTCATAATGAAAATCCTATATCTTACTTCTAATATCCTAACCTTAACTATCAACTGTAAATTGTAATCCTAATTCTTCACACTAGTTGTTTATTGTCCTCATTTATCCCTTGTAAGTAGGAGAACATTTCAACTTCATTTTAGCGTTCCTCAAAGGTTGGTTATAAATTGTAGTCTCACTGATTTTTTATGATTTCAATGAGTGTATTAATTAGAGATATTTAAAATGATGACAACTTTTGGATAAATAAATACCATGGTGATTAGATTGACTTAATATGGTGAACAATTCAGTATAGGACGCCTTAGTAGTACGCATTCACGATCCCACTTGCGAGAACGAAACGGCTGTCCAGTGTTTCTAGGTTTTTCTATGGCTGTCTAGGTTCAATTGACTCATGAATTCAACTATAAAATTACTAAAATCTCCACAAAACTCCTTTCAGAGAATTCACTATAGTTTGATTGGAAGCTAGTTAAGCTAGTTAATACAGAATTTTACATTCATCGTCCAATTAAGCGATTAGTTTTAAATTGGTTATTATCGGTTATTGATTTCTTAAAATTGATATAAAATGTCTGTACTTGTCGACAGATCACCTTTTCTTCAAATGATGAACGATAGTACAAGTACAAGCTCTGTCGTTTCTCAAGTTGTCACAGAAACAGATAACGTATTCTTAAATACATTGTATCTCGTAGCGTTCTAATCACTTGAAGTGTTAAAGAGCGACATCAGAACTTATGAAAGAATGCCGTATTGTCAATATGCGATGAGAGATTCTCACTTTCATAGAGATCAGAAGCCTTATATAAAATTTGTATGTTGGAGAAATGGCCATAGAACACCTAGCGGTTCCTCAAAGCCGATTAGACCAACGACGTAATTTGATTAGTGCTATTATATTGTTCATGAAAGACTTCAATACACACTCAATGTCCGACCTTCATCTTTTGTAAGTTTAATGATGGTTACTGTACTGTTTGTTGTTCATGGGAATGTTCACCATAATCATAAGTGCGATTCCCTGAGGTACTTCAATAATTCTTGGATACGCAGATTAACAGAGGCTGATCACACATATCCCTCTTTCTAGCTTTCTGGTTGATTAAATAGCCCAGTAAATCATTCTCTTTCCTATTTATGCCTGAATCTTACTAACTAATTTAACATTTCATTCGGTTCTTTACTCAACTTTAAATTCATCTCTGTATCCGTCACCTTTCTTATATTAGCATTTCTATTGGAATTCTCTTAGTTTGCTTGTGGCTTAGTGATTTGTACTATTTAATGATGAACTATACACAGTGCCAAACTGTTAAGATTTATTTATTAACATATCAAGCTGATTGATATATGAAGCCTTAGAAACACTGTTGAAGAAGAAGAAGATGATGATGAAGAAGAAGATAATTATTATTATGATGATGATGATGATCTCACTGTAATCTAAATAGATTTCTAAAGAAAGTATATATGATTGACGAAAACTTTAACTTACTCAATGCTAAACATTTTAATGAAATATCATCACCAGGTTTTGCAATCACTTCACCCATTTCATTTAAACCAACAATTCGTATAAGAACTTCATATCGTTCATTTGATTTAGGTATATATCCAGGTATATCAGTAATAATTTGTGGTCCACCTTAAAGTAAATAATAAAATAAATAAACATAATTGAATAGAATCATTTTCATTGATTCATTCTTGTTAATGGTATCACATTGATGTTTATGCAAAACTAATCCAACTATGCAAATATATAGCCATAAATGAAATGAACCGAATAAATCTAGACAAATGATTGTCTAGCATAGGTTACATAATGAAAGATGTAGATATGACAGGGCTGTTGTCATTTTAAATGACTTGTTGATCTAATCAAGTTCAAGATCATCGTCCATGTACTTCTGGTTACATATGTTCAAGTGTATAAACACGACAGGTTTCCAAGAATTATTGTTTTGGGTTAGAGAGTAAAAACTTTCAAGATCGTTTTAGTTCTTTCTACACTAGTAAGCTGATCAAGTTAATGGTATTCAACTGAATAAGAGTACATGACTGATAAACAGTTCATAGTTATGCTTTCTACTTAGAACTAAATCAATATGTATTGTTTCCAAGTACTTTCATCTTTCTTAAAATCATTCTAATATTATCTAGTATAGGTAGAATGATCTCAAATGTAAATGGAAAGCATACTTAGAAGAAATTTTCACTATAGAATAACATCATCTGAACAGTAGTTTAAAAGTATAGTGTAATAGATCAATACTTTATCTTTATTTGAGTTGTCTCAACACCTATGATCCGACGGGTACTAGGTAAGGATGAGATAGCTGGGACACGTGTTACGTATGCCTAACTACCGACTGCCTCGAGGTGCGATGTTCAGTGGTATAGGAATAGATTGGAAGAAAGCTAGGGGCGGCAGGACCAAAACATGGCACAAGTCCATGAAGTCACTGACAAGTGGACTGAGTCATGTTGGTAGGTGTAGACTATTTGGTTGGGCACGGCTAGATGATAGCAACCGATGGTTAGAGACCTTGAATAGCATGGCTCAAAATCGTTTGCGATGGTGCAGGTGCATCCACTCTTTGTGTTCTCCCAAATTGTAACCTCCTGAATCCTTCTTGTCTCTTTTTTCTCTTTTCAAATTTATTTCACTGGATTATACTCTTTAAATAACATCTCCAAACCCTAATCTTTCCGATTACTAATTATACTCTTACTACTTTTACAACTACGGGATTTGAATCGAGAACTGAAACTCTGCGCTAATGTGATGTGGCAACTTTAACTGATGTACGTACGTAAGAAGTTCTACATTGTTACTGATTGACTGATTTACTGACTGATCCGAAATAAGATCAAAACTTAGGATCTAATGGTCTTCAAGTAAACACAATACATTTAGATTACTGAATTGAAATCTATTGATCTCTGTTACTTAACTTATATGAATTTCTATAATATGATGCACTCATCATAATGTTTCATGAGTTTATCACAATCTCATCTGTGACTTCATTTTACAGCGTGCCTTTTATTAGATTGTGCAATTCATTGACAAGAGATCTTCTATTCATATCATTTAAATATGACTATATTGTGAAAGAAAATGGATGATAAATTGACATATATTCCATCAGTCCGCCAGTCTTCGAGTCACTGTCTTCTGATTTGAGCAATGTTGCTAGATACAAACTACTTAGTTGGGGTCCGCATGAATATCATAATCAATGGTTAGAGACTGTGGGTGACATGGATCAGAATCGATCACAATGGCTTACATACATACACTTTCTGTGTTCCCTTAAACTATGAGATCAAAATCGCTTCATATCTTTCTTTCCACACAATCTGTCTTTTATTATTAATACCATTGAAGTAAGTACTTCTATGAATCCGGTGTACATCTTACTGTGCTAATGAGGTTGGCAACTTGAACTGATGAATATATGTGCCTGATCCTACGTTACATCTGACTGACTGATTGACTGACTGATATATTCCATATGAAATCAAACCATTTGCAAAAATACAAAATGATCATTTACTTGGTTCACATTCTAAACCATGTTCTCCAATTTCAAAATATTCTGAACTATAACGATCTTGTATACCAGTTTTTCTCATAATGATACAACGACCATATGATTTAATACTTGGTTCCATTATTCCAATTAATATTAAACGATTATTTTCTTGTTTAATTGCTTTAGCTAATAAATTCACACGTGGTAATACATGACCATACATATCTCTTATTTCCCAATCATATAATAGAGGTTCTGATAATAGACGTGTATCTGAAATTCAAAGAATACGAAATTGAAATTAATAAATCCCACTGGTTGAAATTATGAGTCAATTGAAGCTAGACCATCATGGTAAACCTGGAAGCACAGGACAGCCATTTCGTCCTAGTATAGGACTCCTCAGCAGTGCGCATCCACAATCCCGCCCCCCGCGAGATTCGAATCCAGGATCTATCAGTCTCGCGCTAGGCACTTAACCAACTAGGCCACTGAGCCGGCTTTCATCCAACGGTGTTAATGTCTAACTTTAACCAAATCTCCACAAAACCCATTCTGATAATAATAGAAAAATCACATAAATAAAGTCTGTTATATTTGAAGGGATTACGAGTTCACTTAATTCTACGAACGGGACAATGACTCTGTGACCAAAGACTAATAAGCTAGCTAACTTCATTAATTAGAGAGAGAAGCTCAAATTTGAAACGGTGAAATATATTCCGTAAGCAGTTATAAGCATAAGTAATCTTGACCTCAGTCTAGTCGGAAATACACTCATTGATATATTGATTTGTAAACCTATTTCTATTTTATAGAAATCAAGAGTACACTACATTTGTAATATCATACTTGTATCATCTTTACTTAAGCTTTAAAAATATTCTCATTTACTAATATAAACTTGAGATGTTATTGTTATATTTGGTCGTCTCTGATTGCTGTGTCAGAAAAACAAAAACGCTGATCACTTATACTCATAACGAGGGAATTCAGCAATTCCAACCATGCGAAAGTAAGAACACAAAGACTGGTATAAGTGAAGATTGATTAGCCTCAAACTCTATGACGACGACGACGACGAATCAATATCGTCTAAAATACATTGGTTTATATATTGATTGTACACCCATTTTGATTAATAATTAGGATCAAATCACATGCTCCGTTATAACAAATCACCTATGAGCATAGGTCATGTCAGTGGAATACAAGAATATCTGGCATATTATACAGAAGAAAATATCATACTGGGATAATAGTAACAAATACTACACTGAATGATCCTCATGTTGAATCAAAACGGATGTTGAATGTTGAATAAAACTTATAATGAGAAAATCAATCAAAATTGACTCGTCTTTCCATCATATCAGTTATATAATTAATTTGGAATCATCTGGACGATTAATGACTTTCTAAAATCAGTATTGAACTTTAATTCTACCTGAATTTGATCTTTTTCTAACCTTTAACAATTTGTAGTGACCTACTTTTATCAAGAGAACGCGATGGGTATGATGGAAACAATTATTATTATAACTAATGGTACCAGTGATTGTTTTACTGTACTTATTTGTTTAAGTGTACTAAAAACATACATTCTTTCGTTGACTGTGACCTTTCTCTCTCTCTCGGTTACGTTCAATAGTTCCACTTGTACTCTTCGGACCGATCTCGGTGTTCTTTCGATACCATGAGATTGTCTACGAACACATCTTACTGCAACCTTCAATTGCCTTCTGATATTTGGCCTACCGAAGGATCTAACGCAGTAACTGGCACGTAGCTTCAATCATAATCAACGGCGACTCAACGCTACGCTACAACTCTACAAATTTATAGATATTATTGAGATGGTAAAGAAATTTTGTCGCTCAAATAGAGTCTTGTACTTTGAGCTAATCTGTTAACTAGTTATTTTGTCCATTGAAATATATTTCAATTAAGATTGTCGGGTTTTGTTTCCATGAATAGATCGATATAATTATTAGGTGATCAATAGAAAATTAATTAAACCTATGATTATTCCCGAATGCCAACAGTTGAGATCATGAGTCAGTTGGAGCTAGACTACCATGGAAAACCTGGATGCACTAGACGGCCGTTTCGTCCTATTGTGGGACTCCTCCAATACTTCCAGGTTTTCCATGGTGGTCTAACTTCAATTGACTCATGATCTCAACTCTTAAAATTACTACAATCTCCACAAAACTCCTTCTGATATTCCTGAATGTTTTATAGTCAGGTCAACTAAATTATAATAAGCTGACAAGATATTTGATGATAGCAGCTTATTGACATTCTGTTGATTTATAATTGATATTATTAGATAGACATAATGATGAATTCAGTTTATAACTGAATAAGAATTATCGGAATTATGATGAATACACTCCCAGTGATAGGTTTGAAAAGATTATAGTAACACCTAAAACTGACGAACGGGAAGAAAGTCAGTAACAACAACAACAGGACAAGCTTGTAGTTTTAGTTAGTCTGTAAGTCCATATACCTTATTCTATCTTTCGGACAGCCTGATCTATTCATTCTAGGTGAGTTGCATTTTGACCTTGTTAGTTATTCACTTATCAATTTTGACTGTTTTATATGAGCGCACATCTGTGTGTGCCCTTCTTGTCCTATTCATCACATAACTGTAACTTATTTTTTGTGTAACCACAAATATTGATTAACGCTTGACTAAACAGAGTTGGCTTACCCACCATCTCCACTGTACGTCGTTTCGCTTCTCTCTATTTTTATTCGCTTTATATATAAAATATATGTATTCAAATGTCCATTCTCGTTATTCGACTTAGTTAATTCCGTTATTGACTAACGCGATTTAAGTCGATGATTATATACGAGGAGTGACGAATATGCATATCTCTATAGCAATTAGAAACAATCTCAACGGAGTCAGATCCCGGGACACTAAAGTGGTGAGCCTGTCGACATCGTCCGATCTACATGGCGACAAAATAAAGGGCCCCGCTAAAAGCTAAACGATTCTACTGAACTATAGCCCTGATAACTAGAGAGAGGAGACCAGATTCAGCCAACGGAAGAGCATATTCCACAAGCAGTCGGAAGCATGGACAAACAAGAACACTTCTCAAGCGTATATATGCAAAACCAAAATGCCCTTAATAAACGTCACAAAATAACGTATTAAAAGCCTAAACAAACTAATGACATTTAAGGTCCTTCCAAGTGACAAGTACAAACCAAAGGTTTAGGTGGGCATTTTTGGCGCGAAAATGGGAAATTCAGATTTCCAAAATATAATCACAAAAATGAGAAGTTTACCAAGCGATTTCTGAGGATATAACATTCGCAACACCTAACCAATCATGTATTTTCAAATTATATCTAAAGAAATAAGGTGCTATTGTTAGTCTTATAGTTGAATTTATGAGTCTATTAAAGCTAGACCACTATGTAAAATCTGGATGCACTAGACGGCCGTTTCGTCCTAGTATGGGACTCCTCAGCAGTGAGCATCCACGACCCCACTCCATGAAATCCGAACCCAGGACCTATCAATCTCGTGCACGAACGCTGAGTCGCCTTTCATCCAACGATGTTAATTTATAACTTCAATCAATCTAACAAAAATCAATATACCTTGAGTTCACAGTTCACTACTAACACTTTCATTGTACTTACCATTTGGACGACATATTAAAGTTAAATTATTACCAATAATTAATGGTAATCTACCACAATTATTCAAACCATCTATAATCGGATAAATTTTCTCCACTGATTTCATTTTACATAGAAACAAAAACAAAAGAAGGTTATATGAATAAATCAATGATAATCATGATTTCCAATAGCAAAAACAACAAAAAGACAGTTAACGATTATGTAACACCTCAATAGGTAGCAACAGTTTATACTAATTATTGATCATAGATTAACTTTAGTTGGGATAGTATTAGAAACTAAGGAAGAGTATATAACTGTTTTGCTCTAGGATGATACTACTTATTAGTATGCACATTTCTACGCTTACAATAAATCGAAATCAGAACCTTCAGGTTAAGGGATATAATGATATGATTCCTGAATCATTCAGGTAAATACCTAAATGAACAATCATGTCAACATTGGGGAACTCCATTTGCTATGAATACAACATAGAAATTAAATTAATTCCAAGAAAACCACTTCAACTGGAATTCCTTATCATTTATATTCAACGTTGAACAAGTGTTGAGGGATGTACAAACTTTCGAAATCCTTAATAAATTAAATGCTTTAAATATTTTAAATTTATTATTACATCTTAGCAAAGATAGATAGTGGTTAGCAGTGGAATGTAGGACGCTATCAGGACTCAGTAGCTAAGTGGATGATAACACGATGGTGTTTGAAGCGAATGGTACTGGAATCGAGTCCTTGGGGGAATATCAACTCTGAGATGCAGGTAGATCCAGTTGACGAGTCTCAAATAAGAGGAAACGCGCGTTCTGATTTCCACTGCTAGACACTATCCATTTTTTGGTAATAATACTTGTGACTTAAGGCTATATCGAGGCAATCCACACAGTCCTAAATAACAACGGAGAGATGCAAGTAAAACAACCTCAAGTGAATTTATTACATCTTATACTTGAACGCTTATAGAACATACCATTCCCATATAATTTGCCAACAATCAAAATCAAGAGTACATCTTGGCAACACATTTTGATATTAATGCAAGAATAATCTGCTGACTTTAGGCAACTATGCATGTAAACAAACATTTTACTATACACATAATGTATGGTAAATCAAAATATCTGCCAACTTCTATATTCATGATTGTTTCGATTAAGGAATCCCGATGGCTGCCCTACACTTTTCCACGAGGAGTAACATGTCTAAGTTAGTAAGTAAGTAAACGAGTGAGAAACTCTTACAGTGTAATGTACTATGATAAATAAACTAAATATATTAAAACCAGTCTCATCCAATATCATTCATAGTTAACAAAATTGAAATGATTCTTTCAACAAACAATCCCAACTTCTTTCATCATTTGAAGAACATACTTGGAACTTGTTCAGGTAGATCGTCTTTTCTTGGAAGTAAATCAATATATTGTGATGCATAACGAATTACATCTTTTGGTTTACCATCTTCATCGAATTTCTTTTGTTCAATAATAAAACGCATTTGTACTAATGGTGAAATATTTGGCTCTTTCATATGATATAAATGAAATTTTCCATTATCTGATTGAAATTCATATGTATCAGCGAGATATGAAAGTGGTACAGGATAACCATTTAAATATCGAGTTTCAACTCCAGCGCATGTATTTGGTGGACTTGGATAGATTTGTTCACCTGTTTCTTTATCTAATCATAGTTTTGAATTACAAAAATAAAATAAAAGGGTAATCATCAGATATTGATGGATTATTTTTCATTAAACTGATTATGATTAGTACTTTATACTCATTATTGACAATATCTAGACAATCACTGAAAAACAACTGTGAGTCTGAACAGATGAGAGCATCCTTAACACTACCGAGGATTGAGTACTGGACATTTGGGATTGTCGGTTAGAGCCTAAGTTACCTACCAACGGTAACAACCATCTTCTTATATCATTGGTAGGTAACTCCTTGGGATCTAAACTTTTTGAGTTACACTTGTCAAGATATCTTATCCAGAACTCTAGGAATGGTTATACAAAATTATTCAGTACTGAGTATGTGATTAGTCAATAAAATAAACAAGCTGACTATTTACTATTCATCTTAAATAAGAAGACTAATATAACAGGGATTTTATAGTCGATTAATCGTGGTTTCATAGTTTGTGTGTACATACCGAAAAACACTCAATATCCGTTGACCGGATACTGTCAGCAACAACCTATTGTAGGAGAGAACAAACTAGCTTCCAGTTGAATAGGAAGTTAGGGAAAGATGTTGGAAGTGGATAAGACATACATTACAAAAATCACCAAATTGCATTACGAATCAAGTGTGAACTAAGAATCCTGAAGGGAAGCGGAAAATAGCAAGGTCAATGAACACACTACTTCGAGAACTAGAAGCAGATATGAAAAGAATGAATAACAACTGGAAACAGCTAGAAAGGATTGCTCAGGACAGGGTTAGATGGAGAGTGTTGATAGGCGGCCTATGCTCCTCCACGACGAGTAACAGGTGTAAGTAAGTAAGTAAGTAATAATAATAGTATTGAATAAATCTCTCTACAATGCAACTAAACAAAACATTATTATTCATAAAACATCTCTATAGAATGAATATATATGTATATATTCAATTCATTCACTTACGTTTTAAGAATACAGTTAATGTTTTATTATCATTTTTAGATACTTTTAATCGTCCATCTTCATCTAGACCTTCAATAACAACTTCATAATCTTTTCCATCTAAAATGTTTACATAATGAAAATACAAATTAGAGATCAACAACAAATTCTTTTTAATTGCACAACAATATCAATGTTATTTCAACAGGAATATATGCCGAGGAGTCCCACAATAGGACGAAACGGCCGTTCAGTGCTTCCAGGTTTTCCATGATGGTCTAGCTTCAACTGACTCATGATCTTAACCATTGAAATTAGTATAATATCCACGAAACCCATCTGATATATGATTTTTATTCACAAATACTATGATGTGTGCTATTAATATTGATAGATAATATAAGTAGGGTTGACATTAAGTGACCGGCCTATATGATTCCCTACCACCCCTTTTAAAAAAATTGTGGGGTGTGAATGAAAAATTTAGGTATCGTTGATTGGTGGACTTGTTTTTCAAGTGTGTGCTCAAGTGATAATGAACAAACATTGTGTTATCTTTAATAATTTTTTGATTGGTCGTAAACGGTTCATCTTTGTAATCTGATTAGTTGAAATCGAAATCGCATCTGGAGCTGTGATTGGATGTCAGAATTTTCATTTTTGACATTTGAAATTTAATGATAATGAATAATCCTTTTTGTGTAATCTTAGTCTTGAAAAAAATCTAGACTTTTGAAGAAAAAGACACCAACTTAATTGCATTACCGTGCAATCCTACTGTTAGTGAATGTGTATTGGGATCAATTTTTGTTTTCCGATCAAGTATACCTTGAATTGAAGTCGTTAATTATCTGAACACGAATAATTATATGTATCTCAGTAAAAGAAAGTTTTTGGGAAAAAGCCACCGAAAACCGGTTTGAATATTTGATAATAAGGATTACTGAATGAGGTCAGTAGTCAAATATTTAATACCAAATTAATAAACAAATTATCACCAAAGTGTGTGCACAGGTTTTTTTGTAACACATGGTCTGTTAGTTCGAGAAACAAATCAACATATCAATAAATCATTATGATAACTTACTGGTTGCAATATGTATAATTCAGGTGAAGCAATCATAGACCATCATTTAATGAACTGACTTAGACAGTATATGAAAGTAGTAATAAATTTTCCGAAATAGACACTTAATATTTAGTAAACGATTATTTTGTAAATGGTCATTCATAATGAGAATTAGACAACGTTAGATTTCAATGCGGTTAATTTGGAAATCCATTGAAACACGGTTCATTATTTTCACTTGTAAATTATTTGTAGTTCTGTATTTTAAAATTAATTTTTCGGTTGTAATAAAAACTAGTGTGTGTTTAATCAGTCATGTGTGAATATTGTCAACCGCCGTAATATGAAACCTGAATTATCTAGACATTATGAATGTAACCATTTTTGACAAGCATTTGAAGTATTAGTTTCATGAAGTGTAAATGAACAAGCCTACGTCGTCGGACTGAGTCAACAAATATCTATCGACTTTAAACGTATAAATATGAATAAGGTCAACTGTATCAACGGACATTTACAATGTTATTATTATTTAATTTCCTTATTATTATTATTATTATTATTATTATTATTATTATTATGTCAATTTACAAGATTCAATTCTTGTACTATGTATTTCATTGACACCAATTTTTTTGCATTTTCAATTTTCCTATTATGCTTAGTCACTTACTGTGACTGAACACTTTACTGCAAATCATCCCGATCTTTAGTGAATGACCTTTTTAATTTGTAAACATATATATCGTTACAGATGTAAACGTTAACCATTGTTAACACATTACATTGTCAAGTTCATTAATGCCATGCCTTATTTTTGGACTTTATAAAATATTAAAATTATGGACTAATAACTGTATAGTGTGATGATGAAGTTAATGAAAACGATTGTTTGCTAAATTATTTTTTATTTTTGAATATTTTAAGGGAATTTTTAACTGGTACAATGTGATTGTACCAGTAATAAATAGTTGAAGAGGTGTGCAAATGAATACGGTGATATAATCAGTAGTTATGAATAACAATGGAGGCTTAGTTTACGATCAGACGTACTTCTTACGTACGCATAGTTCTGGTTTCAGGAACTTTTAATATAAAACAAGAATATGAAATTCTTGTTTTTTGTATTCATGAAACAGCTAATATTCGCATTTCTTTTTACACTTACTATATGACCTTTTATCACATGAATCATTTCAACGATGATGGTTTCAACTTGTTTTCTAATGTCATTATTTTATTCCTAAATAAGTTAATTTTCTCAATTTTGGTTACTTCTCTATGAGCTTTAATCACATTCATCTTTGTAATAATATTCACTAATAAATGTCATCATAAATTCATTGACCTAACGACAAAATTACAATTTTCACTATATTGAAATATTCCTATTAAAATGTACTCAAAATGTACTATTATTAGATAGATTTCAAATGTGTTACTAAAACATGAACGGTAATCACATTATTTTAAATATAAAATTACTAGATTAGTCTTTATTAGATGACAAAATCTTGTCTAAGTTTTCTTAACCTTCATATCTAATAAACGTTAGAAACAAGTTTACGAATACATGAGCGACAATCGCTTTTCCATTATTAATCTCTAAGGGATATCTAAATTCATGAGACATTAATAGGTGCTTAATCACTTGACCTTTGCCGCGGAAAAGTAGTAGATAAAAAATAATGGAAATCAAATTGTGGGTGGCCCTGAAAAGGGCCTTTACTCGTTCTCGCGGTCGGACGTCGTCACTATTAGTTTGTAATGGCGCCACAGATAGGACAGTGCACTGCTCGTACGTTCGGCGATGGGTCGTAGGCACAGAAGGTATGAAACATTGCTTCACATCTACAGAAAACCCAACCAACCGCATCACCGGTTTCACATGGAGGCTGCGCAAGATTACAGATGTCGCAGAGTCGATTCTCGTCATCCTGTTCTTCATTTTCGATGTCCCGTTCAGTTAACTCTTCGGAGTTAATAGAAATTACTTCCTCCTCATCGTTACTGAGCGTTTCATCCAAATCAACAGTTCCTCGTTGTATAAACGGCACTGCTACGTTAGTCGAGGTTCTTGAAAGGGTGTACGAATGCTGTTCTACATGCAAGTTTACTGGCGTTGTTGGTAGTCTACCGTGAACTATGAAGTCATGAAGTGAACTGCATTGTTCCTCCGACATTCGCCTGATTAACGCTATCACTGCATTCTTCATGCTTGGCTGACTCAATTGCATTGGGAAATAATTTTCAACTGCAATATGAGTCAGATAACCATCATAGTGTAACCACCTGTCACAAATTGACTGTACGTTCACATCGGTGTTACTGTGTGTGCAGTAAGCCAATATGTGACGGCATGGTAATCCGTTTTCAATGAAGAATGGACACGAGCACCGGCTAGTATCGACGTGTACGTAGTACGTCCCCGTGGCGTCCATAGCGGTGAATAAATCTTCCGTCAATGCAGACTGCGTTATAGGAATGCGAAGGTGTCGCTTCAGTAGTTGACAGGCAACTGGTGTCAGTCGTTCCTGAAGTCGACGTACTTCCGGCTCCTCACCAATATCGGCTTTCCCCCGACAATCCATTGAATATTTATGTAATCTTGCTTCCATCCAATATCCAGTACGAAGCAGCACATTGAAAATGGATCTGAGAACCGGTGTTTTTCGATTAAGGTGATACATCTTCAAGACTCGGTGACTGGTCTCGACGAAGTTAGTATTGCTCAGTTCAAAGAGAGTGGATGGCGGTCGAAAAGCAGTGGACCATTTGTGTTTCCGTGGTAGAAGGTGGTCTCTGACGTATCTGCCAAACGTTCCGTCCGACATTTCGATTAACGAAAGTACGTTGTTAAAACTACAAAATCATGTTATGTAGATTTTGATTTACCTTTCAACCGTTCGAGTGAACATGAGGCGAAAGAACAGTTGTACAATTTCTGATCGCACCCTCTACAATAACGGTTACTGGGTTAATGTTAATGAACGAAACACTTACCCTCTTTATCACATTCCGAACAAGGTGTACGCGACACAGAATATGGTGTGCATCCGGATACACCTGCGTAATAGCAGCAGCAATTGCAGGTGAATCATCGGTCACAATGCCTACCAGTTGTCGACTGTTGGTACACCGTTGGAAAAAATGCAGGAAGGCAGAAATTAATGTTGACGTTTCGCGACTTAAAAAGGCAATGCACATGGGTATTGCTTTAAAATTCATATCCAGGGCAACGACTTGATATAAATGGACGTTCTCGTTATTCGTTTTGTACGTCCCGTCAAAACCAATTACGTCACAAAAGTGACCGGCCAAATTCACTTGTTCAGCGGTCATGAAGAAGAAATACGATAGACAGTTCTCATCGTCCAATTCGTATTCGCAAAGCCCACCCAAGGATGTTATGTGAGCTTTCAATTTCCCGTAATCACCTATAGTGTACATTATAAATTGGCAAATTCCGTACCAGGAAGGTTCGCGTGTGAGAACACTTTGTACCGCATATTGCAGACATCTTGAGCGGTCAGACATTTGCCATAAGATTGGTAAGCAAAATTCTTTATGTGGAATGCAGCGGTACCGGAAATCAGCAGCGGTCTCACAGTTTCAAACTCCCCATCCGTTAACCTGCGCACCCATGAATTACCCTGGTACCTCAGGGAATTGCACTCGTGATTGTGATGTACATTCCCACGTACAACAGTCCAATAGCCGTCTATAATCTTACAAAACATAAATGCTGGACATTGGGTGTTCATAGAAGCCCTTCGTTCAAAAAATTATAAAACAATTTACCAAATTACCTCCTCCGTCTAATACGTTGTGACGAACCGCTAGATCTTATACGCCCATTTCGCCAACACACAAATTTAATGTAGGATTTTTGATCTCTGCCAATATGCGAATCTCTCACTACATAATGACTGTAAGTCGATCTTTCAAAATTTGTGATAGTGGTCTTTAACGCTTCAACCGATGGAAACGCAACCAGAAACAAGGTAGTCAAAAAGACTTCCTCCATTTCCGTTACGTGAGAAACACCAGCGCTTGTACTCGGCACGTTACTCTGCTCCATAATGACGATTGAGATTGTGCTTCGTCGACAAGTACTGATAATTTATAACAATTTTCAAGACATAACTAACCAATTAAATCTAATTTTTGAAACTAGCCATTTCATTGGACGAAACACGGGATGAAAAATATTGTAATTTTGGGGTGGAAAATTTTTTTTATGGGGTGGGGTTTTTTTTTTAAAAAAAATGGCCGGTCGGACAATATTATTCTATAAGTAGTATGTATCATGAATCGAAAGTGAAATGCCTGAGTGGTAGAAGGTTAAGAAGATCAGGGAAGAAAAGAGAATGAGAACAAAGTATGATTGGTGTGGAAACGAAAGAATAATGAAGTCTGAGACGATTGACTGATATTTACAGAAGTAACTGTCAAGTTAGAGAATTATAACTTAGCAAAGATTAAATTACGAGTAACTTCTGAGAACTATTGATGGGCTAATATTATACATATATATATATTCCTATTGTATAACTATTCAGTAACTATTTTGTGCATATCTATATCCCTCTTATTATAAGCTTCATTTTGACCTATAAATTATTATTATGATACGATTTACTGTTCTTCAGTTCTCCCTTGTCTACTAATTACAGACTCTTACGTTCACAGCCACATTTTGACTTGATCTTGTACAATTGTTATTCCCTAGTTTATGGTGTGATGTGGTCTGTTAGACTGGTATATAAACCGAGTATGTTTGAAATAAATGATTCTCTTAGTAGAAGCTGTTATTGGTGTTCAGGATTTAACTAGACGGGTTAGCCGAACAAAGGACCAATAAGGACGCTTGACTGATCATAGCGGTTAAACATCATTGATTTGACACAAAACCAAGATTGAATAAGTCGTATTCCGATTGACGAATAAATCACGTGATAATTCTCCAGGTTTAAAGTCACAGCATTGAGACAATTGATTGACCGTTTGGACTTTAAGTATTTTCAATAGTTTAAATCATGAGTCAATCAAAGCTAGACCATCATGGAAAACCTGGAAGCACTGGAAGGCCATTTCGTCACAGTACGAGGCTCGTCAACAGCGCGCACCCATGAGTATGGAACAACTGGAAGCTATATGTATTTATGCATCTCCACTTACATATTTGTACATCGGAGAGACTGACCAATCGCAGTCCTAAATATCAATAGGAAAATTCAAGTAAACAATATCAAGTGAATTTAAACTTCATCCCATTGCACAAGCAAGTGGTTATCAGGACTCAGTAGCTAAGTGGATAACTCAATGGTGTTTGAAGTGAACGATGCTGGGTTCGTGTCTGAGAGTGAACATCAACTCTGAAATTCACATACATCCATTTGACGAGTCCCAAATAGGACGAAACATGAATCCTGAATTCTAATGCTAATCACTATCTATCTTTGCTTATAAAACGATTTATATGTTTAGGATAACTGATTGTAAACTAATCACAGTAGTAAGTTTTATTCATATTAGATACTTAAGAAACAACCTCTTATATTACAAACTACTAAGTTAATTTTTCTACTAATGAATAGAATTACTTGAGAACAAACCCAATACTATTTATACTTTTACTACCTCTACCACTACGGGATTTGAATCGACAACTGAATCTCTGTGCTAATGTGGTGTGACAACTCGAACTGATTTACGTACGTATATACGAAGTCCTACGTTGTTACTGACTGACTGACTGACTTCTAAATAAACAAAACTTACCTATTTCATAATCTTTATTTCCTCTATAACTAACATCATCTGATGATCCTGATGCAGTTTCATCAGTTACAATAAAATCAAATGATGGTGAATAGATTTTTTCATTTGGTCCTAATAAACCAATATCTGATATAGTTGGATCTGTTAAACTATCATTAGATACAATACATCTTCCAATTAATCCAGCTGATAATAAACGTAGATTACCAATAATTAATGTATTACCACCGGGACCTTTCACATTAATATAATCTCTAGCTAATACAGCTGTATCAATTGGTGTACCATCACGACGTTTTATTTCCCAATTATAATTTAAATTTTCAACTGGTATTTGATTGATAGAATCTAGAAAAGCAACCAAAAAAACAACAAATAAAATATAATGATAATGTAACACACACCCCTTTCTGAAATGATATTGTTGCCATGGCAACACAGGATAAAGAGTTTAAATTAAAAGATATTCCAGTGTTTATGGATATTTTCTATTTTTTATGGTTAAATTATGTAATAAAATTTGTAACTAATCAAATCTTAATCCACCTAGTTTAAACAATCTATCTTGTTAGTAATATAGTAATATGTCAATAGAAATCAAGTAAGGTAAACAAAAGGTTATGGTAAACATAATTAACTTTACTTAGTGATTAGTAATCAGTCAAACTTCAGTCTTCCGAAATTTGCTAAAGTCGTTGCTATCAGGCGTCAAAAATGTGGCTTATGTGTTCAAAAGGAGATGACTAATAATCTTTCATTGCCTTGGTGACAAATATTATTTTGTTGCATCTTAAACTTCCTTTTAACTCTTCCATATTAGTAATCTTATTTTATTAACTGAGCTCAACTCATTTTGTTTCTATCGGCGTTTAATCATTATGTAATAACTTGTATTCTGTCCCTTTGAACTTTTATTACAATCAATGTTGTAGAATGTACTTGTACATCATGTATATTGAAGATGCCACAGGTATTCGGAGTTTGACAACGCTTTAACCAGTAACACCTTCTACTATGAATCGTACCCACCAAGTGAAATCAAAAGACAAAAGCGAGGTGGTTCGGAGATATATTTGATAGGCTATCAATATATCGAGGATCGTTTGATGTAATCTGGCTAGCGATTGCATGGGTTCTTGATCACGGCTTTCCCACTCGTGATCTGGTGCGGATGCATGGCCGAGCGCCTTCAGCTAAGTGAGTCCATTAAAACTAATATGATCAGCATCCAATGTCGAAAACTTTCGGAAATATTTATTTTGGGGATTTATTTACCGCTTCAATATATTGACAATATTCAGTCTAGTCAATTTATTCACACCCTTGCTATACTATACCAATGTATCTTCAATATAACTTCCAACTGAACCCTTTCATATAAGTCATTTAAACCCAATATGTAATTATGATTATGAAATATTACAGGTTGTAAGTAGCTGATGAGAACCGAACGAAATAAAATGAATCTTTGTTCTTGTTCTTTTCAAAATGATCATGGAAACTATGTATATGAAAATCCTACTTACCGTAAACTTGACAAGTTAAAGTAACTGTTGATCCTACTGGACTAACAACTGCACCATTCTTCACTCCATCTACAGTAGCATATAACCGATGACCTGAAATAATGAAAACAAAATACAGTATAAAGTATTTTATAAAATTGATTTTTTTTATGTTCAAAATCATCTAAGAGAAATTAAGGTTGTTACATTCGCAATATAAACAAAGTTTATTACACTGTCAGATGAAGTAAATTCATTTTATTTCGACTCTTCTGAAGTATTCTCGATCCAACTCTGTCTTGGGCAATCATTTCCAGTTCTTTCCAGTTGATGTTAATCCTTTCGATATCTGGTTTTAATTCCCGATGTATTGTGTTCATTGACCTTCCACTTTTCTGTTTTCCTTCAGAATTCCAAGTGGGGGGCTACCTGGTGATTCAGTATGATGATTTGTTCAATGTATGTCCTATCTACTTCCAACGTCTTTTCCTAATTTCGTCTTCAGATGGAAGCTGGTTTGTTCTCTCACACAGTAAGACGTTGCTGATGGTATCTTGCTAACGGACCTTGAGTATTTTGCGTAGACAACTATTTATAAATGCTTGCATATTTTTGATGATGGTTGTACTGGTTCCCCAAATTTCAGCTCCATACAGCAGACCCAACTATCTTAATGTTCGTATTGAAGATTCTGAATTTGATAATGACTTGTAGGCAGTTGTTTTGAGTTTCATATGTTGTTCAATTGTAGGGATGCGGCCCTTGCTTTGAAAATCCTCGCCTTTATGTCTGCATCCGAACCTACTTATTCATCGATGATACTTCCTAGTTAAGTGAAAGATTTCCCATCTTCCAGAGCCTCTCCATCAAGTGTGATTGGAGCGGTGTTTTTCGTGTTGTATTAGAGGGTTTTGGTTTTTCCCTTGTGTATGTAGGGGCCTACTACTGCAGAGGCTGTTGTTACACTATTTTTCTTGACCTGCATTTGTTGCTGTGTATGGGATGAAAGAGCGAGGTAGTCTGCGAAGTAAAAGTCTTCTAGTTGCATCCAACCTGTCCATTGTATTCCGTGCTTAACGTCAAATGTCGATTTCTTCATGATCCAGTGAACCACCAGAAGAAAAAGGAAAGAGGAGATACAGTAAGTAGAGTTTTCTGATTCCACTCCTCTGTGTGTCTGTCAGCTGTCCTTTATGCACGACTTTGCAGCGTAGCCTGTCGTATGAATTCTGAATGATGTTGAAGGTCTTCTCAGTTGCTCATTCCATAATGTTGAAGAAGGTTCCATAATGTCCTCCTATACACACTGTCAAACGCCATCTCATCAATAACATACAATAACAAATCAAACGTTTTACCATTAGCCTAATACAAAATTTAGATGTTCTATGATATATTTTAATAGTTGTTTTCATGAGTCAATTGAAGCTAGACCACCATGAAAAAACTAGAAGCACTGGATGGCCGTTTCGTCCTATTGTGGGACTCTTCAAAAATGCTCATCCACAATCATCCACCAAAGGGATTCGAGCCAAAAACCTATCGGTCTCATGTACGAACACTTAAGCTCTAGACCACTAATCCAGCATTCGACGGTGTTAATATCTGACTTCAAACAATTCAAGATGTCTATTTAAGTATATAAATATCACATAATAAAGATATTAAGTACAACAATCAATCTTTTCGAACCATTGAGCCGGCATCCAATAGTGTTAATGTCTAACCTCAACCAATCCACGAAATTGCGCGACCATCTTCCACTGTACTGTGGTAGACACCTGTTTCGACCCGACACGGATTAGCTCCACTGGTCACGGCTTCTCAACAGAACGGCCGTCCAATGCTTCCAGGTTTTTAATGGTGGTCTAACATCAATCAGTTCATGATCTCAATCAAAACTAATGATCATACTTACTTTTAGGAAATGAATCAGGTGAAGTTAATAAATCATTTGGATCTATTGCCAATGGATTAATAATAACAAATGGTCTTGATTCATATATATTAATCTTTATTTGTTTCTCTTTATCATTCATATTATCCATAGGTATAATAGTATTATCAATATATTGTTTAGCTAATACAATACAACGTCCTTCAATACGTTGAATTGATTTTAAATGTTCCGGTAATTGAATATGAGTATTTAATAAACCTAATTTTAATCGATTTTTATAACTTTCAATTGAATTGAAATAATATACAGTTGGAATGATTTCATCATTAGGTGTAGTGAATTTCCAATCATAAGTAACATTTGATAAACGTTTACCAGTTCTTGAATCTATATAAAAAGAAGAAAAGGTATTTATTTTCAAAATGGAAAAAAGAAATTGCATATATCATCATGGAAAATCTGAAAGAACTGAGTGGGTGTTTCGTCCTAGTACAGGATTCATCAGAAGTGCACATCTACTATCCTACATCGTAAGACTTGAATCCAGGATCTATCGATTTCGCCTGCGAACTCTTAACGTCTAGAACACTGAGACGACCGACTGGCATCCGATGGTGTTGTACCACCGTCCAACATTGTCTACAGTGAGTTACTATCTCACAACAGACCCAGTTGAACTTCAATGGTCGCGGCTTCTCACTAGAACTCGAGGAAATACCTCTTGAAGATCGTCACTATTGAGTATATGATGTATATAATCAAAAAGGGGTTTTGTGGATATTATAGTAATTTAATAGTTGAATTCATGCGTCAATTGAAGTTAAACCACCATGGAATACCTGGAAGCACTGAATGGCCGTTACCTCACTGATGACAATGGTGGACGGTGGCGCGATTTCGTGGATTAGTTGAAGTCAGACATTAACACCATTGGATGGCGACCGACTCAATGGTCTAGAGATTAAGTGCTCGCATGTGAGGTCCTGGATTCAAATCTCTCCAGCGGGATCGTGGATGCGGCACTGCTGAGAAGTCTCACGATAGGACGAAACAGCCACCCAGTGCTTCCTGGTTTCTCTGTAGTGTTCTATCGTCAATTGACCTATGAATTCAACTATTAAATTACTAAAATCTCCACAAAACCCCTCTCTGATTACATAGGAATGTTTTTAAACACAATTTATGAGTTATGAATATTCATTCTTTAATATTTACTATCAGTTTAGCCTCGATTATTGTTCTTTATATCACCTGAAATATTCGATGTATCAATGTTATAGTAATGGCTACTAATGTCTTCAAACGAAAGGGAATCAAATAAACAAAGGAAGTTCAGTAATGTTATTTTCTGACTTCCCTCATTTTATAAAACTAAACTACTATATGAATTATACAGAAATAATTAGTTTAAACGAATGTAGATCGGATCAAAGGTTACTTGCTAATCGGTAATCATCAACGCTACCGCGTGTTATTTAAAAAGGATAAAGGTGTTTTTCCTCACTGAGTTAAATTTGTTGTTATGATCGTTTATTACACAGTAAGACAACTGCTTTCACTGTTTTCATCTATACTTTTGATTACATTGATTCTTTCTGTATTTGTCTACATTCTGGTCTAACAATTTACATCTTTTCACTTTATTCTGGTCACCAGTTTCTTTTGTCTATGGGTATTGTTCATGTCTAGTTTACTTTTGAAAACCTCCGATGGATGACTGGAGAGTGAAGAAAAAGTGATTATCAAAACCCACTCTATCGATACCCTGTACAAAGTGGTATGCAATGCGATAAGTGCAAAATATAGTGCTATGAAGTTTGCAAGAATCTAACGCTAGTAGCCATCAAACAGTTTAGTAAAAATAGTTGTGTGTGTTTGTGTCAATAATGCTGCCTAACCAGTATGGTTTTAAAATTTTTTTAGAAGATTAGTCGGAAGGAATTGTTTAAGTATCTCGACGATAAACGGATTCCTTCTAAGAAGTAGCATCGCTTTAGAACAGGTTATTCATATCTCACTAACTTATCTGTAGCTCGTGAAAGTTGATGAGCTCGTAAAGATCAAACGTTAACTATAGATTCAGCCTACATTGACTTCACTAAGGTTTTTGACAAAGTTCCTCTTAACCGGCTGTTATATAAGTTAACTAATATCATGATTGGAGGTAATTTATCAATAAGGGTAAAGGACTTCCTCGTTAAGCATCAATAAACAGTACGGGTGGACAGATTGTTCAGTATTTATTCTTGAAAACTTTCTTTCATTTTACACCCAGTGACTACTTTAATGAATGAATCCAAATAGTGTGAAATTTTCATGACTTACCATAAGCAGTACACAAATATTCTTTTCGATCTCTGGTTCCAATTTCTTGTACTTCCACTCGTACTCGACCATCTGTTACTGTAAATAATAAAAATAAAAATCTGAAGTTTGTGCTGATGATGTCGTTGAGAAGAACGATGAAAGCTTCACCACCAAACTATCCAGCTCAGAGAACAAAACTCCATCAAAAGACAATAATTTTATGAACCAACCAATCAGATTTAAGTTAACAGGTCTTGGATCTTGGCACGAAATTCATTCAGTCATTTGGTTAAATACCACTTTGGCATGATAGCTAATGTCAATTCGTGATGAAAACCATAAATCTAATTCCTAACACTAATGTACAGCTGTAAATGTTAATCCTGATTCCTCGCAGTAATTTATAACCCAATGAGTTGGTGAGCATTATCAAGGTCACTTTAACATCACGGAAAGGTCGTCCATAAATTACAGTCTCATCTAAACGTTTATTTATACAACTGATGTCACATTATTACGAAATGTACAATACTACTTATCATGTTTATGAGTAGCTTTACGAAATACTGAATAAAAGTTGATTGTGAGGTGGTGGAGAAGATTTTTAGTTCGGATGGATGATTTTTGGATGGAGTTTCGTTCTTCAGATTGATATTTGTGCTGATGATGTCATTCAGAAAAAGAAAGATGAAAGCTCCACGACCAAGCCATCTGGCTCAGAGAATAAAACTCCATCAGAAAGTCGACTGTTTCAAAAAATACATATGAATTTCAATGGTTAAGATCATGAGTCAGTTGAAGCTAGACCACCATGGAAAACCTGGAAGCACTGAACGGCCGTTTCATCCTATTGAAACAATGAAATTACTATAATATCTACAAAACCCATCTGATATTGATCAACGTATGCTCACTAGTGACTGGCTTCAAAACGTATTTCCTGGAGTTCTAATGAGAAGTTTTGACCAGTGGATTTCAACCAGGTCTGTTGTGAGATAGTTACTCACTGAAGACAATGGTGAGTGTCACTTAATTTCTTGGATTAGTTGACGTTAGACATTAACACCGTCGGATGCCGGCTCAGTGGTCTAGTGGTTAAGTGCTCAAGCGCGAAACCAATAGGTCCTGTATTCGAATCTCATAGGAGGCGAGGTCATTGATGCGCACAGCTGAGGAATCCCACAATAGGACGAGTTGGCCGTCCTGTGCTTCCAGGTTTTCCATGGTGGTCTAGCTTCAACTGATTCATGATCTTAACCATTGAAATTACTATAATATCCACAAAAACCCATCTGAAAATAAATATGAAATGTGAGAAATTTATCTTTCGTGTTAGATGTATGTAAATTTACCAATGGATATCTATATACATATAAAATAGATATTTGTTTTAGAATGCCTTAGTGAGTATTATAAAATGAAGAAAATTAATGGTTTACTGATTTGCATGCTACTTATATTGACAGATATAAGTAGTATGTAACACTAATCAGTAGTGGAAGACCTGTCAAAAGAAGGTTGTAAAGATTGAAATGAAGGAAATATGAAGGAAATAAGAAATGGAATAATTACCAAGGATATCAAGGACAACTGACGAAAGGTATTTAATGTATTGTTTTCAGATTTTATCAAAGAACTCTATAATTGTGTTCTATTTACTAAAGTGGTTATCCTCACTAAGTCTTCGTTAGCTACACGTATACGCGATTTCTGTATGCCCTATTAGAATTGAAAAATCTCTCCGTCTTAATTCAATGAGAAGAGCTAACTGATGTGTGGGCGAAGATGATAATGATTAGTTGTTTGCTTCATCTGATAGACGTTAGATGAGTTATATATTCCCATATCCTTATTATTATTGATTGTTGTTGGATTGTGCCATGGTTTTTGTCCGTTTTTTTTTGGTGTGGAAATCTATTTACATTCTACTCAGGCTAATCACGTGTTCTTGATCTGAATTGTGTTGAAGTCCTGTAGAATAGACACTGGGTAGGAATGAGAATCTAGTGTAGATATTCGTCTAAGATACATTAATGTCCCATATGTGTAAAAGTGGAAACCAAACCGTTATAACGTTAGACGAACTAAAACCGAGCGTTATAAAACTAACAGTATTGGTATATTAGAAGAAGATGAGCCAAATTAGTATAAGAATGTTATAAGAAATAACCTGGAATTTAACAACTTCCATATGAATGTTCTGTCTAGAATTCTATAAAGCATCACAGTTTACTATTGGATTTAGGTTGTTGATTATTAGCACAAGCTTTATCTCAACATCATAATGAGATAGAACAAACAAAATGAGCTTTAAAATTATACAAAATTAAAAGATCCCATTAAAAAAAGGACAATTCACAGATCCTTTACACAGAAATGTATCTAAAGATTAAGTTTGCCTCGTTTGTCATTGGAGAGTCTTCTAATGAGATCTTAACTCGTGCCAAAGAACATCTAGGCTATCCAAAAAGATCTCGTTATAAACTTATAGAATGTGAGAATATACAAGCCAAAATGGAAATTGTAGAGCATGTTAGTTTCAATAACCAGCACTGCTGAGCTGCAATCACAATTGATTGATCACTGGGTGATGATCAATGTCATGTGTGTCAAGTCATTATTAGTGCAGATCGAATTCTATCGATCATGATGCAATGTGGCCACCAGCCTAGGTGACTCAGAACTGCATGCACTATTGTGAAATTAGATGGTGGTTGGTCACCACCCAGTGACCAATCAATTGTGATTAAATTTCAGTCTTACAGGAGGTTGGTCGCCGCCCGGATAGCACAATGGTAACGTCTCTGACTGTGAAGCTTGATGACACGGGATCGAATCCGTCAGGGAGCACCAGTTCCCTCAAGATTACAGGTACACCTTGCTGACGAGTGCCAAATAGCACAAAACCCGAGGGCAGGGTTTCCAGTCGACTACCTCCAACCATCATCTAAACTGCTGAGCTGTACCATACTAGGATGAAAGGGTCATCCAGTGCTTCCAGGTTTTCAATAGTGGCTTAACATTGGTCGGTTCATGATTTCAATAAAACAATCTCCAGCTTGATAGTTTTATTTATTTCCTGGTAAAGGTTACATGCAACATTTTCAATACTTAATAAATGTGTTGTATTCAATTCTGTAATTCATCTGATTTTTTGTTCATTTGATGAATAGGTGCTCAATTCAAGAGCTACATTTTACATCATTAGAGTTTATCATTTGAAATGTTTGATTGCATCATACGAAGATGTTCATGGAAGATAGAACCTGATAATTTTAGACACTTGAAATGAAATGTTCAGTAAAAATAACACCCTCTATTAAGAGTATTCAGAAACCTGATAAACATTTACAACGTTGAAGGCAAACTTAGTCGGTTTAATTAAAGATAATATAAACTAAATCTGATCTTTGTAAAACTATATAAATCGAAAGAAAAGATGGATACTGGCTAGCAGTGGAATGTAGGATGTGCATTTCGTCCTATTTAGGACTCGTCAGATGGATAAACCTACATCTCAGAATTGATGTCCACTCTAGGACTTGAACTTAGTATCATTCGTTTCAAACGCCATCGCATTATCTACTTAATTACTGTGTCCTGATAACCATTTGGTCGTGCAATGAGGTGAATTTTAAATCCACTTGGTTTTGTTTTACTTAAATCTTCCCATTGATGTTTAGGATTATAAATAATCAGTCTGTTATTGGCAATACACAAAGTATGCACATATACCAATTAGATATTGATCAATTGTAGTTCTAAATATCAATGGGAAGATTCAAGTAAAAAACAACACCAATGAATTCAAGTATGTTACTGTTTTTTTGTGTAAACAAAATATATTAAGGAATGTTTATATTACCTAAGTAAATTAAACACACCATAGTAAGATATGAACTTATGGTAGACCGATTAAATTGTAACTGGGGAAAAGATATTATTTCATTTTATGATATACCAAATTTGAAGTTGGTTTACGGATCAATAAACGTTTAAATATAGTGAATCATTTGGTATGATCTTCACTCATAGTCTGTAAGTTGTGTACATAAATATTGGTAAAAAGGGCACCGAATACATCTGTGCTACACAAGTCATCTCATCCATGTATAGACTGTGAAACGGCCCGGGTGCCCGAATTGAAGCAGATGGTTCTCTTAGGGGGCCAAACCCGGAGCCTTTGAGCTAAAGGTCGGATGCGCAAGGAAGTGGATCAACGTCAGAAGATGCAGTCCTATAGTATCAGGTGACCAACATTAGGTCCATACGCCATTTGTTCCCACACGATCATAGAGCCTCCGCGCACTATCGGTTTGGAATCAGGGTTTTCCAACTCCCCTAGATACATCCTTCATATCCACCAACCTGGTTAAGGCAACGAACATTCACTTTTCATCCTCTTATTTTCGTAAACAAATCCCCCCCGCAAGACGACAGTGATTAGGACTACCTTGACAACGGCTGTATATGCGTGTCCATGTGAGAGCAGATAAATTCCATTGAATTCGCATGAAAATATTATGTTATCATAATGAATAAGAAAATCCTACAAATGATCAATATACATATGTAAATAAACATGAATAATACTTACCGCTACTTGGTGGAACAATAGGAAAGAATGGTGAATAAAAATGCATGAAACCATCATCAAACCAACAACGACCTTGTAAATTTTCTGGATAATCATTACGTATATTTTCTAAATGTAATTCATCATTTTGTACTTTAGAACGTGTAGCAAAATCACCCATATTTACTTGATGACCACTGGGTAATGCAGGAAATTGCCATCCAATATATTGATTTTGTGTTAATGTATCCATTAGTGTATCAGTTTCTTTGTCTATAAAACATAAGAAGAAAATTATTCATCGATTAAGCGAAACTGTTGGGGACGTTAGATCCCAGAACTTACTTGAAAAAGGTCCTAATTTGTAATTTTATTTTGAAAATTTGGATTTCTTTGTTTTAGCGCCAAAAGTGCTCTTTTCATCTACATGTCGTATGTCCCACTTGGGAGAATCTTAAACTCTATTGGTCCGTTGTGTCTTTTAGTATGCTATTTTGTAACGCTTCCTAAGGACGGTTTTGTGCTGTATATATACGTTTTGATTTTGTCTGTTGTTATCTCTCGTGATTCTGGTTTTTGCGGAATATACTTCCCCGTTCGGACTTCGACTTCACTCTCTAGTTAGCGGGGCTGGGATGCATCGGAATAGCTAGTTTATTGGTCTTTGTTTCGTTCACAGACTAAGTAATCTCGTAATCGTTTCAAACCTAGCAAATGTGGCGAAGTAAACCTAGTATGTTTGAAATAAACGATTCATATCTCAGAGGCTGAGATTGGTGTTCTGAACTTAACTGACTGGGTTAGGCAGGAAGCAGGACCAATATGTACTCTAGGCTGCTCGTACGGGTTTTACGCGTCATTGGTCTGATCGATAGTTCACTGCTCTCTAATTGGTGGTAGAAAAAACAAAATATTTTTTTTAACTAACAACTAATTAGATTTCAGGTCAACAGAACAAGCTGTTGATTAGTTGTGTGGCGATAATAACTCATTTCTTTTTCAAGTATGTACTGATAATTTTGTTCAAAAGAATAATCTAATTATCAGAATAAGATTGTGAAGATTGTTGAGCTTAAATTGTGATCATGAACCGATCAGTGTTAGACTATCATTAAAAACCCAGAAGTACTGGATGGTCGTTTCGTCCTGGATCCGAATCTTCACTGCGGAATCATGAATACCCACTTCTGAGGAGTCCCATACTATGACGAAACACTGATCAGTTTGTGGTGGCTGGTACTATGCCAAGCTCACGTAGGCAATTCTAGCTTCTGGACAGACCAACTTATTCATTCTTCTCAAGTGACATTTTGACCTTGTCAGTTATTCGCTTATAAACCCTCGCTGTTTTTATATGATCACATATCTGTGGTAATTGCTTACTCTATTTATTATGTCTATGAAACTTGCTTTGTCTGACTATACATACTGAATTACACTTGGCCAAATTGGGTTGGCACAGTCGCCTTCTCTGTTGTACGTTGTTTCGTTCCGTTTCTTTGATTGTCTGTTCAGATCAATACACCTATTCAAATTCCATTTTTCTATTTTTTCTATTCTCTAACGTGGATTAATTCGACAAAAATGAATGTTGATGATATATATCAAAAGGTATGAAATAGTCATTTTGATTGTTTGAATTCAATTTGAGCTTCATTTGAATATATTGACTTATGAACTATGAAACTTTATGCAAATGATCAATGTGTTAAATCTGAAGGAATTCTATTGAAAAGATTAACTGTCGATGATTTGATATTGTAAGGATGTCGATTTATTCGTTATATTGTAATGAATGAAGTGAAAACTAATAATCAGATTACACGATCTATTTCTGCAGGAACATTGTAAGCTATCACGAGTGAAGTAATTCGATAATGAGTATATGTTTGATCATATTACTCAGTAACAAAACATTTCGATTGCATTCTTATACTAGAGTTGTTGGATGAATGATGTAGTTTGGACTTTAATGCTTTCATTGCTTAAACCCGTTCACCTTCGTTGAGGTGCACAGGTCCTTTGTTAGCACTCGCTATCGGACTCTGTTCTTGGCATTCATTTCTATTTGCTACTCATTCTTTTCATTTCTGCTTTCAATTATCGACGTAATGTGTTCCTTAGGTTTTTTCCGTCTGTAACTCTTCTAGAGTTATTGCCTGTTCCAAGACCAGGTAAAGAATGGGGATTAGGTATGGGATCAGCAACTCCATCCCGTAGAAAACAACCTTGCTGAAAAAAACTCTAACCAGAATAACCAATTTAAAGCATTTAAACTCTGTCATGAGAGTTAAAGGATCTTCATTTAGTAGAATTATCTCACCTCATGATAAAAGTCAAGACTCTATTACTCTGGTTTGGTTTGTATTAAAATAGAAAATTCATGTCATTTTAAATATTAATTAATTTTAATAGTTGAATTCATGATTAGATGATCATGGAAAACCTGGGAGCACTGGATGGCCATTTCGTCCTATTTTGGGACTCCTCAGGAGTGTACATCCACAATCCCGTTGTGAAAAAATATATTTATGGTTAACCCTTTGGTTTTTTTTTAATAAATGTTTTTTTTGGTACGATGTGGTTTGTTTGATTGGTATATAAACAGAGTATGTCTGAAATGTCATGATTCGTATCTCAGGGGCTGTGACTTGCGTTCTGGACTCAACTGGCTGGGGTAGACAGGGAAGCGGGACCAATCGAGACTCTAGGTCGTTCATTACGTGTTTACGTGTCACTAATCTGACCGATAAATACGCTGCAATCCACACGTTACAACACCGTCTCTCGAGGATTGAACCCAGCACCTATTAGTTTCGCGTGCGAATGCTTAACATCTAGACAACTGAGCCTACTTCCGACTCTGTTAATGTCTAACTTCAACTAATCCACGAAATTGAGCGACACATCCATCACTGTCATCAGTGAGTTAATATTTCACAACAGACCTAGTTGAAATCCACTGGTCACAACTTCTCATTAGAACTTCAGGAAATACCTTTTGAAGCTAGTCATTAATGAGCATAGGTTAATTAATATCAGAAGAGATTTTGTGAATATTTTCCATGGTGGTTATCCATAGTTGTCTAGCTTCAATTGATTCATGATCTCAACTAATGAAATTACAAAACCCCTTCATATTTTGTTTATAATTAGTTTAATATTCTTACCTCGAATAATGCACTTTAATTGAATATTCTGTCCAGGTTGTACTTTTAACACACCTTGATTATTTAATCCACCAACAGTTACTTCATATCTTGAATGTGTTACTTGGAATAGAAAAAGAGAAACAAAGGAGAATCAGGGAATTAATATGAAATGGTATTTATAAAATATGTATTTACTAAATCTAACATTAACATTATTTAAACGAATAGGAGGTTTAAGGAAGATCTGTGCTCCTACATGAGAAGTAACTGTTTAGACTATCAAATTAACATGTGAGGCAGAATCGTGGATGCGCACTACTGAGGAGTCCCACAATAGGACGAAATGGCCGTTCAGTGCTTCCAAGTTTTCCATGGTGGTCTAGCTTCAGTTGACTGATGATTTCAACTATCAAAATTAACATATGTTTAATTTAGTTGTATGAAATATATCAAGCCTTAACAAACACAACTGTTCAATATGTGTATATTTTCAATGATTTGATCATTTATCCTTGTAATTGTACACTAAGAATAGAAAATATAGCACATATTGTCGCAATAATCCTCACATTCGATAATGTTATGGTAGATATATGTAACTGGTCTACTGTTATGAAATTCACTGACTACAATCACTGTCTGTTTCAGTTTAGACAGTTCACAATTTAATCTCTTAATCACTCTTGGATGTGCGATGAAAGTGACATTGAAGGGAACTATATAATGAAATACAATATAAGTGATAAGTATAGTTTTACCTGTCTAAATCAGAGAAGAGTTACTGTATTGAAGAAAGAAACATTGAGTCTGCTCACTTTTGAAAACTTATGTCATTTTTTGTTTGGTTGTTTGTTCTTAATATTTTGTATTGTTTAACTGAATGTAAATTGTGATCGTGGATGAGCACTACTGAATAGTCGCATACTAGAACGAAACGGCCGTCCACTGATTTCGGGTTTACCAAGGTGATTTAATTTTAATTGACTAATGAACTCAACTATTAAACTAACCGAGTCAATAGAGATAATTAACTGTGAAAGAATATTATCACAATGAATGTATTTTGTGCATGTTCAATGCGTCTGTGTATAGAAAGATCATTTCCTTAGGAAGTAGTCACTGATGTTACTATCCAGAACAACAATAAAAACTTTTCATCTAAATTATTCAGCTCAGAATAACTCTGTGTGATGTACATAGTTATATTATGCTTGCTGTTAACTATAGTTATATTGTGTTATCCCTGTGTAGTTAACGATTAACTTACCGAATATTTGGTTGCCATACGTCAATCCATTGATTATCATCTAACTAATTAAACATAGTTTAATATATTCGGTTTGACGTTACATATTATGTGTAGTAAGTCTTGACTACATTGTGGAGATAGGCCTGACAAGCTTATTTTGTAAATAGTTTTCAATGTTATTTGTATTTATTTTGTCAACCTTCCACTGTATGTATATTTAACATTAAATGACTGTAACTGTTGTTTTAGTAAATGATCATGATGATACTGACATAGCGTGAAATACTGTTGCTGGCTAACAAATACACTACTACTCACACATTCCTCGTTCTATCTTCGTTTGTGATTGAGTTAACTGAAGTCTAAATCAAATACTATTTACATTTATAGACTGTAATTGGAATATATCACATCCTACGTTGGATTATATCACCGGGGAGTTCGTCAACCAGATTGGAATTACCAAGCATTTATAATTGCGGTTTCTTAGTACCAGACCAAAGCCGAACACGCATCAATTTGGTGAACTTAAATAAATTCCACAACCCCTATACTAGTAATCAACATGTGCTCACTAGTGACTAGCTTCGTGAGGGAATTCTCGGAGTTCTAGTGAGAAGCCATGACCAGTGGAGCTAATCCTTGTCGGGTAGAGACAGGTATCTACCTCAGTACAACGGAAGTTGGTCGCGCAATTTCGTGGATTGGTTGATGTTAGAAACTGTCACCATTGGATGCCGGTTCAGTGGTCCAGTTGGTTAAGCGTTCGCGCGCGAGACCGAAGGCGCTGGGTTCGAATCTCGCTCGCGGGATCGTGGGTGGGCACTGCTGAGGAGTCCCACAATTGGACGAAACGGCCGTTCAGTGCTGCCAGGTTCTCACTTGTGATGGTCTAACATCAATCGCTTGATGATCTCAATCAAAAACCCATGTTTCTATTGTATTTGTAATAATTAACTTATATATATTAACATTACTATTGATCTTTATTAACTTTGTTGATACTTTTTGCGTTTATATATCGTCTGGTCCACCACAACATAACTAGAGTAAAGTCAGTATGGAATAGGGTTTGAATTTATGACTGAATCAATAAAAGTTGATTTCTTTTCTTCACTAGACCACTAATCTATTGAGACAGTGTTCTAATGGTGTATAAATAAAACTTTTTAACTTACCATCTATATAATCTGGCAAAGCTTCTACATCTTTTGGTACATTGACTAAGAAATATGGACTAGCATAACGTTGTAAACCTTGATCAGGATATTTATCTGATTTATAATTGATTTCAGCTATACAACGAACTTGTATACGATTCCTTACATCTTTACCATTCAAATGACTACGTAGTTCATTCAATTTTATTTTACCAGTTTCTGGATCTATCTCAATATTTTTAGCTAATTCTAACGTAGAAGCTGGTAATCCATTCAAACGTATCACTTCTAAGCCATAATTAATTTCTACATCTGTTATTGTCTCTTCAGTAATTGGTTCATTTGTTGTTTGATCTAAAGAAATTAGAAAAATAATAATGATTAGTTCTTTATAAATAAAAAAGAAATGAGCATCTATAATACACTTACTTTTTCAATATATACTTACTTACTTATTTACGCATGTTACTCCTCATGGAGGAGCAAAGGCAGCCCAAAAATACGCCAACCAGATGAAACAGATTAAAACATTTAAACTCTTTCATTCTATGGTTAATTTCAAAAGAATACACTGAACATTCGTACTATTATGAATAGTATTGTAGTAACGAGAACACAATTGGCGACAACTAAATGTATTTGAACAAAAATTCTGATAATTATACAGTCAATACTTCATTTGCAAAATGTTAATCAATTGTCTCAAACTTGATTGTTCCTTTGTCTCCACATCAATCATTCTCTGTTCTCATACTCTTTTCGTCGATCCTCTTAATTTTTTATGCCAGGCACTTCACTTTTGACTGATGGTTCATACTACTCATATCTGTCGACACCAGTAGTATGCATCGAAGCATTATTAAGATATATATCGGTTGATTGTATTACTCTTGTTATAACTTGTAGCATTTTGCCCCTATCAATACATGACGTAATGATACCGCCAATTAGAGAATAATGACTTATCAACCGGACCAATGACACAAAAACCCGTACGAGGAATCTAAACACTTTATCTGTTTTATCTTTCTTCCTAGCTCTGTCCGTTTTCTTCACAACACTAATACCAGCCTCTGCAATATCAATCATGTATTTAAAACATACCGGGTTTATAGACAAACAAAAAAAGACCACATCGTACCATAAAATAGGAAACAACATTTGTACAAGATCTAGCCAAAAGTAGCTGTGAATGTGGAAACTGTAATTAATAGACTGGGCATAACTCAATAATGACAAATCGTAGTCTATGGATCAAAATAAAGTTTATGATAAGAGGAACATTAATATACATAGTTTAGTTACTTAGCCGTTATGCAATAAAAATATACGTATAGTAATAGTCCAGAAATAGATCCCAGCAGCTACCAATCACAATTCTCGTCGAGATATAACACGTGATGGAGCTTTCTAGAATATTAACGTGGCATGCTACTATTGAACAATAGCATAACATGCCTCTTTGTGGATTGGCTAAATTATAATCACGTTATAACAAAAACTGCTATCTATAAATATCCAACAAATACTTACCCAGCATTCTTCTATCTTCTGATTTTGTGACTGTAAAGTTCTATATGACCGAGTGCCGTAGTTGTATACTGTATTCTACATTAATCAAGTAGCGAACATAACAACTCTAGCCTTCTTAAATGTATAGTGACCTACTTTTATCATGAGAACGCGATTAGTTTAATGGAAACAATTATTATTATAGTCAATTGTACGAGTAATTTTTTTACTGTACTTGCTTGTTTATCTGTACTAAAGACATTCTCCCTTCCTTTGATAGTGACCTTGCACGAATTCGGTTACGCTCAGTAACCACACTTGTACTCCTTTGGCGCGTTCTCGGTATCCTTTCGATACCACAAGATCGCCAGCAAATACATCTCGACTACAGTCATTAACTGCCTTTTGATATTTGGCTTACGAAGGATCTTATCGGTTAATTAGCACGTAGTCTTCCTGTAGTGGTGATCATAGTCAAACGCGATTCGACGCCACACTACAAATGTATTTCACTACATACTTTTTATATAATGATTCATTTTCAAAAGAAATAAGATTCAATTTTATATGTGAAACTTTACAGACAACGATGCTTAGTTGTTTTGAAATGTACATTCAAATGGGAACATGATTAAAGATTTATGAATATGACAAATAAATTTTGTTTCTTTTTTTTTGTTCTATGTCTATACATAAACATTGAAGATAATGAATTGTGGTTTATGTAGTTGAATCATCAATCAGATTAGAAACTATGGGACATGTGATAAACTAAAGATTAAAAACACAACTACAATGGGGTAAACATAAATCACTACTATAAATGGGAATAAGCATTAATGACTTAGTAATTTTTATGCGGTATAATACACTTAAATGTTAAAGTTACTAATATCAGTGATTAAAAAGGGATCAAAACAGGTATAGTAAATGAAATAAATATGAAGAAAACTAAAGTGATTGGGAAGAAATAGGTTTTAGAAACTGTTTATATAAGATCGATTGGTGGTTGGAGGTAGTCAACAGGAAACCCTGGACCTGGGTTTCGTGCTACTTGGAACTTGTATCAAGATGTAACTGTAATATTGAGGGGACTGGTGTTCCCTGGTCACATTGCAACATGATCGATAGCATTCGATCTTCACTAAATAAGGACCTGACATACATGACATGGATCACCACCAAGTGATCAATCAATTGTGATTACATCTCAGTCCTACAGGATGTCTGTCGCGGCCCGAATAGCTCAGTGGTAACGTCTCTGATTATGAATTTGGGTGACACGGGATCGAATCCTCCAGGGAGCAACAGTTCCCTCAAGATTACAGGTACGCCTTACTGACGAGTGCCAAGTAGCACGTAACCTGGGTGCAGGGTTTCCTGTCGACTACCTCCAACCACCATCTAATCTCATTATATAGTGCACGCAGTGTCCAGTCACCTAGACTGGTGGCCACATTACAACATGATCGATAGCATTCGGTCTGCAGTAATATGGACTAGACAAGCATGACATTGGTCACCACCTAATGATCAATGAATTGTGACTGTTTATATAACCATAAATCTGACTTTACGTTGTATATTACTAACACTTTTGAGATACAAAAAGGTGTGTGTACTCCTTTAGGTAGTATCGGTTTGATTTTATTAGTGATCAAGGATAATGAAACCGATAATGAATGGTCATGGTCAACTACATTCTACCGAATATGAGATTTCATAACTTAAAACACTGTCCTGGTCGATATTCTATTATGCATCATGAGATATGTTTCAATAAACGTGTCAACTGCACAGGAATGGCTGAATAAACGAATGAGCATTCAGTATTTCAAGTATAGCAACTTAGCCTTGTAGCGTCGGTCTCTATATTAAGCTTATTTTAGCTTCTGGACAAGCCAATATATTCATTCTTCTTGAGTTACATTTTGACGTTGTTAATTATTCGCTTGTCAAACTTAAATATTATTATATAAGCGTACGTATGGGTATTTCCTATCTTACTCGTCACATGTGTGACTACAAATATTGATTCATGCTTGATTAAATAGAGTTAGCTCACATGCCTTCTCCATTGCGTGTTATTTTGCTTCGCTCACTTCTCTTCGCTTTGTTCCTCTGATTGCCTGACCAGATTAATGAGTGTACAAAATATACTTATTCAAAACTTCGTTCTCGTACTTGACTTATCTCATTCGTTTATTTAGTAACGCGATTCAAATCGATAATGATATAAGTGGATTGTCAACAAGTAGATTTCGATAACAATTATTCGTACAACCTGCCTAGAATCAAATATTCGAGGGCCAATAAACCCTTATAAAAGTGTGTACTAAAGAAGGGCACTCTCAGAGTAGTTGGATGAAATTGCTGATATAGAGATCTAGACAAATAATCCCATCGAAATTAGTTTGTAATATTACACAGATAAACCAGAAGGTTTCAAATATCAAAAGGGTGATAGAAAAATGAATATGAAGTGTAATTTAAATAAATGTAATTAGCTCTATAGTTACTGCCGGTCTCAAGCGCGGATAAAGGAGGAGGGTTAGGTATGGGGTTAGCGACCCCATTCCGTAGAAAACTAACTCACTAAAAAAGCATTAACGAGAAACATATTTCAAACCAAAAATATTTAAAAGATTAAACTCGCTTACTCATTGCAATACAGTTTAATTCTACACTTTCTCCTTTATCAGCTGATAATGCTCCATTCTCATCTAATCCATCAACTTTAATGAAAATATCACTGTCTTTTGTTGTCGCAACTAGAAGAAAGCAAAGCAAATTTATAATGATTAAGATTGATTAGAATTATGATAATACAACAACAACTATGACTACGACTACTACTACTACTACTAGTACTAAGTACCCGTTTGACTAAACGCTTGAATCGGTTTCTTAAGTTCTTCTAGTAACACCCAGGCTAAATCTACATGACAACTTGAACAAAAGAGAACAGGCGCAAAATGTGAACAGAAAGCTATACTCCAAAGTTAGTTTGTGTGCATAAAATTGAGGTTCCTCATAGCATTTCAGATAACCTTGACCTTCCGGAAGTTTCTGGAATCTTATCAAATATAGTTGCAGGACAGAAAATCATCTAGTCAAAAATATGACACATGATGCTTCAATTTCTAGATGTTTCTGAAAAACTTCTATTCCTAGCTGGTTGAATGAGGTATTTCTCAACATTTTCAAGGTCCCTCTAAGCTTTTTTAAAGAATACTCTGGATCTCGTTAATAACTATAACCCCTACTATCAAATTAATATTCATACAATTTGTAACTGGTAATTCATTCAATTTCATTTCGTCTTGGAAAGAACAATGACATACTTCATTAGAAGTATTAATTGGTTTCATTTTAATCGAACCAAATTGATATTATTGTCAATGCTTGGTAACTATTAATAATGGTAATGTGTGATATGATACCAACACAGTATTCAAAAGTAACTCTGTCACCATAAGATTCAAAAGTCTTCAGTCAGACTTCTGGACTAATCCTATGTGATTGCTTCTGTGGGTAGCTGGTATTACATGAATATCCAACACTTTAGTTACAATCATGTGATGATCTTAGTTACATACTTTTGTAAGAATATCTAGTGAAAGGGGAATTCAAACATCTTTTGTTCAAAGCTAAATCATGTGTAAACGGTAAAAACACTTACTTGGCTGTGTAGGTGCAATAAAATCTCTACGTCCAGTACCATCACTATCAATGATATCGAAACGGAAGTGTGGAGAATAAAATACTTCTTCACTTCGAGATAATTGAGTATCTTCATCAAGTGATTCTTCTGATGGAACTATTACACGACAACGGCCAAGAATTGATGTTGTTTGTTTTAATCCTTGTAAAATTAATTGATTTTCATTACTTCTAATCGACTATCTCCTATTCCAATTAATGATGTTGTATCAATTGGTGTACCATCTAAACGACTGAATTCCCAACCGTAAATTACAGATTCTTTTGTATGTTGTTTAGTTGAACGATCTTATTATTGGAAAGAAGTATATAAATATAATAAACATGAAATTCAAGGAATTTAGCTACTCATCATCTACTAAATAAGTACGTGAACTAAGTTGATATAAAGTTTATTTCACAATTGGTTTTGTGGAGATTTTTAGAAATTTCACTTGTTGAAATCATGAGTCATTTGAAGCTAGACCACCATGGAAAACCTGGAAGCAATGGACGGCCGTTTTGTCCTAGTATGAGACTCCTCAGCAGTGCGCATTCACGATATATAACTGCAATTCTTACCACACAATCTATTACTCGCAGCATTGCACTTTTTTCTCCATTATTTCCATTGTTAAAACCGTTCTTGTAAATCATTAGAACTCATACTTCATATCTTATTTACCAATGTTTACAATTGACTAATTACTGGATGGTGATCAATGCTAAGTATACCAGGTCCTTTTTAGTGAAGATCAAATTCTATCAACCATGTTGCAATGTAGCTTCTAGTCTTTGTGACTCGACATTGCATGAACTATATTGAAATAAGATGGTGATTAGAGGTAGTCAATAGGATAGCTCAATGATAACGTCTCTGACTGTGAAACTGGGTGGTACGTGATTGAATCCGTCAGCGAGCATCAGTTTTTCAAGATTACATGTACACTATTCTGACGAGTGTCAAATAGCAAGAAACCTAGTTCTAGGTTTCCTGTTGACGGCCTCCAATCACCATCTTGTTTACCAACGTTTCATGTTTTATCACCACATCTATTCAATCTGATTATTTGATAAATAAATGCACCATAACAAGATCAGATCAACTTCAGATAATAAACAATACGATTGATCATTTATTTATTTTTATGGCTCTTTTCTTATATATACAAACAGTAGTTTCACAATGAACGATAACTTCATATTAGACTATCTTTAGATGAACATCAGTAAGTAGTGAAATTCCTTAAACGTGACATACAGACTAAATTACGAACAAAAACCATTGCAATTTGTTGAATAATTAACCTTAGTAATGGTATAATTGCACTGAATTAAAACAAATATACTTACCTGTAGCAATACATTCTAATTTTACTGAAGAACCTTCAGTACCTGATAGTCTTCCACGATCATCTAGACCAACGACACTTACAGAAAGACGATTCAATTTTTCTAAAATAAATATACATATAAGAATAACAAAATTGGTTATTTATAAACACTTTTATATTCTAGTCAATTCCGCTTGGAGTCCCTCTGGGAACTACTGCCGGTCCCTAGCCCGGACAAAGAAGGAGGGTCGGGCGTGGGGTTAGCGACCCTATCCCGTAGAAAACTAACTCGCTAAAAAAGGGTTAACCAGAAAAAATTATCCAAACCTTTTAAACCCCGCCCTGGGAATCAGAAGGTTTTCATTTAAAAGATTTATGACGACTCATGATCAAAACCGAGTTCCTTCGGAAGTCACGAAGTCGATGCCCCTTCTGACAACCAGGGCAACCATTTATTTAGGTACATGGAATGCTCGTACAATGTGGGAGACCGGGAGAGTCCTCCAAATTGCTGCAGTATATTCTAGTCGTTTTTATTATAAAGTGGAGCTCGAAATTAACAAGAATTAGGTAATGTAAATTTTCTCTCTTCAGGTTCTACAATTATCTCACATGATTCGAAAAATGACCAGGTTAAGGGCAAAGTATATCGTTAAAAGCATGTGAATTTAGGATTGTGATAAACAATTTAATAAAGTACATCCAGTCATTCAGTTTACATCTTAAGAAGAGAGTGATGGCCGAATAGCCTTTTTGGACGTTCTCTTGACTAAGAGAGCGGATGGGTCATTAAAAAGGATATAGTTGATATAGTTGAACAAGGGCTTAACACCTTGCATAATACTCTCATGGAGAACGGCTACCCTAGAAAGTTTATAATTAAATATATGGTCACGAAGGCGAAAGTAGGCGAAATACAAACGGTGAAAAAGAAATCCCTGTTCATGCGTCTACAATTCAGAGGGGATGAGGCTAGTGAAATACTAACTCAGAGATTACGTAGGACAATACAAAAGTCTTTTAACGCCGGAGAACTGCGATTAGTATTTTTTACGCGCCCAATGGTTACACCTAAGCTAAAAGATGAATTACCTAGAATGACCACCTCATTTTTTATCTCTCAGTTCAACTGCTCCTGTGGAGCGAGTTATATTGGTCGGAGTTCTAGGAATTTACATTTTCGTGCTCGTGAACACCTTCCAGCGTGGCTAAACAAGGGTTTGATGAGGAAAGTGAACAGCTCGATATTGACCCATTTAGTACAAACCGGTCATAGTGCTAGTATAAACCAATCTTTTTCAATTATTTATAAGGTAAGTAATTTTTTGCCAAAACTGGTCAGACTGAAAGTCATACAAACGGCTGAAGCAGTGATCATTCGGATGAAGAAATCGGAGCTTTGCGTACAGAAGAAATATATTCAACCACTCCTCCTCCCCTGGTCAACAACTAGGACAATTAATCAGTCAGAATGAGTTTTGTGGAGATTTTAGTAAATTTCACAGGTTGAAATCATGAGTCAGTTGAAGCTAGACCACCATTGAAAACCTGGATTGGTTGAAGTTAGACATTAACACCGTTAGATGCCGGCTCAGTGGTCTAGTGGTTAAGTGCTCGCTCGCGAAGCCAGTAGGTCCTGAGTTCGAATCCCGCAGGGGGCGGGTTCGTGGATGCGCACTGCTGAGGAGTCCCATACTAGGACGAAACGGCCATCCAGTGCTTCCAGGTTTTCAATGGTGGTCTTGCTTCAACTGACTCATGATTTCAACCTGTGAAATTAATCAGTCGTAATCTTAACTATTGAATGACCTAATTTGACTATGACCTTTCGTAGTCAATTGTCCCTGTTATCTTTATTCAGAAATCTTTGTATATAGTTATTATTATTATTCGTATTATTGGTTAAACATCATTAATCTCTCCTATACATGATTCATTCACTTCTCATTCATCCCTTTGTATTACGTCTTATTTGATCGAATTGTAATTGCACTATTATTTCTGTCTCACCCTATTTGACCCATATTTATTCTGATCATGGATTTTAGCATGTACACTTATACACATATACGCAGATTCAAGTTAACATTCTATATGAGTCATATTAACATTAACAATTTTCAATGGTTAAGATAATAAGTCCGTTGAAGCTAGACCGCCATGGAAAACCTGGAAGCATTGGACGGCTGTTTCGTCCTATCGTGGGACTCCTCAGCAGTGCGCATCCACGACCTCGCCCCCTGCGAAACCCAAACCCTGGACCTATCGATCTCACACGCGAACGCCTAACCTCTAAATCACTGAGCCGGTCGGTTTCCAACGGTGTTAATGTCTAACTTCAACTAATCCACGAAATTCAGCGACACATCCACCATTGTCTTCGGTGAGTTACTATCTCACAACAGAACTGGTTTTCCATGGTGGACTCATGATCTTAACCACTGAAATTACTACAATCTCCACAAAACCCATCTAATATTAATTAACAATTTTATTGTATTTTGTTTATCACAATCCTAAATTCACATGCTCTAAACGATGTACTTTCCCCTTAACCTGGCCATTTTTCGGATTATTAATTTGGATATATGAATTGTAGAACCTGAAGTGAATTTATCGAAAAGAATATTCTTCGTTCAAATATTCGTCTTTTAATCTGATGGGGATCTTTAAACGATTGTAATGTAAAAAAAAATCTAACTCACCTCGATCTTTCACATCTTTTACATGATCTACTGGGATTTCTTCTGGATAAACTATTAAATCTACAAGTGTACTATAATATGTAACCCCATCAATATATGATGTAGCTAAACATTGAATACGTGCACTTGGTTGTGGTAGATTTGGTGATGGTCGTGTATCTTCTATAGTCAATACCCCTGTATTACCATTGTTTATTGTATAAGATTGTATTGATTGTCTGGTTAAACCAGCTTCTGGAACTGTTTCTCCATATATACCAAGTAATCTCCAACCAAAATGAAGATTTCCATCAGTCATTTCTTTTCCAGTTACTGTATCTGTTTAAATGAAATAATATAGATGTGACATAAGTATGATCAGAACCAAATCTATCATTATTATTTAGATAATGAAAGTTGTAAAGCGTTTTTAAGACGAGTATTTTACCCAAACTGGGCAGGGTAGATCTGATGAAGGTGTGAAGGTATGGATCCGCAAAGCAAGAGCAGCATATCCACAACTGAAGAACATCTGGAACTCAAAACAACTGTCTGTCAACCAACACCAAGGTCACAATTTTCAATAGAAATGTCAAGACAGTTCTACTGTATGGGGTGGAAACTAGAAGAAGTGCGAAAGCAATCATCCAGAAGATACAAGTGATTATTAACAGTTGTCTACACAAAATACTTCAGATCCCTTGGTCAGACACACACACACCTGGTTTTTGTGCTAAACTCAAAATCCAGTTTTTAATAAGATTGATGAGGATAAACTCTACTATGGTTAGCACTCTGGATCTCTCACGTGGAAGTCAGTCATGATGGAGTGCGTGTTTCGTTGTTTGTAGTTTTTTTCCGAAAAAACCACTCCATCATGATATGAACGTTTCAAGTGAAGCGCAGTCAGTCATGATGGAAGAAAAATTACTACGTGGAGTTTACCCCCAGCCAATAAAGCTAAGGTTATGGAAGAAAGCTTATAAGAAAATAGCCACACTTGATGATTAAATAGTTTGTAAATCATAATAAAAAGCTGTTTGTAGCATTATACAGTAGAAATGGCTGTGTAAAAGAAAAAAATACCTAAAGCGCTTTCATTCTGATTTAGATTGTTGCCACCAAATACCTTGGTACGATCGAGGGTCAAGAGAGTCGACTCACCCTCTCCAAATGCTCGTAGATCGCCATGTGTATACTACTACCAAGAAAGTCCTACTAACTGTTTTCTCCCGGCGGGGTCGTTGTTTAATAAATTGAGAGGACGAAAAGCGAATGTCCGGCGCTTTAACCGATTTAGTGGATATGAAGGATCTACCTAGGGGAGTTAGCGCAGATGGGATCCATGATTTTGAGGGAATAAGTGACGTATGAAACTACCGTTGGTTACGGGCTACCATGGGACTGCACTTCCAAACGTTATTCGATTACCTTGTGGACAGTGGCCCCTTAAGAAAACCAACTGGTTCAGTTTGAGCGCCCGAGCAGTACTCCAACCTTCAGACAAATCAAATGACAAAGTGTGGCATATTTATACTTGGTGCCTCCTTCTACTAATGTGGTGAAGTTTAAATTCACTTGGTATTGTTTACTTCCTAAATGATTTTTTGGACCGCAATTGATCAGTCTTTTATTGGCATATGTGCATCCTGTGCATATTGCCTCGATATTTCCTTAATTCACAAGCATTCCAATCGATGTACCGGCATCTCAGTGTTGATGTTCACTCTGGGACTCATAACATTGGCTCAACTGTTTTATACCCACTTAGAAATGTATCTGATATCTAGTTCATTCTTTCACTATCTCAACTTGATAGTAGTATGAAATGTTTACTCTCTATAACACTTACCATAAGCAGTACAATTTAATTGAACATTTTCACCATCTTTAATTGTAACATGGTTAGTTAAATCATTTTTTCCACCAATTTTCAAAGTGATTCTTTCTTCACCATCTGAAAATGAGACAATTTACAAAGATTAATTAAATGATAACTTCTTCTTAATGCATACGTCAAGACCGATAGGTTTTAGTTTGGAATCTCATGAAGTGAGATCGTGGATGTGCACTGCTGAGCAGTCCCACGATAGGACGAAACGGCCATCCAATGCTTCCAGGTTTTCCATGATGGTCTAGCTTCAATTGACTCATGATCTCAATTAGTAAAATTACTAATAATATCCACAAAACCCCTTCTGATATATATCATTGACTTATGACATTAAAGACTAGACAGCGCTATACACAGAATCTGTATGAAGATTACTAGACAGTTAGGAATAATCACATTTGATTAGGAAAAACCATAAAATAGATTCCAAAATTTTCCGGCTGGGTTCAAAGTCATTTATCATACGTAGTTACCTTTCTAAATGAAATTACTAACAATTATAATAACCGAGTTTGTTGAGCAACTAAACAAATCGCTTATATCCATGTATCTAGACAACTTTGAACTTAGATTCAACTGGGAAAACGTTGAGATCTTGAATAGAGGGGATTTTAAACGTATCAGAGAATTTTCAAATGTTTGGAATTCAAATCAATCAGCAATCAACCATCATATTAAAATCGATCCAATTTATCAACCAAACGGAAAAATCATGAACAACTGTAAGACCATGGATCAGATCAAAGGGAGATACAATCAGATTAATGAGGTAGACAATCATGCGTTAATGGTCAACAATAACTAATCAAGATCGAGGTCATATGTAGAGACGTTCGAACAGTTCACTTCTACCTGAAGTTTGTGCTAATGAAGTTGCTCAGAAGAACAATGAAAGCTCTACGACCAAACTATTCGACTCAGAGAACAGATCTTCTCCTGAGCTACAGACTCAATCTTACAAATTTTAAGGGTTATTTTATCACTTCGCTAAATCACCCTTAATACCACCTTCAGACTTAGTCTTTTAGGGTTTAGTTTTCTTCTCAAAGTTCCAAATATTCATGCCTAAAGACAATTGAAGCGAAACATTGAAACAACGACTATAAACCTGTAGAACATGATCTCTAAAAACTTCCAGGGATATTCCTTTGAAGTATATATGGTGTGTTACCATAAATTGGGAGTATACTAAAGAGGATAGAACTGATATGTCTTAAACTTTTCAAAATCAGTTTATTATGACATTTATGTATTTATCATTCCTATTCAATCTCACCTCCACTTATCCATCTTGTTCCACCTGGTTCAATATCTGATGTTTTCATTGGTTCAGCTTTATCACTACCAAATACCCGAAAACTGAAATCTGGTGAAATGTAACGAGCTGTATCATTTGATGCAATACATCGTATTCTTAATTTATTTGCTGTAGGCGATAAACCATGATAATACAACTGATTATTATTCAATTCAATTTGATCAGCAATTAGATTTGGATGAACACGTTCACCATTAATACGTTCCACTTCCCATGTATAAGTTGCATCCGGTAGAATAAACTGTAAGTAACCATCTGGAAAAGAAAAACACATTGAAACCGATGAATTGCATTGTTATAGATTTACTGATTAGTTGAGGAATAGTAAGCAATATAATGTTTTGTTAATTGAATTCTATCAATCCATTTGAACTGTGAACTACTGGGTCGTATTCATCATGATTTAATCATAGATGGCAAGATGCATTACACTTTTAACCAAAAACGTATCTGAGTTCTTAAAGAAGATAATGTTCCCGATGAGATCCAAATGTTTTTTGTCTAGTGTCACATGAAGAGAATATAATAACTAAGCAATTTTGATATAAATCTGACTTCCTATTTTAATCTGATTAATTTTAAACATCTAACACCCCATTTACTGTTGATAATGATTTACAATACAACTTGAGGGTTTTTGTCACATTAATTACACTAACGATTTGATATAACTGTTGCAGTTTTATGGGGGGGGACAAATAGTTTAAAGGAAATTCAGTTGCTCAATTATAAGCGCTTGCATGAACTAGGTATCCCTTTTAACCCCACCTGTAGTTCTTCTAGGATTACTGTCAATCCCAAGCTTGGGTAAATGATTTTATTTTATTTTTATTTTATTTAATCACATAAACATTGATACAAAGAGGCACCAATTAGATATGCACTAAATAAATCAATTGATTTGTGTAAGGGCTGGAATATCGCCCAGGTGCCCAAACAGAACCAGGCGGTTTCCTTAGGGGGCCACACTCGGAGCCTTCGACCTAAAGGTCTGATTCACATTGCAGTAGAGCAACGTAAGAAGATGCATTCCCATGGTAGCCGGTGACCAACGATTGATTTATACGCCAAGTGTTCCATCAGGATCCTGGAGCCCACGTGTACCATTGGTTTGGAATCAGGGAATTAAAACTCCTCTGGTTGGATCGTTTATATCCACCAACCTGGTTAAAGCGCCGAATATTAACTTTTCGTCCTCCCAATTCCGTAAACAACACCCTGGTTGCGAGTAGGCAGTGAGAAGAACTTCCGTGGTAATGGTTGTATGAACGTGGCCATATCAGAATATCTGGAGAGGGAGAGCTGATTCTTCCCACTCTCAGACTCACAAGGGCGTTTGAAGACATGGGTTGAGCATGGGATTAGCAACCTAATCCCGTAAAAAACAAGTTTGCTAAAAAGAAACACTAAACAATCTAATTAAACAATGAATTCATTATTCTAACTCAATAATGATGAACTTACCATATGCATTACATGTAATTGTACCATTAGAACCTTTTTGATTTTCAATTAAACCGGATTCACTCAATTCATTAATACGTACATAGACTTTATGAACTTAAATAACAAAAGATGAAGCAAACAAAGAACACATGAATTAGATGAAGGAAAAAAATTGTTAAATTCAATCTAAACTTTAATATCATTTGAGTTTCATATGTAAATAGTGCAATGTAAGCTTGTTATTTGGGTTGATAATATGAATGCAATGGGATAATCACTAGTGAATAGATGATGATTTACGGTATCAGGCGTGAGACAGTTATTTATTGAAAACAGTAAAGAATGGTCGTTCAATATAATGGATTGGTTGAAGTTAATCAGTAATACTTGTTGGATGGCGTTTCATTGTTCTAGAGGTTAAGCGTTCGCGCACGAGACCGAGGGGTCCTGGGTTCGAGTACCATACTAAGATGAAACGGCTGTCCAATGCTAAGAGGTTTTCAAGTAGTGGTCTAACATCGATCAGTTCATGATCTTGTAATTCTTGTAATTCTGTGTAAGACTCAATTATGAATATTAGCTAGTTCTAACGGAAATATTTAGAACTATATACTATCGTATTCATTATATGCAAATCGTTGTTAAGTGTGACTTGATCTCATAGATCTTCAGACCATTTCTAACTAATTTCATCTAAGTATCTATATGGTATAAGCATCAGCTATTGGATATTATGTGTTACAAATCTGAATATAAAGATATTCGTTGTTGATAGTTAGAAGGATTTCTTATATTAACTAACTAAATCATTGAGTATCATAAAATTTTGTGGTTGTTGCTGTGCTAATGAGGTATGGCAACTTGAACCAGTGCATATATATGCTTGGTCCTACGTTGTAACTGACTGACTGACTGACTGTTGGAAAAAGCATCTAAGTAATACAAATGAAGACCGTTTTTTGAGTTATATCACTTACGCTCTACTCGAACTTGATCTCTTTCAATTATCTGACCAATAGAATTCAATGCAGTACATTGAAATACACCAGTATGTCTACCTAGAGCATCAAATTGTGGTGAACCAATTGTTGTCCAATAATGACGACCAGAATGTATAATTAATCCTTGCATTGATAACCAATGTGAACTTAAAGAATTACGAGTTCCATTAAATCTATCAATTGACCATTGTAAACCACCTTCTGGTGGAGGATGTCCATAGAATGTACAAATTAACTAAAATAAGGAAAGTATTGTTAATGTTTCATAGATGTTTTACCATTTATATAATGTTTTTTTGTATAACCCAAAAGACAATAAGTGGATCAAAATGAGCATAAAGATTCAGGTAATCAAAATATAGGAACAAATGACAAAGTTTTCATGTTCAGTGTTCATGATAATCATTGTGTATTTAATAGTCGATCAATCAGTCAAAATTAAAATAGGGCCTGATAGAAATGTACTTCAACTCAAGTTACCATACCATATCGCTTAGACGGAATAAAGTTACCATAGTAACTAACGAAGGAGTAAACCAAAGTGAGAAAGACTAAACGTTAAGGAACCTTATTAAAAGAGAATTAATTAAATTCGAGCAATAAAATGTTTACAATCATACCAAAACTCAAAACTCAAGAAATGACAGATCTGAATGCATCTGAGCCACAGATTCAATTTAGCAACCTGATGGGTCAGTCCAAAAAGACACTGACTTTATAGATGGATCTTATGTTTCGATTTGGCCTCCTTAGCTTTATTTCAATCTACTCCTACACTTGCTAACACTACCCATAGAGTTAGCCGTTGGTTGTGTTTAATAATACTTACATCAGACACTTGGTCATTGAAGATTTTTAAACAAATACCTTGTGCTTAACCTCAGCAACACACGATCGTCTTACCATTAATGCTGTGAAATTACCTATGACCAAGTATCTATATCCTGATTACACTTATTACTTTTGCAGTCACAGAGTAATCCAAAGCGAACTACTGAGAAGTATATACTCTACTTCATGTAAGTTGATTACTACTCACTTACACGTTCATTGATTCCATATCTATAAACCGTTTTGCTCTCTCTTCTTCCATACATTTGTTTATGTAACATGTTTACTTAAAACTATCGGACTTTCTTTCAGTAATATGATATTCCACTTTGTATTATTCATAAAAGTTCCTAGTTTGTTTATATGATATCAACATTAATTTAGATCTGATGACAGACTGTTTTGATTTGAAGTCAAATAAAGGCATACTATACATCAGATTGTTTAAATATATTCCTGATGAATACATAAAATGCTAACAGCATAATATATATATATCCGGTCGCGGCCAGGATAGCTCAGTGGTAACGTCTCTGACTGTGAAGCTGGGTGACACGGGATCCAATCCGTCAGGGAGCACCAGTTCCCTTAAGATTACATGTACACCTTACTGACGAGTGCCAAGTAGCACGAAACCCGGGTCCAGGGTCTCCTGTCGACCATAATTTGACTAAGTAGTACTATGGTGTAAGCTACATATCTTCATATAAGTTCACCAATTTACTTTTAATGGAGACTATTGATTTTTTGTGTTAACAACTACAGAAAACAAACCTCTCAAAGAGGTTATCAAGAAGCTTGACATCTACTGTCGTTACGTTGATGACACTTTCATTATTATCGATCAGAACAATTGGAAAGAAGAACTATTGGAACTATTTAATAACAAACATCCAGCAATTAAATTTACACGTGAAGAGGAAATAGATAATAAACGATATTTCCTTGACGTTTTATTAAATAGAAAGAAAGTGGTTCTATCAGTAGAAGTGTGTATAGGGAAGGTTCTTCATCAAGTCAATACACACATCTCTTAAACTTTCTACCTCTTCGTTGTAAGAGAAACTTAGTCAAATGTTTGGCAAATAGAGCTATTGAGATATGCTCAGTCGATACAATTAATAAGGAATTAGATCTCGCTTATAATATGTTGATTGAAATGGTTATCCACAGGGTTTCCTGAAGGAACACTTGCGTGTAACAAATAAGAAAACAGAGATATTGACGACTAGTAAGAAACCTCTTTTCTTGAAGCTGCAATTCAATGGAGATGTAGCTAGTGATGTATTACGTGATAGATTGACTAGAGCAGTAAAGAGAATGTTTAATGCTGACAACCTCTATCTATCGTATTCGATCCGATCTATGATGATTCCCCAACTAAAGGATAAGTTATCTGGTTATACCGCTTCTATGTATATTTACGAATTCATCTGCTCCTGTGAAGAAAGCTATATTGAACGCACTACCAGGCAACTGTATTCTTCAAACCTTTTAAATCATCAATTCAATTGTATTAATAATAGAATTATTATTGTGCTTTTTAAAATTATGATTGAACTTACTTCAAATGGTTGCCCTTGAATAACACGAACATAACGATCACCAGAATCTTGGAATATTTCATTCACATTCGATAATATTCTTACTTCAGGAGTGATTGGTGTTTCATAATCTACAAAAAAAGATGAATGTAATCATGTAATAATGATTATAATCTAAGTATAGTTTAACAGCTTTATACTATAAAAGAAAAGTAATCATATCATGTATCGACATAGTGTTGTTCAGCTCACTGCGCATTAATTTTATGATGTTATCTTAATAATAATGAGGTACAGATCTTTAAATCTCCACCTGGAGCCCCTCTGGGGCTAGTGCTAGTTCATTCTCCTGTAGGGTAGAAGTCTGAAATGTCAGATAAATGGTGGTAAGTGTAAATTGGTTACTAATCGATTCGATCATTAATATCTTGAAACTATTAATTAGTGGCATTACCATTATGGTTAAATGTTAAGTATTAGCTGTAAGAACTTATCAAGTTGACTCAGTAATGAATATTGATCAACTGAAGTCTTTCATAAACTTATTACATTCTAAGGAAAGATAGATAGTGGCTACCAGTGGAATCCAGGACGCGCGTTTCGTCCTATCTTGGACTCGTCAAATGGATATACCTTCATCTCAGATTTGATGTTCACTCTGGAACTCGAACCAATGATGTCAATATCAAGGCAATACACACAGTATGCACATATGCCAATAAGAAACTGGTCAATTGTAATCCTAAACATTAGTCGGAAGATTCAAGTAAAACAATACCAAGTGAATTAAACTTCAACCCATTGCACAAGCAAGTGGCTATCAGGACTCAGTAACTAAGTGGATAACGTGATGGCGTTTGAAGCGAACGGTACTGGGTTCAAGTCCCAGAGTGAACATCAACAAGTATGAAATACAAGCACATCCAGCTGACGAGTCCAAAATAGGACGAAACGCGCATCAAACTGGATTCCACTGCTAGCCACTATCCATCTTTGTTTATAATGATTGTGAATTAAGGCAATATCGCGAAATTACGCACAGTATGCATATATGCCAACAAGAGACTGATCAATTGCAGTCCCAAATATCAATGGCAAGATTCAAGTAAAAGAGTACTGAGTGAATTATAACAGGCTAGTCCATTAATCATGTTGACTATCTCTTTAACTCTATGGTATGTGAGTTCACTAGATTTGAGTCTGTATGTAAATGGTAATATCAATATTTTCTTACAATTCCATCTATCTGACGAAGTTCCGTCGTCAGCCACTATTATCATGAATAACATTTGATAGGGTATCAGCCAAAAACAAACAACCTCTACAGACACATACCTGTCGCTATTAAATCATATGGAATATATACTTGTTTCACTGATGATGAATATGAATTCACTGATCGACATGTATAAATACCAGCATCCATTCTAGGATCAAATTTATCTATTCCATTATGTGTCCATTTTAATACAGCCTTATTAGGAGTTGTTGTTATTTGTGCCTAAATGGATAATAAAAAAATGAAAGATGATCATTTCAAAATATTAGAGAAGTACTAAGACAAATGATAACAATGAAATGTTCTTATGTATAGTTAGAATCAACCAGTATAACTTTCTCACAATCATCATATGAATGTATATTTAAGGCGAGACTATCATTTATGAACGAACCAATCAGATGTAAGATAACAGATCTCGGATTTTGGCGCGAAATTCATCCATTCATTTGGTTAAATAGAATTCTGGTATTATAACTGATGTTATTTCGTGACGAAAATTCTAAATACTTTTGATTCCTCACAGAGGTTTTTAACCATCATTTGGTCCTAGTTATTAGGTGGACACTCTGAAGGTGAGTTTAATGTCGCTTACCTGTTCCTTCGGAGAAAGTAATATCTGACTTACTAATAGATAACTTGAACAAAAATGTTGGTGAGTATTAGATTTTCGTGGTATACATAGAATAAAACGAAGTCTACATTGATTTCCGATAACAGTCATGTGGTACATGAAACTAAACCACTTATAACGAATTTATTCGGTAATCCATCCAATTTTCTTAAAAGGTTTTGATTTTGTTTCTTACATATTACTACAGCTTTATGGATTCGAATAAATAACCGTAGTAATTCTTTTCAAATGAAGTATATACCATCCCTACGCCTTTATTACACCCTAAAAGAATACTTAATAGATAATTTTACTATTTCTTTCTAAATTGAGATCATGAACCGATTGATGTTAGACCATCATTGAAAACCTGCAGGCACTGGAATGCTGTTTTTGTCCTATTGTGGGATTCCTCAGCAGTGCGCATCCACGATTCAAACCCAGGACTTTCAGTCTCCCGCGCGAACGCTTAAACTCTGGACCGCTGAGTAGGCATTCAACGGTGTTAATGTCTAACTTCAAACAACCCACGAAACTGCGCGACCATCTTCTATTGTACTGAGGTGGATACCTGTCTCCACTCGACATGGCTTAGCTCCACTAGTCACGGCTTCTCATCAGAACTCCGAGAATTCCCTAACGAAGCTAGTCACTAGTGAGCACATGGTAATTAGACCACTGGGCCGAGATCCGACGATGTTAATGTCTAACTTCAACTAATCCACGAAATTGAGCGACACATCCGCCATTGTCTTCAGTGAGTTAGTATCTCACAACAGACCCGTTTGAATTCTACTGATCGCTGCTTCTCACTAGAACTCCAAGTAATACCATTTGAGACCAGTCACTGGTGAGCAGATGATGATTATTATCAGAAATGGTTTTTGTGGATATAATAGTAATTATCATGGATGCTCACTGTTGAGGAATCCCACGGTAGGACGAAACGGCCGTCCAGTACTTCTAGGTTTTCCATGGTGATCTAGCTTCAATTGACTTATGATCTCAACTATTATATTATGAACTGTTATGAAACCCACTCCACTATTCTCAATGAAACTTACAAATTACCTTGATTGATTTTGCAGTGTCGATTACTATGCTAAACCCATATAACTTATTCTAGCTTCTGTACAGGGAAATTTATCCATTATTCTTGAGTGATATTTTGACCTTCTTAATTATTCACTTACCACCGTAGCTGTTTTTTATATGAACGTATATGTGTGCACTTCTTATCCTATTCATCACATGTCTGTAACCTATTTTTGTGTGACTATCAATATCGACTAACACTTGATTAAATGGATTTGAATGACACGTCTTGTCCACCGAGCGTCGTTTCGTTTCGCGCTCTTTCTCTCTCTTCTTCCTTCCCCTCGCTACGTCTCTCTGATTGTCTGATTCGATCCAGGTCAAAGAATAAAACTTCATCAAAATAGATTACTTTACTTTTGTATCTCGAATTATCTCGAAACAATTCGAAATTTTATACATTTTTACTTTCTTAGCTAAAATAAACGATTCGTAGTGTACATGAAAGATAATTCACACAAACGAATGTTAATCCATTTGTAGTGTATTAGGGTTTATTTCAGTGCATGGAAGGTTACGTGCTTGTCATACATCGTCTACCTCTTTCCTAGTGCAAAAATAATATATAACTATTTTGATGAAGTTTTGTTCTTTGAGCTGGATGGTTTGGTCGTGCTCACAGAACAGAACTCCATCAAAATCATCCATCTGAGCTACAAATCTTCTCTAACATCTCAATATATAACAATCTTATATTATCGGTTCGAACAAAACATCTCTGAATATAGTTTAAGAGACTCACTTTGATTTGTCATATCATTCAATTTGGTGTTTCGGACAATCAGACAAAACAAGAATCTAATGAGTATAGAATGCTTTGAAGTTTGATTTATTTTGTTCATATCAAATATTAAATGGATCACTTACTGGATGCCCCCAAATGCCGTGGTACGAACGAGAGTGAGGAGAGTCCGCTCTCCCTATAGAAATGCTCTCACATGGCCACGAGCATATAGTCTCTGTCAGGGAAGTCCTACTCATTGACTTCTCGTGGCCGGGGTTTGTTTACGAACTTGAAATGACGAAAAGAGAATGTCCGGCGCTATAACCGGGTTGGTGGATATAGAGAGTCCACTTAGGGGAATTGGAAAACCCTCATTCCAAACCAATGATGCACATTGGCTCCAGTATCCTAAAAGAACAAATGGCGTATGAACCAATCGTTGGTCGCCGACTACCATGGGACTGCATCTCCTTACGATGCTCCACTGCCTTGTGGATCAGACCTTTAGGTCAAAGGCTCCAAGTGTGGCTCCCTAAGGAAACCACCTGCTTCTGTTTGGGCACCCGGGCAGTATCACAGCCTTCACACATATCAAATGAGATTTGTGTTGCGCATATGTAACTGGTGCCTGATTGTACAAATATCTATGTGTTCGAATAATAATAATAATAATACTTACTGGATCAATTGGTTCATCTTGACGGGTCCAAGTGACTTGTGATTCATACTTTTCATTATCATCAATACATTCCACCTTATTTGGATAAGGGGAATTTGGATCAGTATGACTAAGAAGTCGAAGTTTAGGAATTTGTTCCACTATAGAATTGAATTCATTGTAAAATTATCAATGAATAGATGATGAGTAATAAAGATTTGTCATTATAGTAAACAATGAACAATGTCTTAATGAAATCATATTTATGGAGATATGTGCATTGAGAAGTACGTTTATGTCATTCAGTACAAAGTTACCCAATATTGTGGATTGATTTCACATAGATAAACATTAAAAACAAGATGGACTGGATTGTTTAGTCGTTATACGACGCGACCATTCATCAATATCCCCCCTAAAGATCTTTCTGTATCTCAGAATGTCTGATATTGAAAATATCAAGCTGTAGATATCACCTTGTTGATCTAAATGTAGTTTTCTTGTATTTCACTCCTAAATGACCAACTAAAGGTTTGACACAGTTGAATCCATGAACCGAAAGCACATTGAACTTGTCATCGGAATATGCCTTACTATAAAATCATGAAGTATTTATGTTTTTTTCCAAGTTGAATAGCCTAACATTGGTTATGTCATCTGTCTCTAAATGGGTTTTTTTCTCTCACTCAACACATTAGAATTCGAAATTTATGACGTTGACTACGAATGTTCTACTATGAGAATTAGAATAACTATTGAATAATTGTTGAGATGGCTTACGAGAACTACGACGGAGCCTTCAGACGCCATAGAGGAGCCGAAGAGTTCCACCAATCAGAACACAATGGATCTTTCTAGTGTCAAAGTGGCATGCTACTATTGGTTCGTAGCATAACGTGTCTCTTCTTGGATTGGTTGAATTATAATGTTGATACAATAAATGCTAATGTCTATAAACACCCATGATTTTCTGTACATCTTGATTCTTGTTCAACAAACACTTTCCCCAGTTTTCTGCTGTTTTCTTATTTTGTGACTTGGGAGGCTATAGTGTTTAAGTGTTCAAGTTATACGTGGTTTATCAAGAATCTAACCTTCTAGATATAACAATAATAAACAGTCATATCTCATTAAAAATAAAGTTGAATAACTTACAAGTATCACCAGCTAGAACTTCTAATTTCACATAATCAGAATATCCATATGCACCACTTTTTAAATCGGTTCCTTTACATCGAAATCTAGCTATCCAATTAGGTTGTCTACGTAGACCTGCTATAACCATTGTATCATATAGAGCTTTAGCACCTAACATTGGTAAATCATTTGGTGATGGTTGTGGTCTAGCTCTTTCATTACTATTAGACAATTCTTCTTGAATTGATGTAACTTTTGTCTCCCATGCAATATCAGCTTCTTCTACAGTTTTATTACGCCATGCATCTTATAAATATTAATAAGAAAAATAATTAGATTTAAATAACCATATTTTCAATAAAGCAACATGATGCAAAATAAATACCAGATTTATTTCTTTAGCAAAGACTGTAACAGAATGTATCAGTTGGAGGAATAATAGGAATTGAAGAGGGAGGTTGATTATGAATACAATGGTTTTGAATGCTGTTAGAGGTATAAGTGCAGTGATCTCTTTCAAGTTACCCACACCGTGGAAGGGTTCTTCTGGCAGTAAGGAAATTGGATTAGAGGTGGTCTTAGTGACCTGAAAGCGTGACCGCAATGCCCAAGGCACAACTGCTTGAGGTCGGTCACACACGATCTTTTGGTGAGTAATTTTCGTGTCAGCTCTGTACTTGTTGAGACCTTACCGCCGGAGATGGATATCCTTGCATTTTATGGTCGACCTTTTCTAACCCCACTCTTCCTTATGAAAAGGCAGCATCGTTGTTATGCTGGTTGTTTGAAGGAAACACCTTACTGACTTCATACCTCTGTACAGTCAGTAGTACGACTTCGCCTTCAGACCTTGGGTTTGTTGCTTTTAGTCTTACCGCTCTTCAACCGACCTTTCTGACGTGGTAGGACCTTGAGGAACAGTTGTTCCAGCCTGTATAGCTCGGTTGCTTCATCACGATAGGCAATTCCGACCACCACATCAAGGTAGCAACAACGATCGGGAACAGAATGTATGATCTAAAAAACATCACTCCAACGTATCTTGTTATTTCTTGAACGTTTTTAATACTTACTCAGATCTCGTGTAGTTTTATATTTCTCAATCCTCTCTGACCGGACGTTTAATAATTGACTTAGCTAAACTTTTGCCTTCGTTTCTTATAACTAAACTCGAGATTACAGTATGGAATGATTAACTATTGTTCTTATTTGACAGTCCGCTGAAAACGGTTAGTATTCTATCAAATTCTTACAGATAGATAATTGATTTCATTTTGTTGAAAATACTCTTATTGATCTCATGGTACTTAACAGTGAGATTTATTAAATATATGTTGCTCTATAATATGTCTCGTACCAGAGGAACTATTGATTGTATTGTGGGAATGGTACTGCTGATGAATGTACCTTATGATACATGTACATGTATATGACACTTATCAATTGAATGTCTAAGAAAATGAAGAAGGTAGTTCATTTCAAATTAACACTGTAGGTAATACTTCATGGTATTACTATATCAGTCTAATGATCTGCTGTTATCTAATTTATTCCTTCATTAATTACTTACGCCTGTCACTACCAATAAAGTATAGGCCATCGACCAGCATTCTCCAACCCACTCTGTCCCATGCCTGCCTTTATAGTTCTATACAATTGATGCTCATTCTTCTCATGTTTATCTGTCTCCATTTCTCGGCATAATGTGTTCTTTGCTCTCCTACTCATCCTTTGGCCCTGAGAGTTCTATGTGATGGCTTGCCCTGTGACACGGTTCGGTGCTTTCCTCAATGTATGTCCTATCCACTTCCAGCGCGTCTTCCTGATTTCTTCCTCCACTGGAATCTGCTTTGTTCTCTCCCATGGTAGGTTGTCTGGTCAAGGAATCCCAAATATTTTGCGTAGACAACTGTTAATAAACAATTGTATCTTCTGAATGATGGCTTTAGTAGTCCATCAGGTTTCCGCCCCATACAGTAGCACTCTCTTGATTTCTGTATTGAAAATTCTGACCCTGGTGTTAGTTGGCAGTTGTTTTGATTTCCAGATTTTCTTCCGTTGTGAATATACTGCTCGTGCTTTTCCGATACGTGCGTTCACATCTGCATCAGATCCATCCTGTTCATCAATGATGCTAACCAATTATGTAAAGGTTTTTACATCTTCCAATTCTTCTCCTTCAAGTGTGATTCGGTTGTTGCATGCTGTGTTGTATCGGTGAATCTTGCTTTTCCATTTTTATATATTGAGACCCACTGCTACTGAGGCTGCCGCTACACTGATCGTCTTCTCTTGAATTTGTTGTTTTGCGTGTACAATAGAAAAGCCAGATCATCTGCGATGTCTAAATCGTTAAGCTGTATCATAGTGAATGGAATAGAATACATTTCTTAAAATCATAACAATATATATATATGATTAGATTAATCTGTATACCAATTTTTTCACTTACCTTTAACAATACATTTAATTTGAGCAGTTTTTGTTTCAATTCCAGTAATTATACCTGTAGGATCTTGTCCTTCAATAAAGACTAATACTTTTGGTTCACGTAACCATAAACTAATATGTGGTGAAGAATAATAGGCTTGTGTTGCTTTTTGTATATCTTCTAAACGTACAACACAAAATATATTTAAACCTTGTGGTTTATCAGTTAATTTAGTAAAATATATCCATTCACCTTTATGACCAGTTGAGAAACTATCTGCTAATTGTGTATGCTTAATATCACGTCTTATTCCATTAGGATATTGAACAAACCAATCAATTCTATCTATAGTCACTGGTTTTCTAGTTGTATCTAATCAGTGAAAGAATAGAAGAATTCATATGTAAAAAGTAATGAAAAATGATTATTAAACAATTGGGTATGATATGTGCTAGTATTCACAATTGATTGATAACTGGGTGGTGACCAATGTTATGTGTGTCAAGTCCTTATTATTAGTTCAGATCGAATGCTATCGACCATCATGCAATGTGACCACCAGTCTAGATGACTCGACACTACTTGCACTATTGTGAGATTAGATGGTGGTTGGAGGTAGTCGACAGAAAACAATGGATCCGGGTTTCGTGCTACTTGGCACTCGTCAGCAAGGTGTACATGTAATCTTAAGGGAACTGGTGCTCCCTGACAGATTTGATCCCGTGTCATCCAGCTTCACAGTCAGAGACGTTACCACTGGGTCGTTCGGGCCGCGACTGACCTCCTGTAGGACGGAGGTGTTTTCACAATTGACTGATCACTGGGTGGTGACCAATGTCATGTGTATCAAGACCTTATTATTTGTGCTAGTATACGCAATTACAACTTACTTACTTACTTACTTACGCCTGTTACTCCTCGTGAAGGAGCATAGGCCACTCACCAGCATTCTCCATCCAACCCTGTCCTGGGCAATCCCTTCCAGCTCCGTCCAGTTGTAATTCATCCTTTTCATATCTGATTCTATTATCCGACGCAATGTGTTCTTTGGCCTTTCTCTTTTTCGCTTCCCTTCAGGGTTCCAAGTTAGGGCTTGTCTCGTGATGCAGTTTGACGATTTGCGTAATGTATGTCCTATCCATTTCCATCGTCTTTTCCTAATTTCTTCTTCAGCTGGAAGTTGGTTTGTTCTCTCCCACAGAAGGCTATTGCTGATAGTATCCGGCCAGTGGATGTTGAGTATCTTGCGTAGGCAGCTATTTATAAATACTTGTACTTTCTTGATTGTGGTTGTTGTAGTTCTCCAAGTTTCAGCTCCATACAGTAGAACTGCCTTGACGTTCGTATTGAAGATTCTCACTTTGATATTGGTTGACAGATGGTTGTTTTGAGTTCCATATGTTCTTCAATTGTAGGAATGCGACCCTTGCTTTGCCAATCCTCGCCTTTACGTCTGCATGTGAACCTCCTTGTTCATCGATGATGCTTCCCAGGTATGTGAAGGACTCTACATCTTCCAGAGTTTCGCCATCAAGAGTGATTGGATTGCTGTTCTCTGTGTTGAATTTGAGGACGTTGGTGTTCCATTTGTGTATACTGAGGCCTACTGATGCAGAGACTGCTGCTACACTGGCTGTCTTCATCTGCATCTGTTCGTGTGTACGTGATAGGAGGGCTAGGTCGTCTGCGAAGTCCAAATCATCTAATTGGTTCTGAGCTGTCCATTGTATTCCGTGTTTTGCTTCAGATGTTGAGGTCTTCATAATCCAGTCGAACACAAGAAGAAAGAGGAAGGGAGAGAGTAAACAGCCTTGTCTGACTCCGGTCCTTACTTGGAATGCATCTGTCAGCTGTCCTCCATGCACGACTTTGCACTGTAGTCCGTCGTTTGAGTTCCGGATAATATTGACAATCTTCTGAGGAATTCCGTAGTGTCGAAGAAGTTTCCATAATGTCCTTCTACCTACACTGTCGAATGCCTTTTCATAATCAATGAAGTTGATGTATAGTGATGAGTTCCAACGCAATTACAAAGTGTAAGTATATTTTAATCGATGGAAGGTTATAATGAAGAATTTAGAGATTAGCAAATTCTTTTCATAACATTCAAGTGCCAAATACATCAGTTGAAAATCTTTTAACATTTTGATGAAATTATGTTGTTTGAGCTGGATGGTTCGATCGTGGAGATTTGATTGACATCAGAACAATGATGAAAGCTCCGCGACCGAATCATCCAGTTCAGAGAGCGAACTCCATCAAAATCATCCACCTGAACTATAAATCTTCTCCACCATCTTTTCTCATTTTGATGGAATTTTGTTGTTTGAGCTGGATGATTCGATTGTGAAGCTTTTAACTTGTGTAATTATGATTTGGATTGTGGAATTGATCATAACTTATAATACTGATTGAATCAGTGATTTCCATCTCATTGAACTATGTTTATCATGTTCACCTTAAGAATAGACGTTTATCGATTGAATACGTTACTGACTGACTTTTAGGATTCTTATTCCAAAAGCCACAAATAAAAAGTGCCAATTTAGTACTACTTAATGTTTAGTAGTTCATCTATTGAAACGAAATCTTGATAAAGTGATTACACTAAATGTTCACATAAATCACAAGGTAAGCTATCACTTGGAATCCTGAAAGGAAGCGGAAAAGAGAAAGGTCGAAGAATACACTACATCAAGAAATGAAATGATGAACAGCAACTGTAAACAACTGGAAATGATTACCCAGGACAGGGTTGAATGAAGAATGCTGATGGACGACCTATGCTCGTCCGTGAGTGCTAACAGGCGTAAGTATATATATATATTCAGTTATAGAGACGAATTAAATGATAATTCACTTACGTTTAACATCACATGTCAAATTCATATCACTTCCAGTAATACCGACAAGACGATCATTTATAAATGCATCACTCAATATTTTGGCATGAAGTTTTCGTTCATCCTTAGGAATAACTAAACAAATAAAAATAAACAATATCAGTGGTAGACAGGGTCTTGATTATTGTTTTTATTCTATAGAATAACTGATTTCAAGCTGGATAGAATCAAATCATCATTCATCAGAAACCAAACTCCACTTCTATCTACAGTCTTGAGATAGTTAGTTATCTTAATCGTAACAAATATCACTGACATATTCAGACATTCATCGTTTCATATCAACATTATATTAATGATACATACGAATTGTTAGATACAGAGTAGTGGACTAAAATTAATCCTTTCTTGAATAGAACATGGAAATAAGCAAATATGGGTGATGGCTAGCAGTGGAATATAGGACGTGAGTTTCATTCTATTTGGGATTCGTCAGATGGATGTACCTGCATTCCATAGTTGATGATCACTCGAAGACTTGAACCCAGTACTGTTTACTTCAAACGCTATCGCTTTATCCACTGTGTCCTGATAGTCACTTGTTTGTACAATGGAGTAAAGTTTAAATTCACTTGGTATTATTTGCTTGTATATTCTCATTATTGTTAAGGACTACAACTGAGACAGTTCGCATAGGATGCACATATGTCAACAAGAGACTGATCAATTACAATCCTTAACATCAATGGGAAGTAATAAGGAAATAATACCAAATGAATTCGGAACATGGAAATGTTCATTTAACGTTTATGTAATTTACAAATGAAACAGATCAGTAAATCCTATACATAGTTGGAATCACTGTATTCTGGATGTAATAAACCAACAGATTGTAAACATCAAAGTCCTCAGAAATTAGGGGAATTCTTAAAAAGCTTCAATCACGTGAAAAGTTTGGAAATTTCCACACGAAATCCAGAAAACGACTGCTAATGGGACAATTATTGGATTTAGCAACATTTCCCAAAGCTTCTAAAATTTCACCGTTGTCGTAATCTATACTTATCACTTTCTGTTCAAGGTCTAAAATATATGTTGATCACTTGGATAACAAGTCAAACTTGTATTAGCATCCATCAGAAGCAACATTTTCGGTGAGACTATGATTTATGGATGAACCAATCAGATTTAAGATAAAAGGTCTTAGATTTTGGCGCGAAATTCACTCATCTATTTGGTTAAATAGTGTTTTGGAATTTTAGCTTATGTCAGTTCGTCGTGTAAACCCTCAAATTATTGCCCAACTCTAATTGTTAACAGCAAATCATAATTCTAATTCTTCACATTGGTTTATAACTGGTATTTGGTACTAGTTAGTAGGAGAACATTCTCAAGGTCATTTTAACGCCACTCGAATGTCGTCCATAAATTATCATCTCCCCACGTTTTCTTTTTAAATCTAATTGGAATATAAACCCATAGCTTTTATTCGTAGAGTTTGGTATAGATATTTGGATCAAACGATGAAGTATATAATGATACTCTACTCAATTATGTGGTATAATTCAGTACTGAATATATTAATTGGATGTCTCATTCAGAGCTTCGTACGTACGGACATCAGTTCAACTTGCCATACCACATCAGCACAGTGGTACAACTGTCGACTCAAATCCATAATGGTAGAGGTAGTAAAAGTATAAGCAGTAATCGGAAAGATTAGGCTTGAAAATGTTATTCAAGGAGTATAATACAGTGAAATAAATTTGGAATGAGTAAACAAAGGGACAGGAAGAATTCAGAAGATTAGAATTTGGGAGAACACAAAGAGTGAATGCACCTGCACCATTGCAAACGATTTTGATCCATGTCATTCAAGGTCTCTGACCATCGGTTGCTATCATCTCGCGGTCCCCAACCAGGTAGTCTACACCTACTAACATGGCTCGGTCCACTTGTCAGTGACTTCATGGACTTGTGCCATGTTTTTTTGGTTTTGACACCCCTAGACATTGGATACCTAATCAGCAAATCATCAAAATAATAAACATAAATAAACCCTAAATATTGAATATATGCTTACAATGATGACAGTATATGTTTAAATCCCTCCCCCCATATGAATAATGAGAAATAATATGAACTTACCAGATATTTCGACTGGTTTAGTTCTTTCACCATAGACACATTCAATTTTTTGTCCATCTAAGTTTAAATTAACATGATCTGTTTGTGCTAATGATGAATAAATTCTATGTTCAATTTTTAAATTATTTTCAATATTTGTAGTTGTTGCACGCCAACCATGAAATTCACTTGAAGGTCTAGCTTCAAATACACAATAAATCTAACAATAATGAAAAAGAAACACACACACACATACAATTCAAATGAACTATGCCTGTAGAAGAAAAGATAAAACAATGAGATTATTCTTTATATAAAATGTCTTCTTCTCATACGTATTACTTCTAAATGAATAATGAACTAATAACCGATAAAGGTACGAGAAGAGAACTTATGGTCATTAAACATTCAATCCGTGGAGCTCACAAATGCTCTGGTATGGCCGAGAGTGAGGAGAGTCAGCTCTCCCTCTCCAAATGCTCTCACATGACCCTGTGTATACAAACACTGACAGAGAAGTCCTACTCACTGCCGTATCTCAACCAGCGTGTTGTTTACGGAATTGAGGGGATGAAAAGCGAATGTCCGGCGATTTAACCAGGTTGGTGGATATGAAGTATCCATCTAGGGGAGTTGTAAATCCCTGATTCCAAACCAATGGTGCACATGGGCTCCAGTATTCTGATGGAACAAGTGGCGTATGAATCAATCGTTGGTCACTGACTACCATGGGACTGCATCTCCTCACGTTGCTCCATTACCTTGTGGTTCAGGCGTTTAGGGTGTGGCCATCTAAGAAAAGCACTCGCTTCGGTTTAGGCACCCAGGCATTATCCCAACCCTCACACAAATCGAATCATTTATGTGGTGCATATCTATTTGGTGCCTTCTTGTACCATTGTTTATATGTTTAAATAAATAAATAAATATCCTATCTGTGAAAGTCACTGACACAAATACAGATTGTGTTGCTGTTTGCATCTAAGAAGAATCTTTGTTAGTTAATCATCGGGAATATCAAGAAAATATATTATGATCAATCCACATACTAACAAGTATATTGTCATTTCATATATATAGAGTTGTGATTTCTGCCTAATAGATTAATAATACAGAGTACTTATAGACTTACACGTAATTGTTCACCTTCAGGAATCATTATTTTTGCGCTTCCATCAAGTTCTGGAACAACATAAGTATCAGGTGAATATATATACAACCGGGTAAATGGATCCTCCGGTACTAAAGAATATGGTGATAAAAAAATGAGATGATCTTAAGATGCTTAAATAGTGATTCTTATAAATATACAACATACTTTATTAATTGCCTACCCTATATGTGGATAATTCAGAAGCTTTATATATAGAATTTCAATGATACTTTTATGGTTCTTATGAGTTATTGTCATGTTTTATACGTACTGTATTCCGTAGTACGAGTATTCAAGAATGCAGTCTCACATAAAATGTTGATCCGTTGTCAAGATTATTAATGGGCGAGACTCTAATCTAGGGACGAGCCAATCAGAGCAATTTCAAGGTCACAGAGCCAAGTTCAACACGCGATGCAAACATACGATCGGTTCACAGCGGATTTAGAGAGGAGCAGATTAACGAGAGGTTACAACAGATGGGACGGCGAGACTCTAATTTAGGGACAAGCCAATCAGAAGCGTTTGAACAATTTCAATTATTAGCCAGTCAGAAGACAGTATAAAACAAAAATATATTATAAGAAAGTAATGAATTACAGTGGATATTCTTCTTTTACATGATTAAAAAACTTGTTAAGGTTTGATAAAGGCTCAGAAGTTCTGAATTCATAATGCATACGGCATAGAAACTCGTCCATAGGGTCAGGGTTTAGGGTTAGGGTTTAGGTTAGGGTTGTAGCCTCTCAATAAAAACCTCTTCTCTAAAATCCGTTGTAAACCGATCGCATGTTAGCACTCTAAACCCCAACCCTAACCCCTAACCCTAACCCTAAACTCTAACCCTAAACTCTAACCCTAAACTCTAACCCTAAACCCTAACCCTAAACCCTAACCCTAAACCCTAAACCCTGACCCTATGGACGAGTTTCTATACCGTATGCATTATGAATTCAGAACCTCTTAACCTTTATCAAACCTTAACAAGTTTTTTAATCATGTAAAAGAAGAATATCCACTGTAATTCATTACTTATAATATATTTTCACTTTATACTGTCTTCTGATTGGCTAATAATTGTCAAGGTCATTTAAGATTCGTTCAAACATCATCCCTAAATTAGAGTCTCGCCTATTAATGTAAGTAATAACTCCCGGGTTTTTTGTAGATATTACTAAGAACTCACTGAAGAGTTATTGATAAATCTGCTGAGTAAACACTTGAATCTGTTTCCTAAGTTCCTCTAATAACCCCAGATTAATTCTACATGGCAAGTGGAACATGAGAGATAAGGCATGTCATATTGGAAAGAACGCTTTACTCGAAGGATAGTTTATGCATAAAAACAAAATTAAGGTATTTATAGCATTTCAGATGGCCTTTTGGCCTCTAGAAGGTTCTGGAACCGTCTTAAAGATAGTAGTTGGATAGATAATTGTCTAATCAGAAATAAGACACGTGACTCTTCACTTTCTAAATAATTCTGAGACACTTCTATTCAATGCTAATTGGATATAAATTGTTTCCCAGTGTTTTAAGGGCCCTTTTAGGCTTTTTTTTCGGGGCATTTTTTTATTCATCCCAATAACTGTGATCATAGACTGTAACAAATCAAATCGAGTTTTAACATCGGAAGATGAGCAAAACAACAAAAAAATTTTTAAGTTACTTCTAAGCAAGCAGGGTGAGACTATAATTAATGGACAACCTTTGAGTGACATCAAAGTCAACTTGCGAGTGTCTGCCTACTTAATAGGGTTAAATGAAGGTTATAAAGTAGTTTGAGGAATAAAAATAATGATTTACAGTTGATGGCAAAGGTTAGGATTTAGATTTATAGTTTTCATTACGAACTGACATCAGCTAAAATGTCAAGACGCTATTTGGACGAATGGGTGAATGAATTTCGCACCGAAATCCAAGACATGTTGTCTTCAATCTAATTGATTCATCCATAGATTCTAGTCTTGCTGAAATCAGTTTTTATTGAATCACTATAGAAAGTAATACCTTCTTGGTATATACATTTGGCTTGAATTGATTCAAAGAAATATCTTCAAAACTTACATTGAATAGGTACTTTATCACTTGGTAATTTGATAGTTTTTGATCCATTTGTTTCAGTATTATTTACAAAACATGTAAAATAACCATCATCATTAAATGGATCAAATTCACCAATACGTCTCCAATCCATTTCTAATCGACGTATAGGAGGTATATCACCTTTTCTAATAATAAGTTTTTGTTCACTTGAAGTAATTGCATGCTTTAAAAAGACACAATCAAACAAAGCATAATTGATTATATAAACACTTTAAAAGTATGGTTATAGAGTTTTTTTAATAACAAACAAGACTTATGTTCTAGTGAGAAGCAGTGACCAATGGAGTTCAACTGGGTCTGTTGTGAGATAGTAATTCACTGAAGACAATGGTGGACAGTGGCTCAATTTCATGGATGAGTTGAAGTAAGACATTAACACCGTTGTACGACGACCGGCTCAATGGTCTAAAGGATAAGCGTTTGCACACGAGACCGATAGGTTTAAGGTTCGAATCTCTTTCGTTACGAGATCGTGGATGCTCAATGCTGAGGAGTTCTATAGTAGGACGAAACGACTGTCCAGTGCTTTCGGGTTTTCCATGGTGATCTAACTTCAATAGACTCATGATTTCAACTATTAAAGTTACTTATATTACTGCCAAATTATGAGTGATATGTACATTCAAAGGTATTTGTAAAATGCTAATCCAACAAATTACATCATGTATTCTATTTGTTGCTTTTATTAACTTGTTTCTTTACAGATGTTGAAAACCGATTCATCTAGTCTGTGAATTACTTCCATTGGTGAATACAATCAAAGTGATGAATATAAGTCTGATATATGATTATTAGATAACTTGATTTCAAATACCCATTCTGTTTTGCTTGTGAGATATTTCCACTGTCATATATGTTTTGTTAATATGCAATGTTTAAAGGATCCAAATTCATTTATCTTGAAAATAGTGATCTTTATCATTGTGGTAATGTCAAAATACACTTGATATTGTTTGCTTGTATCTTCCAATTGTTGTTATGGACTCCAACTGATCAGTCTCATGTTGATATATGTGCATCTTGTGCAGACTGCCTTGATATTGCTTTAAATCACAAGCTTTATAAGCAAAGATAAACTGTGGTTAGCAATGGAATCCATGACGCTCTTTTCGTGTCTCGAATAGGACGTAACGCGAGTCCTGGATTCCACTGCTAGGCACTATCCATCTTTGCTTATAATGTCAAAATACATTTGATTTTAACTATAAGCCTGGTGTTTTAATCTTCTCGATATGATGAAATCAAAAACAGAACATTTTGACAAAATTATAGTGAAGCTAAATAGCTAATGTCCTAGTCATTTGAATGTAATTTACCTGGGTATCTTCCAATTTACGTCATCATTTTCAGTTATATATCTGTCGACTCCCAATAATGCAGTGAATATACTAAATTCTGTCTGAGTCTGAAATATAACCATTATTGATTCATTTTTGTGTTGGTTGCTTGAATATTCTCACTGAAGTATATGACTGAAAATGATCAGTCTTTTATTGGCATGTGTGCATCCTGTGCGGATCACCTCAATATTGTCTTAAGTCACAAACAACATAATCAGGGATGCATAGTGGCTAGCAATGGGATTAAGGACGCGCTCCACTTCGCCCTAACTGTGACTCTTTAGTTAGATGAAATTACATCCTAGAGACAACGATCACTCCGGGACTCGAACCCGATACCTTTCGCTTCAAACATCCTTACGTTAACAACTTAGCTACTGAGTCCAGATAGCCGTTAGCTCCATGTTATCTTTTAGAATAACAATAAAAGATGCACAACCCAATCTTTCCAGCTCAAAGATAACAACAACTCCAGCATTGTGAGATATCATATGTCCCACTTCATACATTTTCCAGGTGACAATAGAGTTTATGGAAGATATTGTGTTGATCATATATATGTGGATCGATAGATAGATAGATTGATAGATAATGCAAAACGTAAACATCTAAAAAGGAACTTGGTAGCTTACAGATATCATTTCTTGACTCATTGATGATGAACTAAGATTCACTGATGAATCATATTCCGGATTCAAATCCATACAAACCAATCTTGTTGGAAATGTTGAATCTGGATTATCATAAATTGGTTTAAGAATAATTCTTGGATCCGGTGATGCTGAATTCCGTGAACGAAAAAAAATAAACAATAAATGAAAAAAATCAAAAATACATGACATTTTTGGTGACATTAAAGCTAAATATTACATCAAAATGTTTTATTATATAGAGTCATTACGGAGGTTACTTAGGAAAAAACTCCCATTAGATGTACAAAGTGGTAACTTTGGTATACGAATGTGAAACATCAACGTAAATAACTCCTATATTTAAGTAGATCAAAAGTTATAATGAGGTGTGTCGATACTGAAAGGAACTAGTCCGTGTCGGGTAGAGACAGTTATTTACCTCAGTACGACATGGAAGATGGTCGTGCAATTTCGTGGATTGGTCGATGCTAGACACTAACACCATTGGATGCCGGCTCAGTGATTCAGTAGGTTCATTGGGTGTGGGATCGTGGATGCGCACTGCTGAGGAGTCCCACAATAGGACGAAACGGCCGTTCAATGCTTCCAGGTTTCCAACGGTGGTCTAACATCAATCGGTTCATCATCTCAATCAGATAGTGAAAGGATAATACATAATCAGAACAAATGAAAGAACTGAACTTATTTTGTCTGCTGTCCATTCCATTAACTGATCCATTGTATAAACAGTAGCTAACTGAGTACGATTGAGTTAAAGTTAGCAATTTGAGTTCTGAGAAACTTCAACAAAACCTATGAAAATCAACGCGTTTAATCTAATTTTAGTCAATTTACATAATCTTTGAGATGGAGTCATTCAATCCGCTTCTATAGTCTATGTTCGTGTATTCACTTAACAAGCACCATACATTCATTAGTAATGAGGGTTTTAACGGTTTAATGAAGACTGTAAATGTTTGGTTATCTTTAGTTTTAGTCCATCAGAAGTCAGATAATTTAACAAGTTATATCCCGAAATCCGACATTAAGTGTAGTAATGCTATGTTAGTGAATAAACTGCGATCATCCGTGATGATGGGCCAGATATCCGGCATTAGAATGATCTTCATCAACAGTTTTGGATCCAATAATATAATCATTAACCAAATCGTATTACACCGATAAATTTAACCAATCAAGTTTAAGTTAGTGAAAGATTTGGTCACTACTATGCGCTTACTCAACCATAGTGTTATACATTCATTCATTACTGTAAGTCGAGTATAAGCTGATATATTGTTCAGTTAACAGTTAGATAATATACCCTTGTGGGTCAGGGTAATTTTACATTGGTTTTCAGGAGAACCAGACACCATCCGGACTTTCTGTGGCGCAACCACACAGGTACCAAGCACCCTGGTGGACCAATTGTTCAGTTAAGGAAACTAATAAATAATAATATGAACTGTAGATAATGAGTCCATGAAACTCCTATTATCTATTACCAATTACATAATCATACTACCCTTATGAACGTAGAAATATGGCGCCTCTATTTATGCCAAAAATATTTAGCACAGTTACTATGGTAACAAGAATTTTAAGATGAATTTAAATGAATAATTCCACGTAAATAGCGATGACACTGGTTGAAGTTAAAAATTTCTTTCCTGGTATGATTCTAACCAAGATAACTACTTTGAAAATCATCGAAGTATACTCTTAATGAATACTTAGATGTAGTTAAGAATAAGTTGAGTATTTTGATGGGGTTTTGTTCTCTGAGCTGGATGGTTTGGTCGTGGAGCTTTCATCGTTCTTCTGAACGACATCATCAGTACAAACTTCAGATAGAAGTGAAATGTTCGAATTTTTCAGCATGTGGTTCACAGCTTGTTCTGTACACCTCGATGTTGATTGGTTCTTAAGCACCACCTGAGCTACAAATCTTCTCCACCATCTCAATTAGTGGAGTACTTTTTTATGTTTACTTATCATATAGTAAATATCAACTTTGAAAGTATACACAACTATAGGGAAACTACCACTATCCATAAAAGTCAGTGAATACGATCAGTTATAACATTCAAGATCGTACTTCTAGAGATCAGTTATATAGTATACAACATCAGGATGTCAATTAAACTTCACCATGGATAACCAAACGCGATAATGATCAATTCGGCTTAATCCTGTTCTATTTAAGGCATTATACATCATCTTTGTTCCTAATTTGTTATAGTCATTTAGTTAATATCATCGTTATAACGTACTTATGTTCTTCAAATGTCTAAATAAATTGTTAGTTATATTCTATTGTTATTGGCTAAACTATAATTTATGAACGAACCAATCAAATATAAAATGACAGGTCTTGGAATTTGGCGCGAAATATAGCTGATGTCAGTTCGTGATGAAAACTCTAAATCTAATTCCTAACCTTAACCTCATCAACTATAAATCATAATTCTAATCCCTCGCATTGATTTTATAACCCTCATTTAGTCCTAGTTATTAGGTGAATACTCTCAAGGTCATTTTAGCGTCACTCATACTTACTTACTTACGCCTGTTACTCCTCGTGAAGGAGCATAGGCCGCTCACCAGCATTCTCCATCCAACGCTGTCCTGAGCGATCCTTTCCAGCTCATTCCAATCATTATTCATCCTTTTCATATCTGATCCTATTTCCCAGTGCAATGTGTTCTTTGGCATTCCACTTTTCTGCTTTCCTTCATAATTTCAAGTTAGTATTGCCCCATGATGCAGTTTGATGATTTGCGAAATGTATGTCCTATTCATTTCCATCGTCTTTTCCTAATTTCCTCTTCAGATGGAAGTTGGTTTGTTCTCTCTCACAGAAAGCTGTTGCTGATGGTATCCGGTCAATGGATGTTGAGTATCTTGTGTAGACAACCATTTACCAATACTTGTACCTTCTTGATGGTGGTTGTTGTAGTTCTCGAAGTTTCAGCTCCGTACAGTGTGACTGTATTGACGTTCTTATTGAAGATTCTGAGTTTGATATTGAATAACAGATAGTTTTTTGAGTTCCATATGTTCTTTAATTGTAGGAATGCGGCCCTTGCTTTGCCAATCCATGACTTCATATATGGATCAGATCCTCCTTAGTCATCGATGATGCTCCCCAGATACATCTTCCAGAGTTTCAACATCAAGAGTGATTGCATTGCTGTTCACTGCTTTGAATTTGAGAACCTGGCTGTCTTTATCGGCATTTGTTTGTGTGTATTGGATAGGAGGGCTAGGTCATCTGCGAAGTCCAAATCGTCTAATTGGTTCTGAGCTGTCCATTGTATTCCATGTTTTCTTTCAGATGTCGAGGTCTTCATAATCCAGTCGACCACCAGAATAAAGAGCAAGGGACAGAGTAGACAGCCTTGTCTGACTCCAGTCCTTACTTGGAATGCATCTGTCAGCTGTCCTCTATGCACGACTTTGCACTGTAATCTATCGTATGAGTTCCGGATAATGTTGACAATCTTCTGAGGAACTCCGTAGTGTCGAAGAAGTTTCCATAACGTTCTCCTATCTACATTGTCAAATGCCTTTTTATAATCAGTGAAGTTGATGTATAGTGATGAGTTCCACTCAACTGATTGTTCGACGATCGTCACTCATAGGTCGTCCATAAATTACAATCTCACCAATGATATTATTAATTTTCAAAGGTGTTTTCAGTATACAATTCACAATATGGAATGAGTAAATATTGATTATGTAACTTACATATATTAAATTTAATTTCACCAGTTAAATTACTCATTGGTATTGGTTTACATTGAAATCGTAAATATAAACCACTTGTTAATGGATAATTAACACGGAAATTTTCATCTGATGTACGAATAACTATATGAGAAGATAAGAAGTAAAGTGTAGGTAATTAATGTGAAGGTACTCAACTATTGAATATACTACAATCTAAACAACCTCTCCTCAAATCTGTTAATAATTATCATGTGCTCATTAGTGACTGACTTTAGGAGGTATTTTTGGGAATTTCAATGGAGTTCAAAAGGGTCTGTTATGATATAGTAACTCACTGAAGACAACAATGAATGGCGGTGCAATATCGCGGATTGGTTGAAGTTAAACATTAAAACCGTTTGTTACTGGCTCAATGGTCTATAGTTTACGTCCTGGGTTCGAATCCAATGGGTCGACATCGTGAATGCACACTGTTGAGGAGTCACACACCAGGATAAAACGATCATCCAGTGCTTTTAGGTTTCCTATGGTGGTGTAGCTGTAGTTGACTCATGAACTCAACTATTAAATTACTATAATATCGACAAAATAAAACCCTTTCTGATAATTAATGTGGAGTTTACAGAGACTTCTATTCAAAGATATAAGAAATCTGTTACTGAAGTAAATAATTCAATGAGAAAATAATATTGAGGGTTATCGAGAGGAAATGCTGATACACTTCAATAAGACATAATTGCAGTCTTAAATGGATAAGTTCTCTTCATATGATTTGAGGTCACTTTCTCATCTAGCTTAACACTATTCGATTCCTACAGAAAATTCAAATCCTGTTGTATATTCAATAAAAAAACAATCGTTACTTATACTAAACCTACCCTGATCATAATGATCTAATGATCCAGTAATGTGATCTACAATCGCTTTGCTTAAACACAATTCAACTGTTAACCTGTTACATGGATTATGGATATGCTTTTTTTTACTTTACAAGTCATTAAGTGTAGAACCGACGTTTAGAAAGCTAATGACAACCAGGATAAATATCGTTTACGATGAATGATTATGAATGTTGGAATTGCCATAAGGTATCTATATCAGTAAGTCACGTTGTCCGATACAATATAATCGTTTCAAAGTTTCTATCAATCCTAAATGTTGTTGCTAAGTACTGACTTCAAAATTTTAAGGTGGAAAATAACATACCTTTGTTAGATATATCAGTGGTTTTGTTTAATTGATAATCAACAATTGTCCAAGTAGGTGTTTCACAATGTTTAGCATCAGGAGTAAAACCTCCAACTATAAAATCCCATGTTGGCGGTTCTTCTTCCTTCTCATCATCGTCATCATCTACTTCGGATTCAATTAGTTCAGCTGCTTCAGCAAGACCTAATTCTGTTTTACTACCACTAGTCATTGGTTGAACACGTATTATTGTTTGAATACGTTTAACTTCAACACCATCTCTATCACGTAAAACAATTCCTTCATAAATTCCTTCATGTTGTTCAGCAGCAGCCCAAATATTCAAATTCGTTTTATCTTGTGATGTACCTTCAGGGAGAGTTGAATCGGAATCCAATATCTTTACTTCATCATCTTTCTTTTCTTTTATTGTTTCAGGAAGTGGTCCAATTTTCTTCCAATTAACACTAATATCTTCTTTACCTGGTTTTGTTCTTACTTGCACAATATATGGTTGCATAAATGGAATAGTTATCTCAGTTGGTGGATTAATAATATCATCTGGGGTAACTAAAATCAATAAAAATGAGAATTACTTCAGTGGAAATATATTGAATAAAGTCAAAAACCGGAAATAGTACCAATCATTACTATACTGACAGTGTACTTTATGCCTGATCCTATGTACATTTGTAACTGTAGTTTGTTAGTTAACATTATCATTGAGCTTGTAAAGTGTTTCCTTTACGTTTTATATATTTTTTTCCAATACTTACTTACTTACTTACGCCTGTTACTCCTAATGGAGTACAGGCCGTCGACCAGCATTCTCCAACACACTCTGTCCTGGGCCTTCTTTTCTAGTTCCATTCAATTCTTGTTCATTTTTCTCATGTCTATTTCCATTTCCGGCGTAATGTGTTCTTTGGTCTTCCACTTATCCTTTGGCTTTGAGGATTCTATGTGAGGGCTTGTCTTGTGACGCAGTTGGGTGCTTTTTCCCAATACAGTTTATCTTATATATAATTATCAAGGGCATTGATGTTCGCTAATAGAGAAACTCTACTTTGTTCAGTTAACATATCTCTTCTTTATAAATCACTTAATATTTCATTAAAATCATTAACTCGTCAATGTTTGACTACGATTCAAAATCTGGAAGTACTAAATGTCCATTTCATTCTAGTATGGGACTCCTTAACAGTGCAAAGTCACAATCTCGCACGCAGAACTCGAACTCAGGATCTTTAGTCTCGCGTACGAACGCTTAACTTCTAGACCACTGAGCCAGAAGCCAGCAATGTCATGTCTAATTTCAATAGATCCATAATCTTGCACAATACATCATTCATTCTATAAGATGGATAACTATCTCATACCTGATACGACTTAGATTTCACTGGTCAAAGCTTCAAGCATTCACAAAATCCTATTACAACGTTCATTTAATAGAAGAGAATCGATTTCAGACTTTTTTTCCTCACTTTACTTCTCATAATATTGAATCAAAAGTCTGTTAACTTTTTTTATCAGAAGGGGGTTTTGTTGAGATTTTAGAAATTTCACTGATTAATATCATGACACTATCATCAAAAACCTGGAAGCACTAGATAGTCATTTCGTCCTAATGTGGGACTCCTCAGCAATGCGCATCCACGTGGGGTACGGGATACTAGTAAAAGTTCTATAGTTTCTTGTTATAGATATTCAAAAATGAAGTTGATGGATTTACTTGATTAACCTACTAATTATACTAAAACTTGTATTATAAAACAATATAGAAATAATCTACTATAGTTGTAAATATAGAACTTACTTTCATCTGCTTCTGTATCTATAATAACTGGTTTCATCATTCTTGTCCATTGAGGTGTATAAATAGGATCTTTACCTATGAAATAACCTATAATTGAATCATTTCCTAATTTAATTGTTTCATATGGTATTGTTAATTGAACTGTAAATGCTCCACGTGCAGTATCTATAATTTCAGTTTTTCCATTAATAAGAGTTTCATTAATAGAATACCAAATGGTATGATGAGTATCTAAAATTTCAGGCTAAATTAAAATAATATAGATGATAATGAATGAAACATTCTGAATGATTTCTAATATCCAATGATAAAATCAATACTGAAAATATGTATTCAAATATGGTTATAATAAATCAATTCAAGTGAGTGGTTGTCTTGTGACGCAGTTGGGTGATTTCCTCAATGTGTGTCCTATCCACTTCCATCGTTTCTTCCTGATTTCTACGTCCGCTGGGATCTGGTTTGTTCTCTCCCATAGTAGGTTCTTGCTAATAGTGTTCGGCAAACGAAGCCGAAGTATTTTGCATAGACAGTTGTTAGTAAACACTTGTATCTTCTGGATGATGACTTTCGTAGTTCTCCAATTTTTCGCCCTATACAGTAGAATTGTCTCGACATTTGTATTGTAAATTCTGACTTTGATGTTGGTTTACAAATAGATTTTTTGATTTCCAGATGTTGTTCAAATGTAAATATGCTGCTCTTGCTTTGCTCATTTGCGCTTTCACATCTGCATCAGATCCACCGTGTTCATCAATGATGCTGCCCAGATATGTAATTCCATTCTACGATTGTTGTCTAAACTAGTTATATATAAGTTTTACATGTCATAGATTCAAGTTTGACTATGTATTACATTGCCATATAATTTAACCTTTATTAGGTCCATTGTAAGTTAACATTTACTGTATTATATTATTATATGTAAAAACCTTTACATGTCTGGGCAGTATCATTGATGAACACGGTGGATCTGATGCAGATGTGAAAGCGCAAATGGGCAAAGCAAGAGCAGCATATTTACATTTGAACAACATCTGGAAATCAAAAAATCTATTTGTAAACCAACATCAAAGTCAGAATTTACAATACAAATGTCAAGACAATTCTGCTGTATGGAGCGGAAACCTAGAGAATTTTAAAAGCCGTCATCCGGTAGATACAAGTGTTTATTCACAGTTGTCTACACAAAATACTTCGGATTCGTTGATTAGACACTATCAGCAATAACCGATTGTGGGAGAAAACAAACTCGATCCCAGGAGGAAACCAGGAAGACGTGCTGGAAGTGGATAGGACACATATTGAGGAAAGCATCGAACTGCGTCATAAGGCGAACCTTCAAATACAATCCTCAATGCCAAAAGAGAAGAAGAGGACCATGGAACATATTGCGCTGAGAAACAGAGACAGACATGAGAGAAAATGGATAACAAATAGATAGAACTAGAAAGTAAGGGCCAGGACAGAGTGCGTTGGAGAATGCTGGTCGATGGCCTATGCTCCACTGGGAGTAACAGGCACAAGTACGTAAGTCATCTTCAATGAATATGGACCTAACCTCTTACGTGAGCAGGCTTATAAGCGCAATTCGTTCAGTTAAACCTGTTTCAGCCTAACCACAGTCAACTATGTGAACAAAAACCACAATGAAAAACGGTTTCAACCCAACTTTCAAAGTTTATTCTAAGAAATATTTACTTAATACAATATATGACTGCATTGCAGCTCCGCCTGAAGCCCCTCTGTGGCTACTGCCCGTCCCAAGCTTAGATAAAGTAGGAGGGTTAGGTATGGTGTTAGCGGCCCCATCCCATAGAAAAGTAACTCGCTAAAAAAACGCTTACCAGGAAAAAAAATAATTCAAACCATTCAGAATCTGCCCTGGGATTTAGAAGGTCTACATTTAGAAGAGTTATGATGCCTCATAGTAAAAGCCGAGTTCTTTTGGAAGTCAAGAGGTTTATGCTTTTTGGGACAACCAGAGAAAACATTAATTTAGGTACGCGCAATGTTTGTACAATGTGGGAAACCGGGAAAGTCACCCACATTGCTGAAGAAATGAAAAGATATAACCTGGAGGTGCTTGGAATCAATGAAACACACTGAACGCAGATTGAACAACAAACACTAACTTAAGGGGAGCTTTTGTTATACTCCGCACATGAATCAGAAAATACTCCACATACACAAGGAGTTGTACTAATGCTAGTTACTTCCACCTTGTTTTCTTTAGGTTTCTTTTCATAATTGTCAATACATTTCTGTGTGTAGTAGCATTTAAATAAATAGTTTTAAATCAAATAAAACTGTCTATTCAATTTGTTATTTTAACACAATAAAAACATTTTTTTAATTATCAGCATAGGGGTTGTGGCGATTGATAAGTTTTGATTGAGATCATGAACTGGTTGATGTTAGACCACCATTGAAAACTTGGAAGCACTGTATGGCCGTTCCGTCCTATTGTAGGACGCCTCATCAGCGTGCATCCGCGATCCCGCTCGCAGGATTCGAACCCAGTGCCTTCAGTCTCATTCATTTATTGAAAAACTTACTTTCACTTGACCACTAATCAGCGTTATTTGTGGATTGTCTGGATCTTTTTTTATTTCATAAACTGTTAAAACTGGTGGATCAAGTATTGGTGGTGTAGGTAATGGGAATTTTCGATTGATTTCATCATCTTCAGGTACATCAGGTAGTGATGCAACATCTATACAAGATAATTAAGATAAAAGAATAGGAAACAATGAAATACTTCATAGTTAACAATAAGAACCAGTGATATCTAAAAGTGTGAAAATCACTTGATGTTGTTTTACTTGTATCTTCTTATTGTTATTTAGGACTGAAATTGATCAGTCTCTTGTGGGCATATGTTCATCCTGTGCAGATTGCCTAGATATTGCCTTAAGTCACAAGAAAAGATGGATAGTGGCTAGCAGTGAAAACCAGTTTGACGCGCGTTTCGTCCTATTTGGATGTACCTGCATCCGAGAATTAATAATTCCCGGAGTGAACATCAACTCTGAGATGTAGATACATCCAGCTGAAGACGAGTCCCAAATAGGACAAAACGTTCGTCAAACTGGATTCCACTGCTTAAAAGTAATGTTCTCATTTTTATAAAGTTACTGATAGAGAAATGAATAACTCACTTAAAACATAATTATTGAATTGTAAAGTTTGTTTTGACAATCCTATTTTCATGTTATTTTAATCGAACTAAAGTGTTCTTCTCGCAAACATTGTTATAGATAACCTATTCCATTTGATTACTGATAAGTATTTATAAATGATCTAACTAGAATTTAAGCTATATCAGCTTCTATCTATTGAATACCTTTAAAAAGAATTGTCACTTTGTTTAATACAAGATCACTGATTAACTAATAACATAAACTGTGAATAGAAGTATTCAAAGTTGATATTCACGTGAACTGTATCAAATTCATTTTAATCAGAGAACGGTTTTATGGATATTATAGTAATTCGAATAGTTGAATTCATAAGGTAATTGAAGTTTAACCACCACAAAAAACCGAGTAGACCTGGAAGCACAGGACGGCTGTATCGTCCTGGTGAGGAGCCCGACCGCAGTTGCTACCTTGATGTGGTGGTCAGGCTTGCCTATCGTGATGAAGCAACCGAGCTATACAGGCTGGAACAACCGTTCCTCAAGGTACTACTATGTCAGACAGGTTCCATTGAAGAACGGTAAGACTAAAAGCAACAAACACAAGGTCCGAAAGCGAAGTCGTACTACTGACTGTACAGAGGTGTGAAGTCAGTAAGGTGTTTCCTTCAGACAACCAGCATGACAACGATTCTGCCTTCCCACAAGGAGGAGTGGGGTTACAAAGGTCGACCCTGAAAATGTACACCTCACCTTATCACACAGATATCCATCTCCGGCGTTAAGGTCTCAACAAGTATGGAGCCAACACAAAAATTACTCATAAAAAGGTCGTGTGTGATCGACCTCAAGCAGTTGTCCCTTGGCCACTGCGGTCACGCTTTCAGGTGACTAAGACCACCTCTAGTACAATTTCCTTTTCAGGCACCTCCAGAAGAACTCTTTCGCGGTGTGACATAACCGGGAAGTGATAACCGCCCTTATACCTCTAACAGTACTCAAGACCACTGTATTCATATTCAGCCTGCTGAGGAGTCGCATACTAGGACGAAACAACCCTTATTTGCTTCCAGGTTTTCCATAGTCATCTAGCTTTAATTGAAACGTGAATTCAACTAGTTAAAAATAAAATAATTTCAATTACTTACCAGGATCAATAACTACAACATAAAATGTTTCTTTTACTTCAGTTCCAATTCCTTTTGCAATACATTTATATTCTCCAGCATCTTCTGGTTTAGCAAATTTAATTTGTAATAAAGCTTCTGATTGATAAGTAGTTAAATTCTCTTTAGTATTATAATAATTAGGTTTAGTTAAATATTGTCGACTAATAATTGGTTGACTAGCATATTCATTATTTGGTGTAATCCATTCATGTGTTACTAGGCCACCACGATAGGATGTAGCTTTACACATTAAATTAATTGGTTCACTTAATTTGACAATAATACGACGTGATTTAGTATCAATGGTAACAGCTGTAGTTTAGAAGAAGAAAAATAAACGAGAGAATACACAACAACAATACAAGAAAGGGTACCATTTGTAATATATGTCATGTTTTATTGTCTGAACTGGTTGATTTGGTTCAGCTCAGAGAACAAAACGCCATCTAAATGATCCAAATGAGCAACAAATCTTCTCTATCATGTCATGTTTGTTTTGATAAACGTATTTATTGAGTTCAAATGATTTGCTTTAACAGTAAGTACTTCGTTAATTTTAAGTATCTTGATAATGAAGTGAAGGATAACATAGGCGAGGACAACATTACAGAGTTACGTGGTAAAATGGAAAAATCATACTATAATACTTAATTTGCAAAATGTTCAATAATTGTCTCGAAATTCATTGTACTTGCATGTCTATACTAATTGCTTTCTATTCCCGTTCTTCCTTTCTTGATCTTCTCAATCTTCTGCTGCGAGACATTATATTCCTGACTCGTGTTATATACTACTTGTATCAATATAAGTAGCACGCATCACAATAATACACTTCCATAATCATAGATTGCTCAAACTATCATCTTTATTGATAAAATATTGGAAGAACGGTATCATTATATTTTACCGAGAGTTTAATTTATGATTAAGTTGGAAAGAGATTAGAATAGCTAAATGATAAACAAAGTGACTCGGTTTAGGGATACTAGAGAATGTAAATCATGTGGATGATTATTCATGCAGTAATTGTTATTTATACCTGATAACTTGAAATCTCTATCAGTGACAGAGATGTATTTATACAGTTTCTTCTTCGTAACCCATGGTTTTGTTCACTTTGTCCAAATTATGTTCTCTTAGTTTAACTTTTTGAGTTTAATCGGTACTAATATACTTCTAATGACTCAATTTTCATCTGGTTAATTTTCATTATTTATCATTTATTTATTTGAACACATAGATATTGCTATGAAGAGGCACCGAATATATGCACCACACAAGTCATTTGATTTATGTGCGAGTTATGGTACTACCCGGGTGCCACAACCAAACCGAGTGGTTTTCTTAGTAGGCCACACCCGGAGCCTTCGACCTAAAGGTCTAATCTACATGGCAGTGGAGCAACGTTAGGAGATGCAGTCCCATAGTAGCCGGTGACCAACAATTGATTCATACTCCATTTGTTCCTTCAGGATACTGGACCCAGCCCATGTGCACCACTGGTTTGAAATCAGGGTTTTCCAACTTCCCTAGGTAGATCCTCCATATCCACCAACCCAGTTAAAGCGCTGGACATTCAGTTTTCGTTCTTTCAATTTCGTAAACAACACCCTGGTTGTGAGAAGGCAGTGAGTAGGTCTTTTCTATCACAAGCTCTATACCTGTAACTGTTAGGGATGCTGAGGAATATACCAATCATTATCATGTTAAGTCTAATGATATCCTTGGACTGTAAATAGGCATTTCCTATTGGCCATTATTTATTTCACCCGTTAAATATTGTACAGATGTTGTTTTCTATTTTTATGGTACGATGTGGTCTGTTTGGTTGGTATATAAACAGAGTATGTTTGAAATATAACAATTCATAACTCAGAGGCTGTGACTTGCGTTCTAGACTCAACTGGCTGGGGTAGACAGGGAAGCGGGACCAATCGGGACTCTAGGTCGTCCTTACGTCTTTTACGTGTCACTGATTCGATCGATAAATACGATGCGTATCTAATCTTCAGTCCACCCGTTACAACAGTAACCATGTAAAAGCGTTTTGAGAGGTAGAGCTAACACTCCTCACCCTCATTTGTACCAAGGAATTATTAAGGACTAGACAATAATGATAATAGTCAATATAGATTTATGAATAAGAATAAAATGAACACTATATAGATTAACCATAATACCAAAACACTAATTGATACAGATGTCAATCCCACATGATATAACAGTTTCTTAAACATTGCAGGTATACCACTGATGATAAATGATTTCTAGGACAAAAACTAGGTTAAAAATTTCGTATGAATTTTCTTCAAGCACTTAAGATCATTACATGATTAAAATGATAAAGTGATCTGATTCTTTTTTCAACATTACAGATCAACTACACAGTGGCACTTTAATGTCATTCTCTAAGGTACGTGACGATGATGATGATGATGATGATGATGATGATGATGATGATGATGATGATGATGATGATGATGATGATGATGATGATGATGATGATGATGATGATGATGATGATGATGATGATGATGATGATGATGATGATGATGATGATGATGATGATGATGATGATGATGATGATGATGATGATGATGATGATGATGATGATGATGATGATGATGATGATGATGATGATGATGATGATGATGATGATGATGATGATGATGATGATGATGATGATGATGATGATGATGATGATGATGATGATGATGATGATGATGATGATGATGATGATGATGATGATGATGATGATGATGATGATGATGATGATGATGATGATGATGATGATGATGATGATGATGATGATGATGATGATGATGATGATGATGATGATGATGATGATGATGATGATGATGATGATGATGATGATGATGATGATGATGATGATGATGATGATGATGATGATGATGATGATGATGATGATGATGATGATGATGATGATGATGATGATGATGATGATGATGATGATGATGATGGAATTGTTTATTTGACCTGCTACTTGGACATAAATGTCCAATCTGTTAATCAACTTTACTGATGAGGATTTCCATACTAGGAAGAAACTGCCGTCAAGTGTTTCCACGTTTACAATAAACGGTCTAACATTGATCAATTCATGATCTTAACGTAAACTTAACAATCTACATAACCCTATACTGTTATTTATCATATGCTCACTAGTGACTAACTTCGAGTGGTCATTCGCTGTGTTCTAATGAGAAGCCATGACTAGTGGAGCTAATCTGTATTGATTGTGAGGCTGTTACCTACGGTAAAGAATATTATTATTTATATTGAATTATATGTATTATGAACTAACCTTTTTGACATGAATCAAAACGTTTCCCACTGTATATATCATAAATATATTCACCTTCAGAACATCTTAAAAAGGAAATGAAATGAATTACATTATTATGTAATCATCAAGTTGGAAATTTCAAAAAAAATATAAGAATCATATAACAATAGAATTGTAGAATAGATCATTGCTAATCTTGATGATTAACCCTAATCTTTGAATAGGAGTTGATAGAGATAATTGAATAAAATAGATAAGCTTAGGTTTAATTCTGTTTAACATTAATCAATAAAGCTTATCTGTAAAGATCACATCGATAATCTTTTACATGAGATTCAATTCAGATTATTTATGAAGCAGATTAGTAACCATATTGAGATTTGATTAATATAATTGAATCAATAATGTTTACTACTATTCTGTAAACAACTAATATTACATACCCATTAATTATGCATATAAATGTTCGCCTTGGAAACTAAATTCCATAGAAAAAGACATTTCAGAGAGGTCATTATCTAATTGAACTATACATTGGAACTGGGTTCTTTTTATTCCCTATAGCCTTTTTATACATTGGATTTGATGATCTGAATCATTTCCATACTGTATTATAACTAATAATGGTAGGAACTCGTAACTGTTGTATTTCATAAGTACAGAGATTCATAAACGATAACAGTAGCTGATAAATATTCTCAAGTCTTGAATGAACCAAAGATGAAACTATAGATTTCAACGTAAAGATCTTTAGGTAATTCACTTATTTTGAGATCTAATGGTTCTGAATGTAATTTCAAGTACAGTATCCATTGAGGATTGTTAGGAAGTTGTATACTTGGTAAATACAGTTGCCTACTGTTACACAGTTTTTAGTAGTACTTAATATGAAGTCAGTTCGTAATGACTACCATGTGCATAAATAAAAGAAAGATTACACTGGTTGAAATCATGAGTCAATAAAACCTAGACCACCATGGAAAACCTGGAAGCACTGGACGGTCGTCTCGTCCTAGTATGGGACTCCTCAGCGGAAAAGAAAGACTAGTTTCTTTTTTACAGAAAACCTATTAGACACGAAAAACAAGACTGTCTTAACTAGTTATGTTTTATTACATTTATCTCAGTATAATTCACGTTTAAAACATTTTTAACAAAATCCTATAACTTACTCTTTACATTTATCACCTAAACAACCTCCACATTGAACATCTTCACCAAGAGGTTCTAAACGAATAACCGTTTGTTTTGATAGATCAGTACAACCCTAAAAAAATAAATGTATAATTTAAGAATCTATACACTTGAAGATAGACATCTACAACGATAGATAATATTACTATTCAAATTGTATTACAGAGAAATCAGTACTGAAAATGAGGAAATTTATCTGGGCTACTTGTTCCTGCCATCTTGATATTTCAACATGTTATCTGTTTCCTTGATTGTTCTAACACATCATTAGGCTTATTTGTCTCATAACCTATTCAGGTACGTTTATGAAAAGCTCATGACTTTACGTTGCAAAAGTTATAAAAGTTACAATTGCAGCCCTAAACAATAATGAGAAGTTACAATCAAATAATACCAAGTGAATTTAAACTTCACCCAATTGTACAAGAAGGTGTCTATTGAGACAAAAGAGTTCAATCAGAGACATTGTGGTTGTTTGTAATATACATCGAATAGAATATACATGAATCAGATGTCGATTCCTGAACTGCTAACATCTAACTAGTGATCACTCAATACATTATCGTCAGGATAGATGAAGAAACAACAGAAAGAAACTTGTTGAAATACTCTGCTCCAATAATTCAATATTGTACCATAAATATAATATTGAATGAAGCTAATAGTAACAACAACAGTCAGTCAGTCAGTAACAACGTAGAACTACGTACGTGCGTACATCAGTTCGAGTTGCCACATCACATTAGCACAGAGATGCAGTGGTCGATTCAAATCTCGTAGTGCTAGATGTAGTAATCATTTAAAGCATAATCTTATTAAACAACTCATCTTTAGCACGATAGTGGCTAGTAACGGAATCTATTTTCACGCGTGTTTTGTCCTATTTGGGACTCGTCGTCAGCTAGATGAACCTGTATCTCAGAGTTGGTGTCCATTCCAAGACTCGAACCCAGTATCATTCGCTTCAAACACCATCCTATTATCCACTTAGCTACTGAGTCCTAATAGATACCTTCATGTACAATGGGGTGAAGTTTAAATTCACTTGGTATTGTTCATTTATATCTTCTCATTGCTGTTTAAGACTGCAATCGATCAATCTCTTGTTGGTATATTCGTTGACATTTATTCGTCAGTATTTTAATAAAGAATGATTTAAACAAAATATCATGAATCCATTTCACTACGTTGGTTTCTCATCATCAGCTTAGTACACTCATGATCTTTCTCTACTACCATTATTGATAACACAGAATTCATTTTATATCAAACATGGAATATTTTATTCAGTCTTCTTCAAATTTACTTTAGATCCTCACTATATTACACCTATATATGCTTATACTGTTTCGTTTAGACTATAATTTATGGAGGACTTTTGAATGAGGCTAAATTTAACCTTGAGAGTGTTCACCTAATAACTAGGACCAAATAAACGTTATGAACTACTGTGAAGGATTAGAATTATGATTTACAGTTAATGGTTATGGTTAGAGATTAGATTCCGGGATTTTATCACGAACTGACATCAGCTATAATACCAAAACTCTATTTAGCCAAATCAGTGGATGAATTTCGCGCCAAAATTCAACACCTGTTATCTTGCACCTGATTGGTTTGTTCATAAATTATAATCTCGTCACTGTTTCCCTAACCAATCAACATAAGCCAAACAATAATATAGTTGAATTCTATTCAAGCAGTTGTCGATCAGGTAAACATTAGTCGTGACTGAACAATAAGTGAAAATAGTCATCTTAACATATATACACACAATACAAGAGAGTGTATTTTAGATGTAAAATGGTTTACACTACCATTCAATTATAAGTTCACTTACTGACTACTTTGTAAACTCTCATTCTTATATAATCTAATTCTTGATGGTTAATCAGTTGATTCAGTTAAATATATCATGTAATCAAGCATATTGAACTATTGATTCTATAATTTTTAAGCCAAATCTATTCCTCTTTATCTATCCTATCATTCCCACTGTAGGATCAATCAAAGTCTATTCCTTATTTATCTATCATATCATTCCCATTGTAGGATCAATCAATGTCTATTCAATATTTCACTATCATATCATTCCCATTGTAGGATCAATCAATGTCTATTCACTATTTATCTATCATATCATTCCCATTGTAGGATCAATCAATGTCTATTCAATATTTCACTATCATATCATTCCCATTGTAGGATCAATCAATGTCTATTCACTATTTATCTATCATATCATTCCCATTGTAGGATCAATCAATGTCTATTCAATATTTCACTATCATATCGTTCCCGATGTAGGATCAATGAACTCGATCTTTTCCCATGGTGACAATAAGTAACCCAACAACAACTAAAAGATTATTTAGATTCATTTACTTCACAACTTGGTGATAATTCACGTTCATTCGATGAAGTTGATTGATTTGGACAATCACATATTTCAACTGGTGCTTTCGCTAAACCTTGTTCATTAGCAAATAATTGACGTTCATTTGTTTTAATTGGTATACTAATTTGTATTGATATACCAGATAATTTGATATCATTTAATGATTCACTATTTCCACTACTTGTTATAATACCAATATTTGTTGTTGTTACTAAGAATCTTAATAATTGATTTCTTGTTAAGCTCATTGGTGTATCATATAATGTTAATGGTGTACCTAAACGCCAACCACCTGGCCACCAATTTTCATGAAATTCTATTTCATAACGTTGTGTTGTTAAATTATATGTTGCTAATGTCCATATACGTCCATAACGAGGTGACTATAAATGAAAAAAATGTATTTGAAAATCATTATATAAGAATACAATACTCATTATAAATCGATAAAACTCCTCCTCCTCCTTCACCTTCTAGAGCCCCTCTGGAATTACTGTTGGCCTCAAGCCCAGATGAAAGAGAAGAATTGAGCATAGGGTTGGTGAATTCTTCACTCAAGAAACTAATTCACTGAAGAAAAAAACGCTAACCAAGATTAGCATAAGATATTCTCCATACTTGAAAATCATTATGATAATCATTGAAAGAACTTCTGATGTATAAAACACTTATTATATATATCTATCATATCTAAGAATTAAGAAGATATCACTAGAGTTGAGGTTTCATTAACATCATATTAGACCACCATTGGAAATCTGGAAGTATTGGACTGGATTAATTGAAGTTAGACATTGTTACCATTGAATACCGGCTCAGTGTGTTCTACAACTTAAGAGTTTGTGTGTAACACTGAAGATTTTCAGTTCGAATACCATGTGTGGGATTGTGGATGCTCACTGCTGAAGAATCCAAACACATTTTCCAATACTTCCAGTTTTCCAATGGTGGTCCAACATTGATCAATTCATGATCTCAATCAAAATTCAAGATTGATTAATTGGTTTCATGATTTTGTAAATCTGAAATAAGTGAAATCAATAAAGCAATTAGTGATAAATAATAATCACCTTATGAGTACAACAATTTTATTTGTCTAACAGGATTGTGTATTTCTCATAAAATGTAAATATATTCATAATATCACTTACTTACTTACGCCTGTTACTCCTCGTGAATTAGCATAGGCCACTCACCAGCATTCTCCATCCAACCCTGTCCTAGGCAATCCCTTCCAGCTCCGTCCAGTTGTAATTCATCCTTTTCATATCTGATTCTATTATCCGACGCAATGTGTTCTTTGGCCTTTCTCTTTTTCGCTTCCCTTCAGGGTTCCAAGTTAGGGCTTGTCTCGTGATGCAGTTTGACGATTTGCGTAATGTATGTCCTATCCATTTCCATCGTCTTTTCCTAATTTCTTCTTCAGCTGGAAGTTGGTTTGTTCTCTCCCACAGAAGGCTATTGCTGATAGTATCCGGTCAATGGATGTTGAGTATCTTGTGTAGACAACCATTTACTAATACTTGTACCTTCTTGATGATGGTTGTATTAGTTCTCCAAGTTTCAGTTTAATACAGTAGAACTGCCTTGACGTTCGTATTGAAGATTCTCACTTTGATATTGGTTGAAAGTTGTTTTGAGTTCCATATGTTATTCAATTGTAGGAATGCGACTCCTACTTTGCCGATCCTCGCCTTTACGTCTGCATCTGAACCTCCTTGTTCATCGATGATGCTCCCCAGGTATGTGAAGGATTCAACATCTTCCAGAGTTTCGTCATCAACAGTGATTGGATTGCTGTTCTCTGTGTTGAATTTGAGGACCTTGGTTTTCCCTTTGTGTATGCTGAGGCCTACTGATGCAGAGACTGCAGCTACACTGGCTGTCTTTATCTGCATCTGTTCATGTGCACGCGATAGGAGGGCTAGGTCATCTGCGAAGTCCAAATCATCTAATTGATTTTGAGCTGTCCATTGTATTCCGTGTTTTCCTTCAGGTGTCGAGGTCTTCATAACCCAGTCGACCACCAGAAGAAAGAGGAAGGGAGAGAGTAAACAGCCTTGTCTGACTCCGGTCCTTACTTGGAATGCATCTGTCAGCTGTCCTCCATGCACGACTTTGCACTGTAGTCGGTCGTATGAGTTCCGGATAATATTGACAATCTTCTGAGGAACTCCGTAGTGTCGAAGAAGTTTGCATAACGTTCTCCTATCTACACTGTCGAATGTCTTTTCATAATCAATGAAGTTGATGTATAGTGATGAGGTCCACTCCACTGATTGTTCGACGATGATCCGTAGTGTTGCAATTAGGTCTGTGCACGACGGATCCTTACGGAATCCAGCTTGTTGATCTCGAAGTTGGGCGTCTACTGGATCCTTCATCCGGTTTAGCAACACTCTGTTGAAGACTTTCCCTGGTATTGACAGTAGTGTAATGCCTCTGTAGTTTTCACATTTGCTCAGATCTCCTTTCTTTGGAATCTTGACGATTTGTCCTTCTTTCCAGTCCATTGGAACTTGTTCCTTCTCCCAAATCTTTTTGAACAGAAGGTATAGCATGCTTGTGGTTGCTTCGATGTCTGATTTCAGTGCTTCAGCTGGTATGTTGTCGGGTCCTGCTGCTTTCCCGTTCTTGATTTGTCTGACGGAACTTTAAATAATATCTTACTTGTGTATTATGAGTGTTGTAAAGAATTCGTCATGAACATTACTATTTAGTAAGACAGTTATTCAATGGTTTCAACAGAGTATTTGTAAAACTATCAAAGTTTTCACTTTACAGGTACACCAATTTTGGCCCCCAAATGCCGTGGTACGAGCGAGAGTGGGGGGAATCAGCTCTACCCCTCTAAACGCTCTCACATGGCCACGCGTATATAGCCTCTGCCGGGGAATTCCTACTCACTGCGTTCTCGTGGAGGCATTGTTTACGAAATTCAGAGGAAGAAAAGTGAATGTCTGGCGCCTTAACCGGGTTAATGGATATGGAGAGTCCACCTAGGGGAGTTGGAAAACGCTGATTTCAAACCGTTGGTGTACGTGGGCTCCAGTAACCTGAAGGAACAGATGGCATATGAACCAATCACTGGTCACCGACTACCATGAGACTGCATCTCCTAATGTTACTCGACTGCCTTTTGGATCACATTTTTAGGTCGACGGCTCCAGGTGTGGCTGTCTAACAAAACCACCCGCTTCGGTTTGGGCACCTGGGCAGTATCACAGCCCTAACACAAATGAAATGAGATTTGTGGGGCGCATATGTATTTGGTGCCCCTTTGTACCAATATCAGTGTGTTAAATAAAATAAAATAAATAACACCAATTTTGAATCAACCTATTTTTCTAAATACTTATAGAGAATATTACTATAATATCCACTAGATCTCTTTCTGATTATAATAATCATATGCTCACTAGTGACTGGCTTCAAAAGGTATTTTCGAGAGTTTTAACGAAAAGATGTGACCAGTGGAGTTTAAGCAGGTCTGTTATAAGATAGTAACTTACTGAAGACAATGGTGGATGTGTCGTTCAATTTCGTGGATTGGTTGAATTTAGAAATTAATACCGTTGAATGCCGGTCGGTTCAATAGTCTAAAAGTTAAGAGTTCACTCACGAGACAGATAGGTCCTGAGTTTGAATCCTTCTGGTGCAAGATCGTAAATTCGCACTGCTGACGAGTTCTATAGTAAGACGAAACGTCCATCCAGTGTTTCTAGTTTTTCATAGTGGTCTAATGTCAATTAACTCATGAATTCAACTATTAAAAGTTATCAAGTTAGGGGTTGTGGAGATCGCTAAGTTTTTTTCTTGAGATCATAAACCGATTGATATAAAACTAACGTTGAAAACCTCGAAGCACTGGATGGCCGTTTCGTTCTATTGTGGAACTCCTCAGCAGTGCGCATCCACGATCCCGCTCACGGGATTCGAATCCAAAGCGTTTAGTCTCGCGCGCGAACTCTTAACCTACTGGACCACTGAGCCGGTATCCAAGTTACTATGATATCTATCAAACACCTTTCTGATTATTTACATTATCAAACATTTCAATGAAATTCAGCTATATTATTAAACACTTAAATATATAAACATGACAAATGTCAATATTCCGATATATTATTCTGTTCAATATGTTATAAGCTTATTTTTATTAACATTGAAACCGTTTATTTAAACAAATAATATTTGAACTAGAATTTACGCATATATTGAACATTTTACTGAATTACTTAGTTCGTAAGAATTCACTAAATTTGATAATAATAATTATGTAATGTGTGCTACTTATATCGACATAAGTAGTATATGATGTTAGTTCTGAACAGAAAGTCTGGCAGTAGAGAGACAAGAGGATCGAACAGTAAAGAATTGAAACTGGATGCAATTAGTATGAAAATGCAAGAACAATGAAGTCGGAGTCATTTTGAGACAATTGATGGACATTGTGCAAATTACGTATTTACTATTTGATTGTTTGGTTTTATTAACAAGTCACGTAAGTGTGCGTTGAATACATCCGATTGTCCCCACTGGTATTCTGCTCACTACAATTATAATAATCAACTGATATCCGGTGGACAGTTGATGGGTGTCAAGAAGTATTCAACAAGTATTCTGGATCCATTGTTCTAGAATTCTTTAAAATTGTTTATTATTAACCACATATAAGAATAAGCATAGGAACTTTAAATAGTACTTATATAATCTAATGATTCATACTTTATATTTCACACCACACGTTATATAATACTTATACTTAAGTTGATCATTCATAAGTAAGCGTGATTACTTACTTACTTACGCCTGTTACTCCTCGTGAAGGAGCATCGGCATCTCACCAGCGTGATTACTGTTTTATTAATTGTATAATTTCATGGTAAGTGAATTGTTATTAGTATCAGTCAATTATTACCATAGTTTCATAACAGAAGTTATGTAAAACGGATTTCTTTTGCTGGTAGTCAGTTCTATGAGCAAAAAGGTTCGATTATTATCCTTAGTGTATCAAATTAAACCATTATCTTGTATCCACTAAGGAGTCCCACAATAGGAAGAAATGGACGTCGAGTGCTTCCAGGTTTTCCCTGGTGGTCTAGCTTCAATTGACTTATGATCTCAACTATTGAAATTTCTACAATCTTCACAAAACTCCTCCTGATACTAATCACATTTTTATTGAAACAAGTACTGTCGGCGTTATGACATGTCCACGATACTGTTATATCTAGATGTTAAATTCTTGATATAACGCATACAATTTGAGCACTCAAATGTTAGAACCCTTCAAGTCATAAATGAGAAGATAGAAGACAAGTGAAAGGGATGCTATTCCAAAACAGTTTTTAATAGGGTGCCATATTCTTAGGTATTTAGATAAAACGTAATCATTATTATAATCACCTAATCCACATACAGGGGGTTTTAACAATTGTCCAATAAGAAAGTTGCATGTAGAGATTCTGGAACGTTCTTCCAAAATATGATTGGATAGAATATCTTCGAATATATCTGAGTTTCTTAGAGCTTCTTCAAGTTCATCTGTGTGCTGTCCTTACAGATACTATTACTATTTGTTTTATTAATAATCTGATATACATGTTTATACTAAAATAAACGTTCTATGATGATAATGTTTAATCGACTTGGGCATAGAAATATAATCATATCGGTACAACATAGGGGAAGTCCCATTACCCGTAGTCTGGTCTCATAAGGATCTATGGGTGACAGTGAGTCATGATCTTAAGACGACGGCCCATTGCCGGGAGGTCGCAGCTAGGGGGTTTAAAACCCTCAGGGCTTTAAAACCGACATTCACTAAGTTAGATACTAAAATGTTCACCACAGTATACACATCCTTAGTGAGAACTAAGCTTGAGAACTGCATTCGGGTTGCAACCCCTGTTTAAAAGGTGACTCGGACATACTAAAAAAGTACAGAGGTCAGCTACCCGTGCAATTCCAGAACTCCGGGGTTCACCATATAAAGAGCGGCTTGAAAAGCTGGACCTCTTCACTCTATCCTATCGCAGACTGAGGGGAGATCTAATTATGATGTACAGAATACTGAGAAATGATTTTGGACCTAACTTATTCTCTCTTTTTCCTCCCACTAGATAGTGATATCTCAGAGGACATAGCAGGCGAGTAGAAAAGCCAAGAACGAACAAAATACTGGTTTTAACACCGAGTCATCAATACTTGGAGCCTGCTGCCCGAAGCAGTGGTGTCCGCACCTTCAATTGACAATTTCAAGAGGAGACTGGACACTCAGAGAGGCATATTAGAAAAGGAATAGCATAGGCCGTAGGCCTTCTGTGCTTACTACACAAATCTGAATCTGATATAGATATAAAATTCAGTATATCAGTAAAATAAGTACACAAAATAGGAGTGTTAATCACCTCAAGTTCTACAACAACACTTGCTTCACGTTGGGTTAATTCATTTGGATTCAATTTGATAGAATCAATTCTGAATGACATTTTACCTCCATACATATATTTCTAAAAATAGAAAAAGAAGAAGGAAATTAAGCGGATATTTAACATAAGATTCTTATCAGAAGGGGTTTTGTGGAGATTCTAGAAATTTCACTGATTGAAATCATGAGTCAACTGAAGCTAGACCACCGTGGAAGTCCTGGAAAAACTGGATAGTCGTTTCGTCCCAGTATGGGACTCCTCAGCAGTGCGCATCCACGGCCTCGCCCCCTGCGAGATTCGAACCCAGGACCTACTGGTTTCGCGCGCGAGCACTTAACCACTAGGCCACAGAGCCGGTATCCAAGTTTCTTACATTTTAAAAATGAATTATGAATGAATAAAGGTTTTGTGGAGATTGTAGTAATTTATTAATTGAATTCATGGGAAACCTGATAGTACTAGATGGTCGTTTCATCTTAGTATTGATTAAGCGTTTGAGTGCGAGATTGAAAGTCCTTGGTTTGAGTCCTTTTAGTGTGAGATCTTGGATGCGCGCTGTTGATGAGTCTCATATAAGGACAAAATGGTCATTCAGTTCTTTCGAATTTTTTTGTGATAATCTAGCTTAGATAGATTCATGAATTCAACTATTAAAAATAATTATATTTAATGGAAATGTTAGACGCGTTGTAAGTTATTTCCATGATTATAAGCATCAAAGACACAAATAATTTCCATGGTGGTCTAGCTTCAATTGACTCATGATTTCAATCAAAAACTTAACAGCCTCCACAACACCTAAACTGATAATTACCATGTGCTCCCTAGTGACTAGCTTTGTGAGAAAATTCTCGGAGTTCTGGTGAGAAGCCGTGACCAGTGGAGCTAATCTGTGTCGGGTAGAAACAGGTGTTTACCTCAGTACAATGGAAGATGGTCGCGGAATTCCGTGGATTGGTTGAGGTTAGACATTAACACCATTCGATGCTAGCTCAGTGGTCTAGTTGGTTAAGCGCCTGGCGCGAGACAGATAGGTCCTGGGTTCGAATTTCGCGGAGTGCGGATCGTGGATGCTCACTGCTGAGGCGTCCCATATTAAGACGAAACCGCCATCTAGTGCTTTCAGGTTATCCATGGTGATCTAGCTTCAACTGACTCATGATTTCAATCAAAAACTTAACAACCTTCACAACACCTAAATTGAAAATTATTTATCATTGTCCATATTGACTTACATAAATAGCTACATCATTTTGTGTTACAGATGATGGTTTAGGTGGAATTAGATTAATACCAAAATGAATTATTCCTTTATTATTTAATGGATATTTAACATAGAAATTATCTAATTCACGTTCAATACGTGGATTTCCATCTGGTGTATATTCATTACGTTGTAATCCACCCATATCGGTTCGTTGACCAAGCCAAACATTAAAACCGAAACCAGCTGAATCCTCCTTGTAATAATATAAATAAATCAATAATTAAATATTGTTAATAAAGAAATAGAACAAACAATTAATATGTATAAATGGATTGGTTAATCAAACTATCTAGATTAAAAAGAATAAAACTCTGTCGAAATCATTCACCTAAGATACAAATCTACTCTACCATCTTATAAAAGGTTACTCATCAATCACTGAGATATAATTGTAATATATCCGTCTATCAATTAAGGGACTAGTATACTGAGAGGCAGTTCGTTCTGTTTTGCTTTACGGTTGCGAAGCAAGGCCATTAGAGTAGAAGATATTCGTAAGCTACTACTATTTGACCACAAATGCCTTAGAAATATTACTCGAATCTAGCGGCTAAGTAATAGTGAAGTTAGACTCAGGGTATTAGGGGAATGATGATAAATCCATTGATGAGCTTGTAAATCTTCATCGACTGAGATGGTTAGGACACGTGTTACATATGCCCGAACACCGATTATCACGACGCAAAATACTGACTAGTGTTGATGGTTGGAAGAATGTTAGTGGTGGCCAAACCGAAACGTGACATCAGTCCTTGAAGTCACTAACATCTGGTCTGAGTCATATTGGTAGATACAGACCACCTGGTTCGAATCCTTGTGAATATCGTAACCAATGGTTGGAGACTCTTGGTGACGAGACTCAGAATCGATCAGAATTGCGTCGGTGTATACACTCTCTCCCTTCCTTTAAACTGTGAGATTAAAATTGATTTATATCTTTCGTTCCTTACAGAAACAAATATAATATCTGTCTATCTATTATCTATCTATAGAAAATACTATACCGTTGTTATATTCCAGAAATAATGTTCATCTGATAAACGACATGATGATGTTTTCCCAGAACAATAACACTGTAAACATTGTCCCATATAATTGAAATAGCCTTCTTCACATTCATCACATTTTACACCAGTGTATCCGGTCTGATTTTAAAAGAAATAAAAGAAGAAATAATGTATTAATATTAGGAGAAAAGGATTTTTTATTACATCATATAATCCTTAATTATATTCTAATGAATATCACTTGAAATTGGATAGGGCATACATTACGAAAATCATCAAACTGCATTACGAAGCAAATGCTAACTTAGAATCCTGAATGGAAACGGAAAAGAAGTAGGCCAAAGGACATACTACGTCGAGAATCGGAAGCAGACATGAAAAGAATGGATAGCAATTGGAAAGGATTGCTTAGGACAGGATTGGATGAAGGGTGCTGGTGGGCGGCCTATTCTTCTTGACGAGAGGTAATAGGCGTAAGGAAAAAAAGATATCACTTCGATTGAAGCCATTCTTGTTTTAATTCACATAACATCATGATACACTAGTGAACTAATTAACGTTTAATATGATTCAATATTGATATGTTAATGATGTATTGAACGGACATTGATTTGTGTCAAATACTTACTCTGTAGTTATTGAAGTCAAGAATATCAAGTCTTGTAGCAATTATAATGACCTTAGACCAATGTTTATGAATTCCTGGGTCCTGGGTTCTACTCCCGTGAGCGAGATCGTAGATGCGCACTGCTAAGAAGTCCTACAATAGGACGAAACGACCGTTCATTGCTTTCACGTTTTCAATGGTAATCTAACATCAATCGGTTCATGATCTCAATGAAGAATAATAATCTCTATAACTCCATACTGAAATTACTCAGTTGATCTTCTGTTCCAACATGAAACATAATCGACAAATTGCAACTATGATGTGTATGCAGTTAATTTTATACATTCATATTCTTTAAATTATAATACAAAGAATGTATGGTACATTTAGTCCGTCAGTGATTACACAATTAAACTACATTCGATTAAAAATCTTAATGGATTGCATAAGACTCCTCAATCTGAATGCTTTAAAAGATGAATAATAATTAAATACAGTATGACGTAATAAATAGAGCTACAACATTCCATGACTGAAATTTTATTGACATAGTACCAAATGACAATTAGCTAAAACAAATATGCTCCTCCACGAGGGGAACCAGCCTTAAGTAAGTAAGTAAGTAAGTAAGTAAGTAAGTAAGTAAGTAAGTAAGTAAGTAAGTAAGTAAGTAAGTAAGTAAGTAAGTAAGTAAGTAAGTAAGTAAGTAAGTAAGTAAGTAAGTAAGTAAGTAAGTAAGTAAGTAAGTAAGTAAGTAAGTAAGTAAGTAAGTAAGTAAGTAAGTAAGTAAGTAAGTAAGTAAGTAAGTAAGTAAGTAAGTAAGTAAGTAAGTAAGTAAGTAAGTAAGTAAGTAAGTAAGTAAGTAAGTAAGTAAGTAAGTAAGTAAGTAAGTAAGTAAGTAAGTAAGTAAGTAAGTAAGTAAGTAAGTAAGTAAGTAAGTAAGTAAGTAAGTAAGTAAGTAAGTAAGTAAGTAAGTAAGTAAGTAAGTAAGTAAGTAAGTAAGTAAGTAAGTAAGTAAGTAAGTAAGTAAGTAAGTAAGTAAGTAAGTAAGTAAGTAAGTAAGTAAGTAAGTAAGTAAGTAAGTAAGTAAGTAAGTAAGTAAGTAAGTAAGTAAGTAAGTAAGTAAGTAAGTAAGTAAGTAAGTAAGTAAGTAAGTAAGTAAGTAAGTAAGTAAGTAAGTAAGTAAGTAAGTAAGTAAGTAAGTAAGTAAGTAAGTAAGTAAGTAAGTAAGTAAGTAAGTAAGTAAGTAAGTAAGTAAGTAAGTAAGTAAGTAAGTAAGTAAGTAAGTAAGTAAGTAAGTAAGTAAGTAAGTAAGTAAGTAAGTAAGTAAGTAAGTAAGTAAGTAAGTAAGTAAGTAAGTAAGTAAGTAAGTAAGTAAGTAAGTAAGTAAGTAAGTAAGTAAGTAAGTAAGTAAGTAAGTAAGTAAGTAAGTAAGTAAGTAAGTAAGTAAGTAAGTAAGTAAGTAAGTAAGTAAGTAAGTAAGTAAGTAAGTAAGTAAGTAAGTAAGTAAGTAAGTAAGTAAGTAAGTAAGTAAGTAAGTAAGTAAGTAAGTAAGTAAGTAAGTAAGTAAGTAAGTAAGGAAAGAAGGAAGGAAGGAAGAAAGGAAGGATAGAAGGAAAGAAGGAAGGAAGGAAGAAAGGAAGGATAGAAGGAAAGAAGGAAGGAAGGAAGAAAGGAAGGATAGAAGGAAAGAAGGAAGGAAGGAAGAAAGGAAGGATAGAAGGAAGGAGGAAAGAAAGGAAGGAATGATGTATGTATTTACGTAATATACATTAGTTTTGTGTATGTTTTCAAAATAATTTCAAGTATTTCTAATGAAATAATTTGAATTTATAAGTGTCCATAGCAAGGTTGAACTTGATAGTTTCAAATAAATTAGCCACTCTGAAGAAGTGGCTGACATTAAGTGACGAAACTTCAGAAGTTCTTATTGAGAACAATCTGTGTAGCAGTTTATTTAATTGATTGAATCCAACCGATGTGTTATGCAACAAGTTTATTTGTTTTTCATCCATCTGATATTAATCAACATATGGTCACTAGTGACTGGCTTCAAGAGGCATATCCTGGACTTCTAGTGAGAAGTTTTGACCAGTGTAGTTCAACCAGGTCTGTTGTGAGATAGTAACTCACTGTAGACAATGGTGAATGTGTCACTTAATATCGTGGATTAGTTGAAGTTAGACATAAACACCGTTGGATGACGGCCTGTTCAGTGGTCTAGTGGTTAAGTGCTCGCGCGCGGGAAAACAGTAGGTCCTGGATTCGAATCACGCAGGGGGCGAGGTCGAGGATGAACATTGCTGGGGAGTCGCACAACAAGACGAGTTGGCCGTCCAGTGATTCCAGGTTTTCCATGGTGGTCTAGCTTCAAATGACTCATGATCTTAACCATTGAAATTACTACAATCTCCACAAAATACCCATCTGATATTAATCAACATATGCTCACTAGTGACTGGCTTCATGAGGTATATCCTGGAGTTGTAGTGAGAAGTAGTGACCAGTGGAGTTCAACCAGGTCTGTTGTGAGATAGTAACTCACTGAAGACAATGGTGAATGTGTGGCTGAATTTCGTGTATTAGTTGAAGTTAGACATTAACACCGTTGGATGCCGACTCAGTGGTCTAGTGGTTAAGTGCTCGGGCGCGAAACCAGTAGGTCCTGGGTTGGAATCTCGCAGGGGCCGATTTGGCGTGGATGCGCACTGCTGACGAGTCCCACAATAGGACGAAACGGCCGTCCAGTGTTTCCAGGTTTTCCATGGTGGTCTAGCTTCAACTGACTCATGATCTTAACCATTGAAATTGCTAAAATATCCACAAAAACCCATTTGATATTAAACAAAATAGTTAAAAATTTGATGATAATAGTACTGAAGTATTCTAATTTATATTAACAGAAGGGGTTTTGTAGAGATTTTGGTAATTTCAATAGTTGAAATCATGAGTCAGTTTAAGCTAGACCACTATGGTAGACCTAAAAACACTGGATGGCCGTTTCGTCCTAGTCTGGGACTCCTCAGCACAAAGGTCAGCGAAGGGATCTCTTTTGAACTTGTTCAATCGTATATATATATATGAAAAAACGTTTTTGTTTGTTAAAGTACTAATTCCGTGAGGAAATGTGAACAAACAATAACCAAGATGACGTAACAGAATGATAATAATACTAGATTACGTAATATGCATATTAAAAATAGATTTAGTGAATGTAATAAAATGATTACGATCATTACAATAATTGAAGGTCATTAAAGGTCATAGATGTGTAAAAATAAATAAGGTGATAAGTACATAGGAATAAAATAATGAGAATATAAGACATAAGTAAAGGGGAATGCAGTAATAATAATAATTAAGGTCAAGGTAACGATAACGGTAGAACGTACTTCTTTTGTACGCATAGTTCTGGTTTGAACTCATGGATAGTAAGAGCTTCGACTATTTTACTAGGAGTTGGATACAAAGAAATCTCGATAGATTTGAACGAATCATATATACAGCCTTAAAATCAAACTGTGAATCTGTAGAATGATTACAGTCGATTAAGTTTTCAAGTATAGAACTCCTAACTGCTTTCCGTTCACCCAAACTGGAACATGTTCTCGTATCCGAGTTGAAAGCGAACGCTAGCTACGGCCAATGTACCTTGCTCCATAAGAGCAGATGAACTAGTAGATGCACAAGGAGGTGACCAGATGCGGAAGCTTATCTTTTATGGATACAGAAAATAATTTCCAACTAGTGAAGGTTATTCGCAGTTTTGTTGCATTAAATGCTGTTTCAATTGCTGTCGTTAGGCAATTTTTGGTTACGTCAGATGTTCAATCCTCTTTAAATTCTAGACTTATAAAGAGGTTTTTCTTTGAGAAGAAACCACTAGATTTCCTGTCGCAACTACTTCTATTCATATTCTTCTCTATGAAACGGTCTGGGTAACTATTTTCCGTCAAGGTTTTCTTGAGGAATGCGAGTTCTTCGTTAATGCTTTCCGTACTACATATCCGATGTATTCGATGACAAAGAGTCAATGAGGTTTCTTTCTGCTTAAAGGAACCGAGCTATAGAATTTGGTTAGCTGGCCATTCCATGTTTGTTTTCTAAAAATAGATATTTTTAAAGAACCATTACTCCTTCTCATCAGACAGACATAGAGCAAATAGATTGATCGATCTCGATCACTTTTTAACGTGAAGTCTATAGAAGGGTTGCATGTGATGAAGGTGTAAGATGTCCTGTAATTCGATACTATCGTCACAAACGACAAACATGTCGTCCATGTATCTTACGTACAGATGAAATCGACTAAGCATTGAAATGAATTGGTCGTTTTCCAGTTTTACCATTGAGATCCCATCTGTTCAAGTTTCATACATCTCAAAAAAACAACTAATCAAATACAGATCTCAATAACAAGAATATTCAAACCTTCATCAATATAACTATAGTATTCTTTCCTAAGATAACTTACTTTACATTGACAATCTCCATTATCTGATGTTAATTGAGTTCCATGATAATGACAATCAATTGGTTGTGGTTTAGTATCACATTTTGCATCAACCGGTAATTCCTCACCACTATCTATTGCTAATTGACAACGATCACAATTAGGATTTATTAATTTATTATCTTCACTTATTCGACATTTACAAAAATAATCATCATCAACTTGTGGATTAAAGTGACATGTCTTGACAACACTAAAAGTAGAATCAAATAAAAGAATCCATAATAAAAAGGTGTTTTATAGTTGAATTCATGAGTTAATTAAAGCTAGAAAATCATAGAAAACCTGGAAGTACTGGATGGTCGTTTCGTCCCAGTATGAGACTCCTCAGTAGTGCGCATCCACGATCCTGCCTCGCAAGATTCGAATCCAGGACCTTTCAGTCTCGTGCGCGAGCGCTTAACCAGTTGACTATATTTTTAATCAGTATTATACTGAGTTTATTCTTCAGTTATTACATTCATTGTCAGACCATAATGGTTGAAACACTGATGATTTAAATAAAGATAAACTGGTCTAAATTTTCATTAGGCTAACCTAAAGATAGTTTATATCACTAATTAGATAAACAATGAGGAAAAGAAAAATGGATAGATGTTTTCTTTTCTGGTTTTGGAATTCTTTTGTCCTCAGGTAAAGGGATAGTGGGTTAGTGGAACTGTGTTAATCCTTACAGATTGTTTTCCAGTGAATGTCTAGCTTCTCCTTCAAAATGTTCACTGATGGAGCTGATATCACTTGTTCGGGTAAGGCATTCCAGTCATTGACCATTCAATGAGAAAAACTGAACCCCACTCTAAATGATTAAATAGATAGCGGTTTTTCAACATTCTTGCCATGGCCTCGAAGATTATTAGCGCTATGGGGAGCAAAAAGACACGACGTATTAACACCGAACTCGTTAATTAAAGATACGGAGTTCCAATATGAGGTCACCTCACGTCTTATGGTACAACAAGCGGCAAAGGTTTAGTTGCTTTATGCGCTCGTCTTAAGGACGTTTTAGAAGACCCTTTACTAATTTTGTTCCTACACACCGAGTACGCTCAAGCGAGTTATGGATATGGGCCAGCTACCTGGATACAGTACTCTAAGTATGGCCTTACGTTGGTGTCTATAAAACTCGGGCCATTTCCTCGCAAAAGCATTTGAATGTCCGGCGAAGTGACAATAGCGCACGAAACCCTTTAGCAGCTTTAGCGTTGAATCGCGAAGTTGTTTTAAAGTCGAAACTTACTATCGCCCCTAGTCTTTATTTTCCCACATGCATGGAAGAGATTTACCGCCGATAGTATACTGGTAATTGTTACTGTATCCGATGTGCATAGGTACAATCTTTCTAGAATTAGTTTCTAAACCCTAACATTGAGACCATCTAATTAACTCGTCTAGGTCAGCTTGAAAATCCGAATAATAATCACTAGCGACTAGCTTCTAGAAGTGATTATGGGAGTTCTAGAGAGAAGTCGTGATCAATGGAGTTCATCTGTATCGGGTGTGAGACAGTTACTCTCTGAAGACAACGGAGGATGTTTGCGAAATATTGTGGATTGGTTTAGGTCAAACACTAACACCTCTGGATTCTGGCTTAGTGTTCTACAGGTTAAGTGTTTGTGCGCAAGACCGAACATCCTGGGTCCAAGTCCCACTTGTGGGGTCGTGGTTGCGCACCTTTAAGAAGTCCCATACCAGGACGAAACGGCTATTCAGTGCTTCCAAATTTCCAGTGATGGTCTAACATAGATCGGTTCACGATCTCAATTAACTTGTACTAGAAGTATGATAATTGTTCAACTATAACTTTAGAAAATGATTGTATGGTATTATGAATTGAATTAATTTTGATTTGTAAACCATTTTGTTTTAATTTGAGATTGATATGACGGGATGGTAAGGTAAAATTACATTGTTTTAAGTACAATTAATAAGCCACGTGGATATAACAGAAATGGATTAAATTATCGTGTTACTACTACTTTCGATGAAATTTGATTAATCTTGGTTGGCATATGTGTCATGGATTTCCCTACTAGTGGCATTTGATCACTTCTATGATAAACTACTTTAAGTTCCCTCAATAGTCTAAAGCTTTTGCGTTTGCTGAGATAAATGAAAGCCTTGGATTTACTCCACATTGAGATCGTTGATTCATGGTGTTAGGGATTCTGACACAACGTTAAATCATTTGCGGTAGTCCACAGAGACTCCCAGATCTAGTTTTCATACCATTTGCTACTAATCAACATGGTGTACTTGCCATCTTAAAGGAACTAGTACATTCTGGTATATTCAATCTCGTGTAATCCAACTTTACAGCTCGAGACGTTACTACTGAACTATTCGGGTCACGAATCATCTCCTATAGAACTGAGTTCCATACTTAGACAAGACAATTGTAAAGTACTTACTGCTTTCAATGGTTATCTAGCTAAAGTCAGTCTGTGATGTAAGCTATAAAATGAAAGTTTTTTCATATATATTAATTGAAACTTCAATAAAGTGTGGGAAATCGAAGGATTATGATCCTTGAATTTATGTTAGTTGACAAAGCATGGCATTCCATGACATCCCTAAGTAAATCCCTAAGTAAGAATTTTACTTTAAAATGCACAATAAATACTGGAAATGGATATATATTTACAATTGATTGATCACTGGGCGTTGTTCAATGTCATGTAAATCATGTCCTTCTTAGTGTAGATCAAATCCTATCGACCAAGTTGCAATGTGGCCACTAGTCTATGTAACACAACCTTGCGTGTACTATATTGAAAAAAGTTACTAGTTGAAGGTAGTCAACAACATAGCTCAGTGTTAATATCACTGACTGTGAAGCTGGATGACACAGGATCAAATTCATCAAGGAGCATCAAGTCCCTCACAATTACAGTAGCATGAAACCTAGGTCCTATATTTCCATCTTATGAATATATAACATAAGGAGAAATACTGATTACATAATCCTTTTTCTAATTATTTGAAAATTGTAAACATGTGGTATCTAAATTATTCAACATCTGTTAGTAAAATCCCTATTAAAATTACCCACTTATAACTACTTAGGGATAGAATTATTAGTTTCTAAGTTAATTTAATTTTGAATTTATATCCATGTACATAAACATCTTCAATAACTGTATATACATACGATGAAATTAGTAGGAGACGGGGGGGAGTCAGTTAATTTACAGACAAATTAAAACAAAGTAACTTATTACCTAAGTCCCCCCTTACATAAACATTGTTTGTTGCTAGCCTACATATTAAAAAAAAGAGATACACTTTTAAAATAGTTTCTCATCATTTGCTTTTTATGAAAATTGATTTTAATTATTAAATAAATATGGGAAAGAAATCATGGAATTGTTTTACTCCATTGGATTTAACTTGTATTTCCCATATGGAAATAATAAGACAAAATTCCATTCAGTTGGTGTTGTGTTTTTTTTACCTGTTTCTTCCTATTGTTATTTAGAACTGTAATTTATCATCTATTGTTGGCATATGTATATTCTGTGCGGACTACTTTGATATTGTTCGAAGTCACAAGCTTTATAGGCAAAGATAGATAATGACTAGTAGTGGAATACAGTTTGATGCGCATTCCGTCCCAATTTTTTTCAGACTCGTCGTCAGATGGATATACCTGTATCCCAGAGTTGATGTTCACTTCGGGGACTCGATTCCAGCACTGGTTGCTTCAAACGCTATTGCGTTATCCACTTAGCTACTGAGTCCTGATAGCCACCTGCTTGTGAAATGGAGTGAAGTTATATTCAATTGATGTTGTTGAACATTGACAAAATCTATGTTTATTTGTGTGTGCATAGTGTATGTATGTAGTGTATGTGTATGTATGTGTATCTGTGTGTCTGAATGAATTATTAACATGTGGATTTTTATGGGGAAAACAAATTATATACAGTCATAAAACTGTCATTGATTAAATATGTAAATGAGTTGAGGTTTCACATTAAACTAGTTTATAGAATGTCTTTTATTGAAGTAATTTAGTTTATGGAGACATACTTGCCGTCGTCAATTGATTAGTCTTCACCTAAGGGGGGAATTTCCTGCTTAATATCAAGTCTACTATTGTAATGAACGAGAACACACAAGTGGGGACAATCGATTGTATTTGAATATGAAGTTACACAACCATTACACTAACCATTCTTTGTTCTCGTTCTCTTTTCTCTGATCTTCTTAACCTTCTGTCTCAAAGAATTTCACTTTTGATTGATGATACATACTACTTATATTATCTGTCGACATCAGTAGCCCAAACCACACTATCAAAATGTGAACAAGCTCGCAGGGGGCGTGGTCGTGGATGCGCATTGCTGATGAGTCCCACATTAGGACGAAACCGTCGTCCAGTGCTTTCAGGTTTTCCATGGTGGTCATCCACGATCCTGCCTCACGAGATTCGAACACAAGACCTATCAGTCTCACGCGCAAGCGCCTAACTACTGGACCATCGAGCAGGTTATCATCTTACGGTTTTAATGTTTTATACAGTATTCAATTAAAAGTGAATGACATAACATTCAATGAACCTAGATTAGAAATCAAATAACCTATGAGAATAACAAATAACTTACTATGGTAAATTATTTCCACACATATCACATGGTTGACAATCAGTTATTAATAAACTTTTATCTGGTCTATAATAACCATCTTTACATTGTTGACATCTTGGTCCAGCACGTTTTCCTGGACATTCAATACAATTTCCTTCAGTATCACATTTATCACAAGCACAATATGGTCGACATTTTAATGGATTATCAGGATCTTTTTGATAACCCGGTGCACATTTCTATAAATATTAGATAAATGAAAATAGTTGTGATTATTTTAAAGAGTTTTCAAAAGAGACATGATTGAGAAGTTACAATGATGTTTACCAATGTACCAAATCAAATGTTTTAGTTGAGATGAAAACTATCAATATGATCATCCTTTGAACCAAGTAGTTCATATAAGTAATTGCCCGCCTGGAGCCCATCTAGGGTTACTGCCGGTCCCAAGCCCGGATAAAAGAGGAGGGTTGGACATGGGGTTAGCGAGCCCATCCTGTAGAAAATTAACTTGCTAAAAAACGCTTGAGTTGTGAATAACCTCATAATCTGATATATCGGCTTTGTTTATGGTATTAAGAAAACTGAAGAACAAAGACTCATTTATTTTAAAATGTACCTGTTATAACGGTCAGTATTCCATGTCTACGCGAATGAGACGTTAATTTACCATAGACGAATATCTACACTAGATCACTAGGTCAGCAAGAACCAATCAACATAGAGGTCTACAGCACAAGCTATGAACCATATATAGAGAAATTCGAACGCTTCACTTCTGTTTGAAGTTTTCTTTTGATGATGTCGTTCAGAAGAACAATGAAAGCTCTACAACCAAACCATCTAGCTCAGAGAACAAAACTTCATCAACACTAGATTCCCTCTCAATGTCTATTCTATAGGACTTCAGCACAAATTCCATCAAGAACACTTGATTAGCCTGAGTAGAATGTAAATAGACTTCTACACCGAAAACCGACAACAATCATGGCACAATCCAACAACAATCAACAATAATAACATAAGGGTATGAGAATATGTAACTCATCTAACGCCTGTCAGACTAAGCAAACAATTAATCATTATCATCCTCAGAAGGGGTTTGTGGAGATTCTAGAAATTTCACAGATTGAAATCATGAGTCAGTTGAAACTAGACCACCATGGAAAACCTGGAAGCACTGGACGGCCGTTTTGTCCTTGTATAGGACTCCTCAGCAGTGCGCATCCACGATCCCGCACACCGCGGAATTCATCCTCTCCCACATATCAGAACTTAAATTATCAAGAACATATACCTAATTTAAAGCAAAACAATAACGTACAGCATCTGTTACGTAATCCTACTTTATTGGAGATGAAAACACAGACCATTAAATTACGTTTAAGTAGTTTTAGAGGTCAAAGTTTCAATTCAAGATATAAAAGTCTAAGCTTCGATCTCTAATGAGCTTGTGAATGTGTAGTGTTGGGGAGTTGGGTACTAGGACAATACAATGCTTTGAAATATTAAGTGATTTCTGTGATGATATGATGGTGAGATCCAAGAAAATTCCTTGAAAACGAATCTGAAAACGCTGAGTCGTTTTTTGTCAGAAGCATTTAGATTGTGAAAAGTCACATATCGCATTTCTCATTGGATAATTACTTATACTGTTACTATGTTTAGTAGCATTCCAGAATTTTCTAGAAGCGTTTTTCTTTCATATGTCACACCTTTTTTCTCTCATGTTCGAGTTACTGTGAAGATTTAACTAGGGGGGTTGCTAGAAAAGCTTAGGAAACTGAATCTATCGTTCAATTAGAATATATATATATATATATATATATATATATATATACCTGTGAATCATCATCGATCAACAAGGAGGATTAGGTGCAGATGTAAAGGCGAGAATTAGAAAAGCAAGGGCCGCAATCCTTCAACTGAAGAACATATAGAACGCAAAACAACTTTCAACCAATATCAAAGTCAGAATCTTCAATACCAACGTCAACACAGTTCTACTATATTAACATGAAACTTGGAGAACTAATACAACCATCATCAAGAGGGTAAGCGTATTTATAAATATTTGTCTACAAAAGATACTGAAAATCCATTGACCGGATACCATCAGCAACAGTCTTCTCTGCGAGAGAACAAACCTGATTCCAGCTGAAGAGGAAATTAGAAAAAGACGATGGAAATAGATGGGACATGGATTACGCAAATTATCAAACTGCATCACGAGACAATCCGTAACTTGGAATCTTGAAGGGAAGCGAAAAAGAGGAAGACCAAAGAACACATTACACCGGGAAATAGAATCAGATATGAAAAGGATGAATAACAACTGGAATAAGCTGGAAAGGATTGCTTGAGACGGGGTTGGATGTAGAATGCTGGTAGTTGGCCTATGTTCCTTCACGAGGAGTAACAGGCGTAAGTAAGTAAGTGATATATATATGTATATACATATATATAGAATTTAGATAACATACCTCACATGAAAGACCTTCATAACCATGTGGACATATACATTCTTCAATTTCTCCTACCCATTGTCCTGATACATCTGATTTAATAGCATGTTCAACTTTTATATTAAATAATTCTAATGTAGTTTGATCTTGAAAATATTTAACACGTAAACTAATTTTTTTCACATTACTTAATACTTGCATAAAACCAGATCGACCAATGTTTGTTCAATTGTATGTTTACATTTATTATCAATATACCATTTATCACGTTCAGTTAATCGTATATGAATTTGATTATCATAACCAGTTGGTATAATATGAACTAATAAACGATCATTTGGTGGACACCAATAAATTGATCGATCTGTTGACTATATAAAGAGAAGAAAGAAAAAAGAAAAATATTTGCATCAGAAAAGGGTTTTGTGAATATGATAGTAATTTCATTAGTTGAGATGATGAATCAATTGAAGTTAGACTACCATGGAAAACCTGAAGTCATTGAATGGCCGTCTCGTTCTATTTTGGGTTTCATTAGCAGTGAGCATTCATGACCCTGCCTCGCAGGAATTCAAACCCAGAACCTATCAGTTTTCAATGGTGGTCTAGCTTCAATTGACTCATGATCTCAAATATTTAAATTACGAAAATCTCCACAAACCCCTTCTCATACTAATCAACATATGCACCCTGGTGACTGGCTTCAAAATGTATATCCTGGAGTTCTAGTGAGAAGCAGTGACTAGTGGAGTTCAACCGGGTCAGTTGTGAGATAGCACCCACCGATGACAGTGGTGAATGTGTCTCTCAATATCGTGGATTAGATGAAGTTAGACATTAACACCGTTGGATGACAGCCGGTTCAGTGGTCTAGAGGTTAAGCGCTCGCACGCGAATCCAGTAGGTCCTGGGTTCGGATCTCGCTGAGGGCGAGGTCGTGGGTTCTCACTGCTAGGGATTCCTACAATAGGATGAGTTAGTCGTCCAGTGCTTCTAGGTTTTCCATGGTCGTCTAGCTTCAACTGTTTCATGATCTTAACTATTGAGAAAATATTACAAGTTAGTTTTCTTTTCTTTTATCGAAACCCTTTCATTCATTAAAAGTTCATACATTTAGATGATAAATTTCTTCAAAACTTTTGTCAATGTCATATACAATACATTTAAATGTTTTTCAACAGTTGTCAGTTGTTCTGGTTTGTTTATACAATTTATATAATTTTCTATCTGGTAACAGAATTCTAAATACATTCACTTGTGTATAGTTTGAATAAACTACCATAGAAACATTCCATAGAAACAGATATGTGTGTAGGTTTAACAATTTCTGGTTCTTAATTATTATTATTTTTTTTTGTCTTTACTTAAAATGAACGAACCAATCAGATTTAAGATAATAGATCTTGAATTTTTGGCGCGAAATTCCTTCAATTTCGCATGATAGATCATGTTAGTTCATGATGAAAAGCTTAAATCTATTACCTAATCTTAACTATTAACTATCAACTATACTATTAATCCCTTTTCATAAGTTTATCATCCCTCTTTAGTCTTTAGTTCATAGATGATATCGCTTAAATGTCATCTATTCATTATAGTCTTATTACAAAAACGAACAAAACTATTTGTAATAAACAGAATTCCAGATAGTTGTTTCATTCATAAAAAACAACAGAGAATATAGATTCGTTATTAAAGAAACTTACATTCAAGATAATAAATGGTCCAGGTAGATAATTTAAACTTTCACCAAATAAACGAAGATTTAATATTATATCATATCCATAAGATTTCACCTAGAATTGTAAATAGAGTGGTGTATTAGATAATGAAAACTGTAATAGGAAACGGTTTTACTATTGTTTTTGCCCCCAAATACACTGGTATGACCGAGAGTGGGATGGGCCTGACCTCCCTCTTGAAATGCTCTCACATGGCCACGCGCATACAGCCTCTGACAAGGAAGTCCTACTCACTGCCTTCCCGTGGCGGGGGTGTTGTTTACGAAAATGAGAGGACGATAAGTGAATGTCCGGCTCTTTAACCAGATCCCAAACCAAATCAACGGTGCATATGGGCTCCAGTATCCTGAAGGAATAAATGGTGTATGAATCTAATGTTGGTCACAGGCTACCATGAGACTGAATCTCCTGACGTGGCTTCATTGTCTTGTGGATCATATCTTTAGGTAAAAGGCTCCGGGTGTGGCCCCGTAAGAGAACAACCTGTTTCAATTTGAGCACCGAGCAGTATTCCGACCTCACAACAAATCAAATGATTTATGTGGCACCTATCTATCTGGTGCCTCCTTGTACCAATGTTTATGTGTTTAAATAAATAAATAAAAACTATACTCATTATATTATCCACTTTATTATCAAAAGAAGTAAATAAAGTACACTTGATATTGTTTGCTTGTATCTATCAAGATCCAGTAGCTAAGTGAATAATGTGATGACGTTTGAAAAGAATGGTACTTGGTTCGAGTCCCATAGTGAACATCAACTCTGGAATACAGGTACATCCAGCTGACAAGTCTTGAATAAGACGATACACACATCCTGATTCCACTGCTAGCCACCATCCATTTTTGCTTATGAAATATATAAAAGTTTATCAATTTAAATAAAAGCTGTCTGAACTTTTAGATGGGAAAATAGTTTGGAAAATATCTTGTAAGATAATCATTATAATTTTTATTCCTTATTTGCTGTAATTTAGATAACTGATCCACTATGTGGAAGTATATGTGAGTCTGATTAAATGTATACCTGTACCTTAATCTTTCTGCCCTCTTATTTGTTGTCAACGTATCGATTAATACTTATATAAAAGAACATAATCGCTGAATTCTCAGTGTTAGCTTATCGCTCGTTTGCGAATTTTGTTAATTATTAATAATACGGGTCAAATCAGTCAGGGAACATCAGTTCCCGTCAAGATTACACGTACATCTTGCTGATGAGTGTTGAATAGCATGAAACCTTGTTCCATGGTTTTCGGTCAACTATCTGAAACCACCATCTCATCTCAAAACGGTACATGCGATGTTCAGTCATCTAAACTAGTGGTCACATTGCAACTTGGCCGATAGAGTTCGATTTACACTAAGCAGGACCTAATACACATTAACATTGACCACTATCTAGTGACCAATTAATTGTAAATTATTGATAATTCACTTTATTCCAACATTTCATGTTCTGGTTTCTAGATATTCTTGAGTAAATACATAAGGATACTAGGAGAATTGGTCTAAAAATATATAAGGTTATCGGGACATTATATTGTGGAGTCATCTAGAGGAATTAACGTCTACAGTTTGACAAGAGGCCTGTCATGATACTTTTAATTTCATTGCTCCATGAACTACTTTTATTTACTTCTCTCCAGTTGTAGTTGATTGATAGTTTGCCTTGAATTTGCACTAAAATCACTCTTTACTATGGTACTCATTATACTCAGAGGATGATGTCACTGAACAATTAGTGATGTAAATAACTCTATAGTCTAAATAATCTTGGTGAAATTTCCAAGAATACATATCTTATTTCTAATCATTATTATGAATGTTCTATTATTTAATTCAATAAACTGAAAATAGAATAAACAAAGATGAATGGTAACTAGCAGTGGAATCTAGAACATGCACTTCTTCGTCCTATTTGGGACTCATCAGCTAGTTGTATAAAATGTACAGTTAGAATACAACCTATTGAGTAGAACTATCATTCTGGTAAATGAAAGACAGGTAAATACAATTCATACCTTAAAGATGCCATATTAAGAAAGAAAACAATAACATGGTATTCAAGTTTATAAAGTTCTTTCTGTATAGTCCAAAAATTTATATAAACAACAGATGACATATGTTAATAGTGGTCTCTTCCAAAGAATCAATTTCCTCACATTTCATATACACTTATAAGTTAATATTCGACTTTAACACAAAGTAATCAATGCCGTTCATAGTACTTTAAATGGATATACTGAAGACAATCATTTCAGTCAGTCAGTCAGTCAGTCAGTCAGTCAGTCAGTCAGTCAGTCAGTCAGTCAGTCAGTCAGTCAGTCAGTCAGTCAGTCAGTCAGTCAGTCAGTCAGTCAGTAACAACATAGAACTTCGTACGTACGTACATCAGTTCAACTTGCCATACCACATTAGCACAGAGATACAAACGTCGACTCAAATTCTATAGTGGTAGAGGTAGTAAAAGTATAAGCAGTAATCGGAAACATTAGGGTTTGAAGATGTTGTCTAAGGAGTGTAAACCAGTGAAATAAATTTGAAAAGAAAATAAGGGACATGAAGAATTCAGAAGATTAGAATTTAGGAGAACACAAGGATTGGATGAACCTGCGCCATTGCAAACAATTTTGAGCCATGTCATTCAGGATCTCTAACCATCGGTTGCTATTATCTCGCAATCCCAACCAGGTAGTCTACACCTAACAACGTGGCACAGCTTATTTGTCAGTGACTTCATGAATTTGTGCCATGTTTTGGTCTAACCGCCCCTAGCCTCCTTCCAACCTACTCCTACACCATAAAGCATCGCACGTCGAGGCAGTCGGTGGTTGGGCATACATAACACGTGCCCCAGCCATCTCAACTGATGAAGTTTCACTACTTCATCAATTGATTTGCCATCCTTATCAAGTTCCCGTTCCCTAACAACTGCGTTACTTACTCGATGGTACCATGATATACGAGCAATATTTCGAAAACACCTATAATCAAATACTAGTAATCTACGAATATACAAACATCTCAAGATTCAATCATTTAATAACCATTATGTAATCTGAAATAATGATTGGTGACAATAATAATAATACAAATGTGTAGAACTAACCCATGAACCTGAAAGATTAAAATCACTTTCAACAAATGTTGCTTCATTAGGAACATCAGGTATACGAAGTATATCACCGTCAATTTCAGTTACACCTTGACCTTCTTCAACACTTCCATCATGATTATATGTACTTAATATGATTGGAGTTGTTTTATAGTCGAACATTAAATCATGCTATCAACAGAAAAATAAAAATAAAAATATAAATGGAATATAAATTCACTTGATGTTGTTTGCTTGTATCTTCCCAATTCTTGTTAAGGATCGCAATTAATCAATCTCTTGTTGGTACATATGCATTCTGTGCGGATTGCCTCGAAATTACTTAAAATCACAAGCTTTATAAGTAAAGGTGGATAGTAGACAGCAATGGAATCCATGACGCGTGTTTCGTCCTATTTGAGACTCTTCAGTTGGATGTACCTATCAATCCATTGTCTCAATGTTGACTGTTCCTTTTGCAAATATCAGTCCATCATATCAGATTTCATTGTTCATGCATTTTCATACCAATTGTTTTCCGTTCCCATCCCTTCTCGGTCTTCTACTGAAATACAGTCTATTCATGACTATCATTATATACTACTTATTTGTATATAAGTAGCTCACACTACACTATCATATACTGATATACACACATTCATCGACTATCCAATTATTCCTTTTCGATGAATAGAGAAATTGATGTAAAACTATAAAAAATATGATAAACTTATATAACCGTGTTTAATGATCACAAGTATGACTGGTTTTTGAAAAAGAAACAGTTTCGTTGCCATGACAACAAGTTTATTTTTTATTTTTATTTCATATATTGATAGAAACATTCATCAGGTATTAAAGTGGTAACCAACTATGCATGATCATTCATAACGGAAACGAAATAATTAAATCTCTTAAAATTTTGTCACTAATCAAAATTCATTTAATGGTTGAATTGATAAGATCACTATGGAAAACCAAAAAGTACTGGATGGCACTGTACATTCACAATCTCATATAAGAGACTCGAACTCAACACCTTCAGGTTCATATATCAACGCTTAACCTCTAAACTACTACTACTGCTACTACTACTACTACTACTACTACTACTACTACTACCTTTCAACAGTTTCAATATCTAACTTCAATCTAGCTTAAATTGATTCATGAATTCAACTAGGAAAATACCATAATCTACACAAATTCCAATTCTAATAAAAGAAAAACTGTTACCAACTGAATATTCCATCTATAAATTCCTTTAATAGACCAGTGTAATTTAGATATATTTTTCTCTTTTTTTCTTTCGAATTGAAACCATATGTTTATATTATTTCTGTCTGAATTATTTTAACCATACCTACCTACGGACTTACCTACCCACATAGATACATAGATACATACATACATACATACCTATCCACCTACCTATCCACCTACCTACCTACCAACCTACCTATCTACCTACCTACATATCTACCTGTCTACTTGCCTACATGCTTACCTACATACCTACATACCTACCTACTTATCTACCTACCCACATACCTACAACCTACATACCTACCTACCTACCTACCAACCTACATACATACATACATACATAAGAATTTACGCATATTTATCAAATATACTGTAAGAAATCTCAGAGTACATTTAAAATTGAATAATGTAAACTGTATTTATTCGTTTGAAACATAATAATAATAATAACCCTAATTGCTTTTATCTATTTTCTTTTAGTATAATTTTTCTATGATATTACAACACATGGATGTATAGTGATTAGATAATCAAACAAATAAGATAAACAAATATAGTTTATTATCAGAAGGAGTTTTTGTTGTGGAGAGTTTTAGAAATTTCACTGATTGAAATCATGAGTCAATTGAAGTGACACCACCATGGAAAACCTTGAAACAATGGACGGTCATTTCAGAGTTTAACCAGATCTGTTGTGAGATAGTAACTCAGTGAAGACAATGATGGATTGATTGAAGTTAGACATTAATACCGTTGAATGCTGGTCGGTTCGGTGGTCTAGAGGTCAAGTATTCATGAACGAAACTGATAGGTTCTGGGTTCGAATCTCGCGACCTGGGATCGTCGATGCGCACTGATGAAGAAACGGCCATCCAATGCTTCCAGGTTTTTGATGGTGATCTAACATTAATCGATTCATGATCTCAATCAATATCATATATTTCCTATTAATACTTTGTATTTATTCAAACTCTCATTGAACTGAATTGATCAAAATATAAATAGAGTTGAATGTGAAAGTGTAGATGCTTCAGAAAATATCTAGGACTTTTGAACATAGACCAAATGTAATTTTGATAGAGTTTTGTTCTCTGAACTGAAAATTCTATCTAAAGTTTGTGCTGATGATATCGTTCTGAAGAAAGATGAACAATCTACGACCAAACTATCTAGCTCAGAGAATAAAACTCTATCAAAATCATCCAACTGAGCTACAAATCTTCATCATTATTAGTTGTACTATTAAATCGAAATAGAAATAAAATAACAGATTGACTTCAGTAAAGATAAAATTCTTTAATCCAAAGGTTTACATATATCAATGAACTTCTAACAAACCAAATTTAGGGCATTTAACTGAAATATGAATTTTTTTTAAATTAATAAATGTAGGGCCCTAGCCAAATCACTCGACAGTTTGGTTACTGAGTATCGAACAATTCATCGATCCCTGTCAAGATCAAGGACAACCAACGCCCATCAGTTGATTATATGTCATGGACTGACACATGCGGTGGTGATCTCGCTATCTTCACTGTACTCATTCTTACTAATATATTTCCCTAACATTGTCCTTTGTGTTATACAGTCTTCAAAGCAACCATATTACATAGATACGTCGAAGGAGTAATCCACGTTAGATGTTGACATCATAGTGTGATCTCTAAGTTAACTGGTTTGTCACACCATTCCCGTCTAACTCGAGTAGGCGTGCAATCATTCGATATAGATCATCTACCATAGTGATCTACAGTTTGTTAACTCCTATATCCATTGATATCATTCAGTAGTAATGACATCAGAAAAATTGTACTTTTAATGTTTAGTTAGTTATTATGTTGAAGTTGAAACAAGTAAACAGGTAATGATAAGTACTTTTCTGTCAACATATAGTTTGACAAGTTCAATCGATTCTCAACCACTTTTTGTTTTGTCATAATGACTAATACGACCATGACTAAGGCTTAAAAAGGTCAAGTTTCTTTTTTAAATGAGTTTCATTTTATGCATACATATATACATTTTCATATGGTACAACTTCACATCAAGTGAATTACATGTTAACTATGAATAACAATCAGTAATTAATCATGACCAACTCTGCCTGGAGTCGCTCTGGGAACTACTGCCGGTCCAAGCCCAGATAAAGGAGGAGGGTTAGGCATGGGGTTAGCGACCCCATCCCGTCGAAAACTAACTCGTTAAAAAAACGCTAACCAGAAATAATTATTGAAACCTTTTAAACTCTGCCCTGGGAGTCAGAAGGTCTTCATCTAGAAGAACTACGACGCCTCATGGTGAAAGCCGAGTTCCTTCGGAAGTCACAAGGCCGATGCCCCTTCTGACAACGAGCGCAACCAATTATTTAGGTACACGGGATGCTCGTACAAGATGGGAGACCAGGAGAGTTTTCGGAATTGCTGCAGAAATGAGGAGATACGACCTAGAGGTGCCTGGGATCAGTGAAACACATTGGACGAAAGTTGGACAACAACGACTGGCTTCAGGGGAGCTTCTGCTATACTCCGGCCATGGAGAAGAAAATGCCCCACATACACAAGGGGTTGAATTGATGCTGCTGTCCAATTAGTCATAATTAGATAATTGTTTATTACGGAACTCAACATCCTCAAATATAACATGGAGAATATCAACCCAATCATACTTGATGAAGAAACTCTGGAAGAGGTGGAAACTTCCATGTACCTGGACAGCATCATCAATGAACAAGGAGGATCTAATGTAGACGAAAAGGCAAGGATTGGCAAAGCAAGGACAATATTCCTACAGTTGAAGGACATATGGAAGATAAAATAGTTGTCTACCAGTCAACATTAAAGTCAGAATCTTCAATACGAATTATATTGTATGGAGCTGAATATTACTGAGCTACTACAACCATCATCAAAAATGTACAAGTATTTATAAACAGTTGTCTATACAAGATACGCAATGTCCGTTGACCGGATACCATCAGCAACAGTCTACTGTAGAAGAGAACAAACCAGCTTGGATCTGAAAACGAATTTAGGAAAAGATGATGGAAGTGGATAGGCCACACAATGAAGAAATCATCAAACTACATCACGAAGCAAGCCCTAACTTGAAATCCTGAAGGGAAACAGAAAAGTGGAGGGTCGAAAAACACACTACGTTGAGAATTTGAAGCATACATGAAAATGATGATTAGCAACTAAAAAGGATGGAGAGTACTGGTGGATGGCATATACTCCACGATGAGGAGTAACAGACGTAAGTAAGTAAGCAAGTTATTACAGAATTGTTTTTGCCTATCTTTGATAATTTCTATTATTTACCTTATTAATAGCTAAAAGTAATATTCAATTCGTTAATTGGGTATAATTTAATCCGTGTTTGTGCTTATATTCCCACATGAACCTAGAAGTTATCAAGTAAACTACTGAGTATCCACGTTGATATTGTTCTTCATTTCATTAGTTACTGTGAGTTAATAAACTAAAATGTATGGTCTAGTCACATTTTCAAACCGTTATTAGATTTGTCCAACTATTTTACAAAAAAATGCACGTAATTTCAATCAAACTAATTCTCAGCACAGCTTAACAGCATGTACATTCTTAAGTCCATTGATGATATTTCAAATATCCGTCACTCCGAGATCATGAGCCGATTGATTTTAGACCATCATTGAAAACCTGGAAGCACTGGACGGCCATTTCGTCTTACTGTGGGACTTCTCAGAAGTGCGCATCCATGATCCCGTATACGGGACTCGCATGTGTACGCTTAACCTCTAGCTTATATCGACTGATGAATTCAACTATTAAAATTATTATTATTATCATTATTATTATTATTATTATTATTATTATTGGTAGTAGTAGTAGTAGTAGTAGTAGTAGTAGTAGTAGGAGGAGGAGGAGGAGGAGGAGGAGGAGGAGGTGGAGGTGGAGGTGGAGGAGAAGGAGGATGAGAAGGAGTATTTCCATATAAACAACTTTAAAATGTTAATTTTACTGAAAAACAAATCTTACAGGTGATTTTCGATAACCTTTTACACTTGTACATTTATCTGTTACATTTGAACAATAACATGTTAAACACATATCATCAAACCATGCAGCATCATTAAATTGTGGAGCTTTACAAATACCACCTTCTGTAAATGTAAAGAAAAAAACAATATACAGAAGTATATATTAGAATTGCTTTAAATTGAAGTAATTATGCATTATTTATTGATTTGAACACATAAATATTGGTACAAAAGGGCATCGAATACCCTATGCGCCATACAAGTCACTTGATTTGTATGTGGGCTGTGATACTGTTCGGGTGCCCAGACCGAAACGGTTGGTTTTCTTAAGGGGCCATATCCGGAGCCTTTGACCTAATGGTTTGATCTACATGACAGTGGAGCAACGTTAGGAGGTGCAGTCCTATGGTAACCGGTGACCAACAATTTGTTCATACACCATTTTCTTTCCTTCAAGACCCTGAAGCTCTTGTGTACCATTGATTTGAAATTAGGGTTTTCCAACTCCCTTTAAGTTATCATTTTTAAAAAGATTAAATTTGTCATTTTATAGCTTTCTGTATTGTGTAAATGTTTTTTTAAAAGTACAATAATGAGAATCAGACTGTCGGTGTGATGCTAGTCGGATAAGGACACAATCTTGTTAATGTACAGATTTACTAAAAGACTTTTAGTGTCCAATTAACGTTGTTACTGTATCGCACATGTCTGATTAACTAACTTTTATCCAGTCTGTTTCTGCTATATTTTTATAGTAAGTGAACAGTATTTAAGATGGTGGTTGGAGGTAGTCGACACTAAACCGCGGACCTAGGTTTTGTGCTATTTGGAACTCATTAGCAAGGTGTACCTGAAATCTTGAGTGAGCTGATGCTCCTGAACGGATTCAATCTCACACACATGATATTGGTCACCACCCAGTGATCGATCGATTGTAAATATATTTCAGTTTTACAGGAGGTAATTTGCGGTCCGGATAGCTTAGTGGTAACGTCTCTGACTGTGAAGCTGGGTGGCACATGTGTGCCAAATAGCATGAAACTTAGGTTCAGTGTTTACTATGGACTACCTGCAACCACCATCTTATCACAACATAGTGCAAGCGATTTCGAATCACCTAGACTAGTGGCCACATTGCAACTTGGTCGATATAATTCGATCTATACCAAGAAGGACCTGACATACATGACATTGATCACTACTACTAACAGGATAAAATGTTTCTAAGAGATATTTAGTTTCATAATGGTTTGATCAATATGAAGCGTAAACTATCTACACATGAAAATACCATCAACTACATACATGAAAATAGACCTGTCACAATAGTTTTACAGTTATTGTCCCGTAAACTCTGTTTTCACTTCCTGTAGTCTAATTGTAGATGATTATAATTACTCTGTAACTGCACTGAAATCTCTTATGCATAAACTATTCTTCATCTTCTTTATTTTTTCTCTTTCCAAATTTATTTCATTGGATTATACTGCTTGAATAACATCTTCCAATCCTAATATTTCTTATTATTGTTTATATGATTACTACCTGTACCACTATGAGGTTTGAACTGACAATTGTGTCTCTGTGATAATGTGACGAGTTCCACTCAATTGATTGTTCGAAGATGATCCGTAGTGTCGCAATTTGGTCCCTACACGACCGATCCCTGCGGAATCCAGCTTGTTGATCTCGAAGTTGGGCGTCTACTGCGTCTTTCATCCGGTCCAACAAGTTGAACTGATGTACCTACGTATGAAGTTCTATGTTGTTGCTGACTGACTGATAAGCCTTCTACAATCATTTTTGGAATATAATTTATTTTACTATTTGAACGAGTTTTGTGGATATGATAGTAATTTCAATAGTTGAGATCATGAATCAATTGAAGTTAGACCACCATGGAAAACCTGGAAGCACTGGATGGCAGTTTCGTTCTATTTTGAGACTGCTCAGCAATGCGAATCCACGATCCTGCCTCGCGGGATTCGAACCCAGGATCTATCTAGTACTGTTGTCCAGTGCTTCCAGATTTTTCATGGTAAACCTCAAACAATAGATACTATTTGTTTGAGAATACAATATCAAACAGTCTGTTAATGGATTCTTAATCATGATTAAGAGGCAAATTGAAAAATATATATATATATCAAAACTTACTAGCTACATTAACTAAAAAATCTGGTGCTAATGCACGACCACGATTCACAGCTTCACATGTATATAAACCACTTGCACGTGATTCCAAATCGTATAAAGTTAAATGACTTATTGCCATATTACAATTTATGACTGTATAATTAATAGAATGTTTTACACCTTCTCTTAAATGTCCCCAATTATATCTCCAACTTATAGTAGGAGGTGGTCGACCATATGCTACACATGTTAAAGTTAAATTTCCTGATTGATGACCTATTAAATGTGTTTCTCCAGATGGTTCAATGATACTTGGATAACCTGGGGAGTTAAAAAAAAGATAAAGAATTTTATTTGTTTACTTTGAATATTTTCAAAAAACTGAGGTAATTATTTCGTCCCATTCGGGACTCATCAGCTGGATGTAACCTGCATCCCAGAATTAATGTTCACTTCGGCACTCGAACCCAGTACCGTTCGCTTCAGATGCTATCACGTTATCCATTTAGCTACTAAATCCCGATAGTCACTAGCTTGTACAATCGGATGAAGTTTTAAATCATTTTTTATTGGTTGCTTGAATCTTCCCATTGATGTTTAAGACTGCAATTTTTCACTCTCTTATTGGGATATATGCATCCTATGAGGATTGCCACGATATTGGCTGTTTATAACTTAAGGTAATATCAAGGCAATCTTCACAAGATGCATATATCATAATAAGAGAGTGATCAATTGGTGTTCTGGACTTAACTGGCTGTGCTAGGCGAAAAGCAGGACCAATCAGGACTCTAGGCTGCTCGCACTTGTTTTACGCGTACTTCGTCCGATCGATAAATCATTGTTCTCTAATTGACGGTATCATTACGTTATTTATATATTTTGATAGAGGCACAAGGCCACAAGTTATAACAAGAAGGAGATTGATAAATTGATAGACGTCAGTTAACATGTTGGACTGTTGTGACATATTCTGAAATCGTTTGTAATTTCATCTTGAAAAACAATAAAGCATACTTAAGCAGAATGATTGTTGATTAGTTAGGAACAATATAGAAACACTTGATCAATTATCGTTTATATCAGTTTTCAAACAAAGTTACATAATTGAAATATACTAACTCATTAGCTAATATATATTCAACTTACTGCATTCACTTTCATCATCTCCGTTTGGTTCACAATCTGGCACTGAATCACACATAAATGCTCGAGCTATCATTTTGTCACCTTGTGGACAAGTATAATGTGTACCATTGCATTGATCATAAACACTTGGTGCTAACAGTAAATGAAGAAGATATAACTTGAAAAAGTGACACATATATTACTAAACATGTATGTAGATTAAAGATTAATTATGGAATGGTTACTGAAATAAACAGCTGTATCAAGATATCTTTGGAATTTACTATTGTTATATCTATGGATATCCACGAAGTTGCGCCATCGTACACCATTGTCTTCAGTGAGCTGATATCTCACAACAGACCCGGTTGAGATCTGTTGTGAGATATCAGCTCACTGAAGACGACGGTGTACGGTGGTGCAACTTCGTGCATTGGTTGAAGTTAGACATTAACATCCATTGGATGCCGGCTCAGTTGTATAGTTGATTAAGTGCCTGGGGTGAGACTGATAGTTCCTGGGTTCGAATATCGCGGGTTGCGGGATCGTGGATGCGCGCTACTGAGGAGTCCCATAGTAGGACGAAACGGCCGTCTAGTGCTTCCAGATTTTCCATTGTGGTCTAGCTTCACTTGACTCATGATTTCAATCTGTGAAATTTCTAAAATCTCCACAAACCCCTTCTGATATCTATGGATATGTTTAATTGGCTTGTATTTAATACGGTGATATTGAATCAAACATCGTATTGTAAAAGCTAATGACTGGTGATAAGAGTTAACATGATCGTCCAAACAATATTTTGTCAGTTCATAATCAAGTTTGCATGATTTGACCAAGTAGTACTGTGGTACGAGCTACTTATATTCATATAAGTTCACTAATGTACGTTAAACGGTGAATACTGATTTTATGTGCTAACAACTACATGAAAAATAAATCAATATTGGAATTCCTGAGGTTAGTCTTAAAGAATTACGTTTGAAATGTATCATGTATGTCCATTTTGTCTTTAATAACACATATCATAGACAAATTGATGGTATAGCGATAGGTTCACCACTAGATTCTATCTTTGTGGATTTTTTTCTTGCGAAACTAGAAAACAAACCTCTCAAAGAGGTTATCAAGAAGCTTGACATCTACTGTCGTTACGTTGATGACACTTTCATTATTATCGATCAGAACAGTTAGAAAGAAGAACTATTGGAACTATTTAACAACAAACATTCAGCAATTAAAGTTACATGTGAAGAGGAAATAGATAATAAACTATATTTCCTTGACGTTTTGTTAAATAGAAAAGAAAGTGGTTCTATCAGCAGAGGTGTGCATAGGGAACGTTCTTTATCAAACCAATACACAGATTTCTTTAGCTTTCTACCTCTTCGTTGTAAGCGAAACTTAGTCAAATGTCTGACAAGTAGAGCTATTGAGATATGCTCAGTCGATACAATTAATAAGGAATTAGATCTCATTTATAATATGTTGATTGAAATGAGTTATCCACAGGGTTTCCTGAAGAAACACTTGCGTGTAACAAGCAAGAAAGTAGTGACATTGACGACTAGTAAGAAACCTCTTTTCTTGAAGCTGACATTCAATGGAGATGTAGCTGGTGATTTATTACGTGATAGACTGACTAGAGCAGTAAAGAGAATGTTTAATGCTGACAACCTCTGTCTATCGTATTCCATCCGATCTAAGGGTGATTCCCCAACTAAAGGATAAGTTATCTGGTTATACCATTTCTACGTATATTTACGAATTCATCTGCTCCTGTGTAGAAAGCTATGTTGGGCGTTCTACCAGACAACTGAACCAAAGAGTTAGTGAACACCTCCCTTAGTGGTTAAGAAAAGGTACTATCAAGTCAATATGCAGCTCGGTTCTATCACATTTGATCAACACTGGTCATGTAATAGAGAGAACTAAGTCATTTAAAGTTATTTATCGTATTCCTACTAGTTTTCCTTATAGTGTTCTATCTCGTCTCTTTCACATAGCAGAAGCTATAGGAATTCGAGCCGAAAATCCCAGTCTTTGTGTTCACAAGGCATTTGTAACACCCTTATCTCTCCCTTGACCTAAATAAATGATTTTATTTGTTATTATTTTTTTCTCTTCGTTTATTATTTTCTTCACCCCCTCCTACTGCATATGAATGAAATGTTATTGTGTGAATCAGGCACAGAAACCATGTTTTATCCCTTATATTACATTACTTAAGCCAACCGCTGGTGTTACCTTGACGCGGTAGTTAGGCTTGCCTATCGTAACGAATCAGTCGAGCTACACTAGCTAGAACAATTGTTTCACAAAGTTTTACCATGCTAGACAGGTCTGTTGAAGAATAGTAAAACTAAAAGCAGCCAACCTAATGTTCGAGAGAGAAGTTTTACTTTCAAATGTACAGAGGTGTAATGGCAGTAAGGTGTTTCCTTCAGACAACCGGCATGACAGAGATGCTGCATTCCCACAAGGAGGGGTGGGGCTAGAAAAGGTTGACTCTAAAAATGCACACCTAACCTTATCCCAATGATATTTGTCTACGGCGGTAAGGTCCTAACAAGTGTGGAGCTAACACGAAAATTATTCACGGAAAGGTAGTGTGTGTGACCGACCACAAGAAGTTATCTCTTGGGCACTGCAGACACGCTCTCACGTCAATATGACCACCTCTAACCCAATGTCCTTCTTAGGTACTTCTAGAAGAATCCTTCTACGATGTGAGCAGCTCTGAAGTGATAACCGACGTCATACCTCCAACAGCACTGAAGATCACTGACAAATTGACTACGTTACTTAACTGTTGATAAAATTCGAGTAGTAAATGATTGCATGTTTCATTTAACTAAAGAATTAAACAATTGGCTTACTATATTTCTTTGAAAATTTGAAATATAACCTGTCATATCTTAGTTTTCATTGATACTACAAAACATAAAGTTATGATCAGTATATTGGTTGTGGAGATTATTAAGCTTTTGATTGAGGTCATGAACCGATTGATGCTAGACCACCATGAAAAACCTGGAAGCACTGAACGGCCGTTTCGTCCTATTGTGGGACTCCTCAGCAGTGAGAATCCACAACCCCGCTCGCGGGATTCGAATCCAAAGCCTTCAGTCTCGTGCGCGAACGCTTAACCTACTGGACCACTGAGCCGGCATCCAATGATCTAACATCAATCGGTTCATGATTCCAATCAAAAGCTTAACAATCTCCACAACCCCTAAACTGATAATTACCATGTGCTGATGAGTCTCACAATGGGATGAAACAGCCGTCCAGTGCTTCCAGGTTTTCAATGGTGGCCTAACATCATCGGTTCATAATTTCAATCGTAAAGTTAGAAGTTAGGATTTGAGAGTATTCAACTCTCTTTTTAAAACCTAATATATATTCCTCCCTCGTCAAAGAAAGTTCTTTGGTCTAAATTCATCAGAAATGGTAACATTTTCAAGTTGTAGTGAACGAGAACACATAAGTGTGAACAACCAAAATGTATTGGAATACATCATTATGGAATCTCTTAGCGAAATCTGAGAACCATACAGTAAATACTTTACCTAAAAATGTCAATCAATTGTTTCAGACTTCATTTTCCTATCGTTTCCACACCAATCATTCTCTGTTCTTGTTCTCCTTTCTTTGTACTTCTTAACCTTCTGCTGTCAGACATTTCACTTACGATTGATAATACATACTACTTATATCATCTGTCAATATCAGTAGTATACATCACATTATCACATTATTTAGGCATGTAAAGTTTTATAAAATACATTCAGGATATAATTTAACTTACCAAGACAATTAGATTCATCATAATTATTACCACAATCATCTTCACCATCACAATGCCAAAATTGTAAATAACAATTTTTCAATGGTTTCACATCATTCACAATACCACAAACATTTTCATTGACTCCACATTCACCTATGAATTATGTAAGGAACAAACCATCATTATATGTTGGAAATTAAGTGAACACAATTACAATTCCATATGATGAAACGTTTGGATTTGGAGTGATCAAAAGTTTTCGAGTGATTATGAGATCAATAATGGAACCTTATCTGAAGGTATTTTCACATTTGAAATGTACTACTAAGGAGATGGATAATGGCTAGCAGTGGAATTCAAGGTGAACAATTCATTTTATTCGGGACTAGTTAGCTGGATGTACCTGCATCTCTGAGTTGATGTTCACTTCAGGACTTGAATACAGTAGTATTCAATTCATACGCTATGATGTTATTCACTTAGCTATGACCTATCAGAACTCAGGAGCTAAGTGAATAACGTGACGATGTTTGAATAAAACCGTACTAGGTTTGAGTCCGGAAGTGAATATCAACTCTGAGATGCAGGTACACTCACCTGACGAGTCCCAAATAGGACGAAACGCGCGTCTTGGATTCCACTGCTAGCCACTATCCATCTTTGCTTATAATGCTTGTGATTTAGGGTAATATCGAGTCATACGCACAGTATGCACATATGCCAATAAGAGCTTGATCAGTTGCAGTCATAAACATCAATGAAAAGATTCAAGTAAACAATAACAATAACTGAAGTATATAACTAAGAATTTGAAATGCTCTTTGTGTTAGATGTTAATAATCATAAAATGATTTCATAACTGATTGTATATTACACGATCTTTTTGTCATTCATATTTATAACTCTTTCTGTGACGAATATTCAAAGAAACTAATGAATGATACAATTATTTCAATATAATTTACCTCTTCTGTAATTACTAGTATAGGGGTTGTGGAGATTATTAAGTTTTTGATTGAGATCATGAACCGAAGCCGTGACCAGTGGAGCTAATCCTTGTCGGGTAGAGACAGGTATCTACCTCAGTACAACGGAAGTTGGTCGCGCAATTTCGTGGATTGGTTGATGTTAGAAACTATCACCGTTGGATGCCGGCTCAGTGGTCCAGTTGGTTAAGCGTTCGCGCGCGAGACCGAAGGCCCTGAGTTCGAATCCCGCTCGCGGGATCGTGGATGCGCACTGCTGAGGAGTCCCACAATAGGACGAAACGGCCGTCCAGTGCTTCCAGGTTTTCAATTGTGGTGGTCTAACATCAATCGGTTCATGATCTCAATAAAAAATCTTCTGTAATTGTCAAGTCTTTTTTGTAACTAACTAACTAACTATGTATACAAATTAGTGAGTAATCTGTAATTATCATCATTATTATGATTTCAACAGTTGGAATCATGAGCCAATTGAAGCTAGACCACCATTAAAAGGTGAAAAAAGCACTGGACGGCCGTTCCATTCTGTTGTGGGACTCCTCAGCAGTGCACATCCACGAACCGCCTCGTGGGATTCGAACCCAAAACCTGCCAGTCTCGTGCGCGGCGCTCAACCAACCAGACCACTGAGTCGGCCGGCATTCAACAGTGTTAATGTGTAACTTTAACGGCCGTCCAGTGCTTCCAGGTTTTTTATGCTGGTTTAGCTTCAATCGACTCATGATCTCAACTGCTTAAACTACTACAATCCCCACAAAATCCCTTCTGATATTATTGTGATTGTTACAATACGAAAATTTAAGTCAATGGATTTTTGGTTGCTTAGCTAAACTATTATATGTAAAAATTATATTTGAAATATTCTCAGCGATTGAAATATAACTAATTCCAACGTTTCGTTCAGCTAACTTGTCTGGACTTCTTCAGGGTAATAATCAAAATCAAAATTATCAAAGAAATATATAGCTTTTTAACAATCAGAATTATACTGTGTTAAACCAATCATAATTGGATGTTTCATGTCAGTTATGAGTTTTACACAATCATCAGTTTATGTATACGGATAATGAATGTACATTCAGATGGGGACTACCAATGTATTTTTAATACGAAATTATAGAATATCTTGGTCATATGTATGAACCATACATTGAATATTTCGTTTGGAAATTTTCATCATTTGTCCTTCACATTCTGTATGATTTTTCAAGTTCATAATTCCTTTCTATTTCTCTTCCTTTTCTCCTAAACCTGATCTTCTTAGCCTTCTACAACCAGGTTTTCCACTTCTAATTGGAGCTACATACTACTTATGTCCACAAGAATAAGTAGCATACATCATATACGGTCTATTCACGAGTTGGACGTCATAATAAAATAAATGTCTGTATTTCATTAACTTTCAAAGGTCACTCTGTTAACCGAACCTTGATGAACTAAACTTAATTGTAAATGTGTTGGTTGATTCATAAAATGAAATAATTACTATGGACAGAAAACATTTAACTTACTACATTTTGAAGGAATTTCATCATAACCATCTTCACAATCCACTACTCCATCACAAATTTTGTCTCTTCTAAACATTCTTGTGAACCACATGGTCGAAATCCTGGTGCACAAACTTCTTGAACGTATAGTTTTGCATAACCTTTGCTATACTTTAAAAGTTTACATGGAATCAAAATAGTTAAACCATGACAGAAGTTAAATAGTTTTGTACTTTAGCAAAACAGTTGATTAGAAACAAAATATAATCACAATTATATTTATTTGTTTAAACACATGAATCATTCCTATTGCGTCACGGCTCGAATACTGCCCGAGTGTCCAAAGTGAGCCAGGTGGTTCTCTTAGGAGGCCACACATGGAGCCTTCTACCTAATGATATGATCCACAAGGCAATGAAGCAGTCCCATGATAGTTGGTGACTAAAGGAATTCAAAGTAATACTTTATATGAATACGTGAATAATCTTCAATAAAATGGATTATCCTCTGATTATGTAAAGATGATACACACAATAATGAACAGAGCACAACAAGATATAAGCTGAATTTTCGATAGCAGGTAATAGACAAGTATCGTTGCTTCACTAAAAATAGGCACCTGAAATATGGTAAGGATTACTTTGTTCATTTATAAAGAAAAGTAATGAGATTGTAGTAAGCCCATTCCACTACTGTATTATTTATCTGTTCACTGTCATTAAGACACTTGATCCACCATGTAATTTTCTGTGTGAGTCTGATTGAGCACATGTCAATGCTTAATCTATTCTCCCATTTGGTTGTAATACACACAGATAATCAATAATTTATCCATACTTGATTAACACTCATAAATATATATATGGAATTTCAACACACACACACACTCTTTGTTACCCTGTGTGCTTGAGGATTTTACCAATCTTTAAACAATAAACTATCTCTACAACTGGTGTTCAGGCTTCTCAATAATCTCGAGTAACTTCATAACTCTACTAGGAGATTCAGCCAGTGTTAAATACTCAGTAAACGGGATATCATTTATTGGAGTCAGATATAAAGGAAACTAGCCTCTACAAGACTAATGTTGATATGTGCAGCTGATTGACATCATACAGAAACCTTTACTCAATTGCTAATATTTATGATTAAACCTTGAATATCAGAAAGAATATAAATGAATGAAATCATTAAATGAACTAATTTTTAGCCCTTCTCATGATAGTTAATGGCCAACAGTTTTATTAATACTTACACCATCTGTACACATGTAAGATATATTATGATCGAATCGACCAACATCTTTAACAATTAACAAAGCTCTACCACCATTTGTTCCTAACACCTCTTCTTTACCAGGACGTAAATCTTGACGATCTGTACGCATCCAGAATACTTTACCACCTTTCATACCGGTAATTGTAGATAATTCACATAAAAATTGTACAGTTGTTCCAGGACGTGCTTTAACCTCTTCAGGAGTTACAGACAAATCTGAAAAGATCAGTCAAAAAATATATATAAATAATCAAAGTAAACTTTGAAAAGACAAAGTTCTATTCACTTCGAAAGCTTCTTTAGTGATTAATGTCAGTATTTTATGATTGGTGATCGGTATAGTGAAACTTGCAGTCGAATGCTCTACCACTGAGCTATACCCCCATAAAGTGTGGCAACTGGTTGTTGCAATGTGGAAGTGCCGGGCATTGCAGTATCATACTCTTTAATAATGCGCATCGAGATGCCGCACGTGAGATTCGAACTCAGGATCTTCGATTTCTCATGAATTCAACAATTAAATTACTTTAATATCTACAAAACCCCACTCTGATTATAACGTTGGGTTGTTTTATACATGGAGACTGGTTTACATCTTGTTGAAATTGTAAACCTAAAGCTTAATATTATAACAGTCCACTACATCGTCTTATATAAATGACATTATTTTACTAAAGCTAAGAATTCCATCCAAGATACCTATTTTATCCTAATTTGAACTAGGCAGTTAAACTTACCTATATTCTAGTACTGATCCTTAAACAAAGATTCGAATCTAACATCATTTATTTCAAATTTCAATACATTAACCAATGTTCTGTTGATTCCGTATAATCACTAACCTATCCAATGGTTATTGGTTTTCATTATGATTGTTTATATTTTCCAGTTGTCAATTTTATGAACTGAAACTAATCAATTTCTATTCGCATATATGTACATTCCAAACGGACTACTTTTGGATCGTCATATGGTCAGAGAATCCAAGTAAACGTTTGATTAAATTCCGGAATCGCCATCTGACTATAATTACAGTCATTAACATTAACAACAAACACACATAACCCTACACAAGACTGAAAATGTTTTGTAGTGAATCTTCTAAATATAACTTCTTTAGTTCAGTGGGGTTTTCTGAATGCACGTTTATCTACCTTCTACAGAGAATTTATGATACCTTAGTAAATGTTTAAGGAGTAACGATCGTTCAGTGAGACTATAATTTCATAGACGAATCAATTATATTTAAGGTAGCAGGCCACGGACTTTGGAACGAAATTCATTCAGCCATTTAGTTAAATAGATTTTCGGCATTATAAATGATGTCAGTTCGTAATTAAAACATTAAATCTAATTCCTAACCTTAACCATCAACTGCAAATCATGATCCCTATTCTTTAAACAGCTTTCTAACCTTCATTTGACCTTACTAAGTAGGTAAACATTCCAAGGTCACTTTAGCGTTCCTCGAAGGTCGACTATGAATTATAGTCTCACCAATCGTTCAATAGAATTAAATAATATCAGAAGGTGTTTTATGGAGATTATAGTAATTTCAATAGTTGAAATCACGTATCGATTGAAGCTAAAGCACCATGGAAAACGCATGCGCGCAAAACTGATCGGTCCCGAGTTCGTATCACGCGAGGGGGGAACCATGGATGTGCACTGTTGAGGAGTCCCATAATAGGACGAAACGGTCGTTCAATGTTTCAAGGTCTTCCATGATGGTCTAGCTTGAACGATCTCAACTAATGAAAGAATTAAATAAACTGACTTATTATAAAACATAAATTATCTTCATTTCAAAAACTAACCTCTTGTTTTCACTATTAATTTAGCTGTATCCCTTAAATTTAATGCTCTACAAACATATAAACCTTCATGATATTTTTGTACATTCATTATACTTAAAAATGATGTAGATGGTGTTGCATCAGGATTATCAATTTTAACATCATTATGTAGTGAAATTTCACGATCATCACCTTCTGGTATAAAATACCAATCAATTAATTGATTACCATGTTCTCTACCATCTAAACGACAATGAAATTCAGTAATATCACCAGCATTTGCCCATGCTTCATCTTCTTTTGGTAGGATACTAAGTGTTACAATAGCTAATAATGTAATAAATAATATTAAAAAGAATATGTAAGTAATGATTATCAAAGTTTAACTTATTAAATTAAATATGAGCCAACATGAGACTGATCAATTGCAATCCTAAATAATAATGGGTAGATACAAGTAAAACAATATCAAGGGAATTCAAACTTCACCTCCATTATACAAGCAAGTGACTATCAGGACTCAGTAGCTAAGTGGATAACGCGATGGCGTTTGATGCGAACGTTACTGGGTTCGAGTCGCAGAGTGAACATCGATTCTGGGATGCAGGTACATCCCAAATAGGATGAAGTGACGTGCATCCTGAATTCCACTACTAGCCACTATCCATCCTTGCTTATTAGGTTAGATTGTTTATTAGTTAAATTCACGAGTCAAGCTAGATCACCATGGAAAACCTGGAAGAACTAGATGGCCGTTTCGTCCCTAGTATGGGATTCGACAGCAGTGCGCATCCGTGACCCACAAAACCTCTTTCTGATAATCATCATCATATACACACTAATGATTAACTTCAACAGGTATTATTTGACAATATCCTCCTCACTCTTTAATTACTTTTTCATATCTCTGTGATTTTATTCATAACTGTTACTGATATCACATTATTTCATTTACCCCCCCCCCATTATTTTTATTCATTGTGATAAAACCATTTCATTATCAGATTGAGGGTTATGTAGTAATTTGATGGTTGAATTCATGAGTCAATTTAAGCCAGATCATTATGAAAAACCTGGAAGAACTCAATGGTCATTTCGTCCTAGAATGGAACTCCTCAACAGTGCGTATCCACGATCCAGAGTGGTTAACACATTATAAGCAAAGATGGTTAGTGACTATCAGTGGAATCCAGGTGTGTGTTTCGTCCTATCTGAGACTCTAACCCAGTACCGTTTGCTCCAAACGCCATTACGTTATCCATTTAGCTACTAAGTCACATTGTTTTCGTGTGCTTTGTTTTTCTTTGTTACGGCTTACCTTTAACCTATATAGTTGACCTTTTAATTGTCATATAAAAATGTTTTAACAAGTATATAATGTTTGATCAGATTGTTCGAAATGTATTGAACAAATGTATCACATAATTCTGATAACCTTCATCTTCTCATTACATTATCGAAAATTAGAGTACTCCCTTGAAGGCTTTTGTACAACAATACAAATATTAACTTGATATCAACCTTATGACCAGTCTCAATCAAATGTTTTGCAACAGAGGATGATGTCTGTGTATCCTATGATCTTATTTGATCATTGGAATTCATTTGTTTCTGTAGCCATTTGGGTATTTGTTCCCCTACCCTTATTTGCAGATGACGATTGCTCCTCCGTAAGTGCATGTTCCTGCACATACATGTAAATTGATAGACACAATTGCTTACATACTGTTTTGGTTTTTGGTAATATATAGCTTGTTATATCTTACAATATCATGCAATAATAATGCAAATGAGTAAGAATTGTCAATGTTATCTGACTAATATATTTCTGTAATAACATCCTTTGTGTTATACAGTCCTCAAATCAGTCATAGTACCTTGATATGACCTAGGGATAAACCATATTAAGTGCTAACCGCTAGGTGTAACTTCGGTGTTATCTGTCAGTCACACCATTCTCATCTAACTCAAGTAAGCCCCCAATCATTCAACAGAGATCATCAACATTGTTGATCTACACATTTGTATATAAGTGGACATTTATCCTTCAATTTTCACATGATTCAGTCATGATTCATTCATGTTATTCAAAGAATTTCGGTCTATTGACAAAATTACAAAATATTGAAATAACACTACACAGTGTAATGAGCCAACTGTCATCTAATAAATTTATAGCCTATAATTGTTTATCATAAACAAACTATTTTCATGTATCTAACTGATTCTAAAGTCATATTTATGTAATTCTCATCATTAAAAACAAACATTCTCATAAGTGTGCAGTCTCCTCCCTCTCCCCCCAACCTGATCTCTCTCTCACAAGAAATCTTGTTTACATCTTTACAGTATGTTATTATTTGAAAGGTCAACATTTTATGAAAAAATAAAATTTGTACTTATATTTTGACCCCATCACCAACACCACCACTACCATCATCATCATCATCATCATCATCACCCAACACCAACACCACCACCCTTAAAACATGTATATTAGTAACCATTAGTATATAGAATTTATTTATTAATTAGGAGAATTATAGATTATTCTAAAAAATGTTGTCAAATATGACAACATTAGAGTGATTATAGTCATTTTAATAGCTGAATTCGTGAGTCGGTCTAAGCTAGACTATAATTGAAAACCTGAAAACATTGGATGGTTGTTTCGTGGAGTATCGAACTCCTCAGCAGTGTGTATCCACGATCTCCCACAAAAGAGATTCGAACACAGAACCACTAAACCACTGGATTGGTTGAAGTCAGACATTAACACTGTTAGTTACTGGCTCAGTGGTCTGGAGATTAAGTGTTCGCGTAGTGAGACTGATAGGACCTGGATTCGAATCTCTCGAGGCAAAATCATTGATGCGCACTGCCAAGGCGTTTCACAATAGGACTAGACAGCCGTTCAGAACTTCCAGATTTTCCATGGTGATCTAACATGAGTTCAACTGTTAAAAATACTACAAACTCCACAAATCTCCTTACTAATTTCAGTGTTTATTTCTTTGTTAGTGATATGGATGACTATACGTATGAAATACCCTTAAAGGTTGATGATACGAAATTTCTATGAAATCTTTCATTACATACAAGTTATTCTATTATCGAATAACTAGTAATTGTTAATCATCGCATTTATGACTTGTCTTAGTCGATTTACTTCCATCTTTAACTAACAGTCATGAATATACTTGAACAAAGACCTGATACTTATTATGATCTCTATTCCGATGATAATAGTGAAATTTAAAATATCTATGATAACTCATTTTACCTAAATCTTATGCTTCATAGTGTTGATACCTACATGACAACTGTTTAGGTGAAATACCATATACATCAAGTCATTTTAAATGAGTAATCTGTTTCTTTATCTACCTAATACATTAAGTAATTAATAGTCGTTTCTTCCATCTATGGGATTTCTCAGTATTGTGTATATCCATGATGTCATTTAGAATAGATTATAGTAACCTTACTTCTCATAGGAAGTCCATCGTGGATACACACTGTTGAGGAATCGCACAATAGGACGAAAAGGGTATCCAATGCTTCCAGGTTTTTAATGGTGATCTAATACCGATCGGTTCATGATCTCAATCAACAATTTGGAATACAATGACTCTAATATCCAGTTTTAGTTATTTCATAATATATCGTGTTCATATGATTGATGAAACAGTCCATACACTAAGTGTATAGAATGACATATATTAGATTAGAATATGTATATATTCAACTTACTTGGTGCTCTGATGATATGACCTCGTAATTTTTTCGAATTTTGTTGACATTCATAAAGACCTTCATGGATATTTTCCATTTCCTTAATAACAATTACACTTGTTCGTAATCTATCTAAACGATTAGTACCAGTTGGTAATGTACCTCCATTGAATGTCCAGACGACCTGAAAATCATGGTGGAGTTTTATTAAAATACAAAAATATGGACTATGACATTATATACTGTATTTAAAATTCACAAACTTTCATTTTAGGCAACGATGAATGGTGACTAGCTATTGAATCCAGGATGTGCATATCGTCTCATTCGGGAGTAATGTATAAAAGAAAGATTGGCTATAAGGATATAGTACAGGAAGAAAGAAATAATTCATAGAAAGAAAGGTATAAAGCAAGACACCTATGCCGTGGTGATCGATTCTGAGCCATGTCATCCACAGTCTCCAACTATTGATTACGATAGTCACACGGAACCCAATCAAGTAGTTTGCATCTACCAACATGGTTAAGGCCAGAAGTTAGGGACTTCAAGGACTGATGGCACGTTTTGGTTTGGCCAATCCCTAACTTTCTTCCAAGCATCCCTAGCACTAGCTAGCATTGTGCATCGTAATAATCGGTGTCCAGACATACGTGACGCGTGTTCAACCATCTTAGTCTATGAAGATTTCCAGTCTCATCGCCTGATTTATGATCATTCCCTAATACCCTGCGTTTAACCTCACTGTTGCTTACCCGGCGATCTCAGTAGATGCGAGCAATATTTATAAGACATCTGTGGTCAAATACTAGTACTACTCCAGTCAATGTGTATTCCCAAAAATGTGATATCAAGAGTGTAAATCAAGTGTTTTGACACTACATTTCTAAATTAAAATTAGTTGAAGAAAATTCTTGGAATAATTAGATATTAATTTATGTTACAAGCAATATAAACAAATATGGATGATGGCTAACAATGGTATCCAAGATGCATGTTTCGTCCTATTTTGAACCAGATAGTTCGATTTTATTTGAAGTGAACGATACTGAGTTCGAGTCCCAGAGTGAATATCAACTCTAAGATACAGATACATCCAGATGACGAAACCCAAATAGGACGAAGTTGTGCCCATCTTGTATTCCACCGCTAGCCACTAACCATCTATATAATAGCTCGTTATTTTCCAACATAATCATTCATAAAAGAAAATAGTTTCATACATTTTCTCCTGTTCCAACAAAATCTTTTTCTAATTCACAATGTAATTCCAATGATTCACCATTACGATAACTGAAAATCTCTGTTGTTGTTTCAGATAATTCTGTAACATAAAGAAAATGAATATAACAAATAATTAATAAGTTATAATATAAATGATCATTTGATAGTTTAACTAAATGCAAACTGCTGAAGAGTCACAAAATAGGACGAAATCACCATTCAATGCCTTCAGGTTTTCTATAATGATCTAGTTTCAATTGACTATTAAATTCTAATGATTAGAATGGAGATTTGTGTAGATTGTAGTAATTGTAAAACTTAGATTCGAGTTCCATATACTGAATCATGGATGAACACTGTTGAAGAGTGTTGTGTCCTGATAAGAATAATGAATGGTAATTTTTGGGATCCATTTATGGACCAATATTATAAGTATATTTTTATCGTATAATTGTTATGCAACTAAACTGTTCATATTCATACCCCTCTTATTATGAGCTTTATGTTGACCTATGAACTACTATTGTACGATTTACCATTCATGAATTATTCCCTATTTGTTAATCGCTACCTCCCTCATTCACAACCACTTCTGGCTAATTATTATACAAATGTTATTTTCTATTTTATTGATACGTTGTGGTCTGGTTGATTGGTATATAAACAGAGTATGCTTGAAATACAATGATTTATATCTCAGAGGCTGAGACTTGCGTTATGGACTCAATTGGCTGGGCTAGACAGGGAAGCGGGACCAATCGAAACTCTAGGCCGTTCGTGTGTGTTTTACGTGTCATTGATCCGATCGATAAATACGCTTCACTCTTATCTGTAGTCCACAAAACACAACAATTGGCGACGGGGACGGTACGGCGGTATGATCGAAATGACCGTCAAGTGATTGCATGTTTTCCATAGTGGTCTAGTTTCAATTCACTCATGAATTCAACTATTAAATTCAAATTGAATAGTCAATTATCATTATAATTCAATGAATCCATGATCATTTAATTGAATTTCAACTCAATTAAAATGATTGAAATTGTATAGGTTTAATAATAGTAGTCACTAATGAACTTCTATCTTTGGTAACTCAATCAAATTATGGTTTACGAATATAGTGTCCAATATGAGTTCAAATATTCTCTGTAATCTGAAACGGGACTGATGCTTGACAAATCAATTACTTGTGTCAGTGTACAATATGATCAATAAGAAGATAACGTTAAACAAGAAAACAACATCAGATGACTTTATAAGCACAGACGGATAGTAGCTAGCAGTGGAATCTAAGATAAGCGTTTCATCCTATTTGGGACTCGTAGGATGTATGTATCTGCATTTCACAGTTGATGTTCGCTCCAAGGCTCGAACCCAGTATTATTCGCTTCAAACCCCGTCACTTTATCCACTTGGCTACTGAGTCCTAAAAGGCAATAGCTAAGTGGATAACGTAATGGCATTTGAAGAGAACAGTACTAGGTTCGAGTCCCGAAGTGAACATCAACTCTGGGATGCAATCATTTTAATCATGTTCAAATCCAACTAAATGATCATAGATTAATTGGATTACAATGATAATTGACTATTCAATTTGAATTTGTTAGTTGAATTCATGAGTTTATTAAAGCTAGATTACTATGGAAAACCTAGAAGCACTGGACGGTTGTTTTGTCCTAGTATGGAACTTCTCATCAGTTCACAACCACGATTATTATTAGTAAGACATAATAATGTGGATGAAGGCGAAGTAAATAAATCATGTATTAGCGAGATAAATAATAGTAATAATAATGATACAAAGATTTGTGAATAAAGATAACAGAGACTAAGAGAGGTTATACAACAGTCAAATTAAGTCATTCAACAGTAAAGATCACCATTGATTAACTGGTATTGAGGTTAACCAGATGATAAGAAGTGATTGAAACTATTTCCTTTGTACATATAGATCCATTTTCTTAATTCGGATAGATATTGCTTTAGCCGTTTGATCATTTTAAATTTGACCACACTCATAAGATTCAAAATCAGGACCTTCATTATTCATAATGATCTAACTTGAATCAACTTATCAATTCAACTATTAAATGACTACAATCTCGATACCTCCCCCCCCGCTATCCAATTGATTGGTTAGTAGTATGTTTAAAACCCACCATTTACAAGTTACAGTTACATAATATACCCCTGTGGGCCAGGGTAATTTTACATTGGTTTTCAAGAGAACCAGTCATCATCCGGACCTTCACGTGACAACCCCGAACAGTACAGTTCAACCCCGTTTAACAGAAGAGCCAAACACACCCAGGCTTAAATTTTATAACCCGACCAGTATAGCTCAATCCCGCTTCACTGAAGAACGAGACACCGTATAGGCTTTAACGCTAAAATTTGAATAGTACAATTCAATCCTGTGACGTAACCACACAAGTACCAAGCACCCTGGTGGACCACTTATATATATATATATAAACAAATTTATTTCATTTTCAAAGTAATCAAATATGGATCATTAATAATATTCATCAAAATTGATTCGCGCCATTTTTTTGAAAAATATTTACATAAACAAATACACAATTATATATTACTAATTAGGTCAATAAATAATTAGTAGTATATAATTATAAACATAATCATAGTTTGAAATCAGTTGACAGTTATTTATATATCTATTTATAATTGTATATAATAAAATTGGCAATGAAATTTGTTTCAATGTTCAATGGATCAATTTGAAAGTATCGATACAAATTAGAAACATATTTATGATTTATGTTTAACATGATATAAATGTGAGAAGGGATTTTGTGGAGAGTTTTTTTTTTAGAAATTTCACTCGTTGAACTCATAAGTCAATTTGGAAGCATTGGACAGTCGTTTCGTCCTAGTATGGGACTCCTCGGCAATGCACATCCAGGATCCCGCCCCCCCCCGAGAGATTTTAACCCAAGATCTATCAGTCTCGCGCTTGAGTGCTTAACCATTAGACTACTAAGCTGTCATTCAACGGTGACAATGTTATTACATAATTCACTGATAGATTAGAAAGGATAAAATTGTTACCAATGAACTAGGAGAGTTCAACCATATCTATTGTAAGGTAGTGACTTATTGAAGATAATGGTGGATGATGACATAATAATATGGCACAAATTTATGAAGTAGATTGAGCCATATTGGTAGGTGTAGACTATATAATTGGAATTCACGAGATGATAGCACTCTATAGTTAAAGACCATGAATGAGATGGCTTAAAATCGTTTATAATGGCGCAGATACATTCGCTTAGATTCTAATCTTCTAAATGACTCATTTTCCTTTGTGTTCTCTTTCACTGTATTATACTGCTTGAATAACATCTTCAAACCCTGATCTTTCCGATAAATACTTATACTTTTACTACATCTACCACTATGGGATTTGAATTGACTATTGTGTCTCTTTGCTGAACTGTTGTACGAAAGTTGTTGCTAACTGACTAAAGTTAGATATTAACATCATTGGATGCCGAATCAGTGGTCCAGAGGCTAAGCGTTCGTGCATGAAATCAAAGCCCCTGAGTTCGAGTCCCTTTTATGCGGGATCATGCGTTTGCACTGCTGAGAAGTCCCATACTAAGATGAAGCGGCTATTCAGTGCTTCCGGGTTTTCCATGGTGGTCTAGCTTTAATCGACTCATAAATACAACTATTAAGTTATGTTACTTGTTAATTGTAATATGATACTGTGAATACTCATGCATGGAATATTTGTAACGATAAATTATTAAATCGTTTCTTAATATGCATACCACTAAGACATTTAAACCATTGATAGATGTTAGACGTCTATGTCGGAAAACTGTCTCGAGTTCAACTCCTAATGTTGAGATCATACTTGCAAACTATTGAGAAGTCTCATATGAAGATGGCATTGCCGTTCAATGTTTCCTAATTTTCACTGATTATGATTATTTAGTGATTTAAACTATGAAGTATTTAAAATATCTACGATCCCTTCTTTAGTCAGAAGAGGATCATCATCAGAATATAGTAATATAGCTTTAACAGATAAACGTTTAATTCAATAACGTTACAAGATTGATAATCAACATCAATGAAATGCCTTTAAACAGATCATTTATATTGAGAACGTCAAGAGAATAACACTTGTGATTCATTACACACTAACTAGCTATCTAAACAAGATTATTTATTTACTTACATATGTGCTTTCCCTGCTTAATGAAAGTAGCCCAAAATGCCTGATATGGCCGAGAGTAGAGCGAGTCAGCTCTCCTACTCGAAATGGTCTCACATGACTACGTGCATATAACCACTGACGGAGAAGTCCTACTCACTGCCTTCTCAAGGCGGGGATGTTGTTTACGGAATTGAGAGGACGAAAAGCGAATGTCCAGCGATTTACTTGGGTTGGTGGATACGGATGATCTATCTAGGGGAGTTAGGAAACCCTGATTCCAAACCAGTAGCGCACATGGGCTCCATTATCCTGAAGGGACAAATAATGTATGAACCAATCGTTGTTCACCGGTTACATTGGGACTTCATCTCCTTATGTTGCTCCACTGCCTTGTGCATTAGACCTTTTGGTCAAAGGCTCCTGGTGTGGCCCCTAAGAAAATCATCTGTTTCGGTTTGGGCATCCGGGCTATATCCCAGCCCTCACACAAATCGAATGATTCAGAGATCAAAATCTACTTGAAATTATTTAAATGTAATTTTAGTGAATTAAGAACTATAGTGACTCACGTGCAATTGAGTCTATTCTCATCTAACTTAGTTAAGCCCTTTTGCTAACTCATTTAGCGGACAAAGTCATCCGCACTATAACAACTTATTGTACCCTTATTATTTTGTGCTTGTATGAAATACGTATGCTTGAATATTGCTTACGGCCTATGCATTTATTCACTCTGCTAGTCTTACTACTCACTGCTTATTTGATTCGATTACTTATTCATTTCACATGGTATATATATGTCCATGTTATTCATATTCAACACACACACTCTCGTCTCGCTCTTGCTCTTGCTCTCGCTCGCTTGATTGTATTCGCTCACTCGCTCGATCGCTTGCTTGCCTTTCGGCACAACTCTTCTATGCTTGTTTAACGCATCTGTACTTTTGGATGTATGTGCGTAGTCTCGTAATAAACGTAATCAACGCTTCGTATTTGCCTTCTGATTAATATACCGTTGGACGTTATATAGAACGGTTATCAAAACGAACTGTATACGAAATTTAAGGATTATATTGGATACCGACCACCACAGAATACTTACCCATCTTTCCAGTTGTACTGAGAGATTTAGGTTCTAAATCAAGTTTAATTGAACCAACAATTTCTCCAGTTTCAGATGAAGTTACTTCACAAGTTATTGATGTATCTCGTTTGACACCATCATCTGGTATATGATCAATAATTAGTTGACGAACTATTGTTTCACTATCACCAATCTTTCCACTTTCCACTGTTGACCACTGATAATTAAATGATACACTTTCTGCTTCATTTGGCGGCATATGACATTGTAAAATAACAGTTGGATCATCAGGATCAATTCTTTTTGAGATGGTAATATATGGAATTGCTGTGAAAGATGAAGGAAATAAATATTTTCATCAGAAGGGGTTTTGTGGATATTATAGTAATTTCAGTAGTTGTGATCATGAGTTAATTGAAGCTTAACCACCATGGAAAACCTAGAAGCATTAAACGTCCTATTGTGGGACTCCTCAGTATCGCGCATTCACGATCCCACCCACGGGATCCGAACCCAGGACTTATCAGTCCCGCGTGCAAGCGCTTAATCACTAGACCCCTGAGCCGGCCGGCATCCAACGGTTTTAATGTCTAACATTATCGAATAAATGATAGCTTAAAAGACTATCAGCCGAAAGAACAATCGATAGTAGTTTCGTCTTAATATACGACTCTTCTGTAATGTTTATGTGCACAGTTTTACCACAACTCATCAATGGCAGTAGGAGATGGTTATGTAATACCATGAAATGATTGAAGTTAAGAATATACACCATTAGATACTGGTCTCAGATTAAGCGTTCACTGTGAGTACTAAATACCTTAATTCAGGTCAATATCTGCTCACTGTTTCTCAGTTTCAAAATGTATTCTGAGGTCATTTTATGATAAAGACTATATAATCCAATAATCTCCAAAAATCTATTCCATTAAAACTATTTTGTATTAAGGGATTTTGTAAAGATTTTCAGTAGTTCGAAAGTAATTTTCATAAAGAAATAACAATCAGTCAGATAATCATTGCACATCATGAATTATTTAAAAGGTGTTTTCTTCTAGTTTTGGAGGTTTTTCAGAAGTCTGTTCCGGTACAGTCGAGAGTGAGGAGAAACTGCCCTCTCTCTCTCACCCTCACATGGCCACGTGCATATGTTCTCGCGACGGGGTGTTGTTTACAAAATTGAGAGAATGAAAAGCGAATGTCCAGCGACTTAACCGGGTTAATGAATACGGAGGATCCGCCTAGGAGAGTTGAAAAACCACATGGGTTTCAGGATCCTAAGGAAACGAGTGGTGTATGAATCTACTGTCCGTCTCCTGACATCACTCCACTGCCTTGTGGATAAGACCTTTAGGTAGCCCCCTAAGAGAACCACCTGTGGGTGGCCGGCCAGCCCTCACATAAATCGAATGATGTATATGGTGCATATCTATTTGATGGCTCATTGTATCAATGTTTATGTGTTTAAATAAATATATGTAATCAAACTCACAGCCTTCAAGTAAACTAGAGTTACCCGCAGATTATTATTATTATGCGATATACCATTCTTGAGCTATACCCAGTCTATTAATTACAGTCTACCACAATCACAGCTACTTTCGACTAGATCTTGTACAAGTGTTATTTTCTATTTTATGGTACAATGTGGTCTGTTTGGTTGGTATATAAACCCAGTAGGTTTGAAATACATGATTCATATCGCAGAGGTTGAGATTGGTTTTCTGGACTGAATAGACAGGGCTAGGCAAGAAGATAGGACCGATAATTACTGTGGGTTGCTCGTAGAAGTTTACGCGTCATTGGTTCGATCGACAATTCACTGCTCTCTAATTGGCGGTATCATTACATTATACATTAATAGGATACAGGGCATAAGTTATAACAACGACACACACTGTTAATAAATTAAACAGCTGTTAAGTGTTTTATAGCTTTATGGAATTCTTTAAATAATAACAATTCATGATAAGAATGACTTCGAAAATAAACAGTTAAATGTTCACCAGTTGATAACTCCTCCTATAGCTAGCTCTTTTAGAGTTACTGCCGTCCTCAACCCGGGTAAAGGAGGAAGGTTGGGAATGGGGATAGAGACCCCTTCCTGTAGAAAACTAATTCACGTAAGTAAGTAAGTAAGTAAGTAAGTAAGTAAGTAAGTAAGTAAGTAAGTAAGTAAGTAAGTAAGTAAGTAAGTAAGTAAGTAAGTAAGTAAGTAAGTAAGTAAGTAAGTAAGTAAGTAAGTAAGTAAGTAAGTAAGTAAGTAAGTAAGTAAGTAAGTAAGTAAGTAAGTAAGTAAGTAAGTAAGTAAGTAAGTAAGTAAGTAAGTAAGTAAGTAAGTAAGTAAGTAAGTAAGTAAGTAAGTAAGTAAGTAAGTAAGTAAGTAAGTAAGTAAGTAAGTAAGTAAGTAAGTAAGTAAGTAAGTAAGTAAGTAAGTAAGTAAGTAAGTAAGTAAGTAAGTAAGTAAGTAAGTAAGTAAGTAAGTAAGTAAGTAAGTAAGTAAGTAAGTAAGTAAGTAAGTAAGTAAGTAAGTAAGTAAGTAAGTAAGTAAGTAAGTAAGTAAGTAAGTAAGTAAGTAAGTAAGTAAGTAAGTAAGTAAGTAAGTAAGTAAGTAAGTAAGTAAGTAAGTAAGTAAGTAAGTAAGTAAGTAAGTAAGTAAGTAAGTAAGTAAGTAAGTAAGTAAGTAAGTAAGTAAGTAAGTAAGTAAGTAAGTAAGTAAGTAAGTAAGTAAGTAAGTAAGTAAGTAAGTAAGTAAGTAAGTAAGTAAGTAAGTAAGTAAGTAAGTAAGTAAGTAAGTAAGTAAGTAAGTAAGTAAGTAAGTAAGTAAGTAAGTAAGTAAGTAAGTAAGTAAGTAAGTAAGTAAGTAAGTAAGTAAGTAAGTAAGTAAGTAAGTAAGTAAGTAAGTAAGTAAGTAAGTAAGTAAGTAAGTAAGTAAGTAAGTAAGTAAGTAAGTAAGTAAGTAAGTAAGTAAGTAAGTAAGTAAGTAAGTAAGTAAGTAAGTAAGTAAGTAAGTAAGTAAGTAAGTAAGTAAGTAAGTAAGTAAGTAAGTAAGTAAGTAAGTAAGTAAGTAAGTAAGTAAGTAAGTAAGTAAGTAAGTAAGTAAGTAAGTAAGTAAGTAAGTAAGTAAGTAAGTAAGTAAGTAAGTAAGTAAGTAAGTAAGTAAGTAAGTAAGTAAGTAAGTAAGTAAGTAAGTAAGTAAGTAAGTAAGTAAGTAAGTAAGTAAGTAAGTAAGTAAGTAAGTAAGTAAGTAAGTAAGTAAGTAAGTAAGTAAGTAAGTAAGTAAGTAAGTAAGTAAGTAAGTAAGTAAGTAAGTAAGTAAGTAAGTAAGTAAGTAAGTAAGTAAGTAAGTAAGTAAGTAAGTAAGTAAGTAAGTAAGTAAGTAAGTAAGTAAGTAAGTAAGTAAGTAAGTAAGTAAGTAAGTAAGTAAGTAAGTAAGTAAGTAAGTAAGTAAGTAAGTAAGTAAGTAAGTAAGTAAGTAAGTAAGTAAGTAAGTAAGTAAGTAAGTAAGTATGTATGTATGTATGTATGTATGTATGTATGTATCACCAGTTGATAACATATTATGATAGAAAGTAAATCAAACTTACATTCAATGGATCTACGTGCACGTTTTAAATAAGTATGCTGATCTATTGTTGTATTCATTTGATCAATCCAACCATATTGACATATTGGTAATGGATGTTTAGTATGATGTAATTGTAAAGGATGTTCAAATTTATAATCATATTCATTCACAATTACATTGCCCATAGGATATTCCCATATTACAAATGTATATTCATTGAATACATTAGGGCATTGAAAATAGGTTAGATTTTCAGAGGTAATCAATTTTCCAAAATTAATTTCTAGAATATTAAATAAATAGAAAATAAGATAAGTTCAACGGTACTAAAACAAAGATTACTTTATTGCTACCTTAACTTGGTGGTCAAGCTTGCCTATCGTGATGAAGCAACAGAGCTATACAGGCTGGAACAACTGTTCCTCAAGGTCCTACTATGTCAGACAGGTCTGTTGAAGAACGGTAAGACTGAAAGCAACAAACCCAAGGTCCAAAGACGAAGTCGTACTGCTGAATGTACAGAGGTGTGACGGCAGTAAGGTGTTTCCTTCAGACAACCGGCATGCTGCCTTCCAACAAGGAGTGGGGTTAGAAAAGGTTGACCCTAAAAATGCACACCTCGCCTTATCCCATGGATATCCGTCTCCGGCGGTAAGGTCTCAACAAGAACGGAGCTAACACAAAAATTACTCATAAAAAGGTTGTGTGTGACCGACCTCAGGCAGTTGTCCCTTGGCCATTGCGGTCACGCTCTCAGGTCACTAAGACCACCTCTAATCCAATTTCCTTTTCAGGTACCTCCAGAACAACCCTTCCACGGTGTAGGCAACCTGGAAGTGATGACCGCCCTTATTACCTCTAACAGCCCTCAAGATCACTGTATTCATAATCAACCTCTCCCTCTTCAATTCTTATTATTCCTCTTATTGCTTTGAAGATATAATAAATCAATATCTCAATTGCTTACTTAATTACTTACGCCTGTCATCCTTCGGTAGAGAAGGAACATGGACCGCTCACTAGCATTCTCTATCCGACTCTGTTCTGAGTAATCCTTTCCAGTTGAGATCGTATCTTTTAATCACGAAACGATGTTTCATACATTCTAAATCTAATTATCATCAGTTTGTTTGTTTGATTACATAATTGACTTGATTTAAGTTTTATGTTTTTGTTATGTAAGTATATTCGTTATTTACTACTGAATTATAAAGTAGTGTTAACATTCAAACTTCACCCTCATTGCACAAGCAGGTGGCTATCAGGACTCAGTAAATAAGTGGATAACGCAATGGCGTCTGAAGCGAATGGTGCTGGGTTCGAATCCCGGATCGAGCATCAATTCCGAGATACAGGTACATCCAGCTGACGAGTCTCAAATAGGACGAAGTGGCGCACATCCTGGATTCTACTGCTAGCCACTATCCATCCTTGCTTAAAAATGCTGACATGGTTCATTTCGCACTGTCTCAACATTTAAGTGCCAATAGGCATAAAATAAACCTGCTAACTATTTAACCCTAAAAAAGAACTTCGAATAGTTTGATTTATTTATGCAGTTTAAAGTCATTTTAGTTCAGTTACTAATCAAAATACAATTACAGAATCTCTATTATGTAATAGTGCTGATATAATAGACAATCTGTAAAACAGTTTGCTTAATTAATTACGAATCCATGAGTCGATCTAAGCTAGATCACCACAGAAAACCTAGAAACACTGTACGGCCATTTCATCTTAGTATAGAACTCCTCAGCAGTGTACATCTACAATCGATAATCGTGATCTAGTTTAGATTAACTCGTAAATTCAACTATGAATATACTACAATCTCCACAAATCTAATCATTATGAATGATTATTACATCAGAATCCCATGCTTAATTGATTCTCTTCATCATTTAATGGATGCTCATTAAATCAATATTTTGTGCAATTGTCTCGATCAAGTACACAAATGAAGATAACCAAAATCGATTACAGGTCATTTTAGTAAAATCTGAGAATCATACAATTAAAACTTCATTTGCAAAATATCTATCATTTATCTCATTCTCATTCTCTTCATTTTGATCTTCTTAAGCTTCTTCTGCCACCAGTTATTTCAATTTCAATTGATGATACATACTACTTATGATATCTGTCGATATCAGTAGCATATATCCCTACACACTATATCTATTCAAATGATTTGATGTAAAGAATAAAAAGACGAACCTCTTACAACTATATCATTATGTATACCTTGAATTGATTGTTTATATTAATCATCTTACAAAACGATCACAGTTTTTTTTAGTTCGTTAGTTAGTTCATTCAACCGAACTTACAATGAAACGTATGGTTTTCAAATGTTTTACATGAATTGTATTTGCATACACCTATTCGATGGTAAACAGGTCTATAAAATGTTAGGTTGTATTTGTTTTGTTTTATTAACATACTGATTATTGTATTATTTACAAGCTGAATAAGTTATTATCAAAAGGGATTTTATGGAGATTTTACAAATTTCACTGATTGAAATCATGAGTCAATTGAAGCTAGATCACCATGGAAAACATGGAAATACTGGACGGCCGTTTCATCCTAGTATGGGACTCCTCAGCAGTGCGCATCCTGATATTAATCATCTGCTCATTATTGACTGACTTCAAGAGATATATCCTGGAATTCTAGTGAGAAGCCATTACCTGTGGAGTTCAACCAGGTCTGTTGTGAGATTTCAGCTCACTGAAGACAATAGTGTACGGTGGCGCAACTTTGTGGATTGGTTGAAGTTAGACATTAACACCGTTGGATGCCTACCGGCTCAGTGGTCTATGGGTTAAACGCCTGACGCGAGACTGATAGGTCCTGGGTTCGAATCTCGCGAGGTGGGGTAGTGGATGCGTACTATTGAGGAGTCCCATACTAGGACGAAACGGCCGTCCAGTGCTTCCAGGTTTTCCATGGTGGTCTAGCTTCAAATGACTCATGATTTCAATCGGTGGAATAAGTTATTGTTATGAACTAAGGTAATAAAAGATTCCAGTGGAGGAAGAAATCATGAAGAAGTGCTGGAAGTAAATAGGACATACATTAAAGAAAGCACCCAATTGCGTCACAGTACAAGCCCTCACATGAAATCCTCAGAGTTAAAAGAGAAGAGGAAGAACAAAGAACACAATATGCCGAAAAATAGAAACAGGGAGAGATGAGAAGAATTTAAAAAAACAATTGGATAGAACTAGAAAGGAAGGCCCAGGGATTGAGTGGGTTGGAGAATGCTGGTCGGAGGCCTATTCTCCATCGGGAGTAAGAGACGTAAGTAAATAAGCTAATAAATACTTTGTAAGTATTAGTTTGCTGAAAACCTTTCAGACATATTGGTTTATACTACTTAATTCATAGGGAGAATTTCATTTCTTCAATGATTTTGGTTGATTATCAGCTAAAAAAGACGGAGATGGTGAGCCTATTACCGATTTTGTTCGACCAACTGACATTAGAATTTATAATTTCTAGGTATAAGTAGTCTAACTAAAATCAGTCATATGAAGAAAATATGGAACTCAAAACAACTATCTGTCAACCCATATCAAAGTCAGAATCTTCAATACCAATGTCAACACAGTTCTACTGTATGGAGCTGAAACTTACTGAGGTACTACAACCATCAAAACAGTACAAGTATTTATAAATAGTTGTTTACACAAGATAACATCAGCATCAGCCTTCTGTGAGAGAGAACAAACCACCTTCCATCTGAAGAGGAAATTAGAAAAAGACTATGGAAATGGATAGGACAAACACTATGCAAATCACCAAACTGCATCACGAAACAATCTCTAACTTGGAATCTTAAAGGGAAGTGAAAAAGAGGAAAGTCAAAGAACACATTACATTGACAAATAGGATCAGATATGAAAAGGATGAATAACAACTGGAATGAGCTGGAAAGGATTGCTTGGAACAGGGTTGGATGTAGAATGTAGGTGGTTGACCTATGCTCCTCCACGAGTAATAACGGGTGTAAATAAGTAAGTAAAGTATAAGTAGCTACTTTAATGATATGATAAACAGGATATTGACTCAAATACTGAATAAATAAAACAAAACTATTCATACCTGACATAAAATTATGTGACCATATTTCAATTTTATGCACTGGCAAGTTACGATGTAATGATGTTGAATGCTCTGAACAGAAATAAGTACCTAAATCATCAATTGTCAATCTATCAATGTATAAATTAGGGCTGGTTTGTCCATTAATTTTTAAACCAGGTAATCGATACCAGACGACGCTTTTGTTATTCCAATTATTTTGAGAAGTCGTTGGATTACATGTCACTATTAATTTCTCACCTAAAACACCTTCAACAATTTGAGTTTCTTTACGTTCATAGACAAATGTTTCATAAGCTAAAATTCAAAGAAGAAAAATGAATAAAAATAATGATGTATTGTTTTAACATGAATAATTTTCAATAGTTAAGATCATGAATCAATTGAAGCTGGACCACCATGGAAAACCTGGAAGCATTGGACGACCGTTGCGTCCTAGTATGGGACTCCTCAACAGTGCACATCCACGACTTCCCCTTGCGAGATTCAAACCCAAGGCCTATCAGTCTCGCGCACGATCGTTTAACCTATAGACCACTGAGCAGGTCAACATTAACGGTGCTAATGTCCACGAAATTGACCAACACATCCACCATTCTCATTAGTAAGTTACTATCCCACAACTGACCCGGTTGAACTCTACTGGTCAGTGCTTCTCACTAGAACTCTAAGATATACCTCTTGAAGCCAGTCAGTAGTGATGGTAGTCTATCTTCAATTGACTCATGATCTCAACTATTGAAATTACTGTAATATTCACAAAAAATCCCTTCTGATAATTTTATTACTACTGTTTCCAATACGCTGAGTATAAAACACGTCATAATGCCAGATTACTTAGGCTACTTTCAGGATTCGATCATAAATAGGATGAAGATTAGGATTAGTGAATAGAGTATACCAACTCACGTGCAATTGAGTTCGTTCACATTTAATTTTTTAAACCCTTTTGTTAACTTATTTAACAGACAGAGTCATTCGTACAATAACAACTTATCTATATCATTATACCTTTACTATTGTTGCGAATGTATGGACATGTATACTTGATCGTAGCTTACTGCCTACGCATTTATTCGCGCTGCTAGCCTTACTACTAACCGCTTAATTGATTCGATAATTCACTCATTTCACTATGTGTATATGTACATTTTAATCCTATTCACTTACTTGCCCGTTAGCCTTTCAGCACTGCTCTTTCATGCTTGCTTAACGTATCTGTAATTTTGTTTATCTGTGTGTGGTCCCATAATAAACGTAATCAACACTTCGTCGTATTCGTCTTCTGATGAATACACCGCTGAGGCGTTATCTAGTAATGGTTATCAAGGCAAACTGTATACGAAGTTTAAAGATCATATTGAATAACGATCACTACAAGTGATCACATTTTATTCATTCATTAGTTGATTCACATGAATATAGACTATATTTGTATAATTAACTGATGGAATTTCATACCCTTTAACTGTATTTAACCGTATTAAAATGACATTTAATTGTCTTAACAATTCATCTGATCACATTGTTCAATAACCAAGACATTCTAATAAAGACATTAGTGAATATCGGGAACTTGTTTAGTTTGTTTAAACTTTCTTAACGTCACTGCCAAAAGTTGCTTTGGAATACTGTAATACATGAAAGTATAGTATGATAAAATGTACCAGTTAATTCGGTTTAGCTGGCATAAATTCAAATGTATAAAATACATTCAATATGATCTCATCCTAACTCCATCTGGAACCCTTCTTGGGCTACTGTCGGTCCTAAACCTGGATAAAGGTGGAGGGTTGGCATAGGGTTAGAGACCCTATTCCGTAGAAAACTAACTCGCTTAAAAAATGCTAACCAAAAGAAAAAAATATAATTCAAACCATTATCTCATCCTGGATAAATGAATCAGACAGACATTCTTTGATGTATGTAACTCAATTGATGAATGAGAACATAAATAACTGGCCTTATATCTGATTCCAGTTAAATTGAATGAATGATTGTTACAGAAATATGCATGTTAACTAATCCTCGTATATAATCATCGACTAGACTTGAGTTAGTGAATATAACGGAATTAAAATAAATCAAATACGAGAATGAATATTGAATACGTATATTTCATACCACCGTTGATCCAGATAAATGAGCGAAGGGAAAAAGTGAAGAGAAAAGAGAGAGAAGAGAAATTAGATGACACTCGATGCAAAAAACTGAATGAGCCAACTCAATCTAACCAAGCATGAATCAACAAGTTACAGATATGTGATGAATAGGATATGATGTACACACACATACGCTCATATAAGACTAACAATCAAGGTTCAGAAGCGAAAAGTTAACATGATCACAAATCAGAAGGGGGTTTGTAGTTATTATAGTAATTTTCAGTAGTTAAGATCATAAGTACTGGATCCTGGGTTCAAATCTCGCCGGGCGGAATCGTGGATGCGCAGTGTTGAGGAGTCTGAATGATTTGTTATTATCAAAGATACGAGTTTTTTGTAAAATGAAATAGAGTAGAGGATAAACATCCGTCATCTTCTATTATCAAATATATATGTGAAACAGGTCATAAAATTGATCTTAACACGGCTTTTCTGGTGTTGTATAAAAGTGTAAAAGGACATATACTAAGTTCACTTGGTATTATTTGGCTTGCATCTTCCCAGTGAGGTTTAAGACTGCAATTGATCAGCCTGTTATTGGCAATGATGGATAGTGGCTAGCAGTGGAATCCAGGACGCCAAATAATACCAAGTGAATTTAAATTCACCCCATTGCACAAGCAAGTGGCTATCAGGACTCAGTAGCTGAATGGATAACGCGATAGCGTTTGAAGCGAACAGTACTTGGTTCAAGTCACAGAGTGTACATTAATTCTGAGATGCAGGTACATCCAGCTGATAGATAGGACGAAACACGCGTCCTGGATTCGACTGCTAGTCGACGTATACTAGGGTTTATTAAATACTAACTCCCTATTTATGTATTCAAAAATAGTTTATTTCCACCTTAAATCTACCCTGATAATACTAGCTCATTATCTATCATGATGACGTTTCAAATTATTTTCACTTTCACTTGTTGAAATTATGAGTCAATTGAAGCTAGACCACCATGGAAAACCTGGAAGCACTGGACGGCCGTTTCGTTCTAGTATGGGACTCTTCACCAGTACGCATCCACAATCCCGCACCCCATGGGATTCGAACCCAGGACTTGATTATCACTTTATTATCTTTGTATCCTTTCATTCTCCGTTTCTAGTTTAAGTGACCTTATTTATTTCTATATATAAATGATCAGATTGTTTGAAATGTAATACGTTAATATATCATCACACAATTCTGATAATTTCTGTCTTCTTGTTACACTATTGAAAGATGAAATTTGTCTTCCTCAATAATCTAGTTCAATAAACGAACAGTGATGAATCTATGATTTCTTCTAACAACATTTGATAATGAGACGATAAGTTGTCGACGATCTTTGAATGATATTCGTGTATCCTTTAGAGTGTCCACCTAATAACTAAGACTAAAATGAATGTTATAAACTAATGTCAGGAACTAGAATCATGCTTTACAGCTAATGATTAGGGTTAGGAGTTATGTTTATGGTTTTCATCATGAACTGTAACATCAATGATAATAGCAAAACGTTATTGAACCAAATAGATGAATGAAACATTTCGTGCCAAAATTCCAGAGGTCGGTCGCGGCTCGGACAGCTCAGTGGTGACGTCTGTGATACGGGATCGAATCCGCCAGGGAGAACCAGTTCCTTCAAGATTACAGGTACACCTTGCTGACGAGTGCCAAATAGCATGAAACCCGGGTCCAGGGTTTCCTGTTGACTACCTCCAACCACCATCTAAATCTCAATACATAGTGCCCGCAGTGTCGAGTCACCTAGACTGGTGGCCACATTGCAACATGATCGATAGCATTCGATCTGCACTAATAAGGACTAGACAAGCATGACATTGATCATCACCCAGTGATCAATCAATTGTGAAGGCCTATAATCTTAAATCTGATTGGTTCATCTATAAAGTATACAATCTCATCTGGAACATTTTTATTTATCTATTTACATTTCTTTTTTGTCCAAATTTATGTAAACTACATTTTTTGTTTGTTTGTTTGTTTGTTTGTTATCTCTCTTTTTAGTAAAACCATAAAGAAAAAAGGGTCTTTTTTTTCTTCTTAAATTTCCCATAGTGATAACAGGTAGTAACATATGAATGACTAAAAAAAGACAAATCACAAAAATGATGCACCTTGTAGTTATATTGATTTATACGATCAGTTACTAGGCCCATATATATACATTGGTTCAAGTCACTATGACTTCATTCCTATTAACACAATATGATGTATAGAAACAGTTACTTCAATGGTGATCATATTTAAAAAGAACAATTACATATAAGGAAGAAAGAATTCATTTATAGAAAGAAAGGTATCAAGTAATAATGAATCTCATAGTTTAAAGGAAAAAACAAACAGTGTATACACCTATATGATTGTGATCAATTCTGAGCCAATGTTACCCGTAGTCTCTAATCATTGGTTAGAGATGAATCGTTATACAATACTTAATAATCTTTCAATAAATCAATCAATATTCGATGTATCTTAGTTTCTTGGTGTTGTTACGTTTTTTTTTTTCTCTTTTGTAGAAATGTCATGAATTGAGAGGAAATGTGTAGAGAAAAAAAAGTAAAAGAGAAGAAAAAGTCAAAAACATCAATTCATTGATTTTTTTCCCTATTCCCTAGTTTACAAACAAAATAAACTTACACATATGACAGCTTATCATGGCAACAACAAGAAAATTTTAAAAAAAATTCGTTCAAATTATCAATTATGGTTGCTAAGTGAGGTGGTTGCACGCGTGTGTCTGTATGTGTGTGTGTGTGTGTTTATGAGATATGACTTAAAATATTAAAATGTCATCTATAAGAATGTTTTTTTTAAATACAAATAACATTTTATATGGAAAGTTGGATAGTGGCTAGTAGTGGAATCTAAAATGTGCGCCACTTCGTCCTATTTGGGGATCCTCAGCTAGGTATATCTACATCCCACAGTTGATGTGAACATCAGTACTTTTCACTTCAAACGCTATCCTGTTATGCATTTAGCTATTGTGTCGTGATAGTCACTTGATTGTGTAATGAGGTGAAGTTTAAATTAAATTAGTATTCACTTGTTATTGTATTACTTGAATCTTGCCATTGATGTTTAGGACTGAAATTGATCAGTCTCTTATTGGCATATGTACATACTGTG